GCTAGCTGATTATTAGTATAGCTTCCTATCTTATCTATAGATCAATCCAAAACAACTTGATGATTTGCACACAAACAGCATAACCTTTGGTCAAGTCGTTGTGACACTCAGAAATTTTAGTTTAAATATATGCATTTATGTCTGTATAATTGTATGGTATCTAGTTAAACAAATATGTACTTAAATGTTGCTGCGGTGTGGGAAAAAGCCTTGAGATTCCCGCTTTACAGTATTTTGTGTAGTATAATAAAACACAAGAGCTAGTTGATATCTGTAATGAGATTTGTCAGCGTGCTGCAATACCCACATAGTTGGGGGATGAATGATGATGTGTGGCGCAAAGCTGGCAGCCCATGTTGTAGGAGACAAAGAATCATGGCAGCATATTGATGGTGTGTGTCAGAACCGTGACCTTTAGAGTAGCAGAGTTCAGAGGGCAGAGATAAGGTGGGAGGTGGAACAGAGTATGAGGTTGGGGATTGACTTAGCTTGTGCGCTAGGCCCTTCTGCAGACATTGGTCCCTAAGTTGTTGGAGTGGAATGGATGAGAGTAGAGGATGAGAGGTGGAGTGGAGGTCCTTTGGAGAAGGACCAAAAAACTTAGAAGGAGAGTTGAATAAAGGTGAGAGGAACTAGTTGATATTCAAACTGCAGGAATGGAGTACAGGAGCTATGGCTTATATACTATCAGAGGGATGGGAGTTTGTAAGGAGTAACTCGTAATGTAGGTACAGAGTTCCATGTGGACAATTATCTAGCAAGGGGAAATCATATGTAGGGGGAGTGTACCATAAGGTCTAAACTACAGAGTCCATGAGGAATATGAGAACATGTGGAGGAAATGTATGGTGGACTAGAAATTTGGTGCAGGAGTATTGGAGTGGATATCTGGAGTACCATGTGAGGGTGGGGTACAGGGTTATTCCGAACAGTAGAACATGAGGAGTGTAATTCCAAGAGTACCGAAGATTTGGGGGTTCAGACTTGGGAATCTGTCTTCTTCAGAATTCCAGAACTATGGTTTCTGACACGGATATGACATGCTGACAAATTGTGACATTTGCTGAAGGGTTCATTAATGTCAAGTAGGAGTGGCTTAGGAAGGGGATCTGCAAAGAGTGAGGAATACACTGTGGGTGTCATATCCGTACCAGAAGATAGAACTCCGACATTTCCGAAGGAGTTGTTCTCTGGGCCTGAAACCACCAAACCATCGGTATACTTGGGATTACCTTCCTTGTGGTCTTCTGGTTGGCATAATTCTACGCTCCATTCCCACATGGTACTCCGGTTGTCCACTCCAATACTCCTGGACTTCTAGTTTGCCCTACGTTTCTCCTTGTACGCTCTAGTATTCCTTGTGGACTCTGTAGTTAGACCTTATTAATACACTCCTCGCACATACATTCTCCTCTCGCTAGATAATTGTCCACATGGAACTCTGTACCTACATTACAAGTTACTCCTTACGAGCTCCTGCTCCCCCAACAGTATATAAGCTGTAACTCCTGTACTCCGTTCCTGCAGTTTAAATATCAACTAGATTCCCTCGCTTTCTTACCAGTCCTTTTCTAAAGACCTTCCCGATCCTTCTTCAAAGGATTTTTACTCTGCTCCCTTTCATCCTCTACTTCTCCTCTGTCCACTTCCAACGAGTTAGGGACCAAGGTCCGTGAAAGGGTCTAGCGCACAAGCTAAGCCGATTCCCCATCTCGTCCTCCATACTCCATTACTCCATTTCCTTACTCTGTAGCTCTGTCACTCCGAAGAGGCCATGGTTCTGACAGTGGGAATAAAGCTAAAGTGGTTGGAGTCCCAGATAAGATCCCGCTTGAAACAAGGTTTATTACTTTGGATGGTCTTTTTTGGGGTGATTACCACCACAGAATTCACAGATGTGTTTGAAGTGACATGTGTTTCCTGGTCTAGTGCAGGAGCCTGAATTCCATCTCCTGAAAGGGTTGGTAGAGTGAGGAGTTCTGATTCTGGGAAGTTGAGATGATAGTTTTTCTGTGCAGAATTGTTTACCAAAGGATATGAAGTTGGAATTCCAGAAATCTGAGAAAAAGGGGAAATCATTGAGTTGGAGGTCCTGTCTGTAACCAATCCTCTGTCAAACTGCCTTGTCAAAGAGGACAACTTGAAAGGGATACTTTTCATTAGTGCTACTGAACTTTTGATTGATGTACTCTTCATATTCATCAACTTCATCCAATCAGCTCTGGCTACTAAGTTCCAAGTGGTAGACCAGTCTTAAGTGGTGACAACCAACTTAGAAGGCTCGGGATTGGCACAGGAGATCTCAATTCCTCCGAGTTTTTCTTTTGACCTTTCATCCAGCTCTGAGGAAAACAATCCTATGAAGATGGTGTCAACATTGAGTGAGACTCCTGATATGATCTTGTCCCATTCAAAGTAAGGGAGTTCTGGAATGAAAGTACAGGCAAGGATTGTTCTTTTAACTTGTTTGGGACCAAAAGACCAATCAGCAAGGAATTAGTTTGTTTTTTGGAGAGAAGAGGAGATGTATTTGGAACAATAAGAAGTAAGGGGGGTTTTGAAGTGCCTGATGGATCTGACTGTTAATTTCTTTCAGGGTTATTCACCCTCACTGTCAGATTTGGCAGCTCTTCAAGTTCTAATTATGGTGTCCCTTCTAACCAGTCTATCAAGCTCTTCTTGCAAGTCAGGAATTGGGCCTCTTCAAACTGCAGGCTAGTTCTGAGGAGAACAATCTCTTCCTCTAGTGATTTGGCTATCCTCTTCGAATTGATCCAACATGGAGACATAGGGATCAAGAACTTGTGTTTCGGAGAACTTGTAAGTTTACTTGGCACTTTCCTGGAGTATTCTACCAACAAGTTGTAAATTGGCTTCAGACTTTCTAAGGATCTGTCCATATCTGAAGTCATCAATGATTGAGAGAAGAGTGGGTGCCAATTGAGGTTGATCTGGGATTGTTTTACTGGACCCATTTGCAGGCATAGCAAATGAATGTATGATGATTGGCAAAGTCTGTTTGTAACGCAAAAAATCAGACTCAAAGATGTGTTAGTTTTGGTGATTCTGCACCTTTGTGCTACCTATATATTTTCATTCCTTTCTCTATCTATTCTTCTATCATTCACTATTGATTGTGTTCTCTATTATTTCGCCTTTATGGCTGCTTTGTTTACCTTTGTTTACAAAACTTCGGACAGTACTGCAGAGTCCAATGCTTCCTATTCTCTAGTTACTCACATTGGACTCTAGGTACTATATACCTGTCATACTCTCTAATAATATAGTTACTCACATTGGACTCTAGTTCCAGTCCCTGATTGCTCTCAGCAAGTGGCTAGACACTTCCTTCAAGCTTTGTTCTTAATAGGTTATGAGCCCTGTGCTCTAGCCATCTTCCTGACCTCATATCTCACCATCCAAGTGTCCTACTGCTTATCCATCGTAACCATTGTCTTCTGGGACTCTTATTATCTCATCCATCACCTCAGATTACTCTGATCTCATCTTGATCTCCAACAACAACTCCTTGTTGCAAGTTACCCCCATTTCGGACGCTTTTTTGGTCTTATCTGCACCATATCTCGCCCAATCCTTATCTGATCGTCCTGTAACTTCTACCATCGTCTTCTACGGCCTAAATAACCCTAGGAGACCTGTCAGAGCGGTTGGATTTGAGCTGGATCTTTCTGTGAGCCTTCATCATCATTTGATCACCTTTTGGCCCCCTATTCCATATCTCCACATCCTGTGCTCGGATCTTGGCCCTATTTGAGCCATCTACTACCCTATACTATTGCACTTTACACCGTCAATTTGGGGGCAATCCATCCACTCCATCATCCTCTGTGAAGTTTGCATTTTTGGCACTTTCACCCCTATTGGACTCCTATTGCATATCTCCACATCCTGTGCTTCACTTCTTGTGATATTTGGGCCATCTATTACTCTATAAAGACGTTCCCTATACCTCTGATTTGGTGGCAATCCATCCATCTTATCTGTCTCTGCATCAATTTCGACTTTTTGCCCTATTTTTCGCTTTTTGGCATATCTGGTGTGTGCATAAAGCTCCAATCTTCTCTACTCTGTCCATTATCAGATAGAACAAGCCTATAGACTGTGAAGCTCGCCTGCATTGCCTCAGTTTGCTGTTGCCTAGAGCCTCTCTCAGTCTGCGGTGTTTGGGGAGCTTAAGTCACTTTGTTGACTCATATACAAGCCCTATTAACCAACACTGTCTCGAGGCGATTTCTCTGTTAATATCAGTGTGGAATTGAAAGGGGAACACAGGCGTAACCCTGTAGCAGCACTAGGAAGCCTTAGCACCCTCCTGGATCGCTTTTGGATGCTTTTTGGACCCTATTTGGACCTATCCTTGCACTTTCTGACCCTCTCCATATCCTCTCTCTACCGCCTCACCATCTTATCTGCTCGCCTCCTACTGTTGCCCATTGTCTTTGCCACTATTCCATCGCCTATAGCCGTCTCCTACATCATTTATCATTGCTCTATTGTCTTATACAACACCCATCATGTCTGACTCTGATCCCAAGTTCCATCCCAAGTCTGGCACTAACTACTCCCAGTGGAGTGGTGAAATGCAAGCTTGGTTGATGACCAAGGGACTGTGGAGGCTCGTCTCTGGCGCTGAAAAGTGTCCTGGGACTGACGCTGAAGCAATGGAGAAATGGGAGTTGAGAGCTGAAAAGGCTGCTGGTGCATTATATCTCAATGTCACCAAAAAGCAGCGCATCCATCTTGATGGCATCATTGATGATCCTGTCAAGATCTGGGAGAAACTGGCAATTGTGCACGTCTCTAAGAAGCCTGGGACGAGATTTAATGCCTATGACGACTTCTTCTCTATCAGAAAGAAGGAGGACGAGTCCCTGCAGTCTCTCATGACCAGAATTGACGAAGGCATGCATCAGATTCAAAATCTTCGTCCTACTGGCTTCTCATTGTCTGAATTGGACGATGAATTGACATGCATGGCCATGATTAGGGCGCTTCCTGATCAATATGCCCACTTCACTTCATCTCTACTACTTCTGGGCACCTTGGACAAGACCCAGCTCAGGGATGCTTTCCTTGCTGAAGAGGTCAATCGCCGTTGTCGTGCTGAAGTCGATTCTGCCTTGCATTCTTCGTCTACCACTGCCAATAGCACCTGCACCCATCCTAACTGCCATCATTGCAACCAATCCACCACCTCTACTCGTGTTCAGTGTGATTTCTGTGGTTTACTTGGTCATACCCAAGACAAATGCCACAGATACATTGCTAGTCGCCAACAGGCAGTGGAGGGTGCTAAGAATCGCTACAAGCGTGGCAATAAGGCTCAGGCAGGCTCCAGCAACTCTCAGAATACCTCTCAGCAGCCCAAATCTTCGCCCAACAATGCCAATTCATCTACTGTGGTCACTGAATCAGCTGGGAATGCAAGTCTTCGTTCCATTCATCCCTCTGATCCTCATTGCCCTCTCCAACTTGATGCTGACATTGATTGGAATGCAGACACAGGCGCCACTTCTCATATGACACCTCATCGTCATTGGATGCACCACTATACCCCATATTGTGTGCCAATCAAGCTGGCTGATCACACTGTTGTCTATTCAGCTGGTGTTGGTACTGTGGTGTTTAATCCTGTGATGAATGGCAAAGTGGCTAGGGCTGTGGAATTCTCTAGAGTGCTCCATGTACCAGGTGGCTGCATTACGCACAAATGTTCTTTTGTTGTTGAGTACCAAGGACACAGAGAACGAGTCACCACTGAATGTAACAACCAAGAGTTTGTTACTCCAGTGCACAACTCAGACAAGCTACAGAGAGGATGATGAGGGAGTGGTTACCCTTTAGGTTTCAACAAGTTAGTTGTGAGGATACAACAGGAGGACTCACTGAGAAGTCTCCTTGATCTATTGGGGTATATATACTACTACAGGTTTGTTTGTACATATGTACTATACAGTTTGCCCGTGTGACCAGCTCCACTGCATGAGATACTTGTAGCTAAAATAAGAAGGAAGGCAGCGCAGCGCAAGAAAGAGGAGTTTGAACAAAAAGGGAAAGCGCCACATGGCACAATGTGAGAAAACTACAGTAAAATGTTAAAGAGGAGAATGAAAATTAAAGGTCCAAAAATGTGTTATCGTAACACTGAAGCTACCCAACTAGGGAAGATTAATTTAATCTTAGGCTGGACCTGGCTATTTAAACACAATCCTGAGATTGACTAGCAGACAGGGGTTGTCACATTGTCACGTAGCCCTCAGGAGTGTGATGACTTGGGCAAGCCAAGTTGTGTCCGTCAAACTGAGCGAGATGAAAGGATAAACACTGGTCACATTTATGCCCAGCTCAGATCTTTAGATAAGATTGATGATGACAATGACGAGGTAAAACCCAAAGAAGAGATTAAGAGGCTGGTACCTCCCGGGTACCATGACTTCTGGAAAGTCTTTTCTAAACATAAATCAGAGCACCTCCCAGAGGCTAAGCCTTGGTACCATGCTATAGATTTGAAGGACACCTTCAAACCGAGTAAAGGACACATGATACCACTCTCTGCTCCAGAAAGAGATGAGGTATCAAGTTTCATAGATGAACAGCTTAGGAAGGGTTACATCAGACCTCCCAAAAGCCCTATGATGTCCCCAGTGTTCTTCATTCCTAAAAAGGATGGTAAGAAGCGCATAATTATGGACTATCATTACGTGAATGAGCACACGGTTAAAAATGCGTATCCGCTGCCTTTAATCAGTCAGTTAGTAGACAAATTGGCTGGTTCCAAGATCTTGACAAAGATGGATCTCAGATGGGGGTACAATAATGTACAAATCAAAGAAACAGATGCTTGGAAGGCCGCATTCACATGCCACCAAGGATCCTTTGAGCCCCTTGTTATGTTCTTTGGGTTAACCAATTCACCGGCAACCTTCCAGAGCATGATGAACAAGATCTTTGCAGATATGGAAAACTGTGTCGTTATATACATTGACGATTTATTAATATTCACGAAGTCGGACGATGAGACTGAGCATGACAGGATCGTGCAAGAAGTCCTTTGACGCTTACAGGAACGGGACCTATTCGTCAAACCCGAAAAATGTAATTTTAAAGTGAAGGAAGTAGACTTCCTCGGTATGATCATAGGCCAGAACGGAATCAGGATGGATCCTGAGAAAGTTCAAGCTATTTTGGAGTGGCCAGAACCTACTCATGTCAAAGGAGTTAGGGCCTTCCTTGGCTTAGGCAATTTCTACTGAAGGTTTATCAAAAACTTCGCAAAAATCACGAGACCGTTGAACGATCTCACTAAAAAGGACATCGTTTGGCACTGGGGCGCCAAAGAACAAGAAGCTTTTGATAAGCTTAAACAGGCGTTTACAACGGCGCCCATATTAGCATTTCCAGAATTAGACAAAGAGTTCCGGCTAGAAACCAACTCTTCTGATTTTGCTACTGGGGCTGTTTTGTCAATTAAATGCCCTGACGATCTTTGGAGGCCTTGTGCCTATTTATTGCATAGCTTGTCGCCTACAGAGTGCAACTATCAGATATACGATAAGGAGATGCTGGCCATCATTAGAGCTCTAGAGCACTGGTGGCACTACTTAGAAGGTGCTAGGCACCAATTTGAAATTTGGACCAATCATAAGAATCTGGAGTATTTTATGACGGCCCCAGACTTGAACCGAAGACAGGCCCGCTACGCGGTATACTTGTCAAGGTTTAATTATAAATTAATTCATAAGCCTGGAAGTTCTATGGGGAAAGCGGACACTTTATCCAGGAGAGAGGATCATGCCAACGGCATCGAAGACGATAACAAAGGTGTTACCCTGATAGACCAATCAAGGGTTGCTAATGTTAGAATCAGGCAGGATTCAGATCTTCTGGAAGTCTTCAAGAAAGACATCTCCTCAGAAGAGAAGGCGTGCCTTGACGGCAATGAGAACTATTTATGGGAAGACGGGCTCTTCCATTTTAAAGACAAGATCTATGTGCCTGAGTCCGCAAGGATCAAGGCAATAGACAGACATCACAACACTCCAGTGGCTGGGCACCCTGGGTGGCAACAAACAATGGAGTTGATCTCCAGAAACTATATGTGGCCTGGCATGGTCAAAGACGTACAGGAATATGTAAAATCCTGTCTGAGATGTGCCATGGCAAAGAATTCTCATCAACCGCCGGCCGGTAAACTTATGCTGAATCCGATACCAGCTGGTCCCTGGCAGGATATATCGGTGGACTTCACAACGGATCTGCCCGAGTCGAATGGGTATGATTCAGTAATGGTGGTAGTAGATCGCTTCTCCAAAGAATTGGTATTCATACCCACCAATAAAACCATTACCACCGCTGGTACGGCAGATTTATTTAAAGATTCCGTATGGTCCACCCATAGGTTACCAGAAACAGTTATCTCCAACAGGGGACCGCAATTTGCTAGCAAATTTATGAAAGAATTATGTTGGATGCTGGGCATCAAACCTAAACTATCAATGGTGTTCCATCCGCAAACCAATGACAGAGAGACTCAACCAGGAGTTGAAACAATATCTCCAGATATTTATTAATGACAGACAGATGGATTGGGCCAAGTGGCTAAAGATAGCCCAGTTCTCATATAATATCAAACAGTCATCAGCTACAGGAAAGGCACCATTTGAGGTTACAAGGTCATACCTCCCCAGAATGGGTGTAGAACCTGGCAAAAGCAAAAATGAGGCTGCTGGGAATATGGCAAAAGACATGAAGTATGTCTTAGATGAAACGCGCAAAGCGCTATTCAAAACTGCAGAGCAGATGAAAGACAGGGCAGAGCATAGACACTCTAAGTCCCCTGACTACAAGGTTGGTGACCTGGTCTGGTTAGATACCGACCACTTAAAATTAAAAGATCAGCAGTCTAGAAAACTAACCGAAAAGTGGATTGGCCCTTACTGGATTAAGGAAGTCAAACCCAATGCAGTGGAGCTGGAACTCCCAAAACAAGTGAGGGTAGTACCCACGGTCAACATTAGCCATGTGAAACCTTATAAAGGGCCGCTGCCGGGACAGTGCGTGGACCAGCCCGGACCAGTTGTAGTCACCCAGGAAGGTAAATAAGAGTTCAAAGTCAAACAAGTGGTGGATGCACGCTTGAAGCGTGGAAAATTAGAGTTCCTAGTCCTATGGAAGGGCTATGGAGACAAGGACAGAATGTGGGAACCAGAAGCCCATCTGGACAATTCCCACAATGCTGTTTGCGAATTTTGTTCTAAGAATCCCTCGGCTCCTAGGAAGCTTAGAGGCATGGATTCAAAACTTTTTAATTCCCTTTTTCAAACTATGCCCAAAAATTTAACTACCACATCCAGTACCCGGTCCCGCCTGGAAGTCAAGCCTTAGAGGGGGGGTAGTGTTACAATACACAATTTTTGGACCTTTAAATTTCATTCTCCTCTTTAACTTTCTTCTGTAGTTTTCACACAAAGTGCCATGCAACACTTTCCATTTTGTTCAAACTCCACCTTCTCGCGCTGCACTGCCTTTTCCTTATTTTAGCTACAAGTCTCTCATACAAAGGAGCTGGTCACACAGGCTGTGCCTTATGACATCATCAGCCACTGCCTTCATCAACTGTATAGTACACATGTACAAACAACCTGTAGTAGTATATATACCCCAATAAATCAGGGAGACTTCTCAGCGAGTCCTCCTGTTGTTTACCCACAACTAACTCAGTCCTACCTGAGGGGTAACCACCCCCTCTCATACTCTTTTGCTTGTCTGAGTTGTGCGCCAGAGTAACTAACTCTTGGTTGTTACAGGAGAGCATTTTCTATCCAGAACCTGTTCTGATTCATTGCCATCAAGAGTGCTTGATATCATTGGGCACCTGTTCAGGTTCTGGACATAGCTAAGCTCCCTGGTTTGAACCTTACCCATTAAATTTTCCAAAATGAACTCTCTACTCAAAAAAATCCAGGAACGACTGTCTTCCTGCAATACAGTCTGCTTATAGGAGACTAGCCATGCCTGGCCTTACTTGTCAAGTCCCCTGACTCTAACTACCCTATTCCCATCTCAGGATTGACCATCTGAGGACACATCCTTACACAAACTTTCACATATTTGCCATACCTTGACATGTATGCCTGTGGTTGTCTTTCCCTTTTACTTTTGTATTTCATAAGACATCATTGTAGATTGCTTTCCAGTCTATCCATTATATTTTTTTTTAGCTTGATTGAAGTAAAAGAACTAGAAGCTTCACAAAACACGATGTGCTCAGCAAAACAAGCTGGTGCCAGGTATTCCATTTTTGGCAGCCCCCTCCTTGACTAGCATTCAATAATAAACTATCCCATGCATATTTTGAGGGAGATTTAGATTTATGGGTTGTCACTCGGCTCAATCAACAACAATAGGTAGTTACCAGGATTTGACCTTGACACCACACAACCTACAACATCAGGAACTGCGGGTGGGATGAAAACTGGTTTCATATCATGAGGCGCCAGATACCTTGGCAAGCAAGGTGATTCATCCGTGTCCACCCCAGTCACTGTTGTCATATCACCCTATCCTTAGCTTGCGGGGTGGTCTATAAGGTGTTGCAAGCGTCATGTATCTTTTAAGTTTTGGCTACATCATATCTGGAAGTGATCACACTTTCAGTTGAACCGCGGGTTTTCATAAATGAACTTCACTCACATCTTTATGGAATGCAAAAGGTATCCTCCAGAACCTGACATATTCATCATTGGATGTGTTCGGCCAGGTAGCACCTGTCGAGCTCAGTTAGCTTAAGCATTATAAGATGGTGGTAACGATTTACCTGGTAGCAGCGTAACCAGGATTCTGTCAAAGATGGTGCTATGAAGTTAGGCAGTGAACGCAGCTTGGCTTGAAGTTCTACTAATGTCTGCTGAAAGGTGTAAATAGGTGAGGAATCCAGAGGTTGTAATTAAGTGACCTGTATATGAGGGCTGTGAACGACGATTGATGCAGAGCCAGCTAGATATGGCGAGAGCACTTCTACGACTTGCAAAATATCGAATTCGCAAGAAATAACAAGACTAGTTAGGAGGTCAGGTCACGTATGAATCAAGAAAACATCATCGTACGCGTCAAACTCCCCAGAAAAAAGCTCTTCTCTCGTGTTAGATACCGCGTCGGTTACTACTTTCCGTTTCTGCAGGCGAGAACGATGTCGTTCTGACTTGACTTCTGTCACAGGTTCCGGTGCCATTACTCCATGATTGTGGGTTGATTATCACCAGACGTCACCAAAAAGAACAAAATGGAACTTACCTGAAATGTAATCTGGCTGGGCAGTAGCCCAATTAAGAGAAGATAAAATTGATATCGTCGCTTCATGATTGAAGTTCATTTGCGTCAAAGTAGGGTATGCAGGAGGACAATCAACGTCGCATATGGTGATTAAGCGCCCTTGGCCTGCCGTGCCAGGTAAACATCAAACTCTTTAAAGATGACTGGATTTTGTCATACCTCCCATTCGATCTAGGATACCACAAACAAGGATACCAGCAGCATCATCGACAGCAATGTACCTGCCACCCGGCCGTATGTTTGCCATGTTCATGATCTGCGATAGCGTATCTGGTCGAATATCGCGTATCCGAGTGGGATTCTTCCGAAACCAATATGTACAGACGTTGAAAAGAGTTGGCTCGACCGTCGTAAATGCTTTAAGATATCTGTGGAAAGCTAAGTGCCGAATTCAGTACTCATAAAAGATATAACCACTTGGCTTCTTTTCGCTTCTTGTATTTTTCTTTGCTGTATGCAGTCTTCAAAGAATAATTTGCGTGCTGCTCGATCTGTCTATTTATAATATCCTTCAGAAATACTAGGTTTTCAGAAGTATCCACCGTCGGTAATTTTAAAAAAAAACCTACTGAGGCATGCATACCAGCTCGCTTCCAAGATTCTATCTCCTCCAGAGCCATAGGTTGTACAAAATCGTCATCGTTAATAAGCTCATTCGTTGCGTCCGTATCCTCTATCTCAGAAACAATTTTTTAGAAAAGAGATGTAAAAAAACCTCAACCTCAGCGAAAGCACCATACCAACATCTTGTAAAGTTCGTGGAGGTATTACTTTGAGCTCTTTCTCCACTATTTCATATGTCAAACCGTACGTTTGACCCAGGAGATGTACACCAGGAAAAGAGCCAATCCGTCCTAGCGTTATGTTCCTGCATATGCATTTTCGACTAAGCGCCCCTACAAACCAAGATTACGGAAACACTCACGAATCTTTTTGTACTTTCATGCTTCGTATTTCGCCATTAAGAAGCTGTAACATTACAGTATCGCCATCGCGAATGTCGTTATGCTTGATAACGGGTGATGTCGCGGAATCCATGAACATATATGCCTTATGTCCTGCAGATTCCAAAAAGGTATCGTAGTGTCAAATTCAAGTTAGACGCCCGATGCTGGAGTTGCGCATGTTGCCGAAGCGTATGTGCGTTGACTTGTAACTCAACACCAACTCTCCAGTCATACATCATCTTTCAAGTTAGCTTGTATTGTAATTGATAAGTACTTGGGAAAAAATGGCATTTAGGTCTATGGCGACGGCTGCTAGACAGTCGCTCAAAATTGGCATGTTGCCTGCAGATGGCATTGGAAGAGAAGTTTTACCGGTTCGTTTCAAAATACAATACCTACGCTCCGAGTTACGCTGATGAATTTCCGAACTAGGCGGCTAGAGCAGCCATTATTGCTCTTGGATCATCTATACCCAAGCCAGAATTTATTGATCTTGCTGCTGGTTTTGAACTTTTCACGAAGACAGGGACTGCTTTGCCGGACGAAACAGTTAGGTAAATTTTAACCTACGTGTCAATGCAGAAAACCTTCCATTGACCGATGATATTAGCATCTTACAGAATGAATGTGACTGTGCCCTCTTTGGAGCCGTCAGGTTTGTTTTCATCTAATCATATTCTCACTACTTGACAGTCATTCAGTTCGCCGTCCCGCAAGGTGGTGGGTTATTCTTCACCCATTGTAGCGCTTCGAAAGAAGATGGATCTATACGCAAACATACGACCAGTCGCTTCTGTGCGTACGCAAAGTCCGCCAACAAGTGCTACTCACGTAATTCATCTTCTCCAAGACAGGTGGCTGCTACTGCTGGAGGAAAACCTGATGTCGACTTAGTCGTCATCCGGGAAAATACCGAATGTCTCGTATGTTACTGTTTCTTGATGGGAAAACAGCGACTAACATGAATTCGTAGTATATCAAACAGGAAACCTTGCAGCAAGGAGAGTTTGGCAAGGAAGCTCGCGCCACGCGGCTTATCACTGAGCGTGCCTCACGTAGGATAGGTGATATGGCGTTTAAGACAGCACTTTCTCGTCCACGCAAGGTAAGTGGATGATCCTATACGCATGACAACTGATGTGAGCATGACAAACCATACAGCATGTGACCATCATCCATAAATCTAACGTCTTGTCTGTCACCGACGGCCTCTTCCGTGAAACTGTCCGAGCGGTGCCCGCATTACCTGAAGTGAATGGGAGATACGATCAGATTACGATTGCAGAACAACTCGTGGACAGTGCTGTTTACAGGTTCGTACCTAAAGCATTTGTGATTTCTTTGTCGCTCATGGTCTCTAAATAGGTTGTTCCGCGAGCCTCAGTAAGTTCGACTGCGGCGTCACAGACCTCTTTAAATGACGAGTGTTCAATAGTATTTTCGATGTAATGGTTGCTCCAAACCTGTATGGAGATATCCTTTCGTGAGTCTTCCGTGTTCCTAACTACATAGCTTTGTAATGCTGATGAGATCGTAATTGTTAGAGATGCTGCTGCCGCATTGGTGGGGTCATTAGGTTTAGTGCCTTCCATAAACGCTGGCGATTCTTTCGTGATGGGTGAACCGTGAGTTTCATGGAAATCCCTATTCTTGTGCATCAGCATTCTGAACAGGCACATCCCGTAGGGTACATGGCTCTGCTCCGGATATTGCAGGGCAAGATATAGCAAACCCCCTCGCAGCTATGCGCTCTGCTGCATTGATGCTGCGCCATCTCGGGTACGGTGAAGGAGCAGATCGTATTGAGAAGGCTGTGGATGAAGTGATCAGGGAAGGTAATGTTTTGACGCCTGATTTGGGTGGGAAAAGTAAGACCAGCGAGGTGGTGAACGAGGTGGTGAAGAGAATATAGTAGGTAGAATACCCATATATCTTGGTTGGCTTCTGTGCACACATTCTACGCCTGTTCCGCCTGTTTGTCCTTGAAAAGCGTGGTGTAAATAACCTTCCACTGAGGTTTTATGTCCCCTATTGGCATTGTTTGGACAATGGCTTACCCGCGCGGAGCTTTCGCTAAACACAATGGTTAGACGCTCGTATTATTGGCAAATGAGAAGTCCCGTGCTGCTCACAAGACACCGTCAGACTCTTCTCTTCTTGCTGGAAATCGCCATATCCCGGAAATCACAAAGAATAGCGCTGGGCAAGGAGCACACTGGTGTACAATTTTGGGACCATTGCTCTTATATACGGCCGTTCCATCTGCGATAGCCATCTTTCCCTGCATCGAGCACTAAAGCGCATTGTAAACTCGAGTTTTTCATCTCGGCTGCCAAACGCGTGTTTTGTGCGTAATCCCCCAGTCTCGATCGTCATCCTTACCACGATATGGCCAAAGCAAGTAAGAAAGGCAAGCAGAAAGCAGATACACCTGCACCAGCACCCAACCAGCCCGCTCCCACTGCTGTATCGAATCAGCCTGACGTGAGCCAGCCTGCAGTTGTTGCTCCCCCAAGCCTGTCTGCTGAAGTTCTTCCGAGCCAGCCTGCTTTCGCTCATTCGAACCAGCTTGCTACGGTCGAAGAAGTCCCAGATGACGGATTTGGCGGTTTAGGTCAGTTTCATTTCACTCGCCATTGTTCTCTATCGCACAGTTCATGACATTTCGTCTTCGATGCTCTGTCCTTTTCATACTACATTAATCGCACTTTGACTCGAATAATATGGATTTGGAACCACTAGATGGCCTATTGGAAGGCGAAGGCGAAGACGATTGGGCAGAGGATGGACAGGATGGCCCATGGCCAGACAATAATGAAGCTCCGGTGGATAGCAGCTGGGGCGACGATCCACAACCTCAAGCACAAGCACAGCAGGATTGGGGGGTACCGCTAGGGCCGCCTCAGGCTCCACCGCCGCCACCGCCCGTTCCTCACGGTGGTGGGGGTAAAGGCAATAAGCAATACAATGCGAGAGTCAACGCAGCAGCTGCTGCTGCCAGGGAAGATTGGAGACGTGAAGGCGGAGGTGGGGGTGGTGCCGTTGCTAGGGATGACTGGGGACGAGGGGGAGGGGGAGGGGGAGGGGGCGGGGGCGGAGATTGGGGCGCTAATGAGATTCCTTGGCCGATTAATCCGCCCAGTCAGGGAAGTAGCGATGCAGGATGGAGCAACACCGGAGGAGGAGCATGGAATAGCAGAGCAGGTGATGGTTGGGGCGGTCAGCCAGATTCTAGGTGGGCTGATCCCGCGGCTCAGCAAGATTACAAGCAGACACAGAAGCAGGGTGGATGGATGGGGTGGGGCGACGAAGCCAGACGGTTACCAAAGGTGACATTTGACAGTGCTATACCCCCATCCCCAAGCTCTACTGGGACCAGGGTCACCTTGTCTCAGCAGCAGCGATCTCAGCTTTTGAGTTCATTGCTCAATAAGCCGCCACAGAGCCAAACTTACCAGACAGCTGTTGCTAGTGCTGCTGCTGCCATCCCCGGTCAAGACAGTTATTACCAGCCCCCAGTTCAGCAGGACTGGCAGCAATACCAACCACAGCAACAGGAATACCACCAACAGCAACACCATCATCAACACCAGCGGCACCAATCGCAATACCAGGAGCCTCCACCGCCACCACCACCCCCTCCTCAGCAGCAACAGGGCGGGGGAAAGAAAGGGAAGAAGAACAAGCAGCAGCAGCAGAATCAGCCAAAGCAAAAACAACATCAAAGCAAAAGTCAGCGGCGGCAGCAGCAGCAAGAACAGGAACAACAGCAGGATCAATGGGGTGATTGGGGCGATGGTTGGGCCGACACAGCCGAAGACAACGGATACTACGGTGAAGAGGATGATGGATGGGGTCGTCGAGTACACTTTTCTCCTCAGTATCAGTCTCAACGACCTCCTGATCCCGATCCTGCTTCTCTTCAGCCGGCAGCAGTTGTGGAGAATTTTACTGTCAACGCTTTTCCACCAAACCAGCTCGGACTATCAACATACAACATGCCTTCGAAGACGCTTGCTTATGCTTATCAAGGCACCAATACATCTATTCACAGTGGGCCGCCCGCGCGCAATGTAATGCAAGATTATGCCGATGTTCGTTTCATTGAATCCAAAGGGATTGCACTGGAGGCTGCACAGCGTGCATTGTACAGCAAGTCTCGCCTGGCAAAGGACAGATTCCATTGGATGTTCCCGCCAGACAAAGATGAACGTGTTGCAACTTTACTGGCTTGGATACAGTCAGTGTCTTACGGTTTAGGTTCTTATGGCGTAAGTACCAATGTTAACCATAACCCATGGTTCTATTAGTGAATCAGTCGCTCACACTCGCAATCTGGCTGGACTTCCTTGCAGTTGCACAAATTTCTGCAGAGCCGTGAACGCGGAGCTCTGGTAGTAAACGCGGACTACCGGCCAGCGAAATCACCAAACGAGCCTGCCTTTGACTGGCTGACTTTTGATGACTTGCAGCCGACGATGGATCGCATTCTACAGGAATCAGTGGCATTCTATGACCCATCTGTCCAGGTCGTCGTTTTCGTATTGCTCCCTTCGAAAACTGGCAATAGCTTGGCTATTTGGAGACGCAAGATAATGGTGCCCAACAACCTCCGGTTGGCTTATCAATCCCAGATTACACAGGCCTTAGCCGCATTGCGAAAAGATTACATCGTACATGTTGATGAGTGCGTATTGTGTCTTGTTTTTATATTTATATGTGAGATATCCACTGAGACGATATGATGTGATATCCATAGGTTACCTGAGAAAGAAGAGGCCAATAGTTCTGCACCCTCGGATTTTCCAAAGAAAAAACGCAAATGGTGGAAATTTTGGTGAAGGAGAGTGGCAGTTTTTTGTGGTGTATGATTACTGTTGCAGTTGCCTCCTCTTTGTACTCACACGTAGTAGACATTCATCTGGAAGATCCCGATGATGTTATCACAGGATTGTAAGACTTGTATTACTAATAACCCCCGAGCAGCTTTAGCCATGTATACCTTGAACTCCCCGCTTAACTTCGTCCATGACTGGTACCGCACTCTCTGCTGAGCTTCCAAGCCTGCTTAGTATCACCCCTGTCATCCGTGATGCATATGCCATCATCTTAGAATTTGAGCGATCTGCCCAAAATGCCAAAACGTTAATCTATGCGAGGATCCTAGGTTACCTCATGCTAGAAGGGCCTTCAGACCAAGCTCGTGTAGCTATTGCACGAGAAGTCATTTCTTGTGCGGGAAAAGGTGCCTTGGAAACTAATGGGAAAATGTACTACGACCATTACCTTCGCGCATGTAAGCTTCTCTACTTATCTGTCCTCCCCCCACCCATTTGAAAGATACTCAACAGTCAAAAGAACCAAAGGTCACACTCCCATCCCCTCCTCGCACGTTTCACGGCCCTCTTTTGACACCTGCAAGGCGATGATATTCGATATGTTAGTCGAGGCTCCTCAGGCACATCAAGATGCCAAGAAGAATGTGAGTGTACTCGTCGTGTCATTATTTTGTAAGTCACAAACCGTCGGCCCTTTCTAAGGCTCTGATTCGGGACGGCTCTTGCTGCGTTGTTACAGGAAATTATGAGCGTTCCATGGTGGAAAATAATCAGGAGCTGGAGAAAATGGCCGATGATGAGGGCAAAGGCTTGATCGTAACGAATTGTGCACATATTTTCGCTGAATCCACCAACCTGAATATTTCTGGTGATCAGAAGGGCGGTATCAGGGTACTCTTCTTCTCCTATTTGGATGACATCTGTATGCTTATTACGGGCATAGCATCACCATGCTGCTTCCATGTGGGCTGTCATGGATCGGTTTGGCTACAGCCAGATTCCTTTCGACCTCAATGGCAGCAATATCCATCGTCTGGAAAACATTTTGACATTGGATGTTGGTGTGCATGCCTCGTTGTGATGATGAATTAAAGCTCTGGTTTGAGCCCACAGTGAGTGATTTACCACCTGGTGTGCATTGCGCTTAGACTGAAAATCCCAGGGCACACCCAATACCTACAAGCTCGAGGCACCTGTGACATTTACAACTCAGGATACCGAGAAACTTCCACTTCCATCGCCAGAATATCTCAAAATTCACGCTGCATGCGCCAGGGTTGCCCATCTATCGGGAACTGGGGAGCATATAGATAAAATCTCAAGTGAGCTCGAAGATCACAATGTTCTCTCCGAGGATGGGGCTTCTGCAGACGCACTCGAACATGCCCTCTTTCCTTGGAGTCAGCAAATCCAGGTCTTCTGAGGATATTGGTTGCCTTGTAATTACCGTTGGAATTCGTTAGCAGAATGCACATATGACATGAATCGAAATGTACAATTGGTATCAATAACTCAAAGTACATTGTCTGAGATAACTATTACATTTATCGGCTACAAAAGGTGATTGAAATAGTCCATACAATTCTTGAAATATCGATCCCTAGATGAGGAAAGATGTCAGGAATCCTTTATGTACCGGAGATTAGGTCCCTCATACATAATTATAGTGATGGACTCACCTTGTCCGTTGTGAATGCGGCTTTCTGTATCTGCATCGCAAGCGCCCGCAAGCGCTCTACCCCATAATCATCTGCTTTCAGGGGTGAAGGCCCATGACGAAGCTTGTTTTCGTGCATGAAAGCCGCTATATCAGCTAGAGAGACACCCAGATGAGACAGCACAGTAAGACGTGTCCTGTGGATGGCGAGGGAACAATGAGAATCGCAGCATCCAAGGCGATGCAAGAAGATATACTACTTGGTGACTTTGCTCTCTTCTAATAGTTTATGAAGATGGCTCTGGATAGCGGCACTCTCAATAGCATATTCATCCCGGGTTGCCTTCAGGTCACAACGCAGCTCGTCCACTTCCTTTCTTTCTGCCTCCAACAGAAGCCTGGCGCGAGCTAGCTCGTCCTTCCTGTGGGAACTCTGGAGCGCTAGGGTCCTAGTGCTCCTTTGTAATTCCGATGTAGTAGTAGTCAAATCATCTAGCCTTTGTTGTAAAACTGAGACGCGTCTTCTCATAAAGGCATAGGGCACGAACGCGAAAGGCAAGATGAATATCCCAAGAAGTGCAAAACGGGTTGTAGCTGATTGACGTCGAGCTTGAGGCTGTTGAGGGGATGTAATATCGGGTGAACTCAGATGCTGATTACCCGTGAGATCGTGTCCTTTCTGCATTGCCCAGGAGATGTACTGCCAGTGTGGGGTTAGAATGGGAGATGTGACATTGACAGACAGGTAACTGAGAAATGGTGCATGTCAGGTGCAAGGCAGTACCGAGATCCGAATGCATTCCGAACCGTGCTTAGGTAATGCCCATACGTCTCCCACTGGCCATATACCTCGTTGCAAGATTTGTCGTTGCAGACACGCTAAACCGCTCCAGCGCTCGCGGGAGATGCTGAATATTAGCTCTTGAATACCACGCGCCTCTTTTTCATTTTTCTTTCATTCCAAGAAATGTCTTCGGAGGCGCCAGTCGCTTCACAGGCTGCCCCCGATCCGGCACCTGGTACGCCCGCTCAACCTGTCGATGATGCTGCTCGGAATGTTTCGGATGACGTCGACGCTGGTGCTCGTGAGAGCACAAAACCAACCAAGGAGAAAGAAGAGCAGGCTCTCGAATCCCACGAAGTCATTGAACTGCAAACGTTCAGCGAGAGGAAGGCTTGGATAGAAGAAAAGATCCAGGTAATTTTGGTTTTTCGCCATCACTTGCTGTGCATTCACGCATTTATCCAGTTTCTTGAGAAAATGCCTCCAATAGAAGTGTTTGTTGGCATTGATGCCATACGCACCTCCGCGGAGCTGATACCAGGCCTACCCACGAGAGTGGAGCTACAGGGATGGCTCGTTGAACATGATAGAATCGAGAAGGAAACCGAAATATTCGATTCTGGAGAGCTCAAAAAGCTCAGGAATTTCACGAAAGGTACGGTCACGATAAAATACTCTCGTTGGTCCTGTTCTTATCCTTCATAAGCTGCAACGCAGAGACATCTCTCACCAGAAGACACGGACCTCATTGAGCTAACTTTGACAACTATATATGAGCTGGACAAGTTATTACATCTTCTACGAGATCGTTCGGAGAATTTGGATCTCCTTGGCGTAAGGTTGACGTGGGAAGAGCACCGAATGGCAGCCTGGTCAGACTATCACAAGATATTTGGAGATATTCAAAATTTCCTGGCTAACCGTGCTCGGTGGTCTGTGTCAACATACGAATCCATTAATAATCCAGAAGCGGCTCCTGTTCGAAGAGGCTCAGTTGCTTCTGTAACATCAATGGCCTCTGACTCTTCTCTCGGTTCGACTCAGGGATTCTCCCGCAGTGCTCGATTTAAACTAGCGGAACTACTGTCGAAGGATGCAGCTCAGTTTGCCGGCAAACTATCGTCGCTCAGGCACGGAAAAATATCTGGAGCTGGCAAGGCACTGGACAAGCTAATAGACCATAGCCGAAAACCAGTTCCGGAAGAGCTACTAGATGAGCAGGATAGACTAGAGGATAAAGGTATTAATGAGATGGAAAATGTTGGCAAGTTCATACTCAATGTGGTCATGCAATGGCGAAAGTGCTGCTTGTCCTTTGGTATCATTAAGGCACAATGCTAACATACTCAACAGGGCAGATGAGATTTATGTGGAAACGGCCAAGGACCTAGCTACTGCGCAAAACTTATTGGAGGAAATCGAAACTGCGAAGCTTAACCATCCCACAGCTCGTCAGAGCTCTAGCTGCGTGTCTCGTGCAGACGCTTTGATTAAAAGGCTATCGCTTCGTGGTGATCCAGCTTCTGCAACTAGTACCTTCCCGCGTCCATTGCATCCTCTATTCCCCGACCAGGCAGCCTTTAACGACTCTCTTACTCGGGAATTATCCGCAGAAATAATCGCAGCTTCAAGTGCAGCGTCAAAAGTCGAGCGTGCAGCGAAGGAGTATCGTACAGCCTATGAAGCTGTGAAGGATGTCGAAAACCTTTCACAAAATGCAGATGATTTACTCGTCATTCTCAAATCGGTCACCACTCGCTTGGAAAATGGAGTCCCGACCGACGATGGAGACGGTTCTCCTCCAAATATGATGTCCGACGAATGCTTCCAGCCCACTCGACATTCAGCCTTTCTAACTCTATTTCCGTCGATCGTGCAAGAATTGGGTAAAGCTAACGAGAGGTTCGAGGTTGTGTCGCGGACCTATCGCGCTGCGTTGTTGAACCTCAATCGACCTGGAATCGAAGCCACCTTTAGAGAAACTGCTATTGCTCAACTCGACGGACTAGTTATCGAGCGAGATCGTGCTCAGAAAACTTGTGCTGTCGTCAATGCACGAGTTGGGCGGCTACGAGTAGTCAGGAAAGTGTGGTCTACTATGGATAATATTTTGAAGGAGCTTGAAGACGTTCAAAGGGAAACCGCCGACATGATGGACAGGCAAAGATGGAAGCAACAAGACGGACGTGATGCAGAACTTTTGACGCCAGAAACACCACCCGCTGCTCCACTTCCCTTGATATCTTCCACTCACATAGTCGAACAGCTAGAAGCGATGCGTAATACCCTTTTGCAGGATGCTCAGGCACCGCTGTCCTCTCTGGCAGGATCTTTGGAAGCCCCTTTGAATGATCGTCTTTCTCGCAGTTTAGGTGGATTGTACCAACGTATTGATGATGTGAAGCATATGGTGCGACTCCTGGAGTCTATTCGAAACCAGGCCACGAGGATGGCGAGTATCCGGGACGAAGTACATGATTTGCAAATACGCACGGATGACTTGAAAATTCGTTATGAATCCGAAATTCAAGACATACTTTCCAGCCAGTTATCTGGCGATGATCTCGTCAAGTCACAGTCAAATCTCCAAGGCGATGCCGACATCATACGGCAAGCAGTGCAGACATTTACCGACAACTTAGCACAACGAGTACCATTTGTTGCACAAGTTCAGTTTGATCGAGGTTCTCGCGCTACATATGTCAAGAGAAAATTTTCATCTGGAAACCTCTCGCTTGGTGTAATTCATACTGGTGCTTCCATCGAATTGCCCTTCACTTTGACCAGCATTGACGATGCTGCTCGTGCTGATTCGAATTCTTATTCTATGAGGCTTGCGGGGGAAATGCAAAGCCTCGATAGGAAGGCAGAACATTTTGAACTTGCTCGGATGGCCAAGGAAGTGGATGCTACACTCTCATCTACTACCAAGGACATGCGGGAATTAGCTCAGGAGCTTCGTACTTGGCGCCATACACTGTACTCAACTGTACAGCAAGTAGACATATCTGAAGCCCTACATTCACTCGCTGATAAAGTGGATAAGTCCTCACAGATGCACCGCTCAAGGTTATCGCGCTCACTATCCGTCTCTCGAGAGGTTATTCGACAGATGGACTCCATCTCATTCTCCAAAGATCAGTCTGTCCATGATACCTTGATTCTGGCCCGTCGGCGGGCCGTGGATGACGCCGTGGAAAAGCTTACTTCCTGGAGTGACGACGTTTCGACATTGAAGGACGAAATTTCCAAGGCTCAAATGGCTGAAACTAAAAGATTGGATGACCTACGAATAGCGAAGGAACGCGAGGCAGAGGGAAAGCGACTACAAGAAGAAAAGGAACGTCTTGAAGACGAAGAAAGGGAAAAGGCAGAGAGAGAGCGCATTGAAGCCGAGGTAAAAGCGAAAGCCGAGAGGGAACGTCTTGAAGCTGAACACCTAGAGGCTGAACGGGAAGCAAATGAAAAACGCCTGAAGGAAGAAAGGGAACGTCTTGAGGAGGAAGAAAGGGCAAAGATTGAGAGGGAGTGTCTTGAAGCCGAGGCAAAAGCGAAAGCTGAGAGAGAACGCTTAGAGGCTGAACGGGAAACAGAGGAAAAACGGTTACAGGAGGAAAGGGAGCGTTTGGAAGCAGAGGAAATAGCCAAAGCTGAGAGGGAGCGTTTGGAAGCCGAGCAACAAGCGAAAGCTGAGAGGGAACGCTTAGAGGCAGAACGAGAAGCAGAGGAAAGGCGGTTACAGGAGGAAAGGGCGCGCTTCAAAGCAGAGGAAACAGCCAAGGCTGAGAGGGAGCGTCTGGAAGCCGAACAACAAGCGAGAGCTGAGAGGGAACGCTTAGAGGCAGAACGGGAAGCAGAGGAAGAGAGGTTACAACAGGATAAGGCCGAGCTGGAACGCCTGGAGGCTGAGCGGGTGGCTGAGATAAAGCGATTACGAGAGGAAAAACAGAAGACTGAAATAGCAGAGCTGGAATTGCAAACGTTACAACAACAGAAGGGCGCTAAAACCTCCACCTCTGACAACTTTTCGCGTGATGTAGAAACTAACTCACCAGTGGTAGATGAAGGTCAGTTTTGTGCAGCTGTTCTCCATCGTAAACTAATGTTCAGAATTAGATGTTTTTGGATTGAAACTTACTCCTTCGCCGACAAAACCTAATTCAATTCAAGGAGAAAATGGTTTATTGGCCCGCCTGGTCTCATTACGAAAACGCTTACGTTCCATCAGTATTAATGAAGTTGCCAGGCCGTCAGCAAACTCGCCTTTAGCCACACATCTTCCTAACCAGGAACGCTACTCGAAGATGGATGCTGAGTTTTCCTTTGTCATGACTGAAGCAACAAGTTTACCCATTTCGATAACGGACTTGGCCAGTGACTTGGAACTACGCTCATTGAAAGCAGAAATCGAGGCGTCAACTGAGCTGATGCAGCAAATTCGTTTTCTAGTCGACGTGGCGGATGCTGTACACCTCTGCGATATGGCTCTCAGTGACCTTTTGGAACATATCGATAGTTACCCTTCTCTACCGATTGGGCGATTGTCGAGCTCACATGTATCACCAGCTCGCTTACCCCCAGAAGAGCAGCTTGCTTCTCGGTTAGCATTCACCAAAAGGATGATTGATAACGTAGCTACCAAGCTCCCCGCCGTTAAATACGATCCTCGCGCTTTATCGGAACACCAGCGAGTTGTGCAGACCTGGAGCGAATTGGAAGAAATGAGTAATGATCGCCTCAGTGGTACAAAGTCTCGTCCAGGGAGCGTTGTCAGCTCTGGTCGAAACAGCAGCGCCTCGATGGCCAGTAACAACCTCTCCAGTCAAAACGGTCACAAAAGGAAACAAAGTTACTTAAATCTATCAGCGAGGGGCGCCACTCGAGGAAGATTTTTGACTCCCAACCATCCCAGTTCACGGCGTGCTGCCTCTGGCTCTTCCGACAGTAGGCCAACCAGCAAATTATCTATGTTGTCATCAGCATCGAGCCGTTCAGTATCAGGTCCCATAGCTTCTCCATCTTCTACTCTGTATAGCTCCACTTTTGCATCTAGACAGCGTACGGCTAGTTTAACATCGCCAGCCCCTTCTGTTATAAGTTCAACGAAGCGCACTTTACCTTTCACAAGCCGTCCCCGTGCACAGACTCGTACTCGGGGCTCTTCTCCAACACCATCAGAAGCTTCATCACATTCTCGTTCCGTCGTTGGACAGGCTCGATCGTCAACTTCTATGTCGACCTGGGCTCGTGCACCCAGGCAATCTTTCCCGACAGCTCCAAAAGTGTCGGTCACACCTCCAAAGAAAACACACACCGCTGCTAAGAGGGCATACATCGCAAATCCTAAGAACAAACTAGATATGGCAGTGGGTGATGTCGTGAATAAGTTGCCCGTCAATATCAATGTTGAGGTAGTAGCAGAAACGTGGAAAGACCAGAGTGGGAAATACTGGATAGGGGATCAAGAACCCAAGTTATGTTTCTGCAGAATTCTACGTTCGCAGACTGTTATGGTACGTGTTGGTGGTGGATGGCAGGAATTATCAAAGTGAGTTTATTGATCAATTGTATTGAGCCTCTATTAATATCTTCGCTTTAGATTCATCAAGGATCACTTTGCAGATTTATTCCGAATAATGCCTCCAGAATCTCCATCTCGCTTTGGGTCCCCCCGTTTTGGATCCAAAGAAGAAAGATGGATCAGCTCTGCCACTTTACTGGAGGCACCCGAAATTATGACGACCCCGCCTCCACGCACCCCTGAACCTAGGGGACCGTTTGTCCCATCCTTCGCGATATCAACTCCAGGCGGCCACAGTCCCCACTCGATGAAGTCAACCCCATCATCCGGGTCGCCACTAGCTCCTTTGCAGTTCATGAGACGCGCAGATATAGAATGCCCGGCTTTTCGTCCCGTTACGCCATCAAAGACACCCACCCATCGTCCCCGACAAAGCGTCCCCAGTACCCCTGCTCGACACTCAGTTTGGAGGCCTTAACTGTGATGCTCTTTACTTTGTGGACATTATCTTTTTACCTACTAATTATAGCATTCGTGTGCCATGTGAGTACATTGAGTTTATTCTGTTAATGTTTACCTTGTTTTATGCTTGTCCTGTCGTGTACCTGTTTTTGTTTGTAGATGTGCTGTCAACAATTTTCATAAGGACTGTAACGCATTCATTTCCAATTACAATGGATTATATTTTAAATTGTTTTGACCTGACCGACAAGTTGCATCACTGCGAAGCTCGAGGCAACATGAATTACATTGAAAAGGTGAAAAGGGCCGTGGTGTACCTTCGTCAGAGTACTCATAATAATAAAGTAAAAAAAGTATTCGTATTACAGTTATAAAGTGTGCAGGCTAGGGCCAGTAATATAAGTGCTACAAAGATTGATACCAATGTCTGTTCTTACAGACAAACCAAAACACGTGCTGCTCCTCGCCATCATCAAGAGCAACAAGCTCATCGGATCTATACGAGTGTTTCGATGGTTGCAAGTTTGGATCACTGCGCCGCTCAATAGCACCATCCCGCATTAGATGGTAAAGTACTTCAAGGACCTCTTGCCTATCGTAAACTGCTCGTAGTCGCCAACGGAGATCAGTCTGTCAATATTTTTACCGCTCAGAAATCAACGATATTGCTACCAAATTTGACACCTACCTGAGAAATACCGGGTCGGAAAACAATGATACCTATCACCGCTCGGAGAGCTGCTTTCCAATCATCGCCATTTTGATGCCCATGGACGTCCAGCCAACGGCGAGGGAGTACCAATGTTCTCGGATCATCGGATGTGACGACTGCCCAAGACCCCACAAATTCACTCGCCGAAAGAACCGGACGCGAATATCCGGTCCAAAATATGAGTGGAGGCGAAGCATTTGTCAAGTAATCAATATGTGCTGTGACTAGATCACTCGGTGCATCCAGCTCGGACTGCACCGAAGAGGATAGAGGTGAACTACAAATTCAACTCGATACACATAAAACATACCTGGAGTTGATCTCTGGTTACTCCTTGTGCTCCAGCATCAAGCACCACGCCCCGAGTACGTCGTATTATATGAACGTCGTCCGCGTCAAATCGAGATAATGTCACGGCAAGACTATCCTCAAGACAAGCTGCACAATCTACGAAGCCTTGAGATGTCTTTCTCTTACAAACCGCAACAAGTCCTTGGTAAGATTCTCCGTGGTGAGACCCCCCGTGTTCACCGTCCAGATCACCTTCAAGGTCGATGTGCAGTATATCAGGAGAAGATGTTACGCTGGAGAGAGGATCATCAGTGCTTTGAGGGTGGAAGTGGATATATATCCCAGTCTCCACGTCGTCATCATCTGTAACAATACTTTCAGAAAAGATTATAGACACTAGTAACCATACGTACCGGCTTTCTTGCTATTCCATTCCAGTCTTAGGCGAGCAGCCCGAGCCTGCTTCAAATCCATTTTAAACTCAACCTATTTGTATGCCGATGGAATGCGAAATTTTGAACTCCCATTTATAGAGAAAGCGAGGAAAATATTACCTTATCTTCTGAAGTGAGCTGTACTAAAGATGCAATGTCACCGTCGGCAGCAAGAAGTGGCCATTCATCCCACTCTTCCAGCCGAGTAGCCAAGACCTCTTCCAAGGAGGATGCATCATGAAATATGTCTCGTGTTATAGGCCCTCCAATAGCGTTTTGATTTCTGATACAATCAAAAGTTTACGGGTGTAGGACAGTCAACGGAAAATTTACTCACATATCTGATATTTTTAATGTCCTTCCTGGTTTTGGCTTATTGATGTCTCGTACGGTCTTTGATAACACCCCTCGGCCAAGAAGATTTGGAATTGCTAGAGACACAGCTTGATCGCCCGCGTTGTGCAAAAGTCGAGCGCCCGCATCTATGTCATAGCTCTCGGTGGAGGTTCCAAATACCATCTAAATTGAAGACTTCAGTCGACTCATTCAATATTTTCGGTTGTTTTACCTTGAGCGCTGCTTCTGCAACCTGGACCGAGTCGTCTCCAGGATTCACGATATAAGGTGACTCGTCAGGAAGCATTGTAAATGCTTGACGTAGAAAATACTTTTCGCGGCCCTCCTCGACATTGACGTTCCACAAGAATTCCCATGAAGGATTAAATGGAGCGTTCTCGATAACTTCATGGTCTCTTATAAGCAGGTTAACAGATGCAGGGAGTACCTGGTTTGTCTCCTGTTGCACAAAACCGACTCTCCTTATATGAAGAAATTCATGAGCCGATCCAAGAGTGCGGCGAGACACTCACAGAGCGTTCTTGTCTACATGCTTCCGTAGAAATTCGATGTGTTTAATGATGTCAAAATTAGAAGGACTTCGCGGATCTTCATCGGGTAACAAGCTTGTCCCTCTATGCTGTAACCAAAGCTCGTTCCATTTGTCTTCAAGGCGCTTTAGGTATGCATCATCTCCTGCATTTTCCCTCATATGTACAAGTCTTTGTCGAACGGAGTTTCGAGGAACCGCAGGAAAAACCTGCTCGAGAGCAGCCCAATCCAGCCTGATGCCATTTCGACAGCGCGCTTTTATGACTGCAGATGCATCACGAGCGAGTTCATCGTAATCTCGGTTCCAGATGAATCTGTGACGTCTTTGAACCGTCTTATCTTCCGTATCTCCTGTGACAACGTTCAATACTTATTACAAGACATCAAGTTGTTAACTAGGCTGCCAACCATGCTGCATATTATTGTGTGCTTTTATTTTTCCTTTGCGTTTCTTGATACTCGAAAGCGGTGGACCTTGTTGAGAAATCAAAAACTCAATTGATTTTTCAGGTGGATTCGACACCAGTGGAGGCGGAAGAATGTCCTGAGGACGGATGAGCCTAGATGTTTGCATTGGTAGCGTTAGAACTTTTCTTGACACTATCTTGGCTTCTTTCAGCGCTGCCTCAACTTCCGCCTCCCACTTTTGCAGGTCTGTTGTTCCGCACTGTAAAAACTGAGCACGAAGACGACGCATACGTATACCTATAGAACCCTTGAGAGGTTCGGGATGTAGTCTTTGTATTAATGTTTCCCAGTCACGCTCCCGCTGCAATTTTGCCTCCTCAGCCTTTTTCTGCAGCAAAGCTTTAGCCTCTATATTTTGTTTGGCATGTTCTTCCGCAAGTTGGCGCTTCGATTTACGTTTGATTCTCTCAAGTTCGTGGGCTTCTTTGTCTCGAGTTTTAGAAATATAGTCTTGAACTGCATGACAAGGTGCACTGATAACGCGACATATATGTTGTAGCTGAGATCCTCCGCTGGCCTCATCAGTAACTGTTTGGCCTGTAGTCTTGTCCATAAATGTCGTAATATATTGCTTTTGATGCCAGGTGAGGACATAATTAGAATTCCAAGAGACGTGCCGACGCAAGGACCTTGATAAGCTCGCATTCGCATTCATGGGGCCTGTGTGACCTGACGTAGGGCAGACTATGGCTTGTGCATGTTCGCGATTCATGCAAACATCGTAAAGTTCTTGCCAGTAAGCAACACCATCCATTTGGGAAACTGTAGAGACCGCCTTCCAGAACGGAGGGAATGTTTCAGATAAGGCCCAAAGGTGGATAGGTGCTGACGTATTAAACTTCCAATACACTGGCGCCGACATTGAAGAACTGATATTCCATTCTTCGCTAGATGCAATATCAAATGCAGTAGGATGGTCGCCTTTTGGTCCACACGTAAACTGAGGATGATTTGTTTCCGAAGCTTGCAAGGGAGTTGCCAGACCTAAAGAGCTCAGGATATCCAAAAGATCTAGAATGCGGGACCGTGATCTGGAACGCCCAACCTGTAGCGAGGTATGGAGATGACTGGGCAAGTCCTTTACAAGTGTGTGACGGCCAGCGTCTGACTCCAATAATTGCTTGAGTTCCACATCATGATCAAGTACTGAGACAAGAGAGCAGTAAACGGAGACAGAGAGATCTTGACAGTAGTGCGACAAATGCAGGATTCGATGTTCGCGAGATATCAGTTGTGGAGACTGAACAACACTATCGAAAAGTGTGAGGGTAAGGAGATGTAGCTCTCGAACCCTCATAGCTTTTCCAACTATAAAGCCGTATAGCTGGGCTAGCGTCGTTCTTTCAGTAAGAAGGACATCTCGGATAGTATCATCATCATATGAAAAGAGCTGTTCAGCCCTCGTGACGTTCATGCTCCAACGCTCCTTACCGCCTTCTGTGGGCTCTTCCATCTGCAAAAGCTGCAAGGGCAATGCGGATCGCTGCGTCGAGGAACGACTGGAACCATAGTCTATGGGCTCTTCGATCTTCTTTGCTACTGGTAGATGAACAACTGGAGCACTGCGACTGAGAGTATGTAGGAACTCAGATATATTGCCTTGTGGGGTGTCCGGAAGATAAACCAAACAGGCTGGTCGATTAACGCCGCTTTGAGTGATGATAAATGTCTTGAGAAGCTTGACACGTCCACGGCTTTCCAAGTTACTCAATGCCATTTCAGCGGTACGCTTGTCCAATCTGGTGCCCACTGGAGCACTAGTCGGTTCAGCAGCCTGGCACATGGCCTCGATGAGAGCCATATGAGCCTCAAAGAACTCTTTTGTGTGCAGATTGGCGATCCCCCCGAGGTTATGTATAACGCGAAGAAGTTCATTTTCGCGGCGAAGATGGGATACATTAAGCTTGGCACGAGTCGCTTTGTCGTTTTGGTTTCCCTGAGATTTTTTTGCTCGTTTCGTTTGATGCTGACCTTCGGGTGGTTCGTCATTTTTTCGTTTATCGATAGAACTTCCGGGTATCGACATAACAGATGGTACAGTGACAGTTGGGGAGGGGGGTAGTGTATCGCCCTACCAAAACGATTTAGAACCTTTCGTCTACACACAGAATTGTACTCACGTTCGCTTCAATATTTTGAGCTGTTTCCACACAGAGAGAGCCTGGGCCAGGCTCGGTTTGATGTGCTTCTGCCTGTTGATCGACTGTCCGATTCGAATCTAACGTATTTTTGGACAAAGAGTGCGGAGGAGACACAAATGAGACAACTTGAAATGTGGATATGTCTTCTCCTCCTCCTTGGGATACATCCTTAGGCAGGTCTCCTATAGCGACAGAACGTGATGGCGCCATGCTGGATTCCTTCTGTGGGGACAGAATGGCATCATCATAAGCGTTTACCCCCAAAGTTTGAGCTTCTGCGTTTTCTTCGCTCTCTCCGAGGACACCTTCTGGTACCTGTGCAACAGACATTGAACCATCACCTTCCTCAATCGATATGATTGCACCATGTGAAGAAGGTTCTGTCAGTGGCCTACTAACTAGAAGGTCCGACGTCTCCTGGTTCACAGTACCGCCAATCTCAATTTCTATAGGAACAGGGCCATCAGTGACTTTTGGTTTCTTCTTAGGCGGACGACCACGTTTCTTAGGCGTTGGTTCTTGAGAGGCTTCGGCTGGGAGCTTTTTTGGCCTGCCTCGCTTTTGTGGGACGGCGGGTGTCGATGTTTGTGTAACTGCACCACCGGCCGCGCCATCCTGTGCCGCCACTTCACCAGTCATACTATCCATCCGGGGTTTCTTGCGTGGGCGCCCTCTCTTGGCCTTTGGAATGGGTTCGTCTGCACCTTCTGGATCGTCATCATGCATCTTGCGCTTTTTAGTCTGAGATGACGATTTTCCTTCTTCTTTGGATTTGTCTTGATCCTTGTAGAAGTCTTGATAACTCCGCAACGAAACTTCGTTGTCATAAAATAGGTTTATATCTGTGGAAGCGAAGTCGCCTGCACGTAAAAAATCTACACTTGCGTAAGTAGAGCTCGCGCCGTCGAAATTTTCGGTTATAGTAAGCGTTTTGTATGCAGCTACAGTGTAGTATCTGTGCCGTCGTTCGCGACCATGGGTTTCCATGAACCCTGCCGTGCCTAAATCGGAAAGGTGGGGTGGAGGCTGATCTCTCTCTGCGCGAGTGAGAAGGAGTTCAATCGTGCGCTTGTCGAAATGGCCTAAGCTAATGGACATCTCCTAGAAAACAATGAGGTATCGTGTATTACGAACAGAAGAATGGCGTACATTCAAAGTCAGGCCTCGGGGTCCGGCATCTTCAAGAAGGTCGGCTATTTGCCTGTGTATAGTGCGATTTGCCTTGACCTCTGTGTGGTCAGCTGTGATATGAAATCAGTATCTGAACATTACTTCGGGTGCATAACGACCTACTGAAAACGTCGTTGATCATGATATCTTTCTCGTCGTCGTCGTCCTGTGATTGAATAACCAGACTATCGTCCATTATTTGGTCTCTATCTGGGGTAACTAAGCGTATACATTTGACATTACGATCCCTCTTGCTGGTGCTAGGAACAAGAACCCTTTCGATTACGCCTTGCTGTACAAGTTCCCGAAGTCGTGTTTGGAAGAATCGACGGTCTGTCTTGGTAGGATTAGCGAAGCCCTAAAGAAATTGCCGCGTGAGTCAGGGCACATCACGGTTGAGAAAAAGTACGAACAATAGTCAAAAGAAGATTGTTAGAAGCGTGAATATAGTTTTTTGAAGCCTTCAAAAGCTTCACAATGCGGTTACGAACAAGCGCAAGACTGGACAAGTGCCGTTCATCTATTGGATCGAAATGCATGCTTGACGAAACACCCTTCTCAAGAATTGGAGCATCCGAACCACTCTGGAAAATCTCTCCCCCTTCGACAACTGGCTGTTCCCCCTCAGCTTCCTCATCGTGGATCTGTTGCCACAGTACACTACGTTCAATAAAATATTTGTGGACGCAAAAGTTCGTGCCAACACCCCCACGCCGCGCTTTTTTGCTATACCATTGTTCCTGTAAGCAGAATTTACTCTGGAGTGAAGATGGTACGCACACTAGACCAAGCTCGACAAGCTGCTTGATAAGATAGAAGCATGTCTTCTGATCGTATTTGGTCTTTTTGCCCAGATCAACAACACTAATACCATTTTCCCGTCCACGAGTGATAAACTGCAGTGCAGTATAGACCATTGGGCTGAGTTTTGGTGGCTGGGAGATTTGTCTGAATCAATTCCTACTTAATTATGAATCGGAGGAGAGCCTACTCGGATATGAGATCCAGTTATGGCGGCGAATGATGTTTGAGGGTCTACAGCAACTCTCAGGGTATCTCCATACCGTACTTTTAAATCCTCCAAGGACCTGAAATTGGCGTCTGGGATTAAATCAAGTGACGGAGGCGCTTCTTCGACATGCTCTTCTCCTTTGGCCAGGGCTTTCCGCTTCGCACTTATCTGCGGGGCCACGTACACTTCCGATACACCAGGTAGTATGGTGCCTATCCGGACTGTAGGTTGTCGCACTATAACTGACCAAATGAACGCACAAAATGCATCATCGATGACTTGTGGATGAGAGGTATCCGTGCTATAAAACCCGATGACGAAATCTCGTAGTCGAGAGACATCACAGCCTGAAAACAGAGTGATATTTAGTACTCCTGAGCATACTAAGATATACCAGAGAGCGGAAGAAATATACACTGGATAAATGGCACAGCGGGGATTCGAACCTTCTGCTAAGGTGTCGCCGCTCAGAACAAGGGGTGTGCTGTGCTTTACCAACTCTCTCCATCGTCTTTTTACGCGATGAAAACAACGAAAGGAGTAACTCACCTAGATCGCCATCGAAAGATACCTCTCGCAGACAATGATGGATGAGTTCGTCCATTTTGATAGCGGTACACGAAACGTTATCCAATTATGCTTTTCACCACACCACGAGATATAATTTTCAGCAAACCTCAAAAGAGTTCAAGGTGGGAACCGTGATTGCTGGTGTCGATAACTTGCTCGCGCCGTCCTTGTCGTCGTCTGCACGCAACCCGAGGACGAAAGGTGTGACAGATGTGACGTCACGTTTTCTGCAAACATTTCAAGTTGGAACTTGGCACCATGACTTTACTCGTCTGTTGTTCAGACTAAAGCTTGAACCAATAGTAGCTTGTAATGGCGGTGGAGCCAGCCTGTTTGGATATGGTACGTCATTATTCTTGTGCCCTACAGCATAATTTCTGACAGTGACTCTCTGCTATTGCTATTGGGGTCAATAGAACTGCTGAAAGGCCTTTTTGCATATTCACTCTATTGATGTTGGCAATTATCGCTATCTGTGGTATCGCATTCAAGTTAGGTCAAAGTCAGAATGGAATGGATGCACATTTATAGTAATGTAAAATCTGTCGAGAACGATTCTGCAGTTATTACATTACACCATTGGCTGTGATCGTGATCGTAGGTGAGCTGGTCTCCGCACGATTCTGGTACAGGTTCCACTATGGTCCGCTCAAAAGAGGGCCGGAGACAAGGCAAATAACTCAACAAAGCCCTGTTGTGCGAGGCTTCTCAATCTACCCTGGTCGTATTCGTCTTCACACATAGAGCGCATATATACTTCGGACTGTCGATTAGATGTTAAATGGGTGGCCTCATCTTAGGAATAAAGCTGAACACGCCAGACATTTATCGATGAATGACAGTAACAGTACGGCTAACTTCAAGGTCTGAGAACAACGTTCTACTCGTGGCGCTGAATAAAGATGGCATGGGCAGTATCCGGTATATCATGAATTAGGAGACCAATCCTGAGTAAGAGATTGAGAAAGGTCAGTGATTTCAACTTGTTACTTCCACGAGAAAAGACTGAAGAAAATGCAGAAAGCATTGGAAATACTAGATTTGGACACGTTTGTTTGGTTCAGAGGCTGTTGCCATAGTCTTGTCCGAACTAAGGGTGGCGTGCAGGAACCCCCATTCGCTACCAATAAAGCTTGATCCGAGTGATTGAACAGTCGGCTTGAGACGGCACATTGACACTTTGACGGCTGGAACGGCCAGAGTCGGCATGAGAAAGAGGATAGGGACTTGGAGGAAAAATAATATCATTGCAATGTGCATCACAGACAACGCTACATCCCTAATAACTCTGTACTTACATGCCTCACACTCCCAATGTCAATGATCAAACTACACAGCCTCCAATTGATTGGCTATCCCTTGAAGGCCGCATCATCCGAGGAATTATGGAGGCTTGCATGCCTCAATGGCGAAATGGCCCTCGTTCATTCCAGGTTCAGAGCTGGGTGAATTCGTTAGCAGGCATATCACAACTGTTGATAATGCCTACCGGTGGGGGAAAACAGCAGTCTTCTATGGCCTGATGATGATCTTGTGTGAGCTGCTGAAGCATCCGGTTCCAGGCATGGGCTTGGTTCCAAAGTGACCAGTGATGTTGTTGGTAACACCCTTGACAGTGTTGGGTAATACACAGGTGAGTATTCACAGCATTGTCTAAAGAAAGCGAAAAAAAAGACTTACATACCTTTAATGTGAGGCTGCTGAAATATGCTCCCTGGACATTAATACTGTTGCAGTCAATAGTGACAGTGTTCATGCAGCACGTGAACAAGGTCGTAACCTGTTGGATGAAATCCGTTGCTGTTTATGGTCAATATCTATTTGGAGTCCGGAAAAATTAGATGCAGATGAATCAGATATAGTGATTAGGGATCCTACCTTTCGTGAAAACCTGGTTCTTCTGGGCGTTGATGAAGCACATTTTGTGACTGCATGGGGGGAAGAATTCCGAAAGGCTTACAACCAGATTGGGAGAATACGAAGAAGATTACCAGACCACATACCCTTGGTAGCCGTTACTGCAACACTTGCTCCAGGACAACCCCAAAAGCGGCTGTGCAGCACTCTTGGATTAAATAATGGCTTGTACTACTTCGATGGCAATCCTGTGAGCGCTCCAACATACATGTGGTAATCAAAGAACTTATCCATAGTTTGACCGGTTATCAATTCCCCGTGATTCTGTGGGCCTTGAATGAGGGCTCAAAAGTCATCATATACTGCAAGACCATTGATCAGGCCTTTCGGGTAGCGCTCTACCTGTGGAACTCATTACCAGTTGGGACACAGTGCTTGGAAAACATTCAGGTGTGGTATTCACTTACTTCAACATCATACAATACCAAAACACTGGATTTATTCACCAACAAGCCAAATACATGTGTTGTGGTTGCAACTGTTGCATTTGGGCTGGGAATTAATCAAAAGAATGTTACTGCTGTTGCCAATCTGGGCTTACCAGAAAGCCTTGACAGCTTAGTACAGCAAAAGGGCAGAGCAGGTCAAAATGAAGACATTGAAGCTGTGTGCGTAACATATGTGGAAGTGTCAGTTGTGACAAAGATTAAGGCCAACCTGTCAACTCTCACCGCGCAGCCTAAGGACCGGGATACAAACAATCCAGAATCATGTGGAAAAAAGAAACAGGGAAAGCCAAGAAAAGGCGGCTCAAAAATACCTAATAGGTCAGCGACAACAGCGAATAAAGCAGCTCCTGGAAAACACACCTTAGGAGTTTCAAAAGAGCCAGCACTAGGAGGCGTTGAGCCTAACTTGGTTAGGTTTCTCACTGCTCACATAACAGGTGCCTGCCTGCAAGCAACACTTAACACCATCTACGACAACCCTGGTCCTTACTCTCTTATGGACTGTGTCTCTGCCAAACGTCTGCATTGCTCATCATGCAATCATCAGCCACACCCACAACTGACTGCCAGCAAACACGTTGATCCCACAATCACATCATCAGATCCGATAGCAGCATCAGTTGAATCAAACCCAATCACAAATGCAATGAGGCCTCAAATGATCAAAGACCATATTGACCACGCCAATAACGCACTTCAACGGTTTGCCCGTCATTGTTGGTACAAAAAAAAAGGCCCACACTTTGATATCATTCCCCACTCTGCTTATTGGGATGGAGATATTCTTTCACGGCTCTTGGGCCAATTCTTGCTCATTTGTTCCTACAATATACTCACACTGTTACTTGCTGATTGGGAGTATCTTGAAGAAGACGGGCCAGAGCTTTATGAGCTAATTTCCTCCCTTAACCAGCGGTATGACAAGAGGACATCTACTGCAAAAGTGATAAGGAATAAGAAAGCAGCTGAAACTCGTGCACGGAATCAGAAAAACAAAGGTTTGTGCTTCTGTGGCACACTGCACCACCTCTTAGTCTAGACTAATTACTATAACAGATCTTTCTACCAAGCCATCTACGTCAAAAAACAAGGAGAATGTGGATGTCACGACACCACCAACATTACGCTCATCCCACCAAATATTCAACCAACCCTCATATCCCAACTCTCCCCCTCTACCGGAATTTATAACTGATTTTCCACTGCCTTTCCTTTTTGTACCTAGCCAAGCAAATTTGCCTGGTATACGTCCTCTACCACAATATTCTCATGCCTGTTCTTTCAAGCGAATATCTGAAGACCAATTGGCATCTGGCTCTCAGGTCAAACACCAGCGTCTGACTTGAAAATCTGAAAATCTTGGTTTTCTGCGTATTTGTGTTCACTACATCAATTTTTAGCCTTATTACATTAATAGGCATTTGGATACCTTCAGATTCACGGTGGCCCAATGTCTTCTATTTACATGTTGTCTGGAGATTTGGTAGGTAATGTAGAGGCATTGTGTATTTACAGAATAGCCTCATCGCCGGCACCCCCACCAGAGCACCTGCAAGATTTCATATACTATGCTTACACCTTCTATAGCAGAGGAGTCGGCCCTCTGGTCATTCAAAGCAGGTTGCACTAACTTGCGCCCTCTCTAGATAAACCGGCCTCTCTGGGACCTCAAGATGACCCCGCTGCGGTACAAACTTGTCAAGTTGGCTATCAGTGGGGTTGTTCCACGCATCGTCTGCTGCAGTGCCATCTGGCAGTGAGGCAGGTAGCGCAGCTCCACCATGTAAGCCAGCAATATCTCAGTGTGCTGTACTCCGTGCAATAAAACCATCTAACTTCCCACTACGTAGAATATCATGTCCTCTTCTAAAATCATCATGTGCGACAAAACCAGGATCACGCCCAGGACATCTTTTTGTCACCTGTTCCAACCTGAGGCGGTCCATGAGTGTGCGAAGCTCATTGTCTAGGTGAGGCGCTCCATGCTTTTTGGTCCTAGCATGCAGTGACACTGCCTCTTCCATCTCTTCTTTCAGACGCAAAAAAGCGAGGACATGCATTGAAACGACCCAATGGTAATAAGGATCTTCAAATGGCCAGCCTTTTTGTGCAACCATCTCTTCCAGCCAGAAGTTTGAATGCTCCCCCCACTACTTATAGTCGGAGGTGCTACTCGCTACAGTATAATGACTCCTAGGAGTACAATTGTGCTCATAGGAGAACAATGGTTACTCCATGGAGTGGTGGCTATGCTCCATGGAGAACAATGGCTGCTTTGGCAGAGACCGGGTTTATCCGGTTTTGTCATGTTTTAACTCTGGACTGAACTCCCACTTGAAGTTACAGAAATCAACTTTTTTGAGGTCACTTGGAGGTGGGCATGCGGCAAGCCTTGCCAGGCAATTTAGGCCTGAAGGATCATTTGGGAAATCTGTTGCCCAGTGTGCTCGAAAAACTCGGCTCAAGTCAGTCCATTTGGTGTGCCACAACTCCAACAGTGGTACAACACACCGCATTGACTCGAAGTCACCTGGCAGCATCACCAAATATTTTTTCAGCCGGCCCAATTGGTCGAACATTTTTCCATCTCCACTAAACAAGATGACCCGTTTGTTAAGTGTCTCTTCATTGATATTCATTTGCACATTCAAGAAATCATTCATAGCATCTTGCATGCCGCTCATATGCATCTTGTCAGCACTATTTGTAGCCAGGGGAATGACATTAGACCGTCTGGTAGTATCTATCTGGTGTTTTGTAATGGTCTGGTAGATTTCTTGCATCTGTGGCTGATATACCGACAGGGCAGGTACAAAGTCCATGAGAGCTTGAAGAAAGTGCACTGTTTGCACTTTACGGAGGTGAGCTCCATCAATATCGTTTAAGATCCCATCCACGCTGATTTTCGTTTGGTCTAGTTGCTGTTGGCACTGAATTAGCGTATCCAAATCAAATGCTTTGGGATCAACATTCTCCAGCTCAATGGCCGCACCAGCAAATCCCTTGATCATTTGGTTCTCGCGGCCTATTCGGGGGTCACACTTTCTCGCGAATGTCTGGACATTGTCTCCCACAATATGGAAAAAGCGGCCAAATCCTGGCTGTGTAGCCTGACAGAGTTCAGCTAGTTTTGAATGGGCCATTGTGGTAAGTGCCGCATATACAGTGTCATAGACTACTGAACGTCCTAGGCGACTGTCAACGCGAAAAAGTGACCGGTGGGCCTGTGTTGCAAAAAGATACAAGCCTCGGGACATAGGCACAAGGCTGGCATATTTAGAACGATTAAAGGTAAGTGCCATGATTGCGTCAAGTACGACCTGACCTTGATATGTTAATTACCGCATACAACAAATAGAAACAACCTACAATATTTTGAGGCCGCTTTTGGCATATAACCACCTGCTTTGCATGTTGGAAGTCGGGATTGGAGTATGAGGAGAGAATATGCCAGAAGATGGGTGCATTGTTCTCTGTGAGGTTCTGGAGATCAATGTAACTGAAGTGGTTAACTATTTCCCAGGAGATAGGTGGAGCTTGGATGTGTTGGGGGTTCTCAGGTCCTGCCCGAGCACGAACCTGTAGGCCTGTGTCACGGGCTATCATTCTATTGGACTCAGCCCGCACTAGCTTCACCACATGTACCACAGCCCATGCGGTAAGTGCAGGCTTTGCGTGTCTGATATTGTCAATGCTCATGGCCTGCATGTGCATTTCATCAGCCTTCGGGTCAAGGTCAGCACAATAGGAGGTGGATTTGACATTCAGGTAGATGAGGTCAAGGATGCTTGCTATGGATGATGTCGAGGATCCATTCAAGAAAGAAGTAACCATCTGTGAGTGTCTTTGGGACCGCTGTATCTGTTTTCCATGCTCATCCTCAAGCCGAAACAGATGGTGAAAAAAAAATCCCAGGGACCAATTTACTTGCCTGATCGCCTGAAGTACACTTCGAGTTTTTCATTGGTTGTTCGAGCTGGTTGGCGAGAGGTTTGGTGGTGCATTGTATTCTCCATTTTGTCGTAGAGTAGTTGTGTGCAGCACAGTGTGTGGATGCCTTACTACAGATTATCTGTCCTTTTTGAATGTACTCAGTGGTCTGTTCCTGCTAATCTGATCAACATGAGGCTAAGATGAATGATAAGGTAAACATGGGGCCTTGCATGAGGCTGATCCATACGATGGTTGACGTGCTGACTCGCTGAGTATCACTGAGTTCTGAGTTGCTGAGTTTCTGTTGAGTTTCTGCTGAGTTCGGGTTTTGGCGAAAAAGTTTCAGCAATTCGTGTTATTGACACCGAATGGGGGGCTCCTGCATATGGTGGTCGTTTGGTTATGGTTCGATGCCGGACACCTTTTCGAGACTCGGCTGCTTCTTTTTTGAAGGCCGATAAACTCTAATCTATCATCTTGTAAATAATGCATCGAGTTGAATTTCAGATGAATATCTGTGACAGTGATCAGTGTTTGCCTAGTTAGATAGACAGCGGTGTCGCATAGCCTTGGTCCCACAGCCACAGACAAGAAAAATCATATGCAAACACACATACATGCTCTCATGATATACAAGTACACTAATACACCGTGCGTATGACGCTTAGGGAAAGATCTCAACCTGGCCGTCACCAATGGTCTTCACCGTGCATCATCAAACAAGGGGCCTCAGCGGAAGCCGCACGGCTGATACCTGTGACGATAGGAGAAGTGCTCGCCCTAGAAATAAAGTATCAGAATAGTCCAGAAGGGAGAGGATGTATACATACCAGCCAGCGAAGATTCCAATATGCTGGGCCCTTGTAATCAGGTAAAACAGCCCTTGAATACCGACCTCTGGGACCTAGAAGGTAAAGCCATGGTAAGTTAGTGTGCGTACAGCCATCGTGCCAGCTGTGTTGAGGGCGGGCTGGGTGGGTGAGGTCGGCGTGGCCACCTGGGTGGAAGAGGTCGGTAGTGCAGGGCCAGCTGGCACTAGATGAGCGGCTGTGCCTGCTCCCGCGACCACAGGGCTTGCAAGGGCGGCAGGAAGAGAGGTGTTGGCGGCAATGGGTACTACGGCTGATATGTAGGAAGGTGGAGCAGACGCAACTGGGTGCAGTGCAGGCAGGTTGAGAGCAGGGGAGAGTGTCAAGTCCATGGGAGTAGCAGGGCAACTGCTGACGGGGGAGTGGGGGCGAGTGCAATGGATGATAGTGGACATGAGGATATCCGCATCGTCGTTAGTAAGACGCATGTTGGCCAAAATGGAGAGAATAAGATCTGTGGACAGTTATCACTTACCCCACGAGTGGGCACCTTCCCTGAGGTAGAAGGACTGGCTTGGGAGAATGGTGGTAGATGAGTCATGGTAAGACGAGCGGATAAAGACTGTAGATGAAAAAAATGTAGCTTTCATATGCTCCCTTTGGGCCCGAGCTGACCTGGACCACAGCCTGACATCCAGGACGTGCGAGGAGAGTTGCGAGACGAACATTCAAAGGCCCATGAGTTGCCTTAGGAGAACCAAAGGAGGAATGTAGTGTGTTGTAGGAAACGAAAGCGCCAGCCAAAAAAAAAACAAGGTGAGAAGGAGCCCAATTAGGAAAAATCAAATCACCTGACCATTGCGCGTGCGTGGTTATCTGAACATACAGTATTGTCAAAATGGCTATCAGGCCATTGTCGCGTCTGCTGACCCCACTGGAGGTACCGGAGGTGAGATAAGTGAATCCTCGCCTGCAACTCTAATACATTATACAGCCCTCATGACCGACATCTCGAGGAGAACTTCGTGAGGTTATCCGCAAGTATCCAGGCCTGGAACACAGACACGAGAACTAAAGAAGGCTAAAGAAGGCCCGAGGCATACACGTGGAAGGTGCGGTCAATGGTAGTCACCTTCGGAGTATTATGAAGGGTGAAAGATCTGCAAGAGATAAGGAGGAAATGTTCGTGCACTATATTTGCCCTCATTGCAAACTATCTTCATGTACAGTAGAACAGTAATGACCATTGATTTGATGTACGACAAGGCTATATACACAAAAATAAGCAGCACGACTTTGGGTTTGATCAAGCACTACCACTACCACTCTCAGAGGAAGTCCAGATGAACTCAAACTCCGATTCATCATCATCCGACGAAAGAACCACCTCTTCCTCCCTATCTTTGTCCCCCTGTGAACCGTTTGTCTGCATATGGCGGTATTGTGGCATGTCTACAACAGGCATGAAGTCCGAGCCAAGGAATCCTTCCTCTGGAAGTGCGGGTTGACCAGCAATTATGCTCTGCAGGTCGCCATTGTCCAAGAGAGTGCTAAGGTGCTCAAGGAGGTTGTTATAAATCTCCCACACATTGTTGTTTGTCACAGTAGGATCGCCAATGCTACTCATGAATTCCTCTGCATATATAGCAAACTCGGGTGGAACAAGGTTGAAGACGCCGTGGTCAGGAGGTGCATATGTTTCTTGTACCTGTTCAAGATAATTTCCTTGTATTTTTACCTACATAACAAGCATGTTAACCAAATGAGTGCACAACGAACTGAAACTACAACTCACAGCAAAGTTACAAGACTCGAAACCCTCAGGATTGGTAAAAATATTGGTTGGTCGACCATGAGGAAGGATCTTGTTGATGTTGTGTCGTGGGGTTGTGTGATTGAATCTATCAGTGAAGAGGTCGAGTTCACTTTGAAGCCAAGGGATGAATATGAAGTGAAAGCACAGACTATAAAAAAAACGAAGCATTAGAACAAGAGAAGACAATATTGAGAAAAGACAGACCGCTGTAAGGGATCATCTGGATTGTAAAAGCCTTCGTCAAGTCCAATATTGAGTAAATGTTCAAAGCCTGGTGCCCATCGTCTACGAAGTTGGCTCCAGAAGATCTCAGGCTTGATGTTACGATGAGATCCTTTGAATGTATGTTGCAAAGTCCTTGCGAGAGCTGGGTCGTGTAAGTGACGTAAAAGGGTTTGTCCATTGGCGATCCCATTATTCTCGCTACCGGGATCACTCTGCGTGAGTAGAGGCATTTCTAAGCCATAGTTAGTTAGCAACATAAATTCAGGACAAATCTGTAAGTACATACCTCCTAGTCTCTCCACCGTATCACAATACCACCCACAAATGAGACGGGGGTTCCAATTTGTCCACCAAATCTTAAGCCATAAGACCTGGCCCGAGAAAGGCTCTAGGGCGACATGCAGGAATAGCTGGAAACGTCGCCATTTGTCGTGCTGATCGAAGCACCAGACTTTGTTAACTCCCGCTGTCCAGAAGTAACTTTGTTTGAGTCGGCGGCGGCGTCATCCTTGAACTTCTGCACTGTGGTGTAAGTTCATATACTGCAAGATCAACTTGCTGTCCCCACCGCATTTAGTTGTAAGCAAGACATTAATATAAAAACTTGAAATGCAACATACCATGACACTAATAAGTGTTCTTCCTGTAGAAGAGTGTCCTTCATGTCATGGGATCCTTGGTAAGGAAAATGAGAGCGTACTCGCTCAATGGCCGGTCCAATAGAATGTACTGTGTGATCTTGCCCGCGCGCTGACTTAACTTTCCACTGCATGCGTTTCTTCTTGAGCAGTGAAAGGCTAGAAAACATAACCCAGCAAATTAGTGGTAGCACCCAGCAAATGAGCAACAGTACTCACGAAACATTGAAGTGCTCAATATTGTAGTGGTCCTTTAACTTAGCAACAATCTTGGGATTTTTGTACCCAGCCGCAACATATTTTTCAACCAGGGGTCGTATGATTGCATCATCAGCTATGCAAATGAGTGAGCACTCTTCCAAGGAAAGGACACCACTTACGAGCTCGCAATCGAATGCCATTCCGACCAGTGGGATTTGGCATAATGGGGGTCGACTAGAAAGAAATGCAGAATCAGCTGGACGATGGCAGGAGGCCACGTACTAACGGCACAAAAAACATGCAGTGACCATGTTTTTGCCACTATCTCCTCGGAATGCCAACCTGAGTAAGCCACGAGAATCCGCATTTCACTTTGTGAATATTGACATGAGCTTGTGATGCAATGATAATGAAGAGGATCAGGATCCTCACCATGTTATCAAGGCCATCGTGACTGATACTCACCACAAAGTATGGCAACTCCGAGGCAGGTGCATCTGTGTCGTCATTAGAGCGGCTTACCTCCCTGTATGTGTGCACCGAAAAAAATCTGTTATAATCGAGGATGGTCAGTCCATCTCTCAGTACTCACCATATTCCCCATGACTGACTTCACTCCCACCAACGAAAGCTCTGCTAACAAAAGCTGTGATTGCTGCCACACTGTATTTTCCAGTTCAGTTAAGTTTTATTACCTAAAGGGCCCTTGGGGAACGAGCTGTACCTGTTGTCCTGCTTGCACCCAGCACTATCAGAGAAAGTGCCGTCCTGATGAGCGAGCTGATGAAGTTGAAATTGACCTATCGGGCACAGTTGGTGAGTAATGATGTTACCGGAGACAATAGAACGAATGTTTGAATTCTGACGTCAATGATCAAATATAGACTTCACAGCCACTGCGGCCCCTTTCCAACAACGTGGTCCAGATCGGAATGAGCAGCAAGTGCTTGTCCGTGCATCTTCATCCGCACAACGTGGCGGTATGTTTCTTTCCCACATTTTTTCTTTGTGTATTCGACTCACTGCACTACAGTGCAATCTCTACCTAGGCAAAGGCTAGGCCCAACTTTCCTCCCTGGTCCTCATGCTATCCCTTCCAATTCAGCTGCGGCTGGTGTCAGGCAGTCAGTATTGCGCAATACATCAGTTGGATACACCCCCAATCACTCCTTGCACTCCCAACACCGTTCCAAAATGATTGCAGCGACAACGGCACCACAATGTCACGTAACTATCACCGTAGCTCTACATCACTTAAAGGAAGAGGGGAAATCCGGAACAGAATTGGTAGGGGTGAGTGATGCATCCCAATTGCGCACTTTTTTTTTTTATGTTATCACTTGTGTACAGAACATCGAACGCGATATCAATGTACCTCTCACCATCACATGCTTCCAGCTGCGCGCCAAAGTTATCACCGTGCTTGAACGCTCATGGAACACCTGGTCAGGCAACCACATTCTCAACCTCAATAGCCTCGAAATGCATAAGGCGCCAAAGCTGCTGCTTCACGATCCTACCAATCCGGATGTTGATGGCGATCAATCAGTTCTATATGACCTCTTCTTCAGCCCTACTAATAAAGACCCCACCCCAAAATTCAACTCTAACAGGAAGGTGACGATATTGTTGCTCATGTCCTATGCGCAGTTCAAGGATATTCTCAGGTGGAAAGAAGCGATCAAGCGTGGTATTGCCCCTGACAACTTCAACAATGACATTGATGAAGATGAGGACTCTGACAGTCCTATGTCAAGGGTACGTTCTCTATTGGTCTCTTCTATCACTTTCTTGATCTTTGCCCTGACCCTTCAAGATTTTTCGCACAGTCACTATGCGCAGTAAGCGAAGTCAAAGGCAGCGGAAGTCTCGAGTTGAAGACGTTGAAGATGCAAGAACCAAGGATGAAATCAGTAAGGAACGTGTTGCAGAAGTCAAACATGTGACGCACCCTAAGAAACTGTCACGACTTGAACCAGAAGCGCTAGTCTGAGCGCTAGTTTCCTTTTTTCATTTTCTTTGATATCTAATCACATGACAGATAAGATATGTTAAGCTGCTGCTTTAGCGCGGATAACATAATACATAGTTATATCAGATCACATGACCATCACGTGACAAGAGTCTAGAACCATTACAAAGAACATCAGTCAGCGCCTCATGGCTGCTGCATGTTAGCTCAGTCAGCGCCTCATGGCTGACTTTCAGAAACATATATATAGTAGACCATCATGTACATACTTTCCTCAGTTGTTGATTAATTCTCAATCGCTATCTTGTAACGCTACTTGTTTGATTTAAGCCTCTGTCCCTCCGTTAGCTCGGTAAAGGGGATAAAGGTTTTACACAATCAACAACTGCCACAAGTACCGTTTATGAATATAACAGCAACAATCCTAACCACCATCATCGTCACCATCATCATCATCTTCCTCATCCTAAACCTACTCAAACGCTCAAACCAAACTACCACTACCCTCCCACTTCATCACCTACCCACTCACCCCGACACCATTTTATCATTTTTCCCTGCCAACGTCTCCCCCTCCTCATCCCAAGACTCGTTCGTAACCATCCCCCTGTAAATACATTTTATATCACTATAATCTCTTTGGTGTGGAACCATTGGGATTTTCTCGGTTTTACATAGTTTCTATTTCGATTTCCTCTGACCAGGCCGTGCACTTGCGTCCGCCAGTCGGGAGAAGGACTGAAAGCTTAATAAGCTGGTCACATTGGGACAACCGTTCGGACCCCAATTTATCACTATACCTTTTACATAAAATTTCGTAAAATACAAAAATAGTTACCATACATACATAGTCAGTAGTGGGCTGAAGAGGACCACTTTGACTCAAAGAGAACAGATAGACTACTAGGATCTTAGAAAGAGGTGTATCGATCCAGCTTATCACTGGTGAACTCCTTTCTATGCTTAGTAGAGATTTTTACATTTGGATCGGAGAGCAACACATTTACTCTCAAGATTACGTATTCAAAGGGCAATTCCCTTTACCAGAAATAGAACCCATCAGAAACCCATCCCCTTTAATCAAATCCGAAACTCCCCCTCCTCCCCAACTCACATTTAATGTCCAACCTAGAATATCGCGATCTGCCCGAGCCATCCAACAGCACGGACAGCGCATTTACCAGGGAAATGATAGACGCATTACCCAGAATAGACACTCCCCCCCCGAAAGAAGCGCGATTGGAAGCATACGTAAAACAAGAAGTAGAAAAGGCGATAAGACAAACACAAATGCATTACCAATCCCAGCTAGACGAGGCGCTCGAAGAAGTGAGCGTCTTGCAAAGAAAATTAAAGAAACAGATACCGCCACCTCCAGAAAAGGTGGAAAGAAGTAGAACGGCACTGGAGAAACCCGAGAACTTCTCCGGAGAAAAGAAAAAGTATAGGGCCTTTAGAGAGTCCTTATTACTACATTTCGAAGACGATGCCGTATATTTCAGAGACGACCGAAAAAAGATAAGCTTTGTGCTATCTTTTATGAAAGAAGGAGAAGCCGCGGCCTTCCGGACCGATTGGCTAGAGAACCGAGTCGACGCCCAACAGCTGGGGCTCGATATTACAAACACGTACGGAAGTTGGCCGTATTTTGCGGACAAAATGGAAGAAAGGTTCAAGGACAGTTTTGAAAAAGAAACTGCCAAGAACGAAATATTGACCCTGAGACAGGGCAATGAAACCGCCCAAGCCTTCTTTGAAAGGTTTGAGGAAAAGAAAAGATGGGTGGGATATACAAATAGGATAAACGAAGAGTTCCTAATATCTCTACTCAGAAGGAACATGAACAAGCCGCTAGTAGACAGGGTGATCTACGGCGGGCATATTCCCAGAGATTACCAAGAGTGGAAAAGGGAACTTATTAGAATAGACTATATTTGGAGAGAGAGAGAAAAAGAGAAGAAAGGTTCCGATACTGGGAAGAAACCCTATTCGGAACAAAAGAAAGAAGGAGAGAAGAAGAAAGACAGAACCGGATATACCTATACCGGTAGTGGAGAAAGAATGGAGGTGGACAAAGCAAAGTTCCGCACTGAGGGACGATGCTACCGATGCGGAGAAAAGGGACATAGGAGCTTCGAGTGCAAAGATGCACAAAAAAGGAAGCCACAATTTAATGTCCGAGAGTTCTTAGAGAAGATGACGAAAGAGGAAAGGGAAAAACTCCTTGAGGGTTTTTAAAGAGGCCAGCGGCACCGCATTGACCGACTGAGCCTAAAGACGTTTCGAATCGATTTCTTCCTTTGACTGTAGATACATGTGACTCAGAATTGTTACGCTGCAGCTTTAGCGCGGATGACAATAAAACTATTTCCACTCAGACAAAAAAAGAAATCCGAAATGAAAAAGATGCAACTAGAGTAAAAGCGGCGCAGAGTGATAAGACATCCGCAGTTTCGACGGCGGGCGAATCACTAAAAAGCGCAGCATTTACGATAGAACCTAAGATTCCTACACCCGATGCGGCGAACTCTACGGAGGAAAACGCAGCAGAGACTGTAGAAGAAAGGTCAGGAACCCCTTTAAAAAAACCTAGAACAGAAGTTTGGACCCCAGAGTGGGTAGTAGATAGGCTAAGAGACCAAAAGGAAGAAAGATCCATTGGGATTCTAAGTGCCTGGACACATAAAAAGAGAGCGAGAGAAGTAACCCGGGAAACGATAAAAGAAATCAACCGGTTACCAAAAGTAGAAGCTATACAAGCGATCATAGAAATTGCCTCCCCAAAAAAGTACATTAGGGGCACCCAAGGCAATCAAATGAACGTAAAATGTAAGCTTACTACATTAGATACTCTCCAATCAGAAACAGTCGAAGCACTATTGGACAGTGGATGCACGGGGAGTTGCATCGACTCCCAATTTGTGAAAGACAAAAGATATGAGACAAGGAAGATACCGAGACCCATTCCAGTCTATAATGCAGATGGAACTCTTAATAAAAACGGAGCCATCAATGAATTTGTAATACTGCTCATGGAAATCGACGGACACGTCGAAAAGATACATCTTGCCGTAACCAATCTGGGTAACGGAAAAATGTTTCTAGGACATGAATGGTTGAACAAACATAATCCTAAAATAGACTGGAAAGAATCGAAGTTGACCTTTGAAAGATGTCCTGAAGAATGCAGACCAAGAATCCGAATCTCTGATCCAGAGGAGGATCCGGAAATACTCTTTGAGGAACTAAGAGAAGACGAGAGGATGATACAGGTGAATCTCCATAATTTCGAAGACGCCACGATCAACGATCAATATTACCATATTAGAGCCCAAGGCACAATGGCACAGAAGCTAGCAGAAGCCACAGGCAAAGATCGAAAAGAAGGAGGATTCGAAAAGATAGTGCCAAAACACCTTCATCAATACAAAGACGTATTTGATAAAAAGGAGTTTGACACGTTACCTGAAAGAAGGCAATGGGATCACGCAATCGAACTAATACCGGGAGATCACTCCCTAGATTGCAAGATCTATCCGTTGGCAAGAGGAGAGCAAGAAGAGCTAGATGCGTTCCTGAAAGAGAATCTAGAATCGGGACGAATAAGACCATCGAAATCCCCCTTCGCATCACCATTCTTCTTCATTAAAAAGAAAGACGGGAAGTTGAGACCAGTTCAAGATTATAGGAAGCTAAATGATATCACTATCAAAAATAAAAGATATCCACTTCCGTTGATCGGGGAACTAGTAGACAAATTGAGTGGAGCAAAATACTTCACAAAATTGGATGTAAGGTGGGGATATAACAATATCCGAATGAGAGAAGGAGACGAGCATAAAGCAGCGTTTAGGACAAACCGGGGATTATTCGAACCATTAGTCATGTTCTTCGGACTGACCAATTCCCCCGCCACGTTCCAAATGATGATGAACACGCTTTTCAGAGAGTTGATAGATGAAGGATTAGTAATCATATATCTAGATGATATCATGATATTCACAAAGGATATAGAAACGCACCGAGCAACGACGCGATGTGTGTTAGAAATCCTAAGAAAGAATCATCTCTATCTTAAACCAGAGAAATGTGATTTCGAACAGACAGAAGTGGAATACCTGGGACTGATCATCTCAGAGAACGAAATTCGCATGGATCCGGTAAAAGTAGAAGGAATTAGCAAATGGCCAGAATGCAAAAATAAAAAGGATATACAGGCATTCTTAGGATTTGTAAATTTCTATCGAAGATTCATAGAGGGCTTCGGGGAAGTAGCCAAACCATTGACCAAGTTAACGGGAAAAGAGGACTTCATTTGGGGAAATGAACAACAAGAAGCATTTAACACATTAAAACAACGTGTAGCTTCAGCCCCAGTGTTAGCTCTCCCAGTACCACATGGCCAATACAAAGTGGAAGCGGACAGTAGTGACTTCGCTATGGGTGCTGTCTTATCACAAAGACAAAAGGATGACTGGAAGCCAATTGCATACCTCTCCAAAGCGTTAAACCCCACAGAACGCAATTACGAGATCTATGACAAAGAACTTCTTGCCATCATGACAGCACTTAACGAGTGGAGACATTACTTAATAGACGCAGAAGAGGAATTTGAGATATGGACAGATCATCAAAATCTGCTGTATTTCAAAGAACCAAAGAAGCTGAACAGGAGACAGGCGCGGTGGATGACGGAGTTGAGCCAGTATCATTTCACGATACATCATATGCCAGGAAGGAAGCATATAAAAGCAGATCTTCTCTTGAGATGATCAGATCATAACAAAGGAGAAAACGACAACGAAGACGTCGTGCTACTGGATGAGAAACTATTTGTAAGAATGACTCTCTCTCCAGAACAAAGACAAAGGATTGCAGACAGTCAAGAGAAAGAATTGGAGATTTCAAAGTGGATTACAAAGAGAAAAGGAAATGTAGATGAGCTGATAAAAAAGATGAAAGGAAAGATAGAAAGGAGAGAGGATGGTTGGCTAGACGAAGACGGTTGCATAGTATTCAAAGGCAGGATCTATGTACCAAAAGATGCCGTGTTAAGGGAAGAGATTATCTGACGAAACCACGACTCTGTTATTGCAGGCCATCCAGGAAGATATAAGACAAAGGAGCTAATCACTCGACAATACTGGTGGCCCTATATGGACAGAGATATCACGAGATACGTAGACGGATGCGAGGTCTGCCAAAGAACCAAGACAGACCATAAAAAGAAAGCAGCACCGCTTCATCCAAACGAGATCCCGGATAAACCTTGGCAGATCATATCAGTAGATCTGATCGGACCACTACCAGAGTCAAATGGATATAACATGATAATGGTAGTGGTAGATCGATTTACAAAAATGATCAAGGTAATTCCCACGCAGATGGAGATCACATCAGAAGGAGTGGCACGACTATTCAGAGATCATGTATTCAGAAACCATGGCATACCCGAAAAGATCATCTCAGATCGGGGACCGCAATTCGTTTCAAAATTCATGAAAGATCTACATACGCTTTTTCAGATAAAAGCAAACCCATCAACGGCTTGGCATCCACAAACAGATGGACAAACGGAGAGGATCAATCAAGAGATAGAACAATATCTCAGAATCTTCGTAAACCATAAACAAGATGATTGGGCAGAGTGGCTCACCTTAGCAGAATTCTCTTATAACAACAAACAACATTCTGCGACGGGATACAGCCCGTTCTACTTAAATCATGGACATCATCCGAGAACACAGGAAGTAGTGAAAGTGGGGGTAAAGAACGAAAATGCGGAAGATTTCGTAAAAAGAATGACAGAGACAAGGAAAAGAGCAGAAGAATCGCTGCAAAAGGCAGCTGAACAGATGAAGAAGCAGTACGATAAGAAGAAAAGAGAAGCAGTGGAATATAAAGTAGGAGATAAGGTGTACGTAGAAGCGACCAATATCTCAACAGATCGACCGGCCAAGAAACTGGACGATAAGAGACACGGTCCGTTTGAAATACTAGAAAAAGTAGGTGAATCAGCCTATAGATTAGCGCTACCACCGACATGGCGGCCTATTCATCCGGTTTTCAACGAGATAAAACTCACGCCATACAAAGAACCACAGTTCCCTTCCCAACAGAAACCTAAACCGATACCGCCGGTAATAGTAGACGGACAAGAAGAATATGAAGTCGAAGAAGTTCTAGACTCACGTCTAAAACGAGGGAAATTGGAATACTTAGTACATTGGAAGAACTATCCAAAAGAGGAACGCATGTGGGAACCCGAACAACACCTAAACAACTCACCCGACAAAGTAAAAACATTCCACGATAACAACCCTAGTGCACCCCGACGGATCCGTTTTCAATTACATTTCCAACCCTTCGAAAACTTCACAACGACTAGAGTCCAAAAACAATTGTTTAATTGGGAAAACGGAAAGATGGACCCCTACTTTCGGGACGAAAGTCCTAAGGAGGGGGTAATGTCACGACTTGAACCAGAAGCGCTAGTCTGAGCGCTAGTTTCCTTTTTTCATTTTCTTTGATATCTAATCACATGACAGATAAGATATGTTAAGCTGCTGCTTTAGTGCGGATAACATAATACATAGTTATATCAGATCACGTGACCATCACGTGACAAGAGTCTAGAACCATTACAAAGAACATCAGTCAGCGCCTCATGGCTGACTTTCAGAAACATATATATAGTAGACCATCATGTACATACTTTCCTCAGTTGTTGATTAATTCTCAATCGCTATCTTGTAACGCTACTTGTTTGATTTAAGCCTCTGTCCCTCCGTTAGCTCGGTAAAGGGGATAAAGGTTTTACAGAAACGGTCAGACAGATATGACTTTGCGGTATGTCTATGGTATAACAGGTATTCTACTTGCGTTCGCTAATCAACTGTCTTCTATATTGGCCTTTCAGTCTGCTGCAAGTGTGGCTGAACCCTCCAAAGACCACTCGACACTTTCTGAACAATCCTCCCACACCCCCTCCGCAAGCGCCAATGCCTGCCAACAATCACCGTCCCTTTCTCATTTGTCTCAGCGTAGCAATGCCGCCTCAACAAAGGTACCTTTAAAACTCGTCCCAGAAAAGGACGTCTTGCAGCGAGTAATGGCCGCACAAGCTGATGTACGACGCTTGGCAAAACCTCTATGTGAGTTAGACCCTTGTCTAGTTACGCCTTATAACTTCTTTATTTGATGTCGCTACAGTGGGCTGTGAGCGTGGTCTTTATGTCATATTTCCCGTCCCCTGTGTTCCCTTTGCGGTGCTTACAGAGCAACGTACACCCTTCGACATCAGCATTAGAACTCACCGCGAAATCATGACATTGGCCGTTGACACGAACTCAAAGTCTATGGTGGCACCTGCAGGAACTTTCAAGATGTGCCATCCGGCGTGGTTTGAACGGAATGATGACAGTTCTATGTCTACTGAAAGCTCCGCTATCACCAAGGTGGTCAATGTGGTGGCTAAACGTTGGTTTTACAGGGATCCTGTTGATGCTGCAGATACCGGTGCAGGCCGTGGTCGGAAACGACTGACCACCAAAGATGAACTGGCAAAAATGCTTGACGAGGCAAATTGTCTGTATTGGGGTACAAGCTTGATGAATTTAGCCTACGACGCTGTTGACGAGTTTATATCGCAATCCGGGGGCCACTGTACCATCCATATCCCTCAACTCTGTGTTGTTCACGCTGGGTTAGCTGTCCCTCAAGATGCAAGACATGGCCGCAGTGCTGTATACCTTCTTGAAGAAATAATCGAGGGAAAATTCATCAAATACGTCAACAACAACAGTGCAACACCACGCAACGGTCTTGGTAGGGCTGAGCATGATATTGCCCTCTTCTTGTGCTTTGCACAACACTTACAGTATTGGCTGTCTCGTGGCCTTGTTTTTCTCTCGGACTTTCAGGGTATATGTTTCTTGTCTTGATTGCACATAGTCTCCATCACTAACTGTCAACGACTAGGGGCTGGGACACTTTTAACAGAATGCCAAGTCATTACAACAATGTGTCTAGGCTGTTTCTTACCTGGTGGTTATCATATAGACCTGTTATCTCTCCTAGGGAATATGCATCATGCTTCGGTGAAGGGAATTGGACAGAAACTCTCGAAAATTTCCCCCAACTCCATACTTGTAATGATTTTTGTGTCTACTTTGGCCTGCCAGTATTGATACCCAAGGTAGGTGTGTTCTGATTCTGCTGCCTAATTTATTTTCTTCTTCCTGACCTTACAGGAACGAGGGAACGATGATAGTGGGGAGGTTATGGATGTAGATGCAGATGTTGGAAAGAAAGCTGTTTCACCCTTCGAACAGGAGGACGATGATATCGCTAGTTCACGGGTAGGCCAGGGGACATTTCGCTGATTCTCTTGGATAGTCCCTTGCTCTTGCTCGTTGTCTTGCATGATTACAATTCTTGTTCTGTTTGTAGTTTTTGTACATGTATATAAAAACGATGATATCTAACTAGGCAAACATTGCATATGATTTTTCTTGTCTATGGCTGTGGGACCAAGGCTATGCGACACCGCTCTCTATCTAACTAGGCAAACGCTGATCGCTGTCACAGATATTCATCTGAAATTCAACTCGATGCATTATTTACAAGATGATAGATTAGAGTTTATCGGCCTTCAAAAAAAAAGCAGCCGAGTCTCGAAAAGGTGTCCGGCATCGAACCGTAACCAAACGACCACCATACCTGCACGCCACTCTTAGTTCGGATCAGACCTTATTTACTGATATCGACTGTCATATCATTAATTTGGTCTGACTGGGGAGACTACTGTTGCCACATGCAAGCAACCAGATGCAAATAATCGCATTGCAAAGTCACTGTGACTTGCGAGTTGTTTGCATCGTTATTTTGAAGCAGACCTCATCCGCAATATATCGATCGACTACAATATGTATATATATTGAAGTAGGTCAGCAACGGAGACTGAGTATCTAGGCATCATCTGATTGATATTTGAAACGTGCTCAAATTGTCTAGATTTTCGGGACGTTGTTGCAGCAACGTTGCATAATCCCAAATTTTTGGCATTGGTACTTATATTACGCTTTATTTAGAGCGCCGCCGCGATCACTATTTATTAAACTTGTCAACTTGTCAAGGCTAGTATCTGTACCGATTGCAGGGACGAAAGCAAAATTTCTCCAAGTCTCACTAGCCACCATCACCACCCAAAGAATTTATTTAAAGTCTGAGTGCTATCATGGATACGGACTTGAAGTGCAATAGGCTCACTTGTCGTAAAGCATTGGCGGATAAAGCAGTTGTCGTGAGTCAGGGTTTTCTCCCGATCTTAGAATAAGCCATCTCCTCCAGACTTCTCTTCCCAATATTCACTTGGTCTTCTAGACAACATGTGAGTGAATGGAGTTTCGGGCATACATGCGGCATAGATCTGAATACTCATTGAATAGGCTCTCACATCTTCTGCGGTGCGTCGGGTTGTTTAATCCAATTCATCTATCACATTGACTTAAACTTGTTTCTGGTAGTGGACTGCGCAAACGAGCTGTTTAATGCATCACGACTTTGTCCAGGTACTTTTACTTGTTCAGCCTTCTGATTAGCATTTCACGCTGAAGTTCACATATGAAGCCTGCGAGACGTCATTGACGGAGCCGTAAGTAGCTTCCAATCCTTATAACTAGTACTAAAGATATTGGACTAAAGGGATGACGTGGTCGTAAGTTTATGATGACTTTCTTGATGTAACTTGTTGTTGATATGCAGCCAGGTGTGCTCCCTTCATCCGTCTAACGACTATAAAACGGTATTATATTCCCTGACAATGTCTTCGACTGTCGAACTGAAGCCTCCTTCAGTCAGTTTTGTCTGGGTTAAGCCCTTCCATAATATTAGAAATATGCAGCCGGTGCGCTTTTATCATACATTTTATCATCATCTAGGAACTTATGAATGCATAGAGCGATGTCGTTTTGGCAATACCAAATCCATCAAGAGAAGCGAGTGACTTGTGCTCATTGAGCATGTACACAGATCACTTACGCAGTTTACCTAGCTCTTTCCAGCAAGCATTGACACGTGGTATGAATGACAAGAATGCACAGCTGCAAAAACAACTAGAAAACGTTATCAGGGAAGGTATTTCCTCTATGCCTTTTAGACCGTCGACAACATCTAATCCTGCTTAGCAAACGGAGAGATCAATCTTCTTAGTAACAAAGTTGCTGGTAATTATTTGAATTTAGACGTTGTACTTTGAAATAACACCTGCAGAAATGGAACGTGACTTGGAACTGGAACGTCGTAAGGTCCATGAATTGCAAGAAGTATCGAGGGAACGCGATAAGGAATATCAAAAATTAAAGGTCTACCGACAACATATTTCCATTCTACTGACAAAGGTCTGACTTGGTGTGCAAGGCTCAACATGACAAAATCAAACGCAAAGCTCTCCTTGGCCCTTCGGGCCAAAATTTGCAGTCCAGTTTTGGGTACAATGCAAGCAATACGTTTGAGCGGTCAATTTCGGATGACCAAAACAAAGTTAGATCTGGACAAAATGCCAACATTAGTATCGGTGCGGTCGTCGGTGGCATGGAGGCAAACGGGGTATATTGCAGTATTTGATGCTAAGCAACTTGCTACACTGATAACGATATTTTTTCCAGATACAAAGGACGCCTCTAGTCCATCGCCATTCAACTGGAGGACCGTTTGCACCTTCCCATAATGCAGCTTGGGCACAACCTCAACAAGTTCAAATGCGTAACCAACACCAACGACAGCCTTTCGGTTTAGCAGATCAGCCTTATCATACAAACTCCGTATCTGATCGTTCTGAGAGCGCGAACGAAGTTGAAAATATGCTCATGAGCCGCGGTCGTCCTACTAGTATGGTACAGCCGGATAATCGTCATCAGAATGCCACAGCTTGGGCTTCGTCAAGCTCCAAACCCCGCCCGGTCCAACAACGATACAGTAACTATTATTAGATCTGTTATGATTTTTGCTCAAGCTACTTTATAGACTTCGATCCCAACGTGAGCGTAAAAAGAGGTTTCAGACCAGCAAGATAACGGCTAGAACATGCATACTTCATTGTTTTCCCATAGTGGTTCTATAATTGCATTATGAAATAGAAAAACTATGTCCAGTAATAGAAAAATAATACATATATCATGTCTCCTGGAGTCCATCCATTAAGCAGGGAATACAACAAGGTATATAAGTAGGTGATCAGAAAGCAGAAATGATATACATAAGTGATATATTCCAAAACTATAATTGAACGAAGATAAAGAGACTATTCGCGACGGACTTTGCCATTCTTTTCGTCCTCAAGGTATTGGCCGATGGCTAAGAGATCCTGCCCGGACCTACGTAAATAGCCGGCAAGAACGGTTCTATCAGCTTGTGGGAGAAGTGCTGCAAGTTTATCAACCTGTCGAGAAAAATCCGTATTTGACTCGTTGCTGCTGCGATCCGGAGATGCGCGGCTACCGAACAGAGATGGCCTTCGGGCTATAGTGCTGCTCCGATGACTTCCAGCGCTGTCGGAGGGCGAAGGCTGAGAAGATATCATGACGGTTTGTGACCGTTGTACTCGATTAGGAGGAGCACGCGGCCCGCCCGGCACTGATGGGGCGTTTTGGATATTGATAGGTCGCGGATTCGGGGCAGGCTTAGAAGGGTTTTTCACCAGTACTTTTGCTGGAGAAGAAGGGGTTCCGCCATTTCGTTGTTCCTTTTTCAAGCTAGTCTTCCTTCCCAGGGAAGCGAAGAAACCCCCTGGTGATTTAGAGGATATCGGGGAAGTTAATGAACGTGCTGCCGTCGTTGGTGACGTGATAATGATTGTAGACGATCGAGATGGTGTAGAGCGCGGTGTTGAAGCTAAGGCAGGGTAAGGTAATGGTGGCGGAGAATTTGGCAAGTTAGCATCTCCACGACGGGAAGATAAGTCCGTGGCGGAATAAGTATCGTCACGTCTAGGAAAAGTGGCCTCAGAGGTTGTAGAAGACTGGGATATATGCCGTGCTTGGGAGACGTGAGGCGCAGTTGACGGACCACGAGGTCCTGCAGCTGCTCCCACGTTACGCTTACTTGAAGAATGACTGTTATTTCCTAGCAGAAAATGTACTAAGCAATGCAACCCAATACCACAGGTGTCACGTCTTACTTACCTCCGTACTTGGTCTCCGTCAACCAATCGCGAAGGCCACAGTCATGGACATAAAGCTCATTAATCTTATGAGCATATCCAGCAGAACGCTCTAGAGCACTTCTTTTAACAACAACATCAGCGAAATGCATAGCAGCAGGCCACGAAGATTTGATTCTCTGTACTGGAGGTGGATGATGTAATGCTGCAGGAAATATTAATGGCGATGGTGTCTTCGACGATCTACTGCCATTAGAAAGTCTATTGAGCGACATCAACGAAGGTGTACGCGGGAGCGCGGAAAAGCGTTTGAGGTTGACGAATGAATTCCTTAAGTTCCGAGAGCCGTTCTCTGATTCCTTATCTGACCTCGTAGGTGAATGGGAAGAGGCAGGAGTCAGAGGTAATGCACGGTCTAGATCGGGCGAGGTTCGATCTGTGCTTTCGTCTGAGGTTGGAGTACCCCGCGCTATTTCAGGGCTAATGCTAGTGCGACGAATATCAAGTCCAAGTCTACCATTTGAATTCTCAGAGTGACGTGGAGGCTCAATAACTGTTGGTGGCGGCACATCACTAGAATTCATGATGCCCATATCATCAATCGCATTTCCAACAACAGCTACCAAATCGTCAATCGAGTCATGTCGTGGGAGAGGACGCTCGGTTTCTGAAGTAGAAGATGCAGCGGTTGTGTCCGTAACTTGCCTGGACGGAGGAAAGGCACCTTCACGCGTGTGAGCAGGTGAGGTAGATGAATTTGGGTCACTACTATCAGACGAGGGACTAGACCTATTTAAATGATTAGTATTTCCACTCGTAGGATATGATTTGACGTACTTCGTGCTACTGTCCTTCTTCTCAGCGGTGCCAGAGGGAGAGGGCACCGCTACAGTAGGTTCTACCGAGCTGGTAACAATCCGTTTCGGAGAATTCGAGATGGGAGCAGGCTTTGAACGCAGAGTAACAGAAACAGACTGAGGAAGCTGTAAGGCCTGTTTGACCGCTTCAATATCGCCTCGACGACGAAATGGCGTATGAAGACGTGGCGGTCGTGGCGGTGGCGGGGCATTGGGATCAAGATTGAGTATGGCAATAGGTGGTGGTGGCAGAGGACCAGCAGTCGAATGAACGCCAGGTTGATAATAGAGATATGAGGAAGGCATAGCAGGTGAAAACGAAGACAGAGTGGTTGTAGGAGATAGTGTGGGAGACACGGTGGGAGACACGGTAGGAAACTTCACTGGCCAGGGCTCTTGAGAGCTGGGCGGAGACTTGGAACCTGATGCGTCTGGATATAGATTCACTACTACTGGAGCAGCTACAGGTTCGTTTATATTTTTTCTTTCCCCTATGCCAGGAGTAGTTACTTGTTTATCGATCAGTAGGTTGACCGGATGTGCCGATAATTTAGAAGGCTCTGAGGCACTGGGAGAGGGAGAACGGGACAGAGGCGCCTGAAATGACAGTGGACTTGATATTTCACTGATTGGCGACGGTGGGGAGCGCTGCTTCTCTGTCACTTTGGCCCCTCCATACCCAGCTGTCCCAATAATGACTACTTCACGAGATGACTTGCGACGTACGTGTCCAACCCCCTTTCCAGAGCCAACTGCCTCTGACGAAGATCGAGTGTGCCCCCCTGTGGGCAGCACTTCAGCGACAGAGTGCTTTGGTTGGGCATGGGGAATAGGAGCAGTAGAGGGAGGAGTGAGATGAGTATATGTTTTTGGAGACGCGTCAGGTGGCGCGACCAGCGCGAGGCCCCCTAAACGTGCCTCGAGGCCTCTCCTTGACCGAAGACTATTTGAGGGAGAAGCTGTGCTGGCATACCCTTGATCCGAATGCTGAGCTTTCTCAACCTCTTCGCTCGCAGCAGAGTTCATCTGCACGATAGCAAGACGGCGTCTGTCTGTGCCACCTTCCGATGGAATGCTTGGTCGCCGCACAGCAGTCTGAGGTGGCTGTTGTGGCTTCTTGTGCGTGCCCTCGCTATCTATCGTTGATTCGGCAGAGTAATCCGAAGGGGTAGTTGAACAGGAGGAAAGACCTCGTGTGTGCAAACTTGTTATCTTTTTGTCAGTGTTTTCCACCGGACTGCCGTTGAAACTACGACCTGCATCGGAAGATTGATAGTACGACAAAATATTTTCCGTATCTCTGCGCACTGGATTTGGACGCGTATGGGATGCAACGAGTCCTATCCAATCACGTCAGATTATTAGAGCGTCATTAAGCTAGAGACATACCTGGACTCAAATCGCGTTGTGATGTCCTGTCACAAGAGCTTGGAGACCTGGAATGACGTTTTGTAGCAGAGGTACTCATTTCGAAAGGTGTCTAGTAACGAGTGGTACTTGTGCAAAAGCGCCTAGAAGACATAAAAGTGAATAATAGGATAAGTTCGTAGCGTCCCAGAGTTGTCCAAATGTCCAGCTTTTGTAGTAAGGCCAAGTTGTTGTACAGCTTGGTCGTAAACCGACTCGGAATTATTTGGCCGGACACGTACTCCGCGTGAGACAGGGCCACCCATAATGAAACCGAGCACTACCGTGGCAGTGTTTAGCCCTACTTCAGCGCTTCAGCTCTTTAGAGCGGTTGTCAATCTTATCCTTCACAGCATGTAGCGACAGCACTATATATTCATGACGTGTCCTAACATATGAAGCAACGTTGTTCTCGGGGCGTAGCTCAACGTTATCAAATGAAACTGAGCTTTACACCGCTCGAACATTGCGACTGCAATTGCCCTTTTCCTTTCTCGATCATTGACCATACTTAAAGTATGAAACTTGTCTTCTCTTCTTCCTGGAGGCCCAGTATTGCTGTTCCGACTACACCGTGAAACCAAACCCCACCAATCGAGTATCACCAACTGCCCCTCCTGACGAAATCCTATGTTTTAGCAGAGCATCTCGTCAGTGCATGGAAACCATCCGTCTGCATCTCGAGATTCTTACCAGGTTCAAACTTCTTTAGCAATCTCCCACTCAAGTTCTTTCCCGGCCCAAAATGGTACTACACTTTGATCACCAAGGATCCATTCTTCCGCAATTTTCTGCCCTACCACCTTCCTTAGCATTACTGTCTTGACTGGACCAGCTGGATCTACGTCTCGCTTGTAAAACCGACGACCAAAGCCACTGACGAAGTTCTCCAGTTTGTCCGTTGCGCTAAATGATTCTAGCAACTGTGCAACCAAGGGGAGAAGGATGGGCGATGTATATACCCCTGCAGCACATGGATCTTTCGGTGTTGAAGTAGACTTGGTGTGCGGAGGGTGTGGTGCAGAGTCAGAACCCAAAAAAAAACTTGGATGACCTGTCCAGACGTTTATGAGCACTCTCAACTCAAATAGTCAGAGCCACTCAGCCCAAACCTTCTCGCACGACTTCTCGTAAGGCCTCTCTGTCGTCAGGAAATTTTGCTACAGGTTTGCAATAGTTCCATGCTTGACCAGCCCAATCATCTACTGTGATTGCAAGATGGTGAGCGGTAATGGTGCAGGCCACGGTTGGACCCAGTGATTTTACCGCTTCCACAGCAGCACGTGTAGTGGCGTGCTCAAGAACGATGCGCAGAGCAGGAAAACGGACATGTAGCTTGAATAGATGCGGGAGGAAAGTAGGCTCAGCGTTCAAGACACAGGTATTCTTCAATAGCCAATTGAACGTAGTGTTAATACTCAAATCAAAACAAGTGGCTTACTGTAGCAGAATCAGAGGGAACTTCACCGTGGAGGTTAAGAACCATATCGACTTCCTGCATGGCCTCGAAGACAGGATAATAAGCCTCGTATGATTCAATACCTCCATCAGAATTTGTGGTGACGCCTCTGGGGTATGATTTGACACCTGATAATGAAGTCTTAGGCACGACGTATTGGTTGATCAGATCGCAGGGCCGAACCGACGATGCCAGCCTTCTTAGCCTTCCTGATTTCATCAGGTGTAAGATCGGGCGAGAGATAGAGTGTCATTAGATATTCTACGTCCGGATCTATCTTTTCCAGCTCAGCTTTGTAGGCTAAAGCCTGATCAGTGGTGGTGATGGGTGGTTTGAGATTTGGCTAGACAACGTCAGGGAGGATGAGCTCGTCGTTAATTCATGTGTACTCACCATGACATATGCCAGAGTAAACCCTCCTGTTCGCACATGAGGTGTTACAAGTTCGCAAAGGGCTCCTTGTCGCAGATGAACGTGAAAATCAGCTGGAGAGCATATTTGCAGCACATTTGGACACATTATGATGGAGTAGCACTAAGAATGAGCACGGTCACGTGATGCGTTGCCCTCGACGCGTTTGCCGATTTGGTTGACTTTTCAACTCAGAGCTCCCCGTCACCGCACTTGGTCTATCCCGCCCATCGACAACGGCGACGGCTATATCTTTTGTTTTTCTTTTCTTTCATAACTACTACCAATACCTCAGCACAACACTCGCATTTCATTATGGTTGCCGCTGGCTCCATCACTGTAGCAGGTAATTGTCCCATTCTTTGTGAATGCAAGACTTTGTTGACGGAAATGGCACTAAGTTCGCGTGCGTCCTCCAACGGGATGGGAGGCCGCTCGTCTCCCAGAGCCAAATTATGACACTACAATACGTGGCGATGGCACACTATCAACTCCAGGGAGATCAGTCACGTCTACTTCCTCGCTTCGCGACATCGTTCAGATTGTGGATGATCGTATCCTCACCTTTGATCCTGACGAAAAGGATAAAACAAGAGCATTTGTGGAAAGAGGTTTTATGCCTCCTGGAACCAAGCGGTACAAGGACAAGAGATTTATGTTCGACAGAGTCTTCAATAATGAGGCTCGACAACAAGATGTTTACGCATCAACCGCCCAACCTCTTTTGCGTGGACTGTTGGATGGCTATAACGCCACTGTGTTTGCTTATGGGGTGAGCCTCATTATCCTCCCGTGGAATATCTTTGCTAAAACACGCATACTAGGCCACTGGTTGCGGTAAAACCCATACTATCAGTGGTACTGAAGCAGACCCCGGAATCATCTATCTCACTATGGCCGATCTTTTCCAACGAATACAAGACCGCAAGGATGAATGGAATACAGAAGTAATCGTCACTTTTCTTGAGATCTATAATGAAGAAATTCGCGATCTTCTTGCGGAACCTGGTACAGTTTCTCCAAGGGGTGGACTGCAAATACGCGAGGACAAATCTGTCAAGGTTGTAGGACTTGTCGAGTCACATCCTAACAGCGCAGAAGAAGTAAAGGAGATTGTTCTGCAGGGTAATTCTCGTCGCACTCAATCTCCTACTCATGCAAACGAAACATCATCCCGATCTCATGCCGTCTTGCAAGTACATGTCACCCAGGCTCCTCGAACTGCCTCAATTACCGAGCAACGTACAATGGCGACATTATCCATCATCGATCTTGCTGGTAGCGAGCGTGCGGCCGCTACCTCAAACATGGGGCAGCGGATGGTAGAAGGGGCAAATATCAACAAGTCCCTGTTAGCTCTGGGCAATTGTATCAATGCACTATGTGAAAGCGGAGGTGCCATACGACACGTACCATACCGCAACAGCAAGCTTACGCGCTTGCTGAAATTCTCGCTCGGAGGAAACTGTAAAACCGTGATGATCGTTTGTATCGCCCCCACATCGCAGCATTTTGATGATACGCACAACACGCTTCTTTACGCTGAACGCGCCACGAAGATTAAGACTAAGGTCGTCACTCGAAACGTTGTCAATGTTGACAGGCACGTAGGACAATACGTCGAGGCCATAAACCGCCTCAACATGGAGGTAGCAGAGCTCAAAGCGAAATTGGCGGGCAAGATTAACACAGAAGGTGATATACTTCGACGGAAAAAGGCGGAGGCCTACGCAGAAGTGGAACGGGCAAGGAAAGACATGCAAGTGAAAATGGAGCAGACACAGGCGTCAATCATCGATGGTGCTTCTTGTGCTGGCAAAATCGCTGCCTCACAAGTTAAATTACGCGTTATACGTGCACGCCTAGCTGAAATTGATGCACAAGCCTCATCTTCGTCTTCGCCGCTATCGCCAGACCTGGAAGCTGAACGTGGCCTCCTCCAGGCTCTTGCTGGGCCCGAGGAGCAAACTATGAAACCTGAATCTGCTCTTAACGTTCGATTACAACGGTCCATAAATTCTGGGAACATGTTCGAGGCAACTCTTCGCGCTGTGAGCGAACGGCGCTCGGATAAACTTGACGAAATCAGCGTCGACAATGTTAGAACCGACGTACGATGGCGTAAAGCTGACCTGGAACGTATCAAGGTGCAGGCGGAGCGAGATTCGTTGAAAGGGTCGTTTGAAGCACAGGCTGAAATGGTGGTCAGCCTGCTCGGAATGGTGGGCAGGTGCACAGTCATGATGGGAGAGGCCGGTCGTCTATTAAGGACAGCTGTAGAGGAAGGGAAAGATGGGATGGAAGGTACTGTGCGCGCCATGGCCTCGACGTTAAAGGGCGTGGCTGAGAAGAATGATGAACATTTCACGACACTACTTGGGCATTCTACCGCTGCACATGTTTTGGAAGATCGGACATTGTCGTTCGACGTGTTTAGTTCACATTCAGCCTCGTTCACACGAGTACCATCAGGGTCTTTACAGCAGCCAAAAGCGTCGAGGCGTTCATCATCTTATGGTTCTATAGCATCATCTCCTAGACGAAACCACAAGTCACCGCGCAAATCGCTACGATCTAGCTTGACCAGTCAGCCTTATCGTCGAGTTTCTGATAAAGACAAGGAAAAGAAAAATGTGCAATGGAAAGATGAAGCAGGTCAAGGTGAACTGGATGACGCGGGACGTCGTGAAAACCCCACTATTTCCATCACATCTTCTGATAGCAACGAAAGCGTTTCAGGACGAAATCTTTCAACAGCAGGATCAGAAAGTGAATGGGAAGACGAAAAAACAGATGACAGTGTTAATTTGAGCTTCATGTCTCTTCCTAGTCGTGACCCCTTTGCTGGTAAACGGCCTAGATCCACTCGGTTGGATCCTGGGTTCTTGAAGTCGAAAGGGCCTATGTTAGGGAGCCTCGCAGAGGCTGACGAGAACGGTTCTCCAGTGAAGCGTGCGTCACCATTGTCGGACCGCAATGTCAACCGGATCTTGAGGCCTGAGGACGAAGGAAACTCATTGCACATTCCTAAAGGGCACGACAGGATGGCCAGTCCTACACGTCGGGGCCCAACGTCCACACCGCGTCTAGCTGCTTCTACAAGTAAAGGTTCTCGAAGAAGGTCCAACATCGGACCTATGCGGAGTGAGAAAGGCAGAAGGAGGTCAAGCATGATTCCCCAACCTTCTGTTGGCAACGATGAAGCAAATGAATCTACTGTGCTCAGAAGAGCGGAGACGGTTGGACGATCACCCGCCAAGAGACCTAAAAGATTGTCATTGCTTGCAAACGCTTCAAGATCCATGAGAGTGAAGAGTCCGACCGTAGCGCCGATGGCGAACTTGACGGCCAGTGATCCAAACGCTAGTTTCAGCGCAGAATTGAGAGGAGGGTCTTCGAGGCCTACATGGCGATGAACGTTCGTATTGTTCAATTCTCGACTTGTATTGACTGTAGGGCTGTGCCCTCGCAGTGTAGCTTTACTCTCCTTTATCGTCCTATGCCTATCATATATTGTCGTATCTTGTCATTGTCCCGCTGTGTTTCGTTATCTATATACCCTGTTTAGCTTTAGTATCTATTTCATTCGGACGATCAGGATGACGTCGCACCACATGTTTGTTTATGGTATACGATGTGATATAATTTTTCAAGTGAATGCCAAGCTTCGTGTTCATCTGGAATCAGTTAAAAAAAACTTGTGTGAGCGTTTGCATTTCAAGCTGAGGCAATTATTTGACGGTTTTTTTCTAAGCGAGTCAATCGTGTTGGAAGTAGAGGTTTTAGAGAATAATCATTGTCCCATGTAAAACCGTGCCAGTGTGTACATCAATCAAATTATACGTTTTACTTCGAAGAAAGACTAAGAAAGCGTTAGTTAGTTAAGTCGAAATAGAGGTAACAGCGAACTTACCTTGAGGTAATAGACTTGCCAGCCAACAACAGAGAACAGCACTATCGCTTGAAGAACCGACCACCACTTCACACGAGTATTTGTAGATTCAGCGGTATTTCTGTGCCTCCGCTCGCGAACAACTATATACTCCTGTTCATCTTTCACAGAGGTTAGTCCATGTGCCAATGAACGTATTTCTCGCTCGATAGGTGCAACGATGTCTATACGACTCCTGTCAGCCTTTGTTCGATAGTGCAAGTACCAGAAACTGACCGTCATCAGTAATGTAGATGATACCGTGTACGTTGAAGCTAAATGAACATAGTGGACAGTCTGGCGGACGTTGATATGTAGGGTCACAGTACATACCTGACAGTTTTATCAGCAATTGAGCTCATTTGGTTCGAAAAGCAATATTCATGTCTGCCATCTTTTTCTGCTGTTATCGAAACACTACCGGTATTTTGCTTTATATGTTTTGCTAGCGCGTTGTTTTCCGGGTCGGCAAGCTGAAATAACGATAATTAGTCTCTGCACCGTGACTGTACTGAATGAACTTCTAACTCACCCAAAAATCTATGTCTAGATGACCACCTCCACCGACCTGGTAAGTTACAGTCATCTGTATGGCTTGAGTATGAGCGTAGTCGTCGTATGTAGATATTCGACAATACCTGGTCGTTAACATGAAGGTCTTCGAAGAAACACTCTTTCCTCGATGCGGCCACCTCGATCATGTGAGCAGAAACAAAAATGGGGAGAAGAGCTGATAACAAGAAGTATAAAGAAAGAAGCCATGGGGTATAAAGGCGAGCCATGTTGTATTTTTCGCGATTATAAGCTCAAGACCAGGTAATGTGTAGTAAAGCCACGTTCCAGGTGCAGACTGCAGTGAGTAGTAAACGGAGCGGAATGGCGACCCCGGGGGCATTCCCTCGGGGTCCTTTTATGCCCTAATCATTTTCTACAGATCTTTGTGGCAAACCCGTTAGCCTCGCTTCGAATTCGCGATAATATTTCCTATCCTTTTGTTATCTTTTGCATTGTACACGACATCCGCAACGTATATCCATAATGTCAGAACCCACCGATGCTCTTACTCCCAGAGTACGTATATCTCTCTGCTTTATGTTGCTCTGAAGATGTGGAAGATATCGGTTTAATCTCTTCGAAAACATAATCTTTTGTATGGGTCTCTAATCGTCGTTCTTTGGACAGGAGGAGGAAGCCGATGTTCACTTTGAGCCCGTTATTAGGCTCACCGAGCGTGTGGACACAAAGACCATGGAGGAAGACGAAGACGTTCTCTTCAAAATGTAGCGTACAATCGATCTCAATCGATCATCTCCCTTTACTTATCGAATATATCGCGTTCTTTTTACAGGCGTGCCAAGTTGTTCAGATTCGACACCACGTCGACAGATTGGAAGGAACGTGGAACTGGCGACGTTCGTCTACTCAAACACAAGGAGACAAAGAAAACTCGCCTCGTGATGAGACGCGACAAGACCCTCAAAGTTTGTGCTAACCATGCCAGTAAGTCCATATCTTATTACAAAATTTACCAAAGTTACTTTAATCATTGTACCAGTCTCTGCCGAGATGAGACTGCAGCCCAATGTTGGCTCTGACCGCAGTTGGGTTTGGAAGGTTGCAGCCGATTACTCTGAGAGCCCGCCCACTTCTGAGACGCTTGCAATCCGTTTCGCTAATTCTGAAAGTAAGTTGCTTTTGAGCCTATAAAGCTTGTAGTAATCTCGAGTTTTCCTAGATGCTGGTCAATTTAAGACTGCTTTCGAAGATGCTCAGAAAGTCAACGCAGAGATCGCAGGTGTGACCATTCCTGATGCAGAAACCAAAGAGGAAGTTGAAGAAAAGGAAGAGGAAGAGGCTGCGGAAGAAGAGAAGAAAGAAGAAGCTTCAGAAGAGAAAAAAGAGGAATGAATGGTCACAATACCTAGGCTTGAATTTACTGCGCGGTGCTTATTCTCCCCCCTTCGCGACACCACCGATTGTCACCATTCTTCATTCATTGATGATAGTTTAGTTTAGATCATTGCACACGATGTCCAAACAGTGTAGGAAAGAAAATTGTTTGTTCTTTTATGTACGAATTCACCTTTTCGTGACTGTGTAAGGATAAGCGCAAATTTATTTGTCACGCTGATGAGGTGCTTTTGGAGCTGATGCGTTGATGCATTGCGCAAACAAGAATCGATATATTACAGATGAGCCAAGATGCGTTCAAAGATGCACTGCACGTCTCATGATGCTGTATGTTCTGCGAGAGATTCTTCTTCGGCCCAAGCTGTCCAGAAGGCAGCCCCATCCGATTTGTTCCAATATAATGCTGGCTGTTTCCCTTGCACTACGGCCTCGTTGATGAGGACAAAACGTATACTCTGGTGAACAACAATGAGTTTGAGTACCGTCGGTATACCACTGAAAATACTTACTGAGCCACTAGATTAACGAGTATATAGGTTAGTGGCTACTCAACAAAACACCACCTAAAGTCACTTACGGCACTTCATACATGGGCTCCAGCAACAGTGTTTCCTATGCAAATGTCAGTGCAGCTTATAATGACAGGGTGAAGCCATTACCATAATACCCCTTAAGCCCCGAGCTCCACCTCCTCTTTCTAAAGCCTTCCGACATATTTCGTTCAATGCGGAGCTTGTAAACCGTATTTCTACACCAGAGTAGCCAAATAATGCGGTATATTGAGAAATCAGTGATCCCCGAACTTCAGTCAATATCCGACGCAGGTCAGGAATGGTGAGAGGGGCTAGTGTCGTGATGGAGGGTAATCGTGATATAAACTCGGGAATAAATCTAAAACTCGAATGAGAGAAAAGAAACTGAACCCAAAGCGAATACTTACCCATATTTCACCAAGTCTGACGTTGAAATGAATGAGCGCAATATCAAGCTACCGCATAGACATTATCGTACCTCCCGGCTCAACTAAATCAAGCATGTTATGCGATGACCCTCGGTTAGGCGTAAAAAAAGGAAGGAAGCTTCCGGAATTAGACTCCTCGCTCGGAGCCAGGTTCGCAGTAAACCCTATTGACTGAGAGATGTCGTCACATTTAGCTCTAGAATTAAGTCGGGTATCACGACTTACACCTTTGGCGACCCGTCGTTTTACAACACTATCAAGTCCCACAAAAGCACCACTAAGAATGAAAAGCACATTGGAGGTGTCGATATGGTAAGTGTCAGACTTTGCTGAAATCTGATGTCAATGCTTTATGAGATGCCGTTAGACACGATACTTACATGATGGGGCATTGGCACCCCTTTGACCAGGTCTTGATCGCCCCTCTGGCCCGGCAGCACTGGGGGTGTCAGCTGGACTAGGCGACTTGCCTTGTACTGACACTATGGAACCCTCCATCATGCGAAGGAGTGCTTGTTGCACGCCTTCCCCACCAACATCCCGAGATCCTTCCATACCAGTACCACCCGATTTACGCGCGATTTTATCGACTTCGTCGATATAAACAATACCGGTGCTAAGAACCAGTTAATTTACATAATCTTAAGCTCCACGTTGAAACTATACCTGGCGCGGTGAGGATCCCAGCTTGCCGCTTGTAGCTGACGACCTCTTGATTAATGCCATGCCACAACTAGTGTGTGATGTACTCACCAACCGATGGATTGCCATGTCAACATCCTCTCCTACATCTGAAATTCAGTTAATGCATGCCTTAATACTAAAACCGGAGACGACTAACATCCGGCCTGATACAACATATCAATAGTAATTGACGAGGATAACAACGATGTATTACCTGCGTAAACGAGGTTGCATCGCTTACTGAGAACGGGACATCAAGGACTCTTGCCAGTGTCCTAGCCAATAGCGTCTTTCCTAGGGGTTTCATATATCACCGGGGCTTAAATGCTAGCAAAAACATCGTAGACTCACCAGAACCTGTTGGTCCTCTCAAGTAGGGGTAAATCAGGGTAACCTAATGGGCGGGACGGATGAAAGACGAACATTACCAGCACATTGCTTTTCTCAAATAATGGTACAGGATGGCGAGTCTGTAGTGGGATTGAGGATGATATCCGGTGGGGATGCGGGTGTAATCGAGCAGACGACACGCCTGAGCGAACTGAGGAGACGAGTATTAGAATGCAGCATGTCATATCATACGTCTAGAGTATATACCATCATCCACATTAGTCTCGGACCAGTCCATCGCTCCAGGTTCTTCTTCCGGTGATAAAGAGGACAGGTTCGCATGTACTCGGTTATAATGGTTGAACACGCTGCACTCCAAGGTGAATCACGAGAAGGATATTACAAGACCGTTGTCCTTACGCAACAGATAATACTTTCTTTGCTTTCTCTTGACCAACTACAAATTCATCTAAATATTGCACCAACTATGCAAAAGACATGATTATCTTATAACACGATGGTGGCTAAAGATGAGAAATACCTGGCGAGGTGTAGCCAGACCAGCTGGTCTCATGTAAGGATGGTCATCCATATCATCCCTTGGAACATATTCATATCGTGTTTGCGTTCGAAGACCACGAGTCAGAATGCGAAGTTGACGTGCACGCCAGGCCAACATTGCTAGTAGAGCAAAGAAAATATTCGTGCGAATTGACGGTGTGGATACAAGCGTGTAACGATTCGAAACTTTGACTTCCCCGCCTATGCCTAGGTTGTCGTGAATGATCTAAAAAATACAGAGACGGCGAGATGGGTGTAAGTGAAAGGGCAAATTGGCTGGATGACTCAGTACGCCTCGAAGCATATACTAGTGAAACTTCCCTGTATACCAGTTATGGAAAGCGTGTCGCGGTAAAGGCCGACGGGTGCGCCATGTAAGAGCAGCGACCAAGGAGCGACCGTATTATTTTGAATCTGTCTTTCTTACTACGACAGTTATCTTTTTTGCTATATATCTAATGGTCCGCCATCGCTCGCGTTCCGCGTCTCCTGCACCACGGTTGGAAGATGACCGGGAAGGAAGGCATAGGCACCGAACATCTTATAGAGACGAAAAAGGTCATTCAAAATACGACGCCGACGACAAGAAGCGTAGACGCAGCCGCAGCAAGGACAATGATGATTCCTCTAGATGGAGGAGGGATCGAAGTCGCAGTGGGGAGGACGACCGTAAGGAAAAAAAGTATGCTTCGGGAGCCACTCTATAAGTCATATGTTCACATATTTGCAGGCGAAAACGAGATAAGTCTGAAGAACGGAAAGCAAGAAAGGCAGAAAAGAAGAGGATAAAAGAGGAAGAAGAAGCTCGACAGGTAGCAGAGCTCAGCGTTTACAGTGCTACTGACAATCCTTTCCATGACGTCAACCTTGGACAACAATTCCGCTGGCACAAAAAGAACGATAAAGAGAAAAAGGAAGGTCTGTCATTAGCAGAGATTCAAAGAAGGGATGCCTTGAGACGTCAGGAGGCAAAAGAAGAGCTCGAGCGCCTGAATCGAAGGCGTGCTGAACGAGAAGTGGAGCAACGACTCAGGGAGGAGGAAGAGCTGCGAATGCAACGAATGGCTGAATCTGCGCAGATGTCTGATTGGATAGCTAAAGATGGCGAATTCCAGCTTGATCAGGAGCGTCATAGGGCAGCCATCCGAATCAAAGAAAAGAGGGCAAAAGCTATAGACTTTTTGGCTCTTAATCTGCGTTATGTCAACCCTCATGAGGAAGACGAAGAAGCAGAGGAAGATGCAGGTTTGGAGATTGATCTCGACGAACCTTATAATATATTTTTCGTAAGCTGCTTCATATGTGGGTTTTGGACTGACGAGTCTAGGCTGATATTGCATGTAGAATCTTTCTTCAGAACAAGTCGAAGAGCTTCATGATGATATCGAACATTATCTTTCATTAGAAAACTCTGACGTTAACATTGAATTTTGGACAGTAAGTCATCCGCCTTATCCATGTGGTGGTTCAACTCATGTGTGGTCAACTCAGAATATGATGGTGGTCTGCAAAGATCGCCTCGATAGAATCAAAGCAGACGAAAGTATGGGTGTGGAAGCTGCTGCTGCTGTTGAATCGGACATCACCGCTTTGTTATCCGGAAAAAGTTATGAACATCTCGCAAGTCTCCAGAAACAAATTCAAGCGAAGCTCGGTAGTGGCGAACCAATAGACGTAGACTACTGGGAAGGCTTACTAAAGAAACTCATCGTGTGGAAAGCCAAGGTAATCACTTGAACTGTTAGTTTAACATTGCAAGTGCTGATATGTTTTTGCCAGGCAAAGCTCAAGAGCTTACATGAAGTCGTCGTTCGTAACAGGCTTGAGCAATTGCGAAAGCGGCAAAGGGACGAGGCACTGCAAGCACAAGAGGAGTTGCTTGCAGGCGTTGCTAAATCAGCTTCCAGCAGGAGAGATAACCCCGTGCCTGTTGCCGAAAGTACTCCAACTGAAACTCAGGTTCTACCTGAAGAGATGGAACCTTACGACAGATCTATGAGCCCAAGTCTAATTGATATCACCAGATTATCAGTAGATGACAGACAAATTGACATTGTCACTGAAGGAGAAGACCGTGCTGCCCTAGTAAGCGTCGCATTAATTGTATTTTATGTGTTAAAAATACTCATAGCTCCTATGTCTAGTTTTTGCAGCGTCGAGCAGTTGCTGCTTCCCGGTTTGTTCCTAAAACAGAGCAACCAGTTGTCGAAGTTCAAGACACAGAAGTCGCGAGTGGCGCTGACCTCGCTTCTGAGGCGCTGTACAGAGCTGAAGCAGAACGAGAACTTGATGAAGAAGAAGAGCTTTTCAATCTCGAAGAGAATATCATCAATCCCACGACTTACAACTGGGAAGATAAATATAGGCCGCGAAAGCCTAGGTACTTTAATCGTGTTCATACGGGCTACGAATGGAACAAGTACAATCAGACCCACTATGAGTTCGTGCTCTATCCTTCACTCTTCGTTGATTATTATCTGATATATGATTCCAGTACTGATAATCCTCCTCCAAAAGTTGTCCAAGGATACAAGGTACGTGATAAGCTTATCTACAGGTCTTTATCTAATCCAATGCATCTAGTTTAACATTTTTTACCCTGATCTCATCGATAAATCCAAAGCCCCCACCTACAAAATAGTCAAGGAGCCAGGAAATGAGGAGACTGTTTTATTACATTTTAGCGCCGGACCTCCTTACGAGGACATTGCGTTCCGCATCGTGAATCGCGAATGGGAATTCTCACACAAGCGGTACGTACGGTCGTTCACGTTTTATACGCCTATCACTAACGCTCCTTGAAGCGGGTTCCGAAGCAGCTTCGACCGAGGATGCCTATCGCTTTGGTTCAACTTCCGTCGTAATGTGAGCATGTTTCTAATATTCGATTACGTCGAGAAATGCTAATGGCCTCATCAGTTCTATCGCAAGTAACGTACTTTCGGCATAGGATGACGTACCTGTATCAATACGTTTTTGTTGTAATGTAAAGTCGTCTCCTCTGTGGACATTTCTCATCTTATACGTCCCCTCGTGAATAAGGGATAGCTCGCTTGGACCATAATTGGTTTTTTTGTAGTGAAGGCTGCGTGTAAGCCGCAAACAATGCACTGGATACAGCCATGAGGGTAACGTGATTGCCGCGGAGATGAAATTAACACATGTGGTCAATACTTACTACTTATAGCCGTCTTCCTTGAGGCTTTGGCAGGTTCGCTTTAATAGCAGTACAGTGGGCGGCAAATGGCTTCAGGTGGACCTTCCCCACTTCACTTCCTTTGTCGCGACAATCTCTTGCCGACGAGCTTGGTCGTCTGGCCTGGTGTAGTCGTACTTTTACTCTAGGAGTCTATTGTCTGTGACGGGCCCACACTTCGTTGTGTGGCGTCGGTGGCCCCACTTTGTTCAAGCACGTCGGTAAGGCCACAGCTGTGGCCAAAGCGCACAATCGAACTTTCCACTTCTCGTCAAAGCGGTTGGCTTTGCTGGGGCGTATGTCCAGTACAAAAGGGCGCTCAAGTGCGTTGGTCTGCAGCTCTCGTATTTCCTCCCACTACTCTCAGCTCTCTCGAATCACCTCGAACATGATGTCTCTCGTGTCTTCTCTGAGCGCCACAAATCAAGGTCGTCGTCAATATGGTGCCAATACCTCGAGTGCTTACTTCAACAGGCCAAGGTGGCTCGTGTCTCCTGATGCATCTACATTGGTTCCGCCCGTGTTTTCTGGGAACGTGGTGAACACTCAGCACCACGCTCCCAGTTCTCAAAACCTCTGCCCCTTGAACAACGACGTATTGCGTCCTGGTTTTCTCCCTTCAAAAGTAGTCACTAGCTCTATTCTGTCGAATCGTTCCAACATCATGCCCAACAACGCGGTTACTGCGCGCACCAGATCAGCGTTAGGTGCATGGGCTCCCCAATCGAGCAACAGAACCCTTAACCAGGTTGACATTTCGTTCCCGGCGTCCGTCAATAGCGCAGTCAATCAGCATTCCGGGTATCCCACGTTGTTCCGTGGTGACATGGTGTCGACGTCGACAGCGCCACCGGCGTTCGCCATGGATGACAGGAGCTTCGCTCCTGAACCTCGACGGTCATCAGGTCACGACTATCAATGGGCCGCCTCCCGATTCCCTCATGACCGCCACGACGGCCCTGTTATCCCTAGAGGACAGTCCCCGCCATTTGATTGGGTCACGAATAACGTTTCTTTCCCGTCTGCGGGCCCTGTCTCAGATATTCATGGCAGACGCTCATTGGAATCTTCTGTTGGCACTGGACGTACGGAAGAAATCTTACTTGATCACGCTGCCTTTAAAGAACATGAGATCGCTATTCCCACAAACAGTGCCATAGGGTACATGAAGCCACCGGTGTCCCGTCGAGCTGTTGCCCCTAAGTGTACTACCTATCCGACGGATTTGGAAGGACTTGTGAGGTGGATTTCTGAGTGGCTTTATTCCGTTGTAAATGAATCTGGTGCTGAGCACGTCTCCCGATCTTTGTAAGTCTATTTTTTTCTTCTGGTGTGTAGTTGTTGAATGTATCCACCAGCGGCTATTTTACTCCAGCCGGAATCTGCATGTTAGCTGCCACGCGCATCCATCGGATCTTGAATGCGGTTTCTCATCCGGAAGACGTTGCTATTCTTGCTTTGTGGTACATCCTTCGTCTTACACAACCCACTAAGAGTTGTGCCCTGGGCTCCTCCAACTTCACTTTTTTTGACCATCTGGTTCGTTCTGGTGCCCATACCTTGGACGAAATCATGTTTCGCACATTTGTCACTGCAGCAATGTTGAGTGACAAATGTATCAATGATAACTCATTTTCAGCGAAGAGTTGGTTTGTCGCCTTTTTTTATCTTATTGTCCTGCTTTCGCTGACATTCATCTTTATACAGGAACAAGTTAACTTCGATATCTATGGCATCTCTTAACGAAGCCGAAATTTTTGCTTTACAAAAGCTAGATTGGAACACGCAAATCTCCAGTCATGAATGGGTGGCTTGGCTTTGGGATCTCCGTCAATACCATATTGTGGCAACTCGCCATGAAGCTGCTGAAGAGATAACTCGCGTCGCTGCTAACAACGTAGGACAGTTACTCGATCGTCTCTTGCTCACCGCCAGGATTCATGGCAGCGGAGAGTCTGCCGTTCTCATCACTCGTTCCCCGGACAATGTCCACATGTCCTCACCTGCCGCAGAACCCAGTCCCTCTATGCTGCCTCAGCCAGCAGAGTGGTGCCCAGAGGCTGATCCCATTTTTCACAAACAACAAAGGACCATCGGTGTTGCTCCTGGAGCATACAGAGCTCAATCGTTTCCTAAGACGACGACAACTGCTTTGGATCTTTTGCAGTCCATCATTTCCGTTCCCTCTCCTCCACTGTCCCACAACTTCTCTTATGGGACCGCATCCCCGCAGTTCCCACAATATGAACACTTCGATCATTACAACACAGGCAGAGCCACCACCTTCCCTGCGAAGTTTCAGCATGCTCCAGCTCCTAGCCACCTTTCGTGGATCGCTACCCAAGGATGATGCCTGCCAAGTTGTTTATTGTTTAGGATGCAGCCTTAATTGTCGCTTCAATGCCCTGACTGAGCCGCTACCATCTATTTCCTCTCATGTACACGGTTGCGCTGCCTTCCTTGCTTGTCGTATTGGAGTGGAGTGCCGAAATATTTCGAAGGATCGGGCGGTAACATGACTTCCCGCTGTCGCACCCAGGGTCAGGTCGGCTTGTCTCTTTTTTTTTGCCATTTTTTTTCTTGAGAAGGCCTCCTTACACTACTTTGACCTCAGTGATGCCTTTACGTGACATTCCACTCTGCGCTGTACCAGTTCAGGATTAATCACTTCCATCGGTCATGAGTCATTCAAGTTGTTATCCTTTATTTTTGCCAGACTTTCACTTCAGGCTTCTTTCTGGTCTGACGTGTCACTTTACTTAGTGTATACCTTTATCTACGTACCTATCACCAGTGGCAATGTGAAAGTTCTGGCATATTCTCTTCGTGGCGTTGTGTCGAGACTGATTCCTAAGACTGACTCGGAGACAGTATGACGCAAGCGTCTAACTTATAAAGAAAGCTGATTAGTCACTATCACGGCGCTGTGGCCAAGGGCTTTGGTTTTAGATGTCATCGCCATCCCATTAGGTCTTGCATTGCAACACAAAGCAATCCCATTTCGCGACTTACTTTTCCTCCACCACCACAAATCAAACCCATATTAACCTCACTATCGACACGATTGATAACATGACTGACGCGAGCAATCTCGCCGCTAAGATGGACGTAGACGAGGCCGCTATCGATGAGGGCTTGTACTCTCGTCAACTGTAAGCACCTATTCTTCCAATACTGTCTACTAGCAGATACTAATACTATCTGTTGATGTCAGATATGTTCTCGGACACGAAGGCAAGGCTCTAATATTCTTTATGATAATTCTTTGTCTAATATTCAGCATAGCGATGAAAAAGATGGCAACTTCTAACGTCCTCGTTGTTGGGCTCCAAGGATTGGGAGCTGAAATAGGTGTGATACATGCTCTTACATATCAATGATAATATCTGATAGAAATGTAGCGAAGAACATATGTTTGGCTGGCGTCAAGTCAGTGACTTTGTATGATCCTGAACCGGTCACTGTTCAGGATCTTGGAACGCAGGTTTGTCTCCATTGATTGTGAAAGAAATTACTACTGACAAATGAACTCTTGATAGTTCTTTTTGCGTCAAGAAGATATCGGGCAATCTCGAGCAGAGGCTACACTTCCTCGATTGGCAGAGCTCAATGCGTACGTCCCTGTGCGAAATCTTGAAGGCAAGTCTGGAGAGGAAATTACGCTGGATATTGTCCAAGCTTTCCAAGTATGCTCTGTGGTTCGATTTATAGCATGCGTTTCTGAGGACTAATATAATATATAGGCTGTTGTATTGTGTGGTGTTTCTTACGCCAAACAGCTCGAAATTAATGACTGGACGCACCAGAATGGAGTGTTCTTCGTTTCTGCAGAAACTCGTGGCCTTTTTGGGTATTTAACAATCATTTCCATCCCTTATTCTGTCAGATGGTCTGAGATTGCCTTATTTAGCTCTGTTTTCAATGACTTCGGTCCAAAGTTCACTTGCGTTGACCCTACAGGAGAGCAACCTCTCTCTGGGATGATCGTATCTGTGGAGAAGGTCTGTATTCTCAAGGCCTTGCCTTAATTGTGATTAAAAAGTTATTTAGGATAAGGAGGGACTGGTCACATGTCTCGATGAGACTCGCCATGGGCTTGAAGATGGTGATTTTGTTACTTTCAGTGAAGTGCAAGGCATGGAAGAATTAAATGGCTGCAAGCCTCGAAAGATATCCGTAAAGGGGCCATACACGTTTACCATTGGCGATACCTCTGACCTTGGCGAATACATCCGAGGCGGAATATTTACACAAGTGAAGATGCCAAAAATCATTGAATTTGTAAGTTGTGTCATCCATTCATTCTATGCCTTGCCTATATGACAATGTTAGAAATCACTTCGGGAGTCAATTCAATCACCAGAATTGTTTATCACAGACTTTGCCAAGTTCGAACGACCTTCCTCGCTACATGCTGGCTTCCAAGCGTTGTCCGAGTTTAGAGCCCAATACAAACGTCTTCCTCGCCCGCGAAACGCAGAAGATGCAACTCAGATCGTCGCGCTCGCCAAAAAGCTGGATGCAGAAATAGATGAGAAAGTTATCACTGAGCTGTCGTATCAAGCCTCTGGTGATTTGTCCCCAATAGTTGCCGTCATTGGTGGCTTTGTCGCACAAGAAGTCCTCAAGGCGTGCTCAGCTAAGTTCCATCCTACGGTACAACACTTATACTTTGATTCATTGGAATCACTGCCTTCCGTGCTTCCGACCGAACAAGACTGTCAGCCGGTTGAAAGTAGGTATGATGGACAAATCGCCGTCTTTGGTAAAGCATTCCAGGACAAAATTGCGAATCATCGACAATTCCTCGTTGGGTCCGGAGCTATTGGATGTGAGATGCTAAAGAACTGGAGTATGCTTGGTCTTGCATCAGGTCCTCAAGGAATCATCCATGTCACCGATCTTGATACCATCGAGAAAAGTAACTTGAATCGGCAATTCTTATTCCGTCCCAAGGACCTTGGGAAGTTCAAGGCTGAAGTAGCGGCAGTTGCGGTTGCAGAAATGAACCCAGACCTGAAAGGCAAGATAGTGAGCAAACAAGAACCAGTTGGTCAAGCAACTGAAAGTATGTGTCTTCGATGCGATTACTACTTTTCTGTTGACTGAGCGCTTGTCAAAGATGTCTACGACGAGGAATTCTTTGCCGGGATTGATGGTGTCACGAATGCGTTGGATAATGTAGCTGCTCGTGAGCATTGTATTTATCTCATAAGAGAAAGGATGCTGAAGCTAGAAATCAAAGGCTTATATATGGATCAACGATGCATTCTGTATGAAAAACCTTTATTGGAATCGGGGACATTGGGAACAAAGGGCAATACCCAAGTGATCATACCCCATCTTACAGAATCATACGCCTCCTCACAAGACCCTCCAGAGAAACAAACACCATCATGTACAGTGAAAAATTTCCCCAATGCTATTCAACACACTATCGAAGTGAGCATTCCTCATCATCCTCATTTTATCGTCTAATAAAGGTAAAACAGTGGAGTCGGCAAGAATTTACCAACATGTTTGTTCGACCAGCTGAGTCTGTGAACCAATACCTTTCGGAGCCAAATTTCTTGGAGACTACCCTCAAGTACTCCGGTCAACAAAAGGAACAGATTGAGCAAATAGTGTCATACCTCGTTACGAACAAGCCCTTGACATTTGAGGAATGCATTGTTTGGGCCCGTCTACAGTTTGAGGAGAAGTACAACAACGCTATCAGGCAACTATTATATAGCTTGCCAAAAGATGCCGTCACAAGTACTGGTCAACCCTTCTGGAGTGGTCCTAAGAGAGCACCTGATCCGCTTGTTTTCAACTCTAACGACGTAAATTATCTTAAGCTTTTTGCTTGTGTGATACTGATCTTATCCTACTAGCCTGTTCACCTTCAGTTCATTATCGCAGGGGCCAATCTTCATGCATTCAACTATGGCTTGCGTGGTGAAACGGATCCTGCGATCTTCCGGAAGCTCGCAGATTCTGTCATTGTACCCGAGTTCACCCCCAGGAGTGGTGTGAGTGTACAGATTAATGACAATGACCCAGTGGCTCAATCTGGTGGTGGTGGTAAGTATTCCTATAATATATCATTAGTCTGCTATAAACATACGGCTATAGGTGATCCTGATGATGTTTTGGAGCTTACCAAGAAACTTCCATCTCCCTCGTCTTTGGCTGGCTATCGTCTTTCTCCTGTAGAGTTCGAGAAAGATGACGACACCAATCACCATATCGACTTCATCACTGCAGCTTCCAACCTTCGCGCCATGAATTATAATATTCCAATTGCGGACCGACACACGACTAAGCAAATTGCAGGCAAGATCATTCCAGCCATTGCCACTACAACAGCTCTCGTTACTGGCCTGGTTTGCTTGGAACTTTACAAAGTAGGTTATGTATTTTTTTTTTGGAAAGCACAGTAATTCAACTTCGTTCATTCAACAGATCATAGATGGCAAGAATAAACTAGAGGACTATAAGAATGGTTTCGTAAACTTAGCCTTACCGTTCTTTGGCTTCTCTGAGCCTATCGCTTCTCAAAAGAACAAGTATGGCGAGACAGAATGGACCCTTTGGGATAGATTCGAGTTCAAGAATGACCCAACACTGAAGGAGTTTATATCATGGTTCAGAACGACCCACAATCTCGATGTTGGCATGGTGAGCCAAGGTGTTAGCATGCTTTGGAGCTCTTTCATTGGAAAGAAGAAGGTAATTGAAATCACGCTTCTCATCTGGATAATGGACAGATATAACAATATAACATCAGAGCGATGAGAGATTGCCCATGAAATTCAGCAAGCTTGTCGAACACGTCAGCAAGAAGGCCATACCTCCACACACCAAACACCTTCTGGTGGAGGTTATGGTATCGGATGAAGAAGGAGAAGACGTTGAGGTAAGCTATACCATGGTCATGTTTGTCATCTGTCGTTGATCTTGTCTTCGCCAGGTTCCTTTCATTGTTGTGAAAATCTGAGAGATGTTGGAAGAAGTTTGTCTGAAATGTATACGCAATAAATTAGATGCACTGTAACAATGTTTCGAAATACGGTAATGTCATGTACTCTGTATGTTGCAAGGAGTCGAAAGCCAACAAGCCCGTAGACTGATCCGTATCCTCCATATACCGATCTTGTGTGGCCAGGGCTGATTTCATCGCAGGTGAATCTGGACTTTCCATAATCATGATGTTCTATAAAGTCGCGTTATAGTCCGCTAGGCTGCATCATGCCTGATGAGGCTGATTCAATCTTTATTCTCGGACAAATTAAATATTCCATACCTGTCCCGTTCTGGAGGGACTTCTGTTGTCAATTTCCCCACAGAGCAGTCATGTGTGGCGCTGTCGTAAACCTTCGTGATGCCGCACAATGGAACTACTTCTCACTAACTTAATGTTATTGCCTTTCCAGTCAGAAATCAGTATACTCGTGACATCTCCTGTCTGCTCAGACGAAGACCCCAATGGAGTGGATTGATGGTATAAATATACGGAGAACAGATGATGCATGCCAACACTGAGGACCAGAATCAGTTGGAACAGCAGCCCTAACAACTATGGGGTGTCTACGCTCGTCTTTTCTTCTACTATGCGCTCTCGTCTCAACGAGCAGCCAAAAGTCTGTACCATCGGCGTATTTAGAACCAGAGAGCAAAGCTGTTGACTATGTCAATCCGTGAGTTTCTTCCAAGGGAATCGTGTTGCGAGAAAACAAGGCATGATCTATATTTTAAGGCTTATTGGGAATGGTGGAGATTCTCCGAACAATTCTGGCGGAATGATACCGTCTACTGCCCCTCCATTCGCGATGACTCGCTGGGTTGCACAGACAAGGCAAAACTATGTTTCGGTGACACCATACAACTATTCCGACACAACCATCCATGGATTCCAAGGCACACACCAACCTGCTATCTGGATGGGAGAAAGTGGGCAAGTGATTCTGTCTCCAGGAGCAGGACAGGTCCAACCCACCTTTGAGGACCGTGGAATGAATTTCAATCATGAAAATGAAGTTGCAAGTGTTAATTACTACAGTGTCGAAATGGATGCCCTCGAGGGTGGAACAGTGTTTGCGGAGCAAAGCGCAAGTATGTATACCAGCGTGAACATTGTCATGCCCTTTCTTGACAGTTCATTTATCTTCTTCGTTAGCCTCACGTGTCGGGCATCTCAGGTTCACCTTCAACGATACTAGTGACCCTTATATTCTTGTCGAAGCTACCAGAGCGTCTGTTATGGGCTCAGCCGACCCGTCGAACGTCACCTATCCCATAGGGTCGATTTTTATAGATTCTGATGCTCAAGAGATCACTGGAAGTAACCCTGAACGTCAAGACTTTATCATTGAACCAATATCAACCCCAGCGAAGAACTGGAGTGGATATTTCTGCGCTCGATTCGACCAGCCTTTTTCGGCGTGGGCAGTTGTTCATAATGGTACCGTGTTTGACGGAGAGAGCCAGGGTAATGGGACAACACTTTCTGGTTATGTCAAATTTGAATCCAACCTGACGACTGTGAACGTCAGAGTTGGAGTATCTTTTATATCAATCGACCAGGCAAGGAAGAATTTAGAAGCCGAAATACCAGATGGAACGACCTTAGAAGAGACTGCGAAAGTCACTAGAGTGGCCTGGGCGGAAAAACTGGATAGGATCCAACTTGAAGGCGCTACTTCTGATGAAATGCAGACCTTCTATACTGGTTTTTTCCATACTCTACAGGTTTTTATGTTTCATCATTTTAACGCATATATCTATCGCTCACTTCTTGTCTAGTATCCTTATGAACAGGATGAAGGTGGAAGGTATTATTCTGGCTATGATGATTCGGTCCACGTCGGCAGCTCGTACACTGGGTATTCCAACTGGGTGAGCTCTCGGTTGATCGTTGTCCTGTGCCATGTCTAATTGTTTGTGCGGCCGACCTAGGATACGTTCCGTGCAGAGTGGGCGTGGATTATTCTATTCGCCCCAGAAAGAGTGCCATCTATGGTTCAAAGTATGATACAGGATTACAAGGAGGTATGGTCGACCGCGATGTTTCGTCCATTTCGTCCAGCTCAATTGACATCTGGCAGGGAGGATGGCTTCCCATGTGGAAGAATATCATTGGTACAAAATGACATTTCCCTGTTTGAAGAAACTTTGACGTATTTTTCCACTTTTGCCTTAGAGACAAACATTATGGCACGTATAGCAGCCATGTACGGCCGAACTGTAAACCTGAAGATCATGATGATACTATACAGGTCGGAACGCATGCAGATTCTCTTGTTGCTGAAGCTGCCATCAAAGGAATGACAGGTTTCGACTTTGAGACAGCGTGGGACGCTGTCTATAAGGATGCCACAGTCCCTCCTGTCAATGATACAACGACGATGTAAGCCCCCGTAACATTGTACTTGACTGGGTTCGACCACTCCTGACGCATTGCTTCGGCATGGCAGATACTACGATCGCCAAGAGGTGGGCTAGACTTTACTTGACACTTGTGGTTCCCTTAAAGTTGTTGGCTGGTAGGATGTAGATTATGAAGTCCGTGCAGGATTAACATCCCTATACGAAGAAAGGGGCTGGGTTGCTAACGATATACATGATGAGTCTGCATCACGTACCTTGGATTACTCGTGTATGCTTCGGGCCCACTCGTAGCCACTTCCGATCTAACTTGCTTATTATTTATTATAGATGACGACTACGCAGTATCAATTCTAGCAGAATTTCTGAATAAGACTTCAGAAGCTGCTTTCTTCCGCAATCGCTCGATGACGAATCCTTGGTTGATTTTCAATGCCACATCCGGGTTCATGGAAGCTCGGAACTCAAGTGGAGCGTGGGCAGGATCAGCTGCCGGATGGACTGAGGGCGATGAATGGGTTTACACATTCGATGTGATACAGGATGTTCCCGGACTCATTCAACACAAAGGGGGGAATAACAGCTTCGTAACCTTTTTGGACGAATATTTTGACGGAGGTAAGTGCGACATATTCGGGATTTGTTCTTTAATTATACTTACGACGCGGTTGGAACATTGTTAGGCCATAATGATCCGACCAATGAGGCAGGTATCATGCCACACCCTAGCATTGCGTTACGCTAAATAGAGATTTTCATGACTAACAGCCCTCTCACCACATTCCATATCTCTATGCCTTGGCAGGAGCGGCGTCAAAAGGACAGGTGCGTATACGACAAATAGCCCAAAGCATCTATAACAATTCCGTCAATGGTCTGCCAGGCGTGCGTAATTCTCTGGCAGCATAATGCGTCATAATCTAATTTGTTCCAATAGAATGACGACTGCGGCCAAATGAGCGCATGGTATCTATTTAGCTGTGTTGGCTTCTACCCCGTAAACCCTGTATCCGGGGAGTACGTGGTCGGAACGTGCGTGTTGTCTACTTCACTGATGGTGACAGGTCACCGGTTGCATTCACTCACGCTTCTTTGTAGACCCTTTTATGACAAGGTGACCATCAACTTCCCGGGCTCGTCGAAACTGCTGGAAATATCTGCGCAAGGCGCTCCCAATAACGTCTATGTGAAGTCCATGCAGATCAATGGACAATCAGTGCAAACTCCCATCATTGAGCATGGGCAGCTCGTTGAGGGTGGTGACATCATATTCGAAATGAGTTCAGAGCCTCAGCCATGGGCTTCGGGCACTTTGCTCGATTTACTCAATGAACATTGAACATGTCACTCATTTTTTTTGGGCGAACTGTAACTCGAGGCTGCTTCTGTTCCAGTCGAAATGAACAAAATATTGTGTACTCGTAGCTCTCAAGATCGACAAATTTCTTATCACATGTTGGAATATGGCATAATACGATGGCATTAAGACAGAAAAATATGTACCACAATAGTAACTATGAGGCAAATTTCCTATCCTAGTGCCTGGGGTGGAAGGGCATAACTACTTACCTACGAATGGGAATAAAGGATAAGGAATCGCGAAGATCTCACTACGCGACCTACGTAGTAGGTAATAAGGGCAACTCGGAGAACGACAGTTGGAGATAAAAGAAGTGGGGAGATGCAAGAAGGGGGAGGAGCTACGAAAAAGAATGGCTGATAAATGTAATATTTTTGTAGCTTTACTACGGTGTTTTCTGCATGTTTTTGTGAGGTTTCGTGATGCGTTAGAGAGAGAAACGTGACGTAACAAACAATTGAAGGCAGAAAACTAAAAGTCATAAGAGTATTAGTGTAGCAGACGTCAGGGTACTGGATAAAACGGGAAAAAAAAAGAATACATCAACAATGAGAATAAAGAACCAGGGGGATGTATATGTTCAATCCTTGAACGTGGTATGGTTCAGGTAATGTCCGAGGATATTGATCAACTTCGACACCTAACCTTCTTGCGTGAGCTATGAAGGAGTAACAAAGTTCGCAATCCAACTATATAAATATGGGAAATTGCGCAACCGAGAATGGTGAAATCGAGAATAATAAATGACGCTGCGTCCCCAAAAGACAGGATGGATATGTCTTCACAGTTGGGTGACCGGGATCAGATAAACAGAGTCGCGACGAGGGCGAAAAAATCCAGTATGCACAGACGACGAAAATTGAGAGGCATGAACAAGAGAGTGGAAATTATGACACCCCGGAGATGCGATGTCTTCGAAAGGCGAAAGAGCCGTTATGTATGTTGACGGGGGAAAAAGGATAAAAACATGGTGTCTATTGGTGCAGACGGTGCTGCTCACGGTGAAAGGGATATATGGAAGAAACCTTCAACAAGCTCGTAACCAGATCGACTGATGATTGACGCTTGGGTGAGGTCTAAAAAGATGTCTGTAAGCCGATGCCGAGTAGCCATAGTGGTTTGAAGTGGGCCAGGAGTCAACTTGAGATGGTTGGCCAACCTCGTTTGTAGTCAAATGCATATTACCGCCTCTATAGTTGTACTGAGAATATGATTGCGAACGGACGTGGCCACGAGCCTGGGAATTGTCCTGATCATAACAGCATTGCGATTGCGACCGCGAATGTGCGAGAACGGCTGACGCGTCGCAAGGGTAAGGTGGAACGTATTGAGAAAGCGCATGGGGGAAAGGGCCAACATCAAACCCATAGCCTGTCATCATCGGTGGCGGCTTCACAGGGACGTAAGCTACACCGGATGTCCAATCATAAGAAGCTGGAACGGGAATCGCATACTGCGGCGCAAGTGACGGCTGAACAGCTACATATTGGCCACTGGCCCGATTCCTCTCGCGCATTATCGGCTCATCTCCTGCGGGGCTCCATTTGGCAGGAGGCGGTACAGCTCTATCCATATTATAGGTTCCATCAAGACGCTTCTCAGTATGCTCGAAATGAAGCCCAGGGACGATACGTTGATCCATGTTTCGATGAGCGCGACGTCTGGGTAGATATTCTTCCCTAAGCGGCCCATCTTCATCAAGATCAATTTCATATACGTCAACTGAATGTCCACTGGATGCTTTATCACAGCCAAACTTTTCTTTCCTGCGCTGCTCTAGCCCAAGAAACACGGGTTGCAAATCGATGTGATTAAGGCTTGCAGGTGCTTCGGCGATTTCCTCTATCACCTTGCGTATCACAGAATGAGGGCTGGCAGAAGGCCGAGATATGGGTTGAGGGTGAGGACATGCAACGGAACGGTGGTAAGACATCAGATGGGCGAGCCACTCTGACCAAGCTACTGGCGTGACCGAAAGATCATGAGTGAAAATATCGAGTGCCAAAGACTCCAGCTTGTTTAGCGACTGGATTGGAACATTTGAAATGGAGTGCCTACAAGCATTGTTTAGTTGAATTGTGCGCAAGGAAATTTAAGAAATAAATATACCATGTCTTATTAGAGAATGTATGATCATCGAGCCACTTATTTGCGAGCATACAGCCTAGCAGGATAAGTCTGAATAGGATGTTCCTCTCCACAGCTGTTCTGTCATCAGTACCGTTTCGCGTATCTTCAAGTAATTCGGCCCTAAACCGCAGTTCTTTAACGTGTTCTGGGCCTAGTCCAACCGCCCCAAAATAAACTGGTAAACGGGCTATGTACCATACGGCTAAAAGCACTGCCGAAGGTTGCAACAATGTTGACAGAAACAACGAATGCACCGACTCTACCAGGCCGGCTGGCGGCGCAGCGGAGTAAGGGTTGGTGGTAGTGGGCCTGTACAGATTATGAATCAGTTCGTTTGTATCACAAAAACAACAGTAAGAGTGACGCACATGTATACCGCAAATCCAGGAGCTTGACCCGTGCCGGTTGTACAGACCTTCCAAACGTAAGCAACAATCCATTGAGCCAGCGGTTCCGCGAGCTTCCTGTATGGCATACTTGCTGTAGTAGGTGAAGTGGGTTCCTCGATGGCTTTGGTTGATTCTACGTGTGTATACGGTTGACATTGGTAGCATTGAGGTCCACAAACATTCGTGTATGCATAGAGCGACTCCACTGGTGCAGCGCGTATTGGGTCAACAGACGCGTACGTTTGAGTAGCAGCCACTGCACGATCAATATATTCGCCAAAGGGAGTGAGTGGTCCAATAGGACTAGAGCCAGCATCACCAATGTCTACCATGTCAGGTGATTCTTCCTCAAGGACGGGTGAAAAAACACCTAGTCGTTCGTCGTACCTTGATCCGTCACGGGGAGGCCACATACAACCATCAAGGTCGGGACTCTCCATCTCCAAATCATTTTCATTGCCCTCGAGAGGAGAACTTGCACTCCACTGACTCTCATGATCGTATATAAACTGATCATCGATGGAATGACTGAAGTCCATATCTTCATCCATATCTCCCTCTGCCTCCTGGGGCAAAGAGGACGAAGGCGAGATGGATCCTAAACTACGATTCCGTAGAAAAGTACGGGCGGGCGGAATACACGCTTCCACGTGTGCTCCTTTAATAGGAAGCGCGTTATCCGCACCAGCTAACCCTTGACAAAAATGTGAGGTAGGAATGTCTCGAGCGCTATGATGGGCGTTCTGCCAGATCTGGCGCCTCTTGCTTCTCCTCCAAGAAGGCAGGGAGTTGATCCACTCCTCACGAGTGCCAAAGGAGGGAGGGGGGCCGATTGGAGGAACGGGCAGAGAGTGGGTGATTCGATGGAAAACCGATGGTTTAGTTTTTGTAACGTCGCCAGATTGGATGTATTTGTGAACTGGGTGCGCAGCGGCCTTAGCGGCAAGTGGTACGGGAACTGGCATCTGAAGGGTGAAAGAGACAGAGACAATTGCCAGATGCACGAGAAGTGCAAAGGCAAGAGTATCTCTGGTCTAAAAATCCGAGCTCCTTAATAGGAGACAAGGCCGGAAGGGAAGAAAGAGTTCGTGAAATCTGTCGTGAACGAGTTGGGGGCGAGAAAGAATAGAAGAAAAGGCTGAACCGAGTCGAGGGGATTGGCAAACGCGCAGCAAAGGCGTGCCTTTTAGAATGCTCCAAGCAGATGAAAGCAGATGTTGAACAGAGCAGAGCAAGACGTCGCCACCTGAATTTCCAGCTTTTGAACCACGTAGAGAACCTCTATAGCGAAAGATTGGGATTAGGATGCCCTCCCAGTCGACGTCGACACTGTCGTTGACGATGAGCTGAAGCAAACGAGTTTTCTGGCGAATACGAGACCGACGAATGGGGGGTCGATCCACAGCCAAGAAGGTGGAGGCGAAGGTTCCCTGGAAAACTTTTCTTATAAAAGACCACCCCACTTTGCTTATGTCAGCCGTTCCCATTGGCCAAATCGGTTTTGATCTCCTTTGCCCCTACAGCGTCTCCCTGCGCAGCCTGTTTCACGCCCTTCTAACACTAAAATGTCTGCAAACCACGTCAGACTGTTGCATAATGAACAGCGCTCTGAGCCTCTTTGGGGTCCACACGTTGTAACGCTACATGTTCCACCTACAGCTCATTACGCTCCATTACTGAATCCAGCCGACTCGGAGCCCGCATTACACGATATCACCTGTGTTACTCAACACGGCAAATTGCACGGGATACACGGTGGGCATACGTCGCACACGCAGGCTATTATTTGCAGTGCGGCTCCGTATGCCTTCTCTTTCTAGGAACTGTTTCCCCGAATGGACTCGGGATCACAATGGCATGATGGGCATGACTCAAGCGCACCTCCCTAATAGGCATCCCAGGAACTCTACCAAAAGCCTGTGGCTCCTTTCTTTGTCTGCGTGATGACTTTTTGCGGGGTGATACCTGGTGATACAGCTGATATAGCCATGGATACGCCAACGGACACCATCTTGATCGGGAGAATAATATGGATCCTAGCCTCGTTATCGATTGATATCCATCTGCCCAGTAGTGGCTGTATTGTACCAAGAACTTGGAAGTTAATGCGGCCGATAGAGAAACCTCATTGTCACGCTATCACATACGCCGCATCAAAGGCAGCACAGTCATAAGGAGCATAATGTAATGATCCCAGACCCACATGTCCTTCACATGTCTCCTCCAGTTAGAAATGTTCTCACTGCGATTAGAAAAACTCAGCAGGACAATGCGGCGCGGAGTCCGGTGGACGTATTACAATTAATAGCGGTTATTATTATCATGTAACTAGTAATCAGACCAACCTTGAGAGGAAATGGTGTAAGAAGTCGTTGAGTCAGGAAAAATACGTGGCAACACGTGATGCGGAAACGGGATTAATCGTTTGTAGCTATTGTGATCTGTTGAATTCACAAGGCTTTGCCAAACAACGTATCACAGGAAGTACTCATTTCAGTCATTGTACCTGCGAACCTGCATCGGCAGGATCATCGTGCTATCATGTCTTTCATCCAGCCTCCCCCATACGCTACTGGCTCGCATCAAGATGGTACGACATCATCTCAAGCAGTCAATCTCGACTCTATCACACTTGGCCAACTAAAGGCCATGGTCATCTCGGCACCTAAACCTAAGGTGTGTTCCCTGGCAGTATTATTAATATACCCGCCATTAATCACTGCTTCGTGATCAGCAATCATACTATGACTTTCGCTACGATGACGAAGATACTGTCATGAATGAAATCGACGAGTTCTATTCTTACGTAGAGATGCCTCAAGTTGCAGAGAACCTGAAGGCTTGGGAAGGCTCTTTCCCCGGAGGTATGTGTGCTTTCTCGTAGTCAACTAACCAAGCAAATTGAAATAATATTTAGAGTGGACTAATTCTGATACGACACCCGCCCAAAGAAAGGCTCACGTCGAGGTATTGTTGGAAAGCCTAGAACATCGTGATGCAGAGATCCGTTTTACAAACGCTCGGAGATTGTTTTACGTGCTTCAAGGTGACAACAATTAAAACAATCGAAAATCTCAGCTCTAATATATGTGTTCTAGGAACTTTTGCAGAAACGACATCCCCAGAGCATCAGCTACACTGGATATATGAAAACTGCAAAGTTGTCCGATCAGCCAATGGTCTAAGTACTATCGTAGAATCTATGAAAATTGCCAGTCAAAAGCATGATCTTTTATGGTTCGTGCTCATTCATTTTTTTGCGTTCATGTTACCCATTGTTTGCACTTCTTGTTACAGTTCACTTTCGGATGCGGATGCAGCTCATTACCATATCACGCCTGCCGAGAAATCCGATTTTCTTGAGGAAGTTACGACTGAGATCTCGGTTTACCTTGGAATGATGTACCATTTAATTGAGGTTTTTAAGGAGCGCGATGATTTTGCTGACGAACTAAGTGAGTAGCATTTTAAGTGCAGTATTTGGACAGTCTGATCAGTCTACAAGTGAGTATGGACCCTCCTCTTCCTGTATACCTCTTCAACGTCGTCTCTGGACTCAAAGATAAAAGTGCCAAGGGTTATCCGATAAAGAAGGTTTGCTCAAGGCCTTAGACATAGCACCTCGATGGCTCATTAACTTTCTAGCTGCTGTTAGTTTTGTGGAAAACCATCCTAGCTTGTTGCGGTGGAGTTCGGGAATTAGCACGTGCCAAAGTCGTCGCTCGCGAGTTAGCAAACCTGCCGCTGATTCCAAATGAAGGTATTGCTCTTACAGATTCACAAATTCACAGATGTTCAATACTTGTCTCACCTACAACCCGCAGCCATACCAATAAAGTGCTCGCCCGTTGATATTGAAACTTTCCGTCAAGAAACTTCGGTCAAATATCCCACGTTCACGCCTCTCCCACCACCTTCCCGGCCAGATGCACCAGCCTCGAAACCCTCTTTGATACTTCCCACGCCCAAGTTGGCGCAGGCATATTCTCCGATTCCTGTTCGCCATCATTATCACCACGACGACTCTGAATCGCACCATCAGAGTCTCCAGAACTCTCTGAATCAACCATTTCATTCACAACAAGGTCAAGGTGGATACCGAACAGGTCCCCAACCTCCCACGCCAGCACCCTCTCCCCCTCCCTCTCCCAAACCAAAGAAACAGCAATATCAGACAGATCCGAACAGGCCGTTTTTGTTTCCCTTTTCACGGAGGAGCCGGTTTGGCAACAAAGATGCTGGCTTGGTTCCATTTGCAATCGGCGAGGCAGACAAGTTATACAACAGGCACATGTATGTGAGTCTGGCACTTTGGCAGATGTGGCGGACCAGGGAAGATTGTATGACGGCGGAGAGCGGTTTGGAAGCTATGCCCGAGCCCGGGGAGTCTGATCCGTCTAAAGTTGTGCCTGAGGTATTCGTAATCTCTTGATACTATAGACGGTTACTGAAATTATTTAGGACTCTGAAACTGCGGAGCCGTTGCCAGATATTGCAATGCTGGATGTAAAAATTGCTGACGCAACTGCTGCGGTCGCGGGTGCTCAGTCAAGCACGGAAGAGCGCAAAGCAAGGGAGAAGAAGGAAGACCTAATGCGGTTAAGAAGGGTTGAACAGATATATGTAAGAGTCTCATTATTGATAGCGGGAAATGATTTCTAAAGCATATAATCTTAGAGTGCCGTTTTACCTGTCTTGCCAGGCTGGGTTCTGGTGTTGTTGAAGCTCCTTTTGGCAACCGTTTCGGCTGGAACAAATATCCAACAAGCTCCACAGTCATCTACGTCTTCAGTCTTTCCTCCAGGAGTTTCTTCGCGTAAGGGGTTCACTAATTTTCGTTTTACCTGGGATGTTCAATAGGATTATGTTCTAGCCCCAGAACAACCGCCTGCTCCGCCCCCTACCTTGGATGACATAGATGTAACGCGCCATCGCGAGATTACATCGAAGGCGGTTTCTGCTATCCTTTTGCTGATTTTGAAATGGTTCAAAGCCTCGCGTAAGTGTTTATGGTGGCTCTTTCATGAAAATCGTTCTCACTTGAACTATTAAAGATGTGATGAAGTTCCATCACCTGGGACAGCTCCTGCTTGACACTAATTGTTTACTATTGATTCTTAAAATGTTTGGTTTGCAAGAAGTATCAGTTTCTGTCGTATCTAAAGCCGATTCACCAGATCACAAGTTAGTACCTTTGGCAGATGTCTATGAAATAATTGTCTAATTCGCCCCGTAGCTTCTTCCGATACTGTCAGATTCATCACGCCAAGGGGTTCAACCGTTTGCCAGAAGACAAGCCTCGTGCTCCTCTTCATGTTGTAGTACAAACCAAGAATTTGCCTAATGGGCAGAAGCATGAAGAGGAGGTAGAGATGTTGACAGATTTTTCGTGGCGTAACTTTTTTTCGACGATTAATTTCGCCAAAATTATGCAGAAATTGTCTAAAGGTCGGTCACATCGTATTTGGATGCTTGTTCAGTACAAGAGCTCGGTAAGTTTTCTGTGTTAACATGTGAAACTCCATGTACGACTAATCGCTAGGCCGTCTTGAAACGAGTCCTCCGGGTGTCACACCCCATGCTTCAGCTGCATGTGCTGAAGCTTATCAAGAGCCAAGTGCCCTTCTGTGGTCGGAAATGGCGACAATGTAAGCTGAATAAGGTTTGGTGGTGCCGGTTCCTTGCTTATCTTCTGTCCTAGCCAACATGAAAGTCATCACATCCATCTATCTGAATTGTAGGCCAGACCTCCGTGACGAGTGGCTGACAGGCACGGAAGTCGATGATATCTCCGATGCGCAAGTAAGGTTGCTAACTCTTATGCAAAAGTAGAAAAAGCTGAGTATACTACTTTCAGGCCCAAGAGCAAGCGTTACGCCACTTAGTAAAGTTCTGTGAGGAGTCCCACTCTCTTTTATCTTACCTAGCAGTTAAACGTCTAATTATATATAGATAACAACAAGAGATATGGCCCGCAGGCAGTCAGCCAACACAACCAAGCCCACAAACGATCCATTAGCATGACTCATAATTTAGAAGGACTTCCTCCTGGTCTCGAATTAGGCAATCTCATTCGCCCTCTTGGCACTCCCAATGTCGTGGAAGCAGATGTGTTTCCGCCTGCCCGTTCTCAAGCGCCTGATCCTGCTATCTTTTTACCATACACTACGGAGGATATTGCCTTTGAGGAAGAGTATGAAGAGTACTTGTCCGACCTTGGATGGTCCGATGAGCATACAGATGGTCCATTGTTCGGTGGTATCTCGAACTCTGCCTGGCACAGACTTCCGGAGTTCATTTCCAGCATCACTGATAACATCAGTGACAGCGAAAGTGTTGTATCTATTGGTGATCTTGCTGATGACTCCCGCATGGACGTCGGCAGAGATGATCGTGATATACCAGATGAAAATCTGAATAACTGGGAGGTATAGGATATTTTTCTTATCCGAGATAGCATCCACTCATTTAGTGTTTAGCACATGAGTCCCAAAACTATGGCGGCACTGCCCAAGTCACCTGCAGGTAATAGGCGTTCTAGCTCAGGTGGAGGACTTCGCCCTGTCTTGCCCTTTGGGCTTGACGATGGCAGCGCTCTTGATCCTGATGAGGATGACGACGAATCGGAGATGGGACCTGTGCCACGAGAACAATCCGGTCCATTTGCATCTGGTGGTGGAGTGGATGAGGTAGAATATGTTTATGGGTAAGTTGTCCAAGTTCCAGAATTTCTTAAATCTGACGGCTGTATAACTAGACTGTAGTGTTTAATTCTGAGGCTCAGATTGGGGCTGGCAGTTATTGGGGTTACTTGTAGGCTCATGTTTCATGGTTACAATATCACGCATATATATGCTCTGTATGAATTACAATAAGTACGGTAGCCTGAGTGAAGATGTGAACCTTTTTCAAACTGCATACGTTTACAATACTCAGTTTGTGTTTGGCTTGTAAACAAATCTGCCAAGCGCCTCTTCAATGAAAAGACTGGGATAACCCCACGCTCACGAACTCGAAAGTGGACATTATTCCTGCTGACAAGGAATTTGAACGGCTTGGCAGAATATCCAATACTGTCACGTTGGAATTACGACCATAACTACTATACATCGGAGGACGCAGAACACAAACATGAACCTGAATGCAGTATCGCTTTTTGGCTCATCGCCAACCCAGTCCATGTCGGCGATTGCGTCGGCCTCAAGCAGCTTGCATCCGACCGCTACCGTACATGCGCCTCTAACAGAGGATCAATCCAAGCCAAAGCTGAAAAGGAACAGGATAACATTGTGAGTTCTATTCTTTTAAGCTAAGACAATGTAATAACTAGACACCTACATCAGGAGCTGCCAACGTCAGTATCAGTTTCTTTCTTCCAAGTCATAAAGTGCTTACCAGTTGGCGATAGCATGTCATAAACGGAAACAACAGGTGCCGTCTCATTCCAAAGAATTTCAGTACATCTACTTACGCGTTGTTACGCAGTGCGATCGTGGTCAACCGTGCTCAAGATGGTTAGATTTTGTGTCTATGGAGGTGGCTTGGAACTGAATCATAGTGGTCTGTAGCGTCAAGAGGGGTACACAAGAGGAATGCAATTATGACCAACCCAACAAGCGGCGGTCATCACGCGAAAGGTACGGATGTCTCTCGTGAATGCTTGGTGGAATTTCACATTTTACATAGTGATGGAGCTGGTTCTAACGCCTCCGACCGAGTTTCCCAGTTGGAGTCCCTCGTTCAAAGTACTCTAGGAGGCTTGGAACCTAGTGCATTGGCCGGACTGGATGCACTTCTACAGCTTGTGCAAGCAAGCAATGCCATTAATTTCCCTGCCGCGCATTTGACTGGTCCTGGATTGGCCGATTCTACTAGAGTAACTGACCACGCAGTTCAAGTCGCTGCAGCAGCTCTTGGTCAGCTTTCCCAACAGGGTACCTCGGTGCCATCATCATCTGCAGTGCCTGTCTATAGCCCTCTTTCAGAAATTTTAGGTCATGTATGGAAGCCTCATTTGTCTTATACTTCGCATTCACCGTTGTATTTGCAACAACAGATAAGAGGACCTGGGAATCCTCATGCACCCTCGATACCGGCGACATTGGCAGATTTACGGAACCACTTCCCTAATCATGCTATCACCAACTACCTACTAACCCATTTCTTTGAAGGCTCATCTATACAATGGCTATGGGCCGTCGTCCATCGACCCGCATTTGATAGCTGTTATATTTCCTTTTCTTCTGGCCCGCATCCCCCAAACATCGATTTTATTGCCCTCTTGGCCATTGTTTGCGCCTCGGCATTGCAATTTCTTCCTGAAAGTGATCAAGATGCAAGGACATTTCACATCGATGGCGGTTACGTTCGCAGTTCTTACACCGTTGTTGCAGGTCCAGATATTTGCTCAGTATGAGTCTGGAAGACATGTTCTGAGGAAACGATTGTATAATTTTGCTCACTCCGTTCTTGTGAACGGTGAAATCGCCTCATATCCGTCGATCGAGCGGATACAGGCACTACTCCTTCTGGCTATATATCTAGAGGTATGTTTTATCAAGAAATTGTTCATTCACCAAGCGTAGCAGGTGAACGATAATCTAGAACGAGGGGGATTCGATGGAGTCCTATAACGTGACTGGTAGGTAGTAGTCAAACGCACAATATATGTCAGCAGGTGCTGTAACTAACAAGTGTTTAGGTCATGCTGTCCGTATGGCACAAACTTGTGGGTAACATTGCCGTTAGCTATGGAACTTTTTGTCTCATCAACGTGTACAGTGGCTCTAAATCGGGATGGTCAGACTACATGGCAAATGAAACCGTATGAGGCAGAAATAAGGAGGCGGCTGTGGTGTAAGAATACTCCGTTTTATCTATCCGTTCGCTCATGTCAATCTACTTAGGGACGCTTTTGATTCTCGACCGGTAGTTTCTTCTACATTTCGTCTTTGAATGAGGCCTTACGCTGTTATCTAGATTTCAGTGCTTTTACCTGCGTCGTCCTTATATCATACACGAACACGTGCGGCCTTGCTTTCATTTTGGAGAGAGAAAATCTAACCTAATGCATCTTCAGCATTGTGATGTTGCGATCCCCCTAAATTTAGACCAACTGGAGCTACGTGATATCGCTGACCTTTCTGGGAAAACATTGGAGCAACCCACCGATTACAGTAAGACGGAATTTCATTCATTAAACTGAAACTTTTTTTAAATATCATTGGCCTGGCTTAGCATTCCAAATTCTTCAAATTCACTGGGCTCAAATCATTGGGAGATTATGGGATAGATGTTTTAGCATAGAAATTCCATCTTATCGCAAGATCATTGACCTCGAGGACGAAGTGCGGAGATATGAGTTAGACTTACCCACATCCTTTCGTTCTCAGACTGTGCAAGGCGCCCTAGTACGACCGTATTTGATCTTTCAAGTGAGCCCCAGTAAATTCAGACTTGTTGGATCTCACGCTTCCTGTAGAATCACTATCTCACCCTACAAATCTATCATCTTCGAATTATACTCTTGGTGAGAACAATCTCAGCATCATCTCAAGCTGTGATTGATGGTGTTGTATAGCGCACATTCCTGTTCATCAAAGGCGACAAGGAAACTCACACAGAAGAAGAGGAGAAACTTGTTGTATTTCATCGCCATGCCAAGGCCGTCTGTCTCACATTCTGGTACAGCACATATCTTACATGCTATTTTATTTCACTGCATTAGCTTACTCGTATGACGATTTTAGTAAAAGGCTGTTAGCTTTGCACCAATTGGTCCAAAGCCAGGTTCACCGGGCGCAATTGCGCTGGTCCTCTCTGGTCCTCTGGACTTTTGATGCAGCATGTGAGTAGTTTGTATTGTGCCTAGGTGCTGACAGTGTTATAACAAAAGAAAACAGTGGCTCTTGCCTTTGCGATAGTAGTGGACCCTCATGACGACCAAAACGAGGAACTTGACGAGTGGATAGCACTAGCAGAGAGCCTCCTACAGAATCTACGACCTTATAATGTAATCGTGTCAAGCGTTGTGGAGTTTGTCGCAGTGCTGCGAAAACGCACATGGATAGTTTTACATCCTGAGCTTGCTGCAACGGAGAACACCAGTGATCCCAGTTCCACAGATTATGGTGGCCTATCAGTCGCATTCTCCTACCCTGTCGGATCATCAATGCAGTTTGTGGAACGGGCCACAACGATTCTTGCACGGCCGCAGCCTTCTCTGCTTGACCTGTTGGGTCAGAAAGAAGTTGACGATCCATCATGGACCACAACACCAGCGGCTGTATATGCAGGAAACTTCCCTAACTTCGACACGTTATGTAGTCCTACAAATCCACAAACGCTAGATGGCTTTCTCGATACTTGCATCTCCAAGTAATATATACACTACTAATCTCAGATATTTTACATTATCTTTGCACACTTTTGTCGCTATCATGCATATATGTATATGCTCTCATTCCCCACGTATTGATTTAACCGTCGCTACCGTAGTAAATCAGGTGAAAGTCGATCTCCGAAGAATCCAAGATGAGAATACCAGACTTCGATCATCAGAATGTAGCTTTCGTTCTTGAAATGGCCCACGGGCTTCCAGCCTCGTAGAAATCCATGGGGTAAATACCATCCTTCATTCTCGCTTGTCCCTGCTTAGACTCGTCCACCCACCCCTTCGCCTGGCGAACAGCAACTGATGTCTCGTACGGGCTTAACAGCGGTCGGTCAAAGGCATATCCCCAGTCGATGGATAACCTTGGACAAGACGTCTGAATGAAAGTTGATATATGGGGGTTGAATAGAGCTAGCTTTGCAGGAGAAAGCTCAGACAAAAGTATGGGCATGTATGATATGGGAACGCGAGAGGTGGATAGCTGATTAGTGATGGCTTGGAGCTGCTTGAAGCTGCCCTGTCTTCCTAAGGTCCCAAGGATAACACCCCATATCGGATCAGCCAGGTTATCAAGCGAGGTGACGGCTTCGACGACATCAGCAGAGTCAGATGAAAAGGCAGCTAGACTCTTTCTAGCTGCCTGAACTGCTTCATCGCGGACTGTCCTCATTTCCTCGTGGTTATAACGTTCCCTTGTCAGTTTTTTGGAATAAGGATCATATCGGAAAGCCGGAACAGTAGGGTTTGCTATCATGATGGATTCAAGGTGAAAGCGGCCATCACCAAGATATCTATGTTTAAAGAAGGTATTTAAAAAAGCTGATTAACCAGGGATAACAAATATGTTACGCACATCAGCGCATCAACATCATCGAGGCGTGGTGCCGTGCACCCTAATATTTCTCCAGGTGATAGAGGCTTGGATCTCGGTATAGTAGCGTGATATTTCCCGGTCCATATATTGTTGCGCGTAGATGCAGTCTCGGTTACCTCGGTGGAGTTGGAACTCGACGAAGCCCGAAGAAGACCGGCAGTATCATCTAAGCTAGTGCTCTCAACTATAAGGTCCTCTTTGAGCCTCTGAAGGGCCGCTACAAATTGTATTGTAGAAACCAGCGCTAGCCGCGTGGGTTCATGTGGCATATTCGACGAAGTACTTTCAGGTTTATCTGGGTTCGCGCTAGATTGACTGGGTCCTTCTATCCGAAGGTGAGCAGTCTGACCGATTTGACGGCCGGTAGGGATTTGACTATCAGTGTCCTCTGAGTCCAATAAAGTTTCATGAAATATTTGGCGGTCGTTTGGGAAGTTGAGGCGAATAGTCTCTGTGAGATGTGATGAATCGATTGCTATCTCGACAAAGATGTACAACGTCTTAATCGATGTCTGGTCAATTGGAACTAGTAGGTTATCAATCAGCATAACCAGGAGACGCGCATGACAAACAAATGCATACTAAGACAACTGTGACCATAGTGAACAAGCATGTCGCAGCCCAGCGCAGTAGCTGTGTAATCGTCGATGCAACATGCACCGTATGTGACATCGCCCATAATGACAGTCAGTGCTTCGGTGAAACTGTATGAGATGGGAATCAGTTTAGTATCTCGTCTACGGATATGGCGTTCATCACCTGCGCACCGCTCGATAATGTCCGCTATTGTACAAGCAAACATCTGCAGACCTTCGGGCATCTGAAGCGCTACCATCCGTGCCTTGTTCTTTCTGATGTGATGGATAGTTTTATGGATTTCGAAAGAGTAATTGGAAGGGATCTGATTGATAGCTTCATTGAGAAGGACGTCTGTCAAGATATCCTCAGGTATTTGGTTCGCTACGGTTGCAGCAAGTCCTGGCTTGGATGGAGTAGCAGATTTTGATCCTACAAACCGTTTGCGAGGCTTTGCAGCATTCTTTGTTGGTTTCGTGGACGTTCCGTCAGTCAGGATAGCCTTTGGTTCTGCCATTTAAAGGTTGTAAAGGCTGAGCAAACTTGAAGGCTGGAGATTGGACTGAGATTGACTTTGGAGAGATTGACAGAAAAACATGGATATGATTACTCCGGGCCACGTGCCCATATTATTTAATCCCGCCTTTTACTTGTCGCGTCACTTTGTCAGAATCGCGTGTTCCCGACCGTCTCAACCGAACTGCAGAGGCTTTACTATTACTCTTTCCTGGACTTGTCATTCAACCTCTTGCAGATTTACGAATTTGCTGTCCTGGCTACAACAATACAGTTCTTGGCTTTCAATACACATAATGTCGTTCGGGGATGGAAGAGAAGAGGGCCAATGTGCGATGAGGGGCTCGTGTGGGACCAAAGGCTGGTTTGGCAAACCTCTTCCTTGTCCGTACGATGGTCCTCCGGTAGAAGTAAGCACCTTTTGCATACATTTTCTTATATCTCTTATGGTTTTCTTATAGCCTGAAGAAGAATCGGATACTGCTCGGGCACTTCTCGTCTCGGTCTGTGGCGCTGAATTCGCCCAAGGACCCGCTTGTTGCACATCCAACCAAGTAGAAACCTTACGGGACAATCTCAACCAGGCAGAGAATATCATAGCATCATGTCCCGCTTGCCGCAATAACTTTCGCTCATTCTATTGCTCTTTCACATGTTCTCCTTATCAAGCTTCGTTTCTGAACGTGACAGCTACGCAACAGTCTGGCACTGGCGAGACTGCTGTAAAGTCTGTAGACTTCTTTGTCGGAGAGCAATTTGCATCTGGCTTTTTCAACAGCTGCAAGGATGTACAGGTCGGCGCTACGAACGGTTATGCGATGGATCTAATTGGAGGAGGAGCAACGAATTATTCCGCCTTTCTCAAATTCATGGGAGATGAGAAAGCGCTTGGGAGCCCCTTCCAAATCAACTATCCAACTAGCAACCCTCCGGAGTTCAGCACGCTAAATCCACTCCCAAGGAGTTGCGTAGACAATGATTTGTCTAGTCGTTGCACTTGCATTGACTGTCCTGACGTTTGTTTACCCTATGTCCCTCCCCCTAATGAATCGACCTGCCAAGTTGGAGGTCTCACGTGCCTTTCACTCGCTTTGATTATCGGCTACTCTCTGGCCGTCGTCGCCTTTCTGCTTGGATACGTCCTACAACTCGCCATACGCAAGCGCAGGGAAAAGAGGTATGAGCGGATGGTCTTATCTGCCGATACCGCGTCGATCCTGTCACCAAGGTCCCACCCTCGTGGCCTTGTAGGTGCCGTATCTCTTTCGCACGCAGACGGGGACGATTCATTGGGCGCTCAATCCTCGGATTCTCGACGCCTTGGACGAGGTGTTTCTCTATTAGACCCTATAGAAACGGTACAGCCCCGTCAATATCGTTTGAACAACGTCCTCAGGCGTTGCTTCTACCGGATGGGTCTCACAGCAGCCTCATATCCTTCTTTAACATTCGCCGTGGTGTTCCTCGTGGTCGGACTTCTCAATCTTGGCTGGAAGAACTTCGAAATTGAGACTGATCCGGTGAGATTATGGGTTGCACCAGATTCGGAGAGCAAGTTGCAAAAAGAATTCTTCGACGAGAATTTCGGTCCTTTCTATCGTCCTCAACAGATTTTCGTCACCGCTATTCCGGGAAGTGTTCATGAAGCTGATTCGAATTCCTCTCTTATTTCTATCAACCACCCCCCAGTACTTTCATGGGATCGTTTGCAGTATTGGTTTGAAGTGGAACAAGATATCCGCTCCCTTCGTTCCGAGCCCAACGGTTATCAACTATCTGATGTGTGCTTTAAACCTGCCGGCCCGCAAGGAGCCTGTGTCGTACAATCTGTTGCTGCATGGTTTGGTAATGACCTTGATGACTATGATGAAGATACCTGGGCAGATCATCTCACGCAATGCGCACGTTCTCCAGTAGACTGCTTACCAGATTTCCAACAGCCATTGGCTCCTCAGTACGTGCTAGGAGGTGTCCCTGAAGCTGACTCAGGTGTCAAGTCTTATCTCGATGCAAAGGCTTTGGTTGTTACATACGTGGTTTCTAACTCCTTGGACGAAGTTGAAGTAGCGAAAGCAAAGGAATGGGAGCAAACACTCAAGGAATATCTTCTCGCTTTGAACGACCGAATTACATTGGAGACCGGCATGCAAATAGCTTTTTCAACGGGTGTTTCGCTCGAAGAAGAAATCGGCAAGAGCACAAATACTGACATCAAGATTGTGGTACTATCATATCTTGCTATGTTCTTTTATGTCTCTTTTACACTGGGCAGTGGCTCTATCGTAAGAGAAGAAGGTGTCTTCGCCTCGTTATCGCAATGGGCTCGCAATTTCCCTGGGCTCTTTAGAAGGTCTCACATGATGTCTTCATCGATATCCGTCGACTCGCGTACCATACCTCGCATTTTCCCTAGGTTACCTCGGAATCTCTTCGTGCACTCCAAATTTACCCTGGGTCTTTTCGGCATCGCTCTCGTAATACTCTCTGTGGCGTCATCTGTGGGGCTTTTTTCATTGCTCAGTGTCAAGACCACTCTTATCATCGCTGAGGTCATCCCTTTCCTCGTACTTGCGGTGGGAGTTGATAACGTCTTCATTCTCGTTCATGAACTCGATCGTCAAAATCTTCTACATGGGCCCAATGCTTCTACTGCCTCTCAAGGCATTGGATTCCCAACACCCAGATCACCTAGTCAATCCCATAGATCTCCTTTTGAGTCGACACACGATGACTCGGTTGACACTGCATCAGTCCCCTTGTATCTGTCAGCAGAAGAACGTATTGCCAGAACCCTGGCTAAGATGGGTCCCTCAATTCTACTTAGCTCAATAACTGAAACAGTGGCTTTCTCGCTGGGTGCACTGGTCCCCATGCCAGCTGTTCGCAACTTCGCGCTTTATGCTGCGGGTAGTGTCTTATTGAACGCTATAATGCAAGTCACTGTTTTCGTCAGTGCGATGGCTATTGACCTGAAGCGCGTCGAAGTAAGTGAATTATTCTTCAAAATCCGCATCCCGTCTAATGCGAAAAATAGGCGAGCCGTGTTGACTGCTTCCCATGTGTAAGACTTCCCTCTCGTATCGCTCTATTGGATGCTCCTCCTAGCGGAAGTGGCCTTGGTAGCATGGCACGATTTATTAGGCGCCATTACGCCCCCTTCTTACTGCAGCCTGTCGTCAAGAGCATTGTTCTGCTGACATTTGCTGGAACTTTTGTTCTTTCAGTGATATCCATGCAACATATTGAACTAGGTCTCGGTAAGTAGTCCAACCCTGGCAATGAACTTTGTTACATGTCGCTAATGCCATGTCACATTTAGACCAGAGATTGGCATTACCCTCGGAATCATACCTTATATCTTATTTCAACGACCTTGATGTCTATCTGGACGTAGGACCTCCAGTATACTTCGTTGCACACGATATAGATGTCACCCAGAGAGCTGGTCAACAGGAGCTATGTGGACGTTTCACTACATGTGACGATTTCTCAATAGCTAATGCGCTAGAAGCCAAACGCAAAAGGCCAGAGTTATCGCTCATATCTCAGCCAACTGCATCTTGGATCGACGACTTTATGAACTGGCTTGACCCTGCAAAAGAAACGTGCTGCCGTGTGCGCAAGAGGAATCCATCAGTGTTCTGTTCAGAGAGGGACTCTGAGCGGCTTTGCCAGCCATGTTACCTTGGCAAAGAGCCTGCTTGGAACATTACGATGAGCGGTTTACCTGAAAACGAGGAGTTCATGCGGTACTTGAAGCAATGGTTGATCTCGCCTACTACCGAAGACTGTCCATTGGCAGGTAAAGCTTCTTTCGGGACTGCACTATCCTTGGACCCAGAAGGCACTACAGTGATGGCATCCCACTTCCGCACCTCACACACACCTCTCCGATCCCAAGCAGATTTTATAAATTCCTTCTCCGCTGCTCATAAAATAGCAGATGAAATATCAGAACGTACAGGGTCAAACGTCTTCCCCTATTCATTGCATTACGTATTTTTCGATCAGTACGCGCACATCATCGCCATCACCCAGGAAGTTCTCGGTCTTGGCCTCGCTTCAGTTTTAATAGTAACTGCCCTCTTCCTTGGTTCGTGGAGGACTGGTACCATTGTCACCGGAGTCGTCGGTTTGACCGTTATTACCGTCATGGGTGTTATGGCTGTCTGGGGGATTAGCCTTAATGCCATCAGTCTTGTTAATCTCGTAATATCGCTGGGCATTGCTGTTGAGTTTTGTGCACATGTGGCACGGGCATTCATGAGTGCTGGTTCTGGGCTTCCGGTAGATCATCCAGCTGGCCAGAAAGAGCGCGATGAACGGATGTGGACCGCTTTGGTGGATGTTGGCCCATCGGTAAGTATCCACAATCGAGTGCAAGTCTTTTCTCATTCTTCCATAGGTTCTGTCAGGCATTACCTTTACTAAGCTGATTGGCATGTCGGTTCTTGCCCTCACTCGATCTCGATTGTTAGAGGTCAGTCTCAATATTCTTTACTACGTCATTCCAAAACTCAGGTTATGTTCAGATTTACTACTTCCGCATGTGGTTGACCTTAATCATATCGGGAGCGTTACACGGACTGGTCCTACTCCCTGTCATTCTTAGTATCGCAGGAGGAACAGGATTCCCACAACAGGAAGCCGATGAGGAGTGGATGTCTAATGCCATCAGGAATGATTTCGAATACGCGTGAGGCTCAATCTTGTTCGATGTATTATGCCGCTGAACCCGGATTACCTACCAGGCCATTCCTAGCTGATGATGACTCAATTGCCAGCGACTAGATATTTATGCCCATTAAGTGACTTCAGCGGACTGCTATGTATATGAAGCAATTTTCTTTCATAATTACTTATAGCACATACACAATCTTGTCGAGTGACCAAGAAATGTTACTTTTTTTTTACACGGGAGACCTTGATCTGCTGTCCCTAATGTCATCTCTACTTGTACTTCTCCTCCCACGGCTTGCTGACCTGGACCGGGTTCTGCTGCGGCTGTACCTCGAGTACGAGGAGTAAGATGAACGGGAACGAGAACGTGAGACTGATCTCGTTCGAGAGCGGCTAGAGCGAACAGAATAGCTCCTTGAACGGCTTCGTCGCCCACGACCGTATCCTGTCCCTCCGCGCTCGTAGCTGGGAGATCTTCTTCTAGGTGGAAGACGGCCTGCACCCCGCACAGGTGAGCGTGAGCGAGACCGGGAGGCTGGGCGGTATGTATCTCTCGCAGGGGGTCCTCTGCGGCCATATCCTCTCGCTCTGTAATTATCTGCATAGCGAGGAGGTTCAAACCCTCTCCTCCTGTAGGGTGGTGGGGATCGTGAGCGAGAACGGGAGCGAGAGACAGAGCGAGGGCGGTCGCGGTCACGTCCATTGCGGGGAGGCCGTGTACGAGGAGAGCGCGAACGCGAGCGGATTGGAAGGTCGGATAGCTCGACCTTTAGAACCAGGCCATCGAGCTGACCTCCGTTCATGTGCGATGCAGCTTTATTAGCTGATGCTGAGTCGGCATACTCCACAGCAGCCTTTCCTCTGTTCTGACCGGCTGCATGGGAATCGATGAGCAAGGAAGCGTACTTGAAAGACCAGGTATTGCTTACACTTCAAGAATAAGGGTAAATCAACCTTTGTAATCTCTCCATAAAAACCGAATATTGTCTGTAGATGTGAATGAACCACATTGCGAGAAAGGCCATTCACAACGACAACTTTGGCATCCTTTTTTTCGCCGTTCTCCTCATTTTCCATGTCAACATCTGCATCCTGGACGGGGCGTGGAGAAGGAGACCGGCCTCTTGTTGACATTTCGTTCTACTTTCCTCTTCTCACACAAAATACAACTGGAGCAACAAGACAAGAAGGCGTGAGAATGTAATGTCACGCAGCTGTCACGCAAAGCCACATCGGTGCCGAGTTCGTTTGACAAATTCCACAGTCCGCGACTGTCTACGTTTACTAGTACCGACTTCAAGTGTAACTTGAAATATTATGCCCGAATCACAGCTGGCTGCCAACTGCTAGTCTTCCGATGCGTTTTCATGGCCCTATATTTATCATAAAATGGAAGTCGATTCATGACACGAACATTTAACAGGAATCCGCACAAAATATATCTAGGATTCATTGTTTATAGAGCACAAGCAGTACTTGACCACTATCATAGTATTTGGCATACGTGCATATAATAAACTTTCAATCCACCCTCATTTTCTTCCTTGGACGCCTTCCATCGTCCTTACTGCCGATAGAGTGAGTTCGTTTAAGGTGTCTCTTCAGCAGATCCTGACGAGCAAAACTTTTGTCTTCAAGACATATCATGCAGGTGTATGGTTTGTAGCCTGTGTGACTAGCCTCATGACGTTTACACTCGTTCTTCCGCAGAAACCGCATTGGACTTCCACACATGTCAGTTCTGTATCTGGTGTCAAAATACACGGAAAACATACCAAACTGCACACTGGAAAGGTCTCTGATCTATGTGTGCACCGATATGCACCAAGATGTGGTCCCTGCGCTTATTCTTCTGCTCGCAACCAGCGACGTAACAGCGGAATTCATCAAGCAGTTCCCCGCGTTCAGATAACTTGCCAGCAAAGTGCATCAACCATTGTTTGTCGACTTCTTCTCCGGGATGTCGCATCCTGTACCTGTCAGCTCTAAATATCAGTTCATCTAATCCGATGCCGAGGTGGGCATTGAGAATTGGGGAATGACAGGAAGGATCATATGTATCCATCTTGAGAGGTAGTTGCCCGCCATTCGTCTGAAAGGTTTCATGGGGTGGTAGAACACCACTAGATGGGAAGTCATTCCCTTGCATCGACGCTGAAAGTAAACGCGGGTCAATTTGAGCGTTAGAAATAACCGCCGCAGCCGACTCCATTTGCTTGTCTAGTTCAATGCGGTGTGCAGGACTTGCTTTGGTCCCATTAAGGTCTGATTTTTGCAGGGTTTCATCCTTAACAGAATTGGACAGGATAGCCACAATATCTTTGATCACTTCCGAGAACGACACTTCTTTGTCACGTATAGATAAGCGAGGTGAACAGTGAGGAGACAAGGGCGGCAGCGGATGGATTTGTACTGCTTGAACACTATCCACCGTCATATCGTTAGATACCACAGAGTCTGGTAATTGTCCCACAGTATCCATGGGGTTGACTCCAATATTATTTTCCTGCTCCAGTGCTGCCATGCTGAACATGTTCACATCTGCAAAGATTCCAGGTGCGTTGCAGTGATTCGGGGTATCGTGAAGCGCTAAGGCCCGTGATACGTTACGTTCTGAGGCAGTAGAGTCAGTCGAATCTGCAAATGTATGCTTGTTCCATGGTGAATATGACGAAGCACGTGTTTGAGAGAGAGGAGATCTAACGCCAAGATGACGTTGCAGCGCCTCCGAGACACCTTCTAGCCGTTCGTGGGTACTACCGGAGTCGTTGTCAGAGGCCCAGAAAGTCGTTGGTGAAAAGTCGCTACTAGACGAAAAGGAATCTTTACTTGCTGAACGCTTCATGTAACATTTGACCACAGCGACGTCAGAAGACGAGATCACCTCCTGCCGGTTGCTGATGTCGAGTAGAGACATATTTTGTGTAGCTTCTGATAAATTTCCATAGGTGATACCAAGACCAGTAAGGATTGAACGTGTATTAGAAAACGAAGAATTGTCAAAATTGGCCACGTTGGACTGAAAGTCAGAATCCATGCCGGTATCAAAAGGGGAGTATTCGAGACGTCCGGAGCGTACAAGTCCATTCAAAAGGAGCGTTGGGGTAGTGATGTGCACCGCTTGCGTCGCCGGCGTCGCAGAAAAGGTTGGGCTAGTCTGGCAAGAAGTATAACTGCATGTTGGGTTTCTAAAGTGTCTCATTACCCAGTGATTAAAAGTGGCTAGAATAAATATCGTTACAACGTAAGATTCGTGAAGCAGAAATTAGACCCGCCGTCAAGCAACACGGCGGGAGTGATAGGATAAAACTGTGGAATGGCTGCAGATTCCGAAAACACAGATGACCTTCAAGTTGGTGTTGTCGTATTGTGTGTTTGCAGTTGTGTGGCAACGGCCTCCAGGGCATACCAAATGGGGAACTCAACACTTTTTTCCATGACCTTGAATGTTGCGGTTCAAGAATTGCTGTACCCACAACAGACGCCATATCGTCAGTGCACGCAGGCTCTCATCAGGAGTCTCTAATGGGTTACGGAAGGCGGGGCCTTTCTTGCTCTTTGGTGGCATTGGAATCGGAATTGCTGCATACTTCTTGCTACCCGATGAGTCCAGGTCTGCGCCAACATATCGCTCGAAATCCTTAGCACCTTCTCATTTTACGCCCACTACTCTAATATCTACTGCCGTATCCGGTCCGGACACCAAGCTATTGACATTGGCCGTCCCACCAGAATTAGTACCTACGAATGGTCGCCAATCTCTTGCACCCATTTGGTCTATATTTATTAAAGATGACGATATCCAGGTCGAAAGGCAATATACTCCTCTTGAGGGAATAGACAATAATGGTCACATGAAATTATGGATAAAAAAATATGAAAAGGGCGAAGTAGGTCGGTGGCTACATTCAAAAAATATCGGTGATTCGATTGAGATACGTGGCCCTCTAACTACATGGCCCTGGACAGAAGATCACTGGGACGAAATTGTAATGGTGAGCTCTGTGTTCATTACCTTCGGAGGAATCTGAATCGATTTATAGATTTCAGGAGGGACTGGACTTGCTCCATTCTATCAACTCGTGCACAACGTGATGTCAGAGAACTTGGCAAAGAACAAGACACGCTATACATTACTGCACTCTTCGAAGACACGTGCTGATCTTCCACCGTCTACCATGCTTCAACCTCTCTTAGAACAGGCTGCTAAACACTCGGACAAATTCAGATTGGAGTTCTTCGTGGACTCCTTGGAAGGCCTTCAAAACCCTAATCTTCCTGATAATAAAATCCTGGTTGGTCGCATAGACAAGTCTGCTATACAGTCTTCGCTAGGGATGGACAATAGTTATTCGTGGTGGCAAAAACTGCTCACGGGAGCAACAGCTCCGCTGAAACCGCCCGACAAGAAGATATTGTTTCTTGTTTGTGGCCCAGAGCCGTAAGTACATCATTTAATATACCGTTGAAATATCCTGAGCTCGTGTTATAGGATGATAAGTGCTATTGCTGGGCCCTATGGTAGAAACTTTTCACAGGGGGCAGTTGGCGGTATTATAGGTGAAATGGGATATAAGCCACATGAAGTATGGAAACTATAGAGCATATATTGGTGCAATACAAAAACAATGACAGTACCTCCTATCTTTTATATATTATAACAATATGATAATTCATTAATACCTTCCGATATGTGACCTGTAATAGGCTGCCAATGCTATGGTCAACAATCCGACGCATTATTTATCGAGTCCAGCTCTACGGATTCGTGAAATGTAAAGTCTTCTGTTAAAATGCTTGGTTCACCTCCTTTTGAATTCGGACGCGAATAGTTTTCTCGGAAGCTGATAGTCATGCGGGTCCCTAATATCGTAACCGTCGAGGCGATGAATGCATTGGGCAGCTCCATGTACGACGACTTCATGTTGCGCAGAAAAAAGACGAGGTGCGTTGTATGTCGTATCAGAAGCTATCCTTAAGCATTGGAGTATTACTCACTGGGAAGCCAAGCCATATTGCCGCGTTGACAGCACACGCCGCTAGCATGCTAAAAGACGAATAATAAAGTCAAAAATCATGAAGCAGTTCACCTTTTGGCTAGTCACATACAATACAAAGTATAGGATACTGTCTCTCATCAAAATTCGGAGTATCGCGTTTAGTTTCCACATGCCTAGTGCCGCTCGCATCTCCCTGACGTGCTTGAAACAGACACGGGCAACGAGGATGACAAGAATGAGTTCAAAAAAAGCTACGGGAAGATATATGAGCGAGAAGCTAGGAGTGATGTTCACCGCTGTGCATATGGAAATTCCAGCGATTGGCTCGACCGATGCTAATATGAACCGATCGGTATGATGGTGCCCCCATGAATATTGAAAATAAAAAAAGGCTAACCTCCGTAACCAGAATTGAGATGTACAACTAGAATGGTCGAGATGCCGGCTACTTGTGCAATGAAGCACAGCAATAAGCAGATGCAGACGACCTTGGAACGTTGGTGCATCGCATATATGCGCAGTTGCATGTTTCCTGGAGCAAGGTTTGTAAAAGATGGCATGCGATAGGGAGGATAGCCGAACCTTGCACAGACCATTGTAATGTGAGGACCCCCCAAGCTTGAAACTGAAGCATTCGATAACCTACTAGCTTGGTTAACTTAATGAAAATAGGACAAGAAGTTGACATACATCTGCATTATCCAGGAGCAGTTTCGCAGTCTTCAGGCACATTAAATACGAGCGTGGAATAGGTAGACATACATCTGTGCGGATTTTAATGTCACAGCGATTGCAGGTGCGTGATCGAGTTACCAACCTTTCCGGTAAGCTCAGTGCTCATAAAGACTTGAGCCATTCTTTATTGAGTGATATACGTACGAACTGGAAAAGTCAATCTTACCAAAAGCGCTAACACTATCGAACATCATTCGTGAGGATATTGACTTTGATAGTAAACCGATGCTTACAGCATGACAGCATCCCCCAGATAGCGAGTCTAGATATCAAGGTGAAGGTTAACTACTAACACTTCGTTGATCATAGGGGATGGATTTGACATTATGGCAAACATACCACAAAAAACAGATACGTCAACAAAGACCAAGGTCTCATCTAAGCCGCATGGAAGTTTTTTTTAGGTCGCTCGTAGGAAATCAGTAACGTCTCGTACCCATATCCACTTGATCTTGATAAGGCAGCGACATGCGTAAGTAAACAAAAAGATAAAGATAACATGAAAGCCCAACCTCCCGATCAAATGTAAGAACTACGAACGCAAATGCCAGTAGGTCAGTATGATATTGGAGAATGAAGTGAGATACTACTTTAACATACTATGGTCGTATATCACGACAACGGCAGCAACAACTAAGATAAGTGACATCGCCCTCAGTTCCAATCAAAATAAAATGAGTCCGATACTGACATTGACAGTACCTGATTGCTTGAAGGACTTCTGCATCACTCAACCATGAACTATATGTAGTAGTTTCCATATATCTGGGCCAATCCTTTAAAGACGTTGAACGGAGCTTTCGAGGATTTGATCGTTAGAGCGACCTGACTACAGATAGATATGCAGGTTAAATATGAAAGGAAATGTCGTTGCACTCCAAGGGGTGTGTGATACCTATGCTTTGAAAGGTATATCAGAGTAAAGGTCGCGGACAAAGACGACAAACAATGAGGCCTCAGGTTGTCTGCCAGTGATATACTTATACATGGGGGCGGCCGCTTTACGAATTCCACGTCGACAACGCCATCAGCGGATCAGCCTTCTACCAACCTTCGAAAGCAGCATTAGACGAACTGACTGCATAGCCCCGTGCCGTCAGTCCAATGGTAGCGTGTGGCTGTGGGCCGGCGGCGCTCGGTTGAAACGATACTACCATGACTGACATATAATTGTGAGTGGCTTTGTATATATTCGAACGACTTTAACTTCATCACTGCGATTGATTGGAGTTGGATGGAAATATGCCTTGATCCACAAGCCGAGCTTCTGGATAAGTAGGGCTCGAACACTCCTGGTGAAGTGTTTACCATGGTGCTCGCGTTCAAGTTGGCACAGGATTCTCGGCTGGGTCAGATACACCGTTGCCGTGTGAAAAGTAGGAGGAAGTGAGCACACGTGCAGCTTTTCTGTTCCACAATCGCGACTTCGTCGTCTTCACTGGAACGCAAAGCGTTGTTGAGGTCGTTCTGTAACATACTAAGTCAATCTCGAGCCGACTTCAGGCAGACTTTCCACCAGCCAAAAACACCATCTTTTGAGCATCGTGATCCCACGGTATCCGATCCCACACAGGTTGTCTATAAGCACCGGTCTGCACTTAGTATATGCACAGCATAGAACCTTCGTCATATACTTGCAGATCGTAATCAGTGTCGGCTTTCGAAATTTGGTAAGACGGACCCAGGTGGGATATCACGCGTTTCACTATGACATGATTTTTTTTTTTAATTTAGTGCTGGGTGCTAGGTAATGAATGAACACTTACAACAGTCAAATCTCACATTCCGCAGTCTCTTGACGACTGATTGTCATTGCGCGAGCATAGAGTTTGGATCAATAGTATAAGATTAGGGGTTAGGAAGATATGAAGAAGCTCGGTACGAGAAGATTGTACGTTGTAAATAACTCGTTATTCCTCCACAGGGAGTTGACTTCGCAATGACCCATCTCAGTGGCCTCTACAATTGTCGACCGCAATAGCACAAATGACCAATAACTGTCGCCGCTCGGAATCAGCCCACGCGAACTGTTGATGGGCACGGTACTCACCGAACCTCTTGCTTTGATCATCCCCCCTAAGACACATGCGTGCTCGTTATCAGAAGTCAGCTGTCTCGGCATTAGGGAACGGTGATATGAAATGCAACGGCGCGGAGGATGGTAAGTCGTCCTCAAAGAGATCACGTTTGTGGAAGACCTGTCTAAGGTTGAGCACCATGCGGCAGCCCGCGATTACCACCGTGGTAAGTGCGATGCCTTGAGGGACTTGATTCCATACAGGCTGCAACAATTATCTGAAAATTGTCAAGGCCAGAGGATTACTCCACACTCACTGCCTCTGAAAGCCAAATCTTGGCAGCGACGCCGTACACGGTGACGATGCTGAAGGAAATGAGGAAGGGAATCGTGTCAGTATATTATGGAGAGAACTCACAGGATAAAGTATAACGAAAAATCTCGCAGAGAAAGTTCGAGTGGCGTGTTTACTCTCCAGCTACCTAGGATCTTGTGCATATCCCACGCGTGACTTGTACCAGCCCAGAGGAGAAGAAGCGTGAGGATGCTCTGGAGGGAGACTAGCGGGATGGTGAATATGTAAAAATATTTCCTGCTGTCCAAAGAAGAGCAGATAGATATATTTGGAATAGACCCTTCTGGAAGTAGCAAGATGAAGAGGGCGCATACAGTAAGGGCACAGACACCTACCATGAGCCACATTGAACATAATTCCTAACATGACTGACATTGCTATCAATTCCACTCATCACACATGTGACAACGATCATCTTCTTCGCATTTTTATAGGCCCCATTAACGCGATAAAGCATCAAACCTGTTCAATGTTATCATAAGATATGATCAGACGAATCAAGTAAAACGGACCTTGTACAGTCCAAATGACGATAGCGGTTCCCCAAGCCTGAAAGCGAAGATATTCGTTGCCTGAAATAACATTACTTTATAATAGTTCATGACCAATCGTTGGCATACATCTATGGTCAAGACGAGATCAAAATCTTTAAAATCAATACATTGTACTATCACCTACTTCTGTAAGATACCTTCGTCAGTAATTCACATAGTAAGTGCGAGTAACCCAACTTTATCCGCAGCTGATTGGCCCACATATACTTCACATAGTGTCAGTCGTTATGTATCTCTTGTAACGAAGGAGATGATAGCACCTATAGCGTTTGCACTTTGACGTCACGTATGTTAGTCTAACTCGTGAAATCAAGAGTAAAACAAACAGACACCCACAGTAGAAGAAGTTCTCCAAAGTACCTCGTCTACGGGGGAAATATAAGGTATGAGAGACCCAGTCCTATCGTAGTATCACTACGTACCACAAGATATAACACAGCCCTCGGATCAAAATTACACTTCTACGAGATGGTATGAGACGTGATCATACATATATACATTGAAGGGCCATACCCATATCAAGGTCACCTGTGAGCAGATTAGCGGATCCATAAAGCTACGGGACAAGATTGATCCATACTTCACGGTCCAATGTAAGTGCTACGAGAGGGAGAGGTCAGTATGTAAGTTCCGGGAGTATAGATTTGTACTCACCATGATCATAGAAAGCGATAAAAGCAGGAGCCACTATAAACTTGCGTCAATAAGCAATTAGCATTAGAGTAAGACAGCATTCAGCATCTACGTTGACACAACCGAACCAGATGAATGGCACGAGCATCGCTAGCAGCAATTGCCATATCTAAGTTTATGATTAAATGGCGAGTGTATTACGCCAGTGTTGAGTCACTTGGGCGGCGACACGCGTCCGTCCTAGATTTTGTGAAGTGCAGAGATGAAAAAAAAAATGCCAGCGCTGAGAACGAGGGAGCCAGTTTTACTACGGGAAACAAAGTAACGAGTAGTGAGGACTGAATCTAAACCAGTGCGCTTGGATATCGACAGTTAGCGCCCAACCAGAATACTCCCATGATCATTACACATCACGACTGTAGATCGATCCATTGATCATTGATGCCCAGGAATTTATCTGTTTCTTTCCCAAGCATCGGACGGTCAGAGAGTGCTGTGATATGTCACAGTTGTTACACTGCGAGGTTCGTTTAACGATGAAATTGGAATAGTGGATATCCTGCGGGCTATTGGTATAAAGTAGCATAATCTATATTATCAGAAGCAGCGAAGAATCGATGTGAATTCAAGTGCGACAGTAGAGACATGTAGCGTCAATGAACAACACTACATGGTCGTATAGCAAGTGAGCGGTTCGGTTGGCGTCAACGCTGCCTTCGCTGTGTCGGGAATTTCCATAGAAGTTGGGGACCAGCGACTTCAAGCATTGGTTAGCGGCTGCGTTTACGAAAGGGCTCATCCATCGACGTATCCTTTTACTTTTCAGATCTAACGCATTTTAGGGAAACTGCAGCGGGCTTGTCTACTCATCAAAACGTCATGTCTGCGCATTTCTACGAAGTCGCACTTTTTGGCGAATTTTTCTCTCAGGATCTCAAGGCCATCCTCAACCGTATAACACTTCACAGCGAGTCATCCCAGCCAATGCACGCGCGTGAAATCGTGTTCGAGCCTTTTGATGCGCAGGCCCAGAAGAATTCGGGAAGTGATCCAGTACTGCTACGAGCCAGGAAAGAGCTCACTGAACCGTCGTCTGGTTGGTAAGTCCTTCTCCTGATCAATGCGTTTCTTTTGCCATTTGCAGACTGGTCTTGGAAGGGCACTATTTTCGTATCTCAAACCAGAGTCTGTCCGCGTGCACCCAGAGGCTACCGTTCGACCATGGGCAACTTGTCAAGTTATAGGTGACGCGCTCAGCTTTGCATCAGCATTGGGATATATGTGAGTGGTTCGTGAGCCTGTCCACCTGTATGCTCGACCCCAACGTCTTCACTAGCCGTCGCTCCCAGATCTATAAGCGTGGATATGTATTTCGCCGAGGAATTCTTGTAATCCAAATGTTTCAACAAGAACAAGTACTCATCAATACATATATATTGCACTAGTTCAAATTTGACGTTAGGTTCATGTTCATCAGGTTGACCCAAAAACCCAGCAGCCTATCCCAGCACACGCAGATACACTATGGGAAGTCGAGGTCAAAACAGCGTCACCCATTCGCAACACGCAAGAGACGCCTCTCAGCCACTCGGTGGATGCGGTACTAGAAGTTCAACTGCTCATGAAAGGATTACTCGACCTGAGACGGCAGGACCTGTGATATAAAGCATTGGTTTTCAACTTCTGCCAATGACTGGTAATAGGAGTAGTATCAAGGTTTATCTTGTTCCAAGTCGTCATCCCAATCCGCGAGATCCACATCACCGTCTTCATCTAAGGCTCCCGTTCGCTTCATTAGGTCCAGTAATGTAGCAGGATCCACTGTGACATCCTCTTCTGAAGCACTTTCTTCCTTGTCATCCGGTCCATCTTCCACTCCTTCGTCTTCCTCGTCATCCGTATCTATGGACACTGAACCATCTTCGTCGCTAGCCGCATACTCTCCAAGTGAGGTTAGTCCACCTCCGGCCACGGGGCTCTCTTCTTCACTTCCGTATCCTCCTAGCAAACCCGCAATGGCCTTCTTCCCTGCATTAACGTCTAGTTTTCGTCGTTTGGGTATTCTCTCTCCCTCATTACTACGAGTAACAGTACCCTGTGCATCAACTGTCGTCCCTGAAAATGCACCTTCCTCCCAGACCTCGATTGTGGGGAACTCCACGAAGTGGGTGTGTTGTAGGAGAGTCGATAGTTTCTGCATTGGGTCTAGCTTGTAGTATGCGGTTTGCGGACCTAACAAGGGGTCTAGTTTTGCTTTGATAAAACACTGCGGACACGTGAAAGCTTCTGGGTCTTCTGGGTCTGGGTGTACGAGCGACCTTGTCCACGCAGGTATTTTATCGTCTCTTTTCGATCTGTTCCGTTCAACTACATGACTCTGGATGAGAGAAAGGAGTGGTTTATCGATGTTGTTTCGATGAGTCAGCAGAGTGAACGTAGGGCTAGGATCTGTTGATGAAGGACCAAGAGGATCGACAGGAGGATGGAACATGAATTCGATAGTCAAAAAAACTGTTTTATTCCTACCGAAACATACTTTGAGTTCGAAAAAAGGATTAGAGTAAAAAGATACACACTTGGAATCCCAGCTTGACTGGTTCTGTTTCCTTTTCTCCATTCCCTCTGAAAGCATCTCCACTTCTATATCGCGGTAGTCGAGCTGCACTCTTAGAATATCTCTCTTGGTTTTGCCCTCGTGTCTTCCTATACCCCGTCTCCCTGCACCTCTGTTCCCTCGGCTTCTCCTCATTCCACGACCACGGTCACTTCCTCTCGTCTCCAAACCACCTACTGCTATGTCCCTTCCCCACGAGCCTACTTGCCTTCCGACATCCTCCAAGAACACATAGTCTTCCATCATAGTGCCCCATCCATATTTATTCATAGGAACATATTTAGCTCTATCGCGAATGCCTGAACATGGATTGCGAGTTTTGTGGGCAGCTGAGCATGCCAGTGAGCATGTTTGAAGCGAGCATCGGGGACAAGTGTATTTGGAATATGAGCAGTTGCAAATACTGCACAGAGCTTGACAAGAGGATGAAGAGCTTGCTTCAGGTCCAGAAAGCACATCCGCCATTTGCACTAGTACGGGTGACCAGGTCTCCTTCACTGGCAAAAGTTTTAAGAGGTAATCGAGTCGAAGGCTCCGGCATTCTTTGTGTCGGCCCGGGAGCAGGATGAGCTTAAGACTCAGACTTGTACTAAGTTACTATCATACAATTGATATTCGTTTGCCTTGAACAAAAATATTACAATACAGTAGTTCTTGCAGCATCTACATAAATAACACTTTAATGTTTCGCATATCAACGACGTGCTGCGAGAGCAAGTAAACAATTAATATGACACAGTTCACAGATCGTCCATCCCAAAGTCGATCTCCACCTTCTCTCCAGGCTTAAATGCCGGCAGACCTGCGGAGATAAAATGCAAACGTTTAGAAGACCAATGCATGTAATCTGATAATACTTACCAAGGTAGGGACATCCAGCACATCGGAATGCATCCCCAAGGAAACAGCTTCCACAGCTGCTCGTCGCCTTGGGTGCTGCTTTCGCAGCATCTATCAACCGTTCTTTCTCACCCTGTGCGACTTCCGTAGCCTGTCCGCTCTCTGAGCCATCAAGCACCACCACCTTGCTTTGCTTCAGCTCCTCTGCCTCCAACTCAGCAAGACCACACGAGCAATTCTTACATGCTTTCTTTCGCCGAGGGGCACTGGCATTCACGGGCTCGCATATAGCAACCGGCCGTTCCTTGTCCGCCGCAGTAAGAAGAGCTTCAGCATCGATTGTTGGTGTGGATGGAGAACTCAAAGTCCATAGGGCCTTCTTAGATGACTTGCGCTCCGCATCCAACTTGCGTCGCGGTAATGCCATAGACGGGGCTGCCCCGGCTCCGTTGATGGCTGTAGACTTGGTTTCAATAGAAAGTTTGGTGCCGACGGAATGTGCAGGCTTTTGAGCGATGAGGGTTCCTTCTTCGGTGAAAGTGGATAGAATGGTGAACCCAGCAAGTGTGAGCTCTGATGGGAGAGTCGAAAAACCAGATGTAAGGTTGAGTAAATGCAACGTTCCCAACGGAGTAAGACCGTCCAGAAGTTGAGAAAGCAAAGATGATAGGGAAGGCATTAGACGCTCGTACTCTGGTGGGGTCAAAATCACATGGACAGAGGAGTATGTCAAAGGTGTCAACACCGTGGCTTGCAGGTAAAGCATCAGCATTCCGCATGTCAATCGAGGAGGAATTCGTAATACATACCTCCATCGAGCAATCTGTCCAGCATCTGTTTCTCCACCTGTCTGGTTTCGTCGAGATTAGAAATGACAGATTGGTATTTTCCATCTTGAGCTGTAACGAGAGATCCGATAGCGAGTGCAGGTCCTTTGGCGGGAACAGCGGCGACAGCAGAACGGTGGTCTTGTGGAATGGCAGAAGGAACGTAGACAGCTGTGGGGGCCATTGGGGACGATAGCGAGACGAACTAGACAGACAGTTCGGGTCAGGAACAAAAATCTGATTATTAGTATGAGGCCATGGGGCCGCTTAGATAAGCTGCTGAGTGAGGCAATGTCGGAGCCGGATAGTCGGCCATTCGGCCGTGAACCCAACTGGCACTCGCGACCTCGCAACGACTAACAAAGGCGAAGACATAACTGGCTCCCATTGTTAATGTGGCGACCAACTGGACCAGGTGACTCATGCAGAAACGGTTTATCATAAAGTAAAGACTCATCAAGGAACTGTTTACGAATTTAATACGAAAGGCGTCATAATGGCGATAACATTCCGATTGGTCGTATAGTACAGACAGCAATAATAGAAGAGAAGTACGAAGGAACAAAAATACTGGTGAAAAGTAATAGTTGGAACAGTAACCGTTTATACCACAGACACATGACGTAGGACGAGAATGATTTTATAGGCGAATTCGAAAACAAAGTCCAAGGTGGATAGGCTACGTCGTCGCGGTCGGGAATGCGAACATCTAGCCATAGAGCAGGATATGGGTTAGGTGACTATTGTTGGAGTTCACCGTTTGGAGGTACGTGAGGGGGCATCGCAGATGGAGGGCCACCAGCGACATGCATGCCATCTGGAGCATAAGGCGTCATGAGAGCGCTGCGGACACGAATTAGCATCATCCTATACCACTCCTCATCCACTCCCGCTTTCTCCTGTTCAGCCGTGATTTGCTGCAGGTGTCCCAGTTCTTTCATCCACGACATCCTCCAGTTAATGTTTCCATGCTCGTCCACTTCAAATTGGTCTGGGCCAAGGGAGATGGCAGGGGGAGGGGGGAAACGCATTCCAGGGGGCATCATGGAGAATGCCGGATCAAACCTACCATCATGACGGAAAAGCCACAACTATAAGAACATGAAGAAAATAGATGAGGGCATAAGACACTCACGGTGGTGGATACGGAGGAGGGTATGGCGCTTGTCTGCTCGGGCCAGCATCATCTGGATGCATAGGAGGTTGGACGAATTGATGCGGGTCGCTGAAGGCAGGTTCAGGAGGATGATAGTCTACATCCTGCTCCTCGGAGTTGCGACCTTGTTTTTGACCCTTGGGTTTTTTCTTGCGAACACGATGTACTCCAGTCCGGGGGTCAACGTTATCATTCACCGTCCAATAGGAGCCCTTCCCACGGTCGGTCAAAGGGCGGGGAACTTTTTCAAAACAAGGGTTGAGAGAAAGATTATGCCGAACAGAATTCTACATAATTGAGACGCGGGGATTAGCAAGTTGACTTTGTTTTGGGTAGTATAGTGAAACAAAACAAATATGAACACAATCAAACATCAACATCGCGGTCGCGTCCCGCGTCGACGTGAACAAACGCGATCGTAAATTGGACATTATAAAGGATATTGATGCATGTAATATAGAGCCAAAATCGCTTACTTTCCATCCAGAAGGTGCGGATCTAAAATAAGGAAACTATTGTATAAAACGTGAGTTAAAAAATCAGAGCATTAGCCCAGTTTTGGCTTACACGAGACTCAATCGCATAGTAAATGTCTTCTAGGAGTAGTTTTTGGTTGGGAGAGCCCTTGATAGCATATCTGTTTATGTTGATAGGACAAACACGAAAAGGTCAGATTTTGAAGCACGTCATACGAAGCGAAAATGCAGAAGGTATATACCGGATAAGCGTAGAATAAGGGTAAAATGGCTTGCTTCCCGGTGGCCCATCTCTTAATGAGTCGAGGTTAATTGGTAGGCCACCAGTAAGGTCGTTTGGCTCCTGTGGATAATACGAGTTGGCTTGCGACAAGTCGGGTTGGTCTGGCGGTGGCATCATATTGGCTGGCATGACCGTTGGTGGGGGTTGTTGAGACATCATGAGTTCCAGCACGAAATTGAAGAAGAAGACAGGTGCTAGTTGAAAATTGCTGTCCTCTCTGCTGTATGATGGCGGAGGGCGGTGGTTGATGTTGGAAAAGAACGGGATGCCAACAGATGGTGGCTTATGTCATGCGTGAGAAATAGAGTAGAACGCACGGGCCATGCGGTTCCCCACAGAATGCCCTTCGACGTTGATAGGGACAGCGAGTATCCATTCCTGCAGAAATCCTGGACGATGGTGAGCTATAATTTGGTGGAGGTTTGTTGTTTACAATTGCAGCCACTGCCTACAATACACAGCGACACAATGTCCAAATTGTGGAAGACACGATAAAACAAAATCCAAACCAAGCACGCTCTCCAATACACAAACAAAGCGCAGGTCACTTTTGCCCCCAGGCCACTGCAACAGCATTCAGGCCTATCAAAATTACTGTGTCCATCCCATGATGTGTTCGAATCCGTAGATCTACACATCATCATTCATTGCTCTCGATTCCTGTGTATTTTTGTTCTAAAATTCATGTCTTTTTTCATGATGCCGCCCTCCTGGCAGACGTGGTTTTATCTCCACATGGTTCTTCCATAACCCATCTTCGCCAGCTCAACCCCAGGAGCTATCGTTTCCGTCTGTGAATTGGTCTACAGCCATTCATCATCGGTGAGCTCTACTTCGATGACTATTGGGTGTGACCGCAGTATTTCAGAAATATTCATCCGTGTAATCCACGACTCCTGGTGGCCCTGAACTCCGTATCTTTGAAGGCGTGATATCATATTGTGCATTGCTCCTTTGATGTGGCCGATGAAGCTTGAAGACCGGTCACCACAGCAAGCAGACTATGCTAAGCAAGTCAAGCCCCGCGAGTTACCTGCGCTATATTTTATACTACAAACACAGGTGTTTTCTGATATCTTTTACGCCTCAAAGCGCACTGCTCTTCATCGGAGACATGTTTAACTTTGCTTTTTGTTCAGTTGCATACCACAGGTGGAGTATATGTGCCGTTTTGTGTTCTAACATCTGTTCCTTTATTAGACAGATTCTTGACAGCCTCGTTGTGCTGGTGGGAAGTGTGAATGAGGTACGTAAACCCTGGCTTTACCGTTGTTGGCGCCCGTATGAAAAGTAATGACATATCTTGTGAAGATTCCTCGCTGTTTCCTGTCGTACCGTTCGGCTGTCTTCTTTGACCGAGGCTAAATGATCAGCAAGCTTCACCGATCATTTGATACGTTTCGACAAATGATATCCTATAGTCTCATCGCCCTGATGAGTGGAGTTACTCACACAGTCTTGACACCCCTGTCGATTTATCGAAAACAGGACATCACGACGCCAGTGCTGAAAGTGTTTCTGTATTGCTCTTGGTTAGATGGTGTGGTACACCGTATTTCTTGAGCTCACAACAGGCAGTTAGTGACACGAATCCTCTGATCTCTCTACGTCACCCTAATAGACGATAGCCATATCTTGTCCTAAGTATACTATCATATTACTTTCATAATAAGACCTAGTTTTTCCCTTGCTATCAAACTTCCTGCGGATGATCATCGATACTCTTTTCTGTGGCTAGAATTGGAGAAACTATTTTAGGGTTAGGGTCTGACTATGTAGTAGCGTTGGACTGTTTGTTCTCCACAGATGTGACGACGAAACAGTCTTGGAGGCTTGACAGTCCTACATTGTATTGACATAATGTCTACCTATGATACAGAAACAGACGATAATGGACCTATAGACATAACTGATACAGTTACGTCGCGGTACTTCATATTACCTGCCTCAGCTGCAGTGGTCGGAACCCTCATTGGAATGGTTCGAGGTTCACGCCTGGCAGCCCTTCGCTTTCTTGCAGAAAATGCACACCGGCCTCCAACGACAGTACGAGGATGGTATTTTTACAACAAGACCAAGAACTACCGAAGAATGCAAGGAGGACTGAAAGCAGCGGGAGTCGACGGATCGAAACTGGCATTGACAGCTCTGGGGTGGGTTGGTATCGAGGACGGACTACAAAGAATAGGGTTGAACGATGTGAGTGAGTTTGGAGCGGGGATAGGCACTGCAGGGGTCTTTTCAGCCGTGTGTGAGTTGTTCTGATTGTCTTTTGTTGTTGCTGTTGAGTCTAGACTTGTATGTTTTCATCTAGACCGACTGCCCTGGAGAACGACAGGTCGCACCCTCGTTATCGGGGCGATGATTGGAGGAGGAATGAGATTTCTCCGGTGGGCTCAAGAGTATCTGCGAGAGACGGCAAAATCACAGGCGGCTGAGGTGGAGCATGCAGCCTCATCCGAAGAGCAATCTGGGGGAAATAAATCTGTTTGAGATGATCACAAAATTTGCATATAGAAATGTTAGAAAGGTTCGAGACCAGCGCGACGTTTGGCGACGATCGATGGCATTTGTTTTCATCAATGATTTGTGAAATGGAACATGTTATTATGCAAGGATTTGAATAATAAAATAAAGATGTGCTCGGGTAGCGGCAGCTATGCCGGCGGGCGGTGTTGTCTACACGTTGGTCACTGCGGCCGACAGCGACAAGAGCTGTTTTAAAGGCAAAGGCTTACATTCAGAGTGTCTTTTCTCTTCTTGTCCTGCTCCACCTCGCGGGTAACCGAAAGATATACTCGGAATGCAGATGACCCTCGCTCCACAGGTCCCAGCTTCGAAGAAATCTCGGGCAACTGGAACCGGTTCCAATCCATCACTGGCCCCCTCTAATCATAATCAACCTCTACAACCACCACCACCACCGTCATCGTCATCGAGGTCATCGCCATCGTCGTTCTCGAGCTCGCCATCGTTACTCTCAGCCTCGTCTTTTCTTCTGCCGAAAGCCATGATCAAGCTGTGGCCCAGTATCAGTCCTGGCATCAACGACCAGCTCACTCCACGCGCTGGACCCAATGGACAGGAACGCCCCAATCCATTTGATGTGCCGCCTTCGCCATCGAGCCAGCCAACGCCGGGACAGCAAACGCCAACGCTGGGGCAGTCTTACCACCACCATTTGCTGAATACGCACACTGCGAATACGACTTCGGCCCTCGCCGTAGCTGATCTCACGCCGCCAGGTGGGCTAGGCCCCCTAACCCCTCCTCTCGGTAATTTTGCCGCTGGTCTTCCTACCACCCACTTGACCCTTCATGCTCCCGATTTTAACATGCGCCAGCCTCCATCTTCAAAGCATTCATCAATGTCAAATAAGTCCTCAACGCCATCGTCATCGTCCACCTCGCTGCGAACAACCCCCTCAGCTTGCACCACCACTCCAGCACCACCAACAGGCACTTCAAAGGGCCAGATCCACGTTAAACTCATCTCCGCACGTTCCTTAAACATCTCATCGATAAATGCTCGTCCCTATGTCGTCGTCCAGTTCGAGCAGAACGAGTTCGTCAGTCGAGACCCCACCGATGAAACGGACAAGGAGGTCAAGGGAATTGCCACGGCTCTTTCTAGAGTCAGCTCTTCAAATGCTCTGTCAGCTCTTACTGCCATCGGCTCGAGAGGTCCTGTCGACACAGCAAAGCGGGGCAAATCCAGTGCCGGAAGCACTCCAGCCTCATCACTCTCATCGTCGGGGAAACCGCCAATATCTCCCGCAGCAGCCCCCGGGTCTGCAAATGGTTTATTTGGTCGTTTATCTGCACACAACCCTGTGTGGAAACACGAGGTGTCATTGTGAGATATCTTTACATCATATCCTTAAGAAAGAAGCTCATTTTGATCTTTGATGACGGTCTCGTCCAGTGACGTTACTTCCGAGGAATCCCTCATTACATTCAATGTATACGATCGTGCCGTAGAAGACCACGGCTTTCTGGGCACAGTTCAAATCAAGCCCGCTCTCGTTCATGATCACACCGTGGACCAGTGGTACAAGTACGTAACATGGCTCCATTCTGCTATCTTTGTGAGCTGTCCTGGGACTATCATGACTGATTTTTATCGGTGTCTTTTTTGTAGGCTCCGGCCGTTCGAGAATGAGATTGTAAGCGGTGAGATGCGTGTACAAGTCACGTTCGAGCAGTACAAGGTACGTGATTCAGCCTCATGTTTCTCACCCTGGCCTTTTTCGACTTAACCGTGGCACGTGATCAGACCAAGCGCGCACTTACTCCAAGAGATTTCGAGTTTTTAAAGCTTATCGGCCGAGGGACATTCGGCAAAGTGTTTCAAGTGCGGAAGAGGGATACTAAGCGTATATACGCAATGAAGGTCCTATCGAAAAAGGAGATCGTGGCCAAGAAGGAAGTCGCACATACGATTGGCGAACGCAAGATATTACAACGTTCGCTAGAGTCCCCTTTCCTCGTTGGTCTCAAGTTCAGCTTTCAAACCGATGCGGATCTGTACTTGGTGACCGACTTCAAGAGCGGAGGCGAATTGTTTTGGCATCTGCAAAAAGAAACTCGATTTAGCGAGGAACGGGCACGATTCTACATCGCCGAGCTGATCCTGGCATTAGAGCATCTACACAAGTACAATATTGTTTATCGGTACGTTTTTTCCGATCATATTGCCATCAGCTTACTTATCTTTACTTAATGTAACGTTGCGCAGTGATTTGAAACCCGAAAATATCTTGTTAGACGCGACAGGCCATCTTGCACTGTGTGATTTTGGCCTTTCCAAAGCCGATCTCCGGTCAGATGAGCTAACCACCACGTTTTGCGGGACTACAGAGTATCTGGCTCCAGAGGTGCTTCTAGACGAACATGGATACTCAAAACTAGTTGATTTCTGGTCACTCGGTGTTTTGTTGTTCGAGATGTGTTGCGGCTGGAGTCCTTTTTATGCAGAGGATACGCAACAAATGTACAAGAACATATGCTTCGGAAAGATAAGGTTCCCGCGAAACGTTATCAGCGAAGATGGGAAGCAATTCGTAAAAGGGGTAAGTGACATGCTTCTTTCCGGATTTCTAGCTTCTTATGACCTCTCCCTTTCCTCTTTTGTCTTCCCGCATGTCTATAGCTCCTGAACCGGAATCCGAAGCATCGCCTCGGTGCGCAGCGTGATGCAGCAGATTTGAAAGAGCATCCATTCTTCAAGTCTATAGATTGGCAAGCACTGTCGCTCAAGCAAGTCACTCCACCATTCAAACCTGTTGTCGAGTCGGATGAGTCGACGGCAAACTTTGATCCTGAGTTTACCACAGCAGATATCCGGGAAGTTGGAGTTGATCATATGGATTTGGACGAGGAAGATCCATCAGAGGATTGGACCTCGCGGTCGATAACTGTGTCAGGTTTTGTGCATACGCCGAACGGGCCTTTAGGGAGTGACAAGAATGGCATCAGCCCGATCACCCCTCTCGGCCTCCCGACTCAAGTGAATGCGAGCCGGAGCCAGGGCATACAGATATCGAAAAAGAAGAAGAAAGAGGCCGCTGGTAGTCCACTGACTAACAGTGTGCAGGAGAACTTCCGCGGATTCACATATTCTGGGGAGAGCGTGGTCACTCCCAACGGAATTTTAGGACATAGTGGAGTGGTGGGAGATGACGAGGCTGTGGATGATGAAGAGACGCAGGAGCCGACAACGGAAGACGAATTTGAGGATGAAGATAATTTTGCGGGTAGGTATTCGACTGCCAGGCGGCAAGGCGTTGTGGATGAAGATATGCGTGTTTAATAATTGTCGGTTGCTATTACCGTGGGCGCTATCATTTTTACTTCCTTTTCTAAACTGCAGACTATCTATGCTATTGCGTTGCTGGGAAATGGATTTATCTGCATGTTACGTGCATAGCAAACCACACCCGCTTCTGCATTTTCTTGTTCATCTCAAGTCAGCGCTTACCCCCATCCAACGCTTTCTTTATTCTTCCATTGACACAATTGTAATTTTTCAGTCATGCTGCTGATCCCCACAACTTACATTTGTATGCCCTTGATAGGCGTCAAGCTACTTTTTTTTTATGGAGCATCTATTCTACGCAATTCTGTGTTTTCTATATTACCATACGTAAATTTTGTAATAATCTTGAAATTGCAAGCAGTGGTTTGTACGATCACACAAACTCAGAAACGAACACACCAATTCAATTGAAACACTGTTGCCCAAAAAAAAAAAAAAAAAAAAAGTCCAGATGCACATCATCTGGATAGATCTATGATAATCGGTAGCTAAAACTATGGTATATGGAGTTCGCAAGTCATCAAGAGTCCCTTTACATTCTCGTTACCAGTCGTAAACGCTACTGCAGCCTGGGCGAGAAAGGTTAAGTCCACCGCGAAGAATAGTAGGTAGTACCTTTCCATTGATGATCGTATTCTTCACGATGGACTCAACCTCGTGAGGCGTCACCCGTCCATACCAGATACTCGAGCCGCTTGGAGTATGAATCTATCCCGAGAAGAGAATGATCAGGATTCAGAGATTCGAGCCATATAGGAAGGAAGGATACACACAACACAATTTCCGGCAAACTTATGGCCTCCGAAATGTGACGTACGAACGATGAGTACCTTGTGCTCATCGGGAAGCGTTTTAAGATGAGCTATAAAAGATTCCTCCTTCTCCTCTTGAGATTTACCCGCTTCTGTCATCTCCAGAGGAGTGGTGTGCGACACATCCTCGAGCTGAGTATGCACCTCCCATCCTTCTTTCTCCAAATACTGGGTAAATGCTGTATCGAGAAATATATTGGACAGGAGCACGAACAACAAATGCGTTTTAACTTACTTTCCGCTAAAATGGGTGCAGTTATGTGACAACGTTTATCTCTTCTCTTATGGGAACCTGGAATTTCGCCGATAATTAATGACACCTGTGGGTGACAGCAACAAACATAGCTCGTACATAGCATGATTACACAGGAGTAGGGTAAAACCCATGACTTGAGCTCTGATTTTTCCTGTGGGACCCCAGCTCTACCATATGAGGGGTCGAGTGAATCATCCCAAAAATGCTCTGCTCCCTCTTGCGAGCGAGGAACTTGGGCGACGATTTTGAAATCAGGGAAGACGATGACGGTCTCCTTGGTAGGATCGTCACAAATGGTGTTATGGCTTCCATTGAGAATGGAGAGTCTCTGAGCATCAGACTGTTCAAATATGCCACGAGATTTTCTTCCGTTCTGCTTTGGTCCTTTCTTGGCAGCTCCCAGAGTGTCATTTACGTGGAGTAGATGAGCGGCAAGAGTGCCCTTGGTGTCAGTGATTTCACTGTCCCAGTCGTACTTTCCAGTTGAAATGATAACCTTTAAGATTTGTGTGAGAAAATGGGCTCATGGACGTGGTAGATTCGGAGGGAGTAGTGTACCTGTCTGCGATAAGGTTTGACTGAGCCATACATATCTGAATCCATATCTACATGCATTCGCTTTGAGTAATCACTGTGCTCTACAATAGATGTTTAGTAAGGCATGCACAAGTGAAGACGAGGCAACATTTCGACACACCCTGATCACAAGGGTCTGCGCAGTTTCTGCAGTCGGCATTGCTCACTGGTACGGACAGCGAAGTAAGGTCATTGACGATATACTGCGTGTCGGCAGGGCCCCAAACGAAATTTCTGAGTTTTCCAAGTACACTCATGGTGGCAGGACGTAAAGAAAGGGAGGTAGGCAAGCGCAGAGGAGGAGGAAAAGCAGGCAAGGATGTTACGGGGCACTAAACTTCTTTTATCAGATAAGATGGGCGGGTGAGAACCTTTTATAGCGGATTCGCGGCCAAGCCGGAACACGTCATGATGGCACTCCGTCTGCCGTCCTATGGCCACGGGCGCCCGGAACTACTTATCTTGCAGTACTCAAGGAAATAAGTATACTAGACTGATGTTTTAAACATTGTTGGTAGAGTCGTTAATGCGCAACTACCACTCTTTGCGGAAAGCTGAACAACCAGGGAAGCATCCCAGCACTTGGCACACACTCCATTCCTCCTCCTACATCTTTTCAGAACCCACGCTGGATAGCCCATGACCTAAGATGAGCCGCTTCAACCGCAGCAAGTATATACTTAACTCACGACCTCTATCATTATATCCAAAAATGAAGGTTCGGGCTCTACTAAAATACGGTAGCGAAGCCCCAAATCCTCCTTCGAGAAACACCCGGTGTGACCTGTAATTATGCATAACTAATCAATACAACCCAAATGGAAAGGAGCAAGACCACAAAATACACGAACGTTTTAAGTCATAGGCTCTCATCCACGATGATACGGACGATCATGCTCAAGCTGCTCCTCTACCCTCTTCGCCTCTTCCTTCAACACAGACCATGATGGTCTTTGTTTGGAATCTGTCCCTAACAGCGCCTCTCGTATCCTATCTCGCCTGTCTGTCTTGCTTTCATCCCATCCAGGACCCATGCTACCCGTGTCTATAGTCGATTGTGATTCATACCCAAAGAAATATTTTGGTTGTGCCCGCCGTGTCTTTGCCACCATCATTAGATCAACCAGAGTGTGCTCCTTGTGTAAGTTGGAGGTTGGAGAGTGCCGGCGTACGAATACGTCGTCGATGACTTCTGAAAGGTTTTCTGGTGTTATGAAAGTTTCAGACTGGTGGTACAATGATACAAGGGAGCGCATCTTTGCATCACGTTGGGCGCGAGCTTTAGACGAAGCAAACCGTCTGGTGACGGACCTCAGCTGAGTGGGCCTCAGAGTGACGGAAAGCATGCAGAAAAAAAGACTATAACAGCTCTCAGAGAGTCCGTTTGAAACGAGATGAAAGACTGTAGGTCACGGTGGCAATATCATATTTAGTCACATTTAGTCACACCTTGCAAAAGCGTGACAAAAGACAGGACACAGGACCGAATATCCAACAATAAACTCTGCCAGTACATATAGAATGTTATTATATTGTACATCAGGATGATATTATAGATTGTATCTAACCAGTCATTATAGTGTTATATAATGTATTGTGCAACCTTCACCAATTTCCTGATGTTTGGCTGAGCCTCAATGGCTCTGGAACTGATCAGCCCCTCAGGGCGCGGGAACAGGTGTGGGAGAAGGATTCCTTTGGGCAAACAAATGCCGTAACAATGTAAATACAAAGCTTCTTATATAACAAATATACGTAAATATCATGTGAAAAAACAATGGTGGCCACAAAAAGCCAGTTATAATCACAGAGTAAATCTTCGGGTGAAGCTCCCAAGTTCGCTTACATAATATAATTTCTACATTTATAGCATTCTAAAAGTACTATCATAGTAGTGTACCTGTACCTTGATAATTCAATATCAATGTGATCGAAAATATCAGTCAGATGGGCTCGTGATAACCTCTGGTAGCCTTGAGAGAACCCTAATAAACCTATGTGAAACTCAGCTGCTGCCCAAGAGGCTATAGAAACAACTATATTATTTACCTATGTGAAACTACAATAGATGTTAGTTTAAGGTGATCTCTAATAAATGTAATGTAACATACCTCAGCCGCTGCCCAAGAGGCTATAGAAACGACTGAGGTATTTCTATACTAAACCCCCTACTACTTATAGTCGGAGGTGCTACTCGCTACAGTATAATGACTCCTAGGAGTACAATTGTGCTCCTAGGAGAACAATGGTTACTCCATGGAGTGGTGGCTATGCTCCATGGAGAACAATGGCTGCTTCGGCAGAGACTGTAACAACCAAGAGTTAGTTACTCTGGCGCACACAAGAACACACTATAAGGGTAGTGAATGGGGAGTGGTTACCCCTTGAGCTGCAGAGAGTTTGTTGGTTAACAACAGGAGGACTCGCTGAGGAGTCTCCTGGATCTATTGGGGTATATATACTACTACAGGGTTGTTTGTACATGTGTACTATACAGTTGATAGAGACAGTGGCTGATGATGTCATGGGGGCTAGCCCGCATGGCCAGCTCCACTGTGTGAGAGAGTTGTGTCTAAAATAAGAAGAAAGGCAACGCAGCGCGAGAAAGAGGAGTTTGAACAAAAGGGGAAGTGCCACGTGGCATTATGTATGAAAGCTAAAGTACAAGGTTAAAGCGGAGAATAAAAATAAAGGAGAGGTCTGAAAATTGTGTTATCGTAACACTACCCCCCTTCTAAGGCTCGACTTCCAGGCTCGACCAAATACCGGAGGTGGTAGTTAAATTTTCAGGCATAGGTTGAAAAAGGGAATTAAAAAGTTTTGAGTCCATGCCTCTAAGCTTCCTAGGAGCTGAGGGGTTCTTAGAATAAAATTCTTGAACAGCATTGCGGGAGTTTTCCAGATGGGCTTCTGGTTCCCACGTTCTGTCCTCGTCTCCATAGCCCTTCCATAGGACTAGGAACTCTAATTTGCCACGCTTCAAGCATACATCCACCACTTGTTCGACTTCGAACTCTTCTTCACCTTCCTGGGTGACTACAACCGGTCCGGGCCGGTCTACACACTGTCCCGGCAGCGGCCCTTTGTAGGGTTTTACACGGCTAATTTTGACCGTGGGTACTACCCTCATTCGTTTTGGGAGTTCCAGCTCCACTGCGTTGGGTTTGACTTCCTTAATCCGGTAAGGGCCAATCCATTTTTCGGTCAGTTTTCTAGACTGCCGATCTTTTAACTTTAAATGGTCGGTATCTAACCAGACCAGGTTGCCGACCTTGTAGTCAGGGGCTTTAGAGCGTCTACGCTCTGCCCTGTTTTTCATCTGCTCTGCAGTTTTGAATAGCGCCTTGCGCATTTCGTCTAAAACAGATTTCATGTCTTTGGCCATGTTCCCAGCAGCCTTGTTCTTGCTTTTGCCAGGTTCTACACCCATTCTGGGGAGGTACAATCTAGTAACCTCGAATGGTGCCTTTCCTGTAGCCGACGACTGTTTGATATTATAAGAGAACTGGGCTATCTTTAGCCACTTGGCCCAATCCGTCTGTCTGTCATTAATAAATATACGGAGGTATTGCTTCAACTCCTGGTTGAGTCTCTCCGTTTGTCCATCAGTTTGCGGATGGAACGCCGTTGATAATTTAGGTTTGATGTCCAGCATCCGGCATAATTCTTTCGTAAATTCGCTAGCGAATTGAGGTCCTCTGTCGGAGATAAACGTTTCTGGTAACCCATGGATAGACCATACAAAATCTTTAAATAAATCTGCCGTACCCGCGGCGGTAATGGTTTTATTGGTGGGTATGAATACCACTTCTTTGGAGAAGCGATCTACTGTTACAATTGACATACCAGCACCTACTTATGCTTCACTTTTGTACTTCTACTTTTATTTTCCAAGTCACATGACCAGTCATGTGACCATTTACTTTACTTTACATTTTCGACTTTTCATAGTCATATGACCAGTCATGTGACACATCACCTGACCAGTGTCTAGACTCATCATATGACCGGTCACATGCTAGATATCGGACTTTAAACTTTATTTACAACTGTACAGTACCTCATGCATTTTAGTATATATACGGGAGCAATACATGGGGAAGGACTCAGCGAGTCCTCCTGTTGTATACCAACTAACTCACTGCATCTTAAGGGGTAACCACTCCCTCTTCTCTTTTCTCTATAGTGTGTTCCTGTGTGTGCCAGAGTTTATCTTGGTTGTTACATCTACTACCACCATTACTGAATCATACCCATTTGACTCGGGCAGATCCGTCGTGAAGTCAACCGATATATCCTGCCAGGGACCAGCTGGTATCGGATTCGGCATAAGTTTACTGGCCGGCGGTTGATGAGAATTCTTTGCCATGGCACATCTCAGACAGGATTTTACATATTCCTGTACGTCTTTGACCATGCCAGGCCACATGTAGTTTCTGGAGATCAACTCCATTGTTCATTGCCACCCAGGGTGCCCAGCCACTGGAGTGTCGTGATGTCTGTCTATTGCCTTGATCTTTGCGGACTCAGGCACATAGATTTTGTCTTTAAAATGGAAGAGCCCATCTTCCCATAAATAGTTTTCATTGCCATCAAGGTGCGCCTTCTCTTCTGAGGAGATGTCTTTCTTGAAGACTTTCAGAAGATTGGAATCCTGCCCGATTCTAACATTGGCAACCCTAGATTGGTCTATCAGGGTAACTCCTTTGTTGTCATCTTCGATGCCGTTGGCATGATCCTCTCTTCTGGACAAAGTGTCCGCTTTCCCCATAGAGCTTCCAGGCTTGTGAATTAATTTATAATTAAACCTTGACAAGTATACCGCGTAGCGGGCCTGTCTTTGGTTCAAGTCTCGGGCCGTCATAAAATACTCCAGATTCTTATGATCGGTCCAAATTTCAAATTGGTGTCTAGCACCTTCTAAGTAGTGCCGCCAGTGCTCTAAGGCTCTAATGATGGCCAGCATCTCTTTGTCGTAAATTTGATAGTTGCACTCTGTAGGCGACAAACTATGTGATAAATAGGCACAAGGCCTCCAAAGATTGTCAGGGCATTTAATTGACAAAACAGCCCCAGTAGCAAAATCAGAAGAGTCGGTTTCTAGCCGGAACTCTTTGTCCAATTCTGGAAATGCTAATATGGGTGCCGTTGTAAACACCTGTTTAAGCTTATCAAAAGCTTCTTGTTCCTTGGCGCCCCAGTGCCAAACAATGTCCTTTTTTGTGAGATCGTTCAATGGCCTCGTGATTTTTGCGAAGTTTTCGATAAACCTTCAGTAGAAATTGCCTAAGCCAAGGAAGGCCCTAACTCCTTTGACGCGAGTAGGTTCTGGCCAATCCAAAATAGCTTGAACTTTCTCAGGATCCATCCTGATTCTGTTCTGGCCTATGATCATACCAAGGAAGTCTACTTCCTTCACTTTAAAATTACATTTTTCGGGTTTGACGAATAGGTCCCGTTCTTGTAAGCTTCAAAGGACTTCTTGCACAATCCTGTCATGCTCAGCCTCATTGTCCGACTTCATAAATAATAACAAATTGTCAATGTAAATGACGACACAGTTTTCCATATCCGCAAAGATCTCGGTCATCATGCTCTGGAAGGTTGCCGGTGAATTGATCAACCCAAAGAACATAACGAGGGGTTCAAAGGATCCTCGGTGGCACGTAAACGTGGCCTTCCAAGCATCTATTTCTTTTATTCGTACATTATTGTACCCCCATCTGAGATCCATCTCCGTCAGGATTTTGGCGCCAGCCAATTTGTCTACTAGCTGACTGATCAAAGGCAGCAGATACGCATTTTTAACCGTGTGCTCATTCACGTAATGATAGTCCATAATCATACGCTTCTTACCATCCTTTTTAGGAATGAAGAACACCGGGGACGTTATAGGGCTTTTGGAAGGTCTGATGTAACCCTTCCTAAGCTGTTCGTCTATGAAACTTGATACCTCATCTCTTTCTGGAGCAGAGAGTGGTATCATGTGTCCTTTTCTCAGTTTGAAGGTGTCCTTCAAATCTATAGCATGGTCCCAAGGCTTAGCCTCTGGGAAGCGCTCTGATTTATGTTTTGAAAAGACTTTCCAGAAGTCATGGTACCCGGGAGGTACCAGCCTCTTAATCTCTTCTTCAGGTTTTACCTCATCATTGTCATTGTCGATCTTTTCTAAAGATCTGAGCTCATAAGCATGACCAGCGTTTATCTTCTCAAGACGCTCATTGTGACGGACATGATTTGGTTTACCCAAGTTTACACACTCCTGAGGGCAACGTGACAATGTGACAACCCCTGTCTGCCAGCCGATCTCAGGATTGTGTTTAAATAGCCAGGTCCAGCCCAAGATTAAATTAATCTTCCCTAGTTGGGTAGCTTCGGTGGTGACTCGTTCTCTGTGTCCTTGGTATTCGACCACAAAAGAACAATTGTGCGTGATGCAGCCACCCGTGTTCAGCGTACCGTCAACATTATAGACGGGAATAGATACATCTAATTTTACAAGGGGGAGTCCAATTTGCTCTGCCCAGGCCTGATCTATGAAGATTCCGTTAGCGCCTGAATCAAGCAGTGCGCTGGTTGGGTGTACTATGCCCCGGGCAAGGTTTTCGACACCAACGTCTAAACGGATCTCCTTTTGGAATAAATATGTGTGCATCAACACACGCCTTGGGATTTCGGGAAAGGGTGGCTTCAGCGAAGAAGAAGGGGTATCGAAAGTTACATGTTTTTCTATTTTATTTTTACCAGAATCAAGCACCCTAGTGTTTGTCTCGCCGGGGCCACACTCCAAGGGAGACGCTGGTGCAGCGGTAGTATCATAAATATTACAGTCACAATGTTTCATACAAGTACATACTTCAGATAACAAATTTAAAAATTTATTTACAATTTGGGGAGCCATCCCCGTCTTTCCTTTATTGCTCGTGCAATACCCCGGAGCAGGGGCCACTTTGTTGTGGTTTACTTCATTGTTCATAGGAGCGAAGGCACCCAAGTGACCTAAGCTCAGAACTCTTTTCCCTGAGCTTTCATTTCAGCAGCCTGCTGATCGTAGAAGAAGGCCCGGATTTTGTCGTACGAATGACCGGCCAGAGTCTGGAGCCGATCGTCCGGTTTCTCGGACTCTAATTGGCGTGCCTGGCGCCCTTGGTTATTTTTTTTGTTGAGCGGCCTGCGCTCCTTTTCTGCAGTCTCGGGACATGTGTCCCTCTTGGCCGCAATTATAGCAGTTCCCCTGGAATCTGCGCATCTGTCCTCCTTGGACCGCGCCGATATCCATAGGGGCTCCCTGCCCTGGTTGCAGCCCAAACGGCTTGAACCCGTGAGAATGGTTTTGATGGTTTGATGACCCAGGGCGCCTCTGGGATGTGTTGTTTTTGGTGGTGGACCCGCCACCTTGGTGCATTTGGTAAAGCTCCATGGCTCTACCAATTCGTTGTACTCCCTCAGCCGCCAGGGCCAGGTTTTCGTTTCTTGTATCCTGCAAGTAGATCTGTTCTGCAATGCAGGGGTTCACATTGCGCTCCAGCAGTTCTACTGCATGTTCATTACCAAGCCCTCCTTGGATGGAGAGGGCCAGGAACTGGGTAACATAGTCATCCGTCCTCATGTTTCCTTGTTTGAAGGAACGGATTTGCTGACGCGCCCAGTCATGCTCAGCTTGTGGTTTAAAGTATTTTTCAATCTCTTTCTTGAGATCGTCACAGGTTGGCCACACTCCCGCGGTGTAGCACTCCTGTAATCTAACTTGGGCGTATCGACCCGCCACAGGTCCTTTTAGTCGAGATAGCACCGCAGCGGCTACCTCAAAGTTGTCGGCAAATGCGTCCCAATTTGCCTTAACCCAAATCTGGAGCTTGATCCACCACTCGGCAAATTGTGCTCTGTCTCCTTCGAAGGCACCAGGGTCAGCGACGACTTCGACTTTTTTGTTGAACTTTTTCTCTACCAAGGGGGTTGCCGCAGGAGGGTTTGTCTGCAGCTTGGCGAGTTGCGAGGTTAACGTTGCAATCTGTGTACGCATGGCATGCAGCAGCGCATTGATGATATCTTGTTGCGACGACATGTCGACTTGTTCTCTTTGTAAAGTAATAAAAGAAACGTAACTGGGGGTCCCCGCTTGCTATCTGCAGATCTACCTCTTCCCAGCTGAGTATCGGATCTCAATCTCCGACTACCCACACTATAGTATTTTGAAAATTTATATAAAAGTTATAGTATTTAAACCCTGGTCCAAACGGTTATCAGGGGGTGGTCCGCTTGCTAAGCTGTCAACCCTTCTCCAGACTGGCGGAGGCAAGTGCCCGGCCTGGTCAGAGGAAAGAGAAAGTGAAGTTTTGTATGTAAATTCTAATCAACAGCGGTTCCACACCGACTGCTGAGCTAAGTACTCCCCTTAACGCTGGGGGCCACGTATCAAAGGTTTTGGTTCTTCTCCCAAAGCACTACAAGGCCGTCGCGAAGAGCGCACCTATCTGCTATGCGGGATATTCCCAACCAATAACCAATCTCCTTCACCCTGGAGTCCGGGTGCCCAGTGGGACTTTTTGCACAATGTGCAAGAGAGTAGAAAGAGTGAGTCCTAATGTAACAACCAAGAGTTAGTTACTCTGGCGCACACAAGAACACACTATAAGGGTAGTGAATGGGGAGTGGTTACCTCTTGAGCTGCAGAGAGTTTGTTGGTTAACAACAGGAGGACTCGCTGAGGAGTCTCCTGGATCTATTGGGGTATATATACTACTACAGGGTTGTTTGTACATGTGTACTATACAGTTGATAGAGACAGTGGCTGATGATGTCATGGGGGCTAGCCCGCATGGCCAGCTCCACTGTGTGAGAGAGTTGTGTCTAAAATAAGAAGAAAGGCAACGCAGCGCGAGAAAGAGGAGTTTGAACAAAAGGGGAAGTGCCACGTGGCACTATGTATGAAAGCTAAAGTACAAGGTTAAAGCGGAGAATAAAAACAAAGGAGAGGTCCGAAAATTGTGTTATCGTAACAGAGACTGGGTTTATCCGGTTTTGTTACTCCCACTCGAGTGCAACCGTAGTCCCATAGCTTTAGAGAATTTCCAGTGTTTTTCATGAGTGAGGGGTTTAGTGAGAATGTCTGCAACCATATCTACCGTAGGAACGTATCTGATTACTGCCTCTCCCTTTGATACTAAGTCATCTTGGATAAAATGATATTTCCGTTGAATGTGTTTTGTGCGAGCACGGAACTGTGGATCTCGTGTAAGAATGATAGCTGCTTGATTGTCACAGTGCAATGTTGTAGGTCCATTTTGAGCATGTCCAATTTCTTCAAAAAATGTCTGAAGCCATGCAAGGTGTTGTCCAGCATTGCTCAATCCAATGTACTCTGACTCCGTGGAGGATAAAGCTACCATGCTTTGTCTTTTGCTTGTCCAGGAGATTGCTCCTCGGATGGTGATAAAGACAAACCCTGATGTTGATTGAGATGTGTCTGGGTCTCCAGACCAATCTGCATCTGAATATCCATAGAAATCCATGTCCATGGAGACATCTGTGCCATCATATCGTAGTTCCATGTCCCTGGTTGCTTTCAGATATTGGAGGACACATTTTGCAGCTTCCCAGTGATGGCTCCTTGGAGCTGAGCTATGCCTGCTTAGTATTCCAACGACGTAGGCAATGTCTGGGCGGGTTCCGAGCATGGCATACATGAGGGAGCCTACAATTGAGTTCAATATGCATCTCATGTTGCACAATATCTTCCCCTGGAGCATTTGCAAGGAGTTTTGATCCATGGGCCATTGGTGTCCATACTGGTTTGCAGTTCTTCATTCCAGTACGCTCCAGAACTGTGTCAATGTATTGGCGTTGCAATAGGGATATTGTTTTGTTTGAACAATCACATTGGATTTCTATTCCGAGGATGTATTTTGCTTCTCCAAGGTCCCGCATTTTGAATATGGATTCGAGTTTGGCTTTTGTGATATCCATGAATTTTCGGGATGAAGCTCCTAGGAGAAGGTCATCTACATAGACAACAACAAAGCATATTTGTTTGTTGTCCCGGAATACATAGAGACATGTTTCTGCATTTAGTCTTGTGAAACTGAGCTCCTGGAGCTTGCGATCAAAAGTTTTGTTCCATGTACAACCAGCTTGTTTTAACCCGTAGATGGATTTCTTCAATCTCCAGCAGTATCCAGGTTGGATAGGAACACCCCCTGGAGGAAGCATTACAGTTCTTCTTCAAGTTCTCCATTGAGATAAGCTGTGGATACGTCCATTTGATCAAGTTCTAGGTTGTACTTTGCTGCTAGGGCTAGAATAATTCAGATTGACTCTAAGTTTGCAACCGGAGCAAAAGCTCCTGGTAATCAATCCCCTCCCTTTGAGTAAAACCTTGTGCAACAATCCAGAGTTTGTATCTCTCAATGTTTCCGTTTTGATCAAACTTGATCCGGAACACAGGTTTTGATGTGATGGGTTTTACTCCCTTCGGAAGTGGAACAGTGTCATATACTGCATTAGTATTGAGACTTAGGAGTTCCTCCTCCAAGGCAGACTTCCATAATTCTCCATCCGGACGTGATAAGGCTTCCTTTAGTGTCCTTGGAAGGTCTGTGTTAGATGGACCGGTACTTGCTATTCCAGCAAAGAATGTCTCCTCTGTATCAGATGTTTCTTCATGAACCTCAGGAGTGTTAGGTTTCTCCATGGAGTTGTCATGCTGCTCTTTTTGAGACTGTTCCTCATCTAGAGTCCTTTGATAATCTCGGTTTTTGTCTGCAGGACGGGTCTGGCAACTGCTTCTGCATACTCCTAGGACTTCAGCAGACATGACTGCTCTTTTAGGAACTTGTGCAGGTACTCCAGGGAGTAGCAGCATTTGTGTATTTGTTGCCCCACTCATCCAATGGACAGGCTGTCTAGCTGTATTCGGACTTTTTCCACATAAGCTGGCTGTATGTTGAGGGGCTGTCCTCCCACTGACTGTAACTCTACTTTGGCTTTCCATTCTGAAGATGGCCAGTGTTCAGGTCTTGGTTGTAGAGACTGTTGTGGAGGGTGTCTTAGCTGATCAGGTGCTCCCACTGCTCTCGGAATATCTCCACAGAGGTATTGCCCCACTGCTCTTGGAACATCTCCTTGGAGATGTGGTTCCATTTGTAATTCATTTGGATCTCGGATCCGAGGGTCAGGATCATCCTCCTCCAATGTTTTTTGGTCTGGATAGTGAGCATTCTCTGGAATGAGTCCCTCCCACTGATCTGTGCTAGTGTCTGTGTTCCAGGGAACAGTGTCATCCTTTTGTACCTTTCCGGATTCATTGAATATGACATGCCGACTGGAAAACACAGTCCATTTTTCAGTGCCTAGGAGTTTGTAGGCTTGCTTTCCATGTGTGTAGCCAATCATTATGGCTTTGCACCCCTTGGAGTAAAACTTCCCTTGCCTTTTGTCTTTCGGAATCAAGGCATATGCTTGGCATCCGAAAGGGCAAAACAAAGTTGGATCAACTGTTACGATAACACAATTTTTGGACCTTTTCTTTACTTTCATTCTCCGCTCTAACCTTGTACTTTAGCTTTCACACATGGTGCCACGCGGCACTTTCCCTTTTGTCCAAACTCCTCCTTCTTGCGCCGCGTTGCCTTTCTTCTTATTTTAGACACAATTCTCTCACACAGTGGAGCTGGCCATGCGGGCTAGGCCCCATGACATCATCAGCCACTGTCCCTATCAACTGTATAGTACACATGTACAAACAACCCTGTAGTAGTATATATACCCCAATAGATCCAGGAGACTCCTCAGCGAGTCCTCCTGTTGTTAACCAACAAACTCTCTGCAGCCTAAGGGGTAACCACTCCCTCATCATCTTCCTTATAGTGTGTTTCTGTGTGCACCAGAGTAACTAACTCTTGGTTGTTACATCAACTCTCCTTTTAAACAGTATTTCATATGGGGTCTTTCCATGGAGTCCTGATGCTGGGCTGCGTGCTGTGATATATGCAGCTATTTGCATGGCATCTACCCAAAATGACTTTGGGAACTTGGAATCATGGAGCATAGTGGTTGCTAATGTAGCCAATGTCTGATTCATGCATTCTGCAATGCCATTTTGTTCCGGAGTATCTGCAGCTGTAGTTTCTTGGATGACACCATCTGACTCGGAGTTGATTTTTGAATGCATTGCCAGTATATCCTCCTCCCCCATCGCTCCAGAGGAATTCTGTGTATAGTGGAGTGAAGTTTTCTTCTCCCAAATGAGTCCGGAAGAATGTTCGGACATCTTCTTTCCATTGCTTGTATCATTCCAGTGCTCCACTTTTATGTTTTAGGAAATATATGTTACGATTTGTCTACCTCTATTACGGACTACTCGTTTCTCTTTACTCATCGGTTATACCATCGAACCGATGACTCACGTCCTTCACATACACTTCCGCTCCTCTCGCACTTCTATTACTTTGTATAGTACTCAGTCCTCAACGGACAGACCTACCCTAGATAGGACGTAACTCCTATCGCCGACTTACTTCTCTATAAATACACTTGTAACAGTAGTAGTATTCTCCAATACGATTCTACGCAGTTCACGCTTACAAAGCTAGAACTTCCAAGATCAGACTTCCATACGGAAGAAGACCAACAACCATTGGAATCCCTCTATTCAGAATTACATCCTCGAAGTTGTCTTCGGATAAGTCTCTTTGAACAAACTCGACGAACCCTCAGACTTTGTTAAGCACTTTGTGCGTAACAAAAGAATCGTATTCCATACCAGAAGTCCCACCTATTTAGGTTTGGGAAGAAAAAGCCGACAATACGTCGCAACGACCGAGAACCAGATCCCAGAGAGCAGAAAGAAGCTCAGACGATTTACAGACACAGACAGCAACACCCCCGACATCGTCCAGACAAGGAAGGATAGCAGCACCACCCCCCTTCCCTCAACCAGACGTCACCCGACTCCACACCAGAGAACAGGCAGACGCATTCTACAAAGCCAGAACACGTTGGCTACAGTTCTACGCGGAAAGTCATCCACAACTAATCCCCAGAACACAACACAATCCTCCAGTAACCACAGAAAACATCTACAACGAAGACGACTTCGAAGAATACGCAGCGGAAGGTGAACCAATACCCTCTCCCACACCACAGATACTCCCCACCGCACCCAACCCATCTTCTACCTACACCATGTCAAACGCTACAACACCCAAACCCACTATGATTGGGAAAATCGACGACTTTGATGGGACCCCAGACAAGGCCCAAAGATGGATATCATCCACTGACTTACACTTTGACATCAACGACACCATTTATACCTCTGACAAGAAAAAGGTGTACATGGCTCTCAGCTACATGAAGGACGGAACCGCCGCCTCATGGAGTGAAGCCAAGATGACCGAATACAAAGACAAGAACGCCTACCCCACATGGGCAGATTTTATGAAAACGTTCACAGCCAGTTTCAGAACAGCAAATGTCAAAGGAACGGCTTCGGCCGCCTTGATGAAAATGAGGATGGAACCAGGAGAAAATGCAGTGGCATTCAACTCGAGGTTTATGCTAGATGCCGGGAAAAGCGGCATCAACAACGAAGCCATGATCATGGTTTATCAAAAGGCAATCCGACCCCCCCTCCTCCGCAGAGCACTCACCGGAAAGGAACTGGTCACCATTGAAGACTGGATGAACACGGTGGCCAACCTAGATGCCAACTGGATTAGTGCCAACGCCATCTCGGAAGGAACGTGGGGGGCCAGAAACAAAGAAAGACAGTACAACAAAAATTGCAAAAGTGGACCATCCACCAGCGTGAAAAGGCTGACCAAAGACGAAGAAGAAACCAGGAGGAAGGAAGGAAGGTGCTTCATATGCAACGAAAAAGGACACATCGGGAGGAATTGTAGGAACAAAGGAAAAACTCCCGAAAGAAAGGTACGTCAAACCGAAACTGAAGATGACGTCAAGACAGTAGTTGAAGAAGACAGGGTCCAAAACATCATGAGGATGTGGAGGGAGTTGGGAGAAGACCAAAAAGCTGAGGCGATGAAAGAATTAGAAGACGAGGGTTTTTGAAACGACGGACTACCCCGATGTTAGTACCGTCGAAAATGGCAACTGTAACAATAGCAACGATCAATGCCAACTCTTTACGAATTGATTGCTCGTTAAAACAGAAAACCATCGGAACCAAAGCCCTGATAGATTCAGGAGCTACGGACAACTTCATGGACACAAAATTCGCCATTAAAAACCGACTCCCCCTCCAAAAACTCCCGACCCCTATAACGTGTAAAAACGTTGACGGGACCACAAACAAAAACGGAAAAATTACGCATTGCACCTATCAGAGAATAGACGCAGGAGGACAAAATAGGTTTACGAAGTTTCTATTAACCGGACTGGACGGAGAAGACGTATTGCTAGGCTTCCCCTGGTTACGAAAAGTCAACCCAGTCATTAACTGGAAAAACAAAGAATTACTGTACTCAGACAAACATTCAATCAGGACAAACCAAACTACCACGGAAACAAAAATCAGGACAACCACAGTAGACGAGGACGAATACGAAACCATTCACAGATACGTATCCGACCACACACCTTATCCTCAAACCACGATTCGGTTAAAAGTCAACTCGGCAATGGAACACGCACAAATACACGGAGAAAGAAAAGAAAAACATATCCTCCCAGATGAATATAAGGGCTATTCAGACGTCTTTGACAAGAAGAAATCAGAAAGACTCCCCAAGCGACGGGAATATGATCATGTAATCAACATGAAACCGGAATTTGTACCAACGGATTGCAAACTGTACCCACTGGCACCAAAGGAAGATGAAGCGTTAACGGAATTCTTGACGGACAACTGCAGAAAGGGATACATCAGGCCAAGCAAATCGCCACAGGTGTCCCCCTTCTTCTTCATTGGCAAGAAGGACGGATCACTCCGACCATGCCAAGATTACAGAAAACTAAACGCATATACCGTAAAAGACCCATATCCACTACCCCTGATACCCGACCTCATCGAAAGATTGAAAGGAGCCACCGTCTTTACTAAACTGGACCTACGTTGGGGATACAACAACGTAAGGATAAAAGAAGGAGACGAATGGAAAGCTGCCTTCAAAACCAGCAAGGGAGTATTCGAACCAACGGTCATGTTTTTCGGCATGTGCAATTCCCCAGCAACATTCCAAAGGCTGATGAACGACAAATTCAAAGACTATATTGATGAAGGCTGGATGATCATATACATGGACGACATCCTCATCTTTGACACCAATGTTGAAAGACTCCGCATCCGGACAAAACAGGTTCTACAAAGGCTACGAAAAAACGACCTATTCCTGAAACTTGAAAAATGTACCTTTGAGGTGGAGACCATCGAATACTTGGGAATGATTGTTTCCCACAACCAGGTATCCATGGACCCAGCCAAACTCGCAGGAATACGCGATTGGCCAACCCCAAAAGACACCAAAGGCGTACGGAAGTTCTTAGGTTACGGAAACTTCTACAGGAAGTTTATAGGCCATTACTCTGACCTAGCCCGACCCCTAAACGCCTTGCTAGAAAAAGACAAAAAGTGGAACTGGACAAAAATCGAAGATGACGCTTTCAAACTATTGAAACAAAGATTCCTCGAATCCCCTGTAACCCAAATCCCCGACTCCTCGAAACCGTCGAAGATAGCAGCAGACGCGAGCAAACACGCCACCGGAGCTGTATTAATGCAACCAGACGATCAAGGACAATGGCACCCGTGCGCATTTTTCTCGAAAACCCTATCCCCCGCAGAGAAAAACTACCAGATCTACGACAAGGAACTTTTAGCGGTAATGAGAGCTCTGAAGGAGTGGAAACACCTGCTTTTAGGAAGCCCACACACGATCCAAATTCTAACGGATCACAAAAACCTGACGTACTGGCAGGAGGCCAGGAAACTCACACCACGACAACGAAGGTGGCAGTTAGAACTGTCACAATACAATTACACATTAGAGCACGTACCTGGAACCCGCATGGTGGTACCTGACGCACTCTCGAGACGACCCGACTTGTACATCGATAACACGGACGACGACAACAACACCCCAATGATACCAGCGTCGGCGTTTCTGTATCACACGAGAACAATAAAAGACACAATAGAGCAAGCAATGCTCACCAACGACAACTACCCTGGAAGAACGAAAAAGGAAGATTGGCACAAAGCGGAAGGACAGTTCTTCTATCAGAACAAACTACTGATCGACACTGCAGAAGAACAGAGAACGATCATCAAAGATCACCACGACTCGCTAACCGCAGGACACCCAGGAAGACTAAAAACCTATCAACTAATAAAAAAGCCCTATTGGTGGCCAGGAATGATGAAACAGGTACAGGACTACGTGAAAGGATGCGCAACTTGCCAGCAAGCCAAAGTAAACACGCATCTGACCACGGTACCGTTGATCCCAAATCAAACACCGAGGACCAGTGAACCGATGAAGTATCTCTCGGTGGATTTCATTACAGACTTACCCGAGTCTATAGGGTATGACAGTATAATGGTCGTGGTAGACCAAGGACTTAGTAAGGGGGTAATCCTCTCACCTTGCCACAAAACCATCGACGCACTCAAAACTGCACGAATCTTCCATGACTCTGTCTTCAAACGGTTTGGACTACACGACAAAATTATATCCAACAGAGGCCCACAATTCGCCTCTGAAGTATCAAAAGAACTCCACAAACTCCTAAACATCGAAACCGCACTCTCCACGGCATACCATCCACAGACTGACGGACAAACAGAACGATCCAATCAAGAACTAGAGATCTACCTCCGCATCTTTTGCCAAATCAACCACACAGTTGGGCAAAATACCTTACGACGGCCAAATTCTGCCACAACCAACAGCCACACTCCACGAATAACCAATCGCCATTCTACCTCCTCATGGGATACGAACCCCGAGGAATCCCGACTAAACACCGATCCACAAACATCCCGTCAGTAGAAAAACGATTATCCGAACTGCTTAGGGCAAGAGAGAACGCTCTAAAAGCACACGAACTAGCGAGAAGCAAGATGATGAAACGAACGAACGGAAAGTTCACCAGATTCTCAGAAGGACAAAAGGTGTGGTTAGAAAACACCAACCTGTGGGAAAAAGCCACCGGATACAAGAAGTTCAACATGAAACGCATCGGACCTTTCCGCATCCAAGAAAAGATCTCTCCGGTAAACTACCGATTATCGTTACCTCCCCATTGGAGGATACACAATGTTTTCCACGCATCCCTCCTAACCCCGTATACCGAAACCGACACTCACGGACCGAACTTTATCCGACCACCACCTGACCTTATCAACGAAGAAGAAGAATATGAAGTAGAAAGTATTCTTAGACACAAACCCTGGAAACGCGGACGCCGTTACCTGATCAAATGGCGCCATTACCCTCATTCCGAAAACTCATGGGAACCAGAAGAACACCTGACCAATGCTGCAGAGATACTGGAAGCCTATAAGAGAGACCACAAACTGCGTTGAAGAGACAACCACCCCCACCACCACCAATCCTCTGCCTCTCAAAACACACAACATGTCTACTTCTCACTCTACCGGCTTCCCCATCACCACCTACTCTGTACCCGGCGAAGCCAACATGCTAGCCGACGAACGAGTGTCCTTTGCCCGTGGACAACGACACAACCAGGCTGACGTCTCTGACGCCATAGAATTAATGTCAGCCAAAAACGCCCACATCTATCTATTTCGTGAAACAGAAAAACGCTATCCCGATGCGTACCACGCTCTTTCTTCCCTATACACTTTCCTTAACATAGACCTCGTGGCTGACGAACTCCTGAAAGCCATAGACTCACTACATTTGTTGGAAAACGAGCATTCGCAGCACAACAATCTGGACTCGAGTATCTGTCGGGCACTCCGGATGGAAAAGTTAGTTTTGGAATCTTTGGAACGACGCTTGAGGATGAACTCCTTGAGTGGGCAGACGGACGCGGCAAAGGCATATTTGGAATTAGGCGGGAAGATCTTGCTAACCGAGGCGCGCACGCGGATAGAGCGAGACGGCTATACGAGTACTCCTCCACCCGGTTTGTCCCGCCGGTCCCCATTATACCCAGATCAGATCAGTGTTACCCCGGAGCTCACCTACCCCACCGCCACTCCACAACCTCCGCCCACCCAGTTAGCGGAAAAATACATTCCCACCGTCCCAACCAGCCCGACCTCACAAGGGTCGAACCCCTCCAGTCCCCGTTCCACTGGGTCGAACCCAGAACCACTACCACCGCAGTCACCTCCGCCTTGACCAGTACCAAACGCCCAAACCCGTCGCCTGACGAAACGACGAGGAGCCCGACTAGGCCAACAAGAAGTGATACTCCAGATCCCCGCCGTCAGAACTCCATCGAATTGGTGATCTCGTACGTCGAAGAGTCCGAAAGACAGTCCGCCTGGCGTAACGCGCAGGCCTGAGACCGGCTCTCCTTCCAATCCAATCAACGTAGATGACGCCGACATGATCGACCAATTGTACGCGGGAACGTACAACCTGGGAGATGACGATCCCCCCACTCCCAAATCCGACACCTCGTCCAATACCCGACGAAAGTACCACCAAGGCGTTCGCGACAACGCTCCTTACTGTCAAAACTGCGGTTGGAGTGATCACCGTACATATTACTGCGAAGCTTACTACTGCCCCAACTGCGATAGACGCGCACCAGGGCATAGTTTCAATTGGTGTCCTATTTGTAGGGAAAACGAAGATAGGATTCTGATGGAGGGATTACATGGAGACGTCAGCTACGACGACAGCTACAACATGGATGGCGAGGGTACCGAATTTCGGTGAAATTCGAAGCAAGTAAGGGGGTAATGTTACGATTTGTCTACCTCTATTACGGACTACTTGTTTCTCTTTACTCATCGGTTATACCATCGAACCGATGACTCACGTCCTTCACATACACTTCCGCTCCTCTCGCACTTCTATTACTTTGTATAGTACTCAGTCCTCAACGGACAGACCTACCCTAGATAGGACGTAACTCCTATCGCCGACTTACTTCTCTATAAATACACTTGTAACAGTAGTAGTATTCTCCAATACGATTCTACGCAGTTCACGCTTACAAAGCTAGAACTTCCAAGATCAGACTTCCATACGGAAGAAGACCAACAACCATTGGAATCCCTCTATTCAGAATTACATCCTCGAAGTTGTCTTCGGATAAGTCTCTTTGAACAAACTCGACGAACCCTCAGACTTTGTTAAGCACTTTGTGCGTAACAATATATCCATGGAAATTTGGAGAAATCATCTACAATGATAATCCAGTACCAAAAAGCCCTCCCTGGAAGTTGGTTTAATTGGTCCTCCAACATCTGTGTGCACAATTTGTATGGGGCGCTTGGCTCGGTTTCCTCCAGTGGACTTGAAAGGTAATTTCTTCATCTTTCCTAAAGCACAAGGTTCACAAAACTCCCGGGTTCCGGTAAGGGTGTCTATGTCCTGGAGCTGTCTTTTTGTAACCATTCGTTGCAAGCGGTCCATTCCAATGTGTCCCATTCTCCTGTGCAATAAATTTACATCTACTGCTGCAAAAGCTGACTCCGGGTTGATTTCGGGTTTTGCTTGGATGTGATAAAGTCCTCGCTTGTGTAACGCAGTGAGGATAAGTTCCTCCTTTTTCCGAACTTCACAAGCATTTGACCCTGCTGGAAAAAGTGTTGATAACCCCGTTTTGGACAATTTGTGGACAGAGACGAGTGCTAACGTGAAGTTTGGCACAAGTAAGACATTTGACAGTGCAATATTGTAGTCCTTTTTGCCAACAGTTGCTTGTAGGATTACTGTTCCAATGCCAATGGCATTTACAGAGGATTCATCCCCAAAACTGATTGTCCTCGGAGGATGCAGAACATGGTATGTTCCTGGCTCAAACCAGGAGCGGTGAGGGACCATGTGGGATGTTGCTCCGGAGTCAATAATAATTGTTGTTTTGGTCTTATCGGGTTCCAACACAAGGTAAGCTTGAATGCGTTTAGCAAGGGGCTTGGAAATATGTACATGATCCAATGCAATATGACTCTGTTCCTCCTCGGAGTCAGATCTGGATGATTGCTCCGCTGTATTTGCCTTTTCCTTCTCTTTTCCTTTATCCTTGTGTCTTTCCTTTCCCTTCTTCCTTTGACCTTTTTCAGCTGACTGAAGTGTTCGACACTTTGAGGTGTTGTGTGATTTGGCTTTGTGGAAGTTACACCATTTCTCCTCGGATTTGAGTGCTGATTCGGAACCTCCAGGGGCCTTCCCTGACTGTCATGCAACTTCTGCAGTGATCCGGATCTCAACTGCATCAAAGGTAAGTTTATTTTCTTCAATCGTGTTGATTACTGATGACTGAAATATTTGCCATTCAGGAGTGCATGGGAGAGATTGGAGAAGAGCGAAAGCCATGAGTTTGGTATCAACTCCTAGTTTCATTCCGGAGAGGTGTGAATCAATTGTCCGGATTTTCGCAATGTGGTCCTGGATAGGTGATGTCCCATCCCAGGACAATTTGGTGAGTTGCTGGAATGAATAGAAGGCCGAGGCAATGTTGGACGTTTGATGGAGTGAGACAAGTTTATCAAATAACTCCTTGGAGCTGGTGAGGTCTCCAGTCCTCATTAGGAGGGCATCACAGATGTGGTCCTGGATGATTCCATGTGCCTTCTCATCCTTAAGTATCCAGGTGATCTCAGGATCCTCCGAGGAGGTAGGTTTTCCTGGTGAGGGCTTAAGCTCCTCTCCAGTAACAACCTGGAGAACTTTTTCCCGACGTGGCTTTGAGATGATCCGGAGTTTCCATATCTGAAAATTGTTGGGTCCAGTGAGAACTGGACATGCAGATGTATCACGTGCTGTGGTCATGGTTCCGAGGTTGCCGTTTCAAATAAGAATTATTTCCTGCGTAGCTTTTGCACACCAGGGCTCATAACCTAATAAAACTAAGTAAAACTACAATAGATGTTAGTTTAAGGTGATCTCTAATAAATGTAATGTAACATACCTCAGCCGCTGCCCGAGAGGCTATAGAAACGACTGAGGTATTCCTATACTAAACCCCCTACTACTTATAGTCGGAGGTGCTACTCGCTACAGTATAATGACTCCTAGGAGTACAATTGTGCTCCTAGGAGAACAATGGTTACTCCATGGAGTGGTGGCTATGCTCCATGGAGAACAATGGCTGCTTCGGCAGAGACCAGGTTTATCCAGTTTTGTCAGGGGGTTCAAATTTGGCATCTGTGAGGAGACTATAACTTAGTCTGTAAACCACATGGCAAAGGCCCGTTCAACCTCAGGTATTGTGTGGGACAATTAAGCATATGGGCACATGAGAGGGTGCCATGGTTCTGGATGCATGTATACTCACCTGCCCCAGTGAGCAGTTTCTCCTTGACTTGACTGGCCGAGGTTGCAGGAGGGAAAACTGCTGTGGCCACAGCGCAGTGGGCGCACCAATCAGAGACAATGTTCAACTTGTATATTACTGGTAAGTGAGATAAATAAATTGGCGAAATTAACTTGAATCGAGCAGCCTGAATACTATTCTCTCTCCGTATTGCTTAGGCGGTTCACATTGATGATGGCTTATTCAAAATTGTCAATTGAATATTCACTGATAATCAATACAATGATGGCAATACAACAGGCCCACTGACCAGTCCTCCAGGTGCCGATAATGTGGGACGTATGATTTTTTAGAAGTGAGACTTGACACCAGCCTTCTCCATAACTGCGAGCTCTTTCTTCTTGATCTCTGCTGCCCTCTTGGCAAGTGCTGGGCCACGTTTCAACTCCCTCTGCCCAACTTGCTGAATATGTACCTATATTAAAAGGCAATCAGTAGCTAGACTCCACTCTCAAGAAGCGAGACGCTTACAGCATCGGGTCCCTGTCAGAAAGTATTTCAGTTTCCATGAAGTTTCGTCACATCAAAGGTGAATACGTACATCGGCAATGCGGAGCGTCCTCAAGTTTGCAAACATGCTAGCTAGTGGTTGATCCTGGCTGAGACCTTCCGCTCCATACGCTTGCATAGCACGGTCGATGACACGGAGAGCCATGGATGGGATCACGAACTGTATGAAGGTTAAGTAAACCGACGCAACTTCTCAGTAAGGTCACTAGCCTTTGCAATACCAATCTCCTTGAGTGCTCCCTTGGCTTTATATTTGTCAATCTAGCATCGCACATCAACCAGTAGCAAGAAAACTGGACATCTCAGTAGCTACCTGTAGCGCCGCGCTCAGGACAAGTAGACGTGATGACTCGATTTCAGCACGAGAATGTGCAATATCGGCAATAACAGTACCTTTGCCATGCCAAAAGGTCAGCAATGGCACTATAAACACCAAACTCGTCTAATGAAGCGTACCGTGCTCGTAAAGGTATTTTCCAAATGTCTTCCTTGAGGGGTCAGTTATCCTTTGGATCATCAGGTCAAGAGCCATTGAAGCTGCGCCTATAGAGCGCATGCAGTGATGAATACGACCAGGTCTAGAGGACGATCAGAAAGGAACATAGAGTACACAGTCAACAGAAAATTACTCACCCTAAACGTCCTTGGATAATCTAAGAACAATGGCCCTGAGCTCGTTAAGAAAACACATAGTTCAAAATAACCCACCTCGAAGCCTTTACCCCAGCCAAGGACAAGATTTGATAATGGAACGCGAACGTTGTCGTATATGATTTCGCAATGTCCTTCAGGGGCATCATCGTACCCGAAGACTTCCATGGGACGAACCACTTTGACACCAGGGGCATCGGCAGGGACTATTACAACACTTTGCTGGAGGTATGAGTTGGAGTTCTCAGGGTCACTCTTTCCCAAGACAAGATGAAGCTTCGTTCGAGGGTCACCTGCTCCACTTATCCACCTACAAGCATCATGAGCGGCGCTGCCATGCGCTGATATACCCAAACTAGCCTCCTTACCATTTGTGCCCGTTGATGACTATTTCATCGCCTTCTCGTTTAATGGAGGTCTTGATGTTGCGGGCATCGGCGGAGGATACTATTGACACACAGGGTTCAAGAGAGGGCTAGTAAGAACAATCTCGGGTGCGGACGAACCAAATCTCTCGGTCATAGCAAAAGCCGAACGTATTTGGCCGTTGAGCAAAGGTACGAGCCACTTCTTCTGCTGCTCTGGGGAACCATACCTTGCGAGAACCTCTGAAAGCCAATGGTCAAAGTGTTATCCAGGCGTTGCAGACTCAAATATCTCACCCATATTCCCAGTATCAGGAGCGGAACAGTTGACTGCTTCAGACGCCATGTGTCCCCCACGACCGAGCATCTCTGCCATGACGGCGTACTAAGAAAAGGGCGTGAATGAATAGCCTCCATATCCACTCTTGAGGACATACCTCGAGATTGGTAAGAGGTACGCCGTGTTCTGGGTAGTGCAATTTGCTCAGGAAAAGGTTCCACAAGCCAAGTTTACGGGCTTTAACTTTCAATTCTTCGATAACCGGAACGATGGTCTTCCAACGTTGCACAGGATCGCTGGGGATTTGTATATGGGCAAGCCGCTGCGCCGGAAGCACTTCATCCTACAAACAATTGAGATATCACCCTATCACAGCGTCATGCGGTACAAAACTTACATGAAGGAAAGCAATTAGCTTAGCAAGTGTCTCCTTCCCGTAGTCTGAGAACTTGTCCTGTATCTGGACACATAGAGCTTCAGTACAGTCGCGCCTGTAAACCACAGATAATAACACGGACAAGATTCCAGGACGCTTCTGAGGTCAGCTCTACGATTGGATGAGAGACCATTTGTATACTTGAGAAAGTTAGTGGTATGGGTTCAAGTTTAATCCTTAAGAATTTCGTTGCTTACAGGTATTGAGCGCTCGCACCGGCTACTTACATCAACCGGTCATGCGACTATAGCCACCGAAAACATAGGCGCTGTTTTCTGTCAATGTCGTCATCCTAATCACAGGTTTGCATCCTTTTAACATGTTCGAGCGCGCATTTATAACCTTTGTAAAGTTTCAAATGATATCAAGGAATGCGAGCTAGGTGTTACAAGATCGATACTGATAGTCAATGTCAGAGAAAGGAGTACAGCATAAGAAGCCTATTAGTAACTAGTTCAGTGTATCAAGGATTAAAACAAAACCCGAGTCAACGCAAGTGCGTAAGGCTCAAACACACAAAGATTATTAGTAGTGAATATGCATATCGCCGTGGAAGGTCAAGCAAAGCACTAAGCATACAGTGAAAACTCTAGCACCGAACCAGATCTCGTCAACTCGTGTATGGATACAAATATACGTCGTGTGGTCACCGTTCGGAAAGAAATTGGTCCAATGCCATTATCGAGGCACGTATGATTCAAAAGGGATGATGTTGAAATCTCCTCTGGATATTATTACTATCGGCCTTGTTGATTATGTTGACCGTGTCGGCTAAGGTCTGAAGAAATATCACCGAGCGAAAACGGTAAATCGGGATCAAGCCCAAATGCACCAGCGTCAAAAGTCTGCCAGAGTGAATCTTGATCTCCAGCTACTGAATATCCGCCTGTGTTATAATTGCGGATATAGTCCAGGCCATGAAAGGGAAGTCCTGGTGTGGCAAAAGACGCGGTGGGAGGTGTGGTGGATAATCCAGAGTACCCCATATCTGATGCCCCGTACCATGTAGGGTCCACATTGGACTGAGAATCGTATGGATGTGAGTACGACAGAGAATTATTCTGTAAAACGGGGGAGTACATCTCGAGGCCCTGCTGCTCAGCATTGCTACCATCCCAGTGGGAGGAGCTCCCTTGACCCATGTTATGCTGAGACTGCAGTCCATATTCGAGATCAAATTGGGATGGCGACGAGACGTGGAGGGGGGATAAAGGAACTGCAGAATAATTGCTATATGGCGATGCTACCATCATCCTCGGGCTGGCTTCTTGATTTTGAGACGCATCAAGGTTTGATATTGAAGGGGATGGTAGATTCACCGAAGCGGGCGAACTATGCGGACTGGACTTGCCTGGGGCAGAGCCCGGACTGGCATATATGCCATGATATGAGGCCAGGTGGCTTCCCGCCCTATCGAAGCCTTCGCTCTCATCATGACCACGCTTGCGTGACGTTGACCTATTTCGCTGAGCTATAAGTAAAAAAAAGTTAATAAAATAAGGAATAAGTTTTTGGAAAAGGACGCACAGTCTACGCGATAAGCAGAAGCAACAGGAGCCCGGCGGGTAGTATTGGTCGAATCTCGAGAACGACTGATGCGCCTTGGCTTGCCCTTGACGGGGCGGATTATGGTAGGCACAGGTGATGACGGCGAAGCTGCAAGAGAGCGTCGGCGTTCGAGCATAACAGGCGGCACGGTCGAAGGGGCTGCCATAGGACCACCTTGCCTCCCACCAGCGGACGACTTGATAGCTTCATCGGCGGTTTTGGCCAAGTCCGTGAGCAGCTCTTTGCATTTTCGAGCGCCAGGCCAGTACCCCTCCCAAGATTCCAGGGCAGCAAAACAACTCTTGGCTTCCTCCATTGCGACAATTGCCGCTCTCGTATCGGAGCAGTGCATGGCGTAAAGCAGTATAATCACAGCGGAGCTGAAAAGATGCTGAATAAAAAATGCGAGATGATGGGAAGGGGGTATCACATTGTGGATAGAGGGGGCCAGATGGATACACGAGCGGGCAGAGGCTACGGCCTTCGCAGTAGAATTGGGAGCGATGAGCTGATCGCGCTTGACGGGTAAGAAATTACGATGAAGTGTCGTGAGAACAGAGTAATAATGGCTGCACAATACGGCTCCCATAGTGACTTGTTTGTCGTTAACAGACTCGTTCCTGAACTCCGCGGGAAGATTGTTACACCACTGTGTCAGTTCCTGATCGAGTGCATCGACGGAGCGTTGGAGTTCAGCCTTCCTTTCAGGCTCCAGGATCTCCTTGCAGTTCTCGATGGCGTAAACTTCTCTGAGAATCCGTCCGGCTATCTTGTACAAGTTCGTTATAGCGAGAGTGCCATCCATGAGAGATGGGTAATTCTGCGACAGCGGAGCTCCACTGAAATACTCAGGGAGGTTCTCGTCATCCACGCCTACAGGGTCTTCAACGTCACAATCCGAGTCCTCTATGCCGAGCGGACGTCCTAAAGCAAGAGCAAGCATGCGATCCAGGGCATAGACCCCCCACCATATCTTTCTTCGAGTTTCTTTCTCGATAGGAGTTATCAGTAATCGTCGAGGTGATCGCTGCGTAAGGGGTTTGAGTGCGCAGAACTAAGTTGTAGACAACGATAACACTTACATGAAGGCCCAAATCTTGCGCAGTGCGTACTGCTTGTCCCACGAGAAGCCACGCTTGTGGTAAGCAGTTGACTGAGCACAGGAATGACGACATGAGAATAAAGCATTGAACGTGGGATACTTGGATGGTTGCGTGGCTGATATAATGTAATATCAAGGCTCTGATAAGAGTATATGTGAATAGTAATTTGATTCAGGGCAACTTGAACGTACCTTTCGTAATAGACCATGCCCATTCCACCATCGTCTAAAGTCTCTCCTTTCAGACGGGGGTCATTAATGAGCCTAGCGGCGCATGCAAAGACAGCGAAAACGACGGAAATAAAGGCAGCCTCGGTCTTTGCTATGACAGCGTCATTTCTATTGGCCATCACAGACTTGTATTGCTGCATGAATGAGGGCTTATCGAGAATCGGCATTAGGAAGTGAAGGCGCGTAAAATACGCGTCGACCTATAGAAAGAGATGTATTAGATAATCGTAACCATCCTAAACAATGAAATGGTGACTGACAAGCTTATCGGCCAAATCCTCGTCGGGATATTCGACTTCCTCTGGACCAGGGAGGGCGTGGACCTTCCCAAAGAAGACAGAAGCGGGAAAATATAGTTTGTTGACACTTGGACCTGGTGCTCGTGGATCTTCTTCCATGGGTGATACGCGGTGTAGAGGAGACGTCGTGAGAGCCTTGAATGATTGTATGAGAGACATCGTGGAGGATCCGCCTATCCACCGCATGTGACCGTGTTCGTCAAGGGCAAGCTGGCCGAAAGATTCGGAAACGTCATCTTCAACCTTGATAGATTGGGATGATTCGGGAGATGACTTGTCCTCCACATGAGCGTCTTTCGGTGGGAACGTCATTGCCTGCAAAAGAGTAGACGCCTGAGGCAAGGCATCTGACTCCGAGCTTCCGGATGGGCCAGGGACCACTGGAATGTTGAGAGTGGGCCCCAGCTGCTCGAGAACAGGAGTGATCTGGGTGAATAGGGACTCCATGTGGAGAAGACGGGCCTCTAGTTCCTGCACATAGCTGGAGAATGGTGAGAGACATGTCCACGGAGAGAATAGATGTGGACTCACTGTCTGCTTAAAGCCGCCCTGTCCTTGGTCTGAAGCCAAGCACAACTAGATCCAGAGGCCTGGCATTGGGAACAGGTGGGCTCGCATCCATCGCACTTAATCTTCTTGCGTCTGAGGAAAGTGGATGAGGAAACGGAGAAAAAAGATGGTGAAACACGATGACGATAGAGACCAACCTGCAACTTTCACATGCCCGCCATACTCTGCGCCTCTGTAGCTGCACAGGCTTCAAGCCCACGTCTGGCGAGGACTGGTGCTCTTCGTCGATACGCTTTTTCTTTGATTGATGGGTCATGGATTGCGAGTTGTCGTTTTGGCCCATACGGTTGTAAAGAAATTGTGTCTGAGCAACCTGGGGGAATGTGACCGCTCTTCGGGGAGCATTAGGAAAGGTCGGGTCGGTCCGACGCCAGACATGACTAAGCATCTGCCGGTCCATCTCTTATCTGTCCACGCCGTCAGCGCCTCAGCCACAGCATCTCCCTTCCGCGCTTTCCTCTTACCTGTACACAGTGGAGCTCGCTCTTGACGAGGACAATAGACGTCCTTATGGACAATTGGGGTCTTTGGTTGCTGTACGTCTTGCCAACCCTTCTCCTTTTCACCCATTCCAATATATACCTCTGCGGAAATGAATATTTTTCATTTCACAGATAGCTGTGACGATCCCGCATGGACTGTTCCGAGTTATGTATGTCTCCCGGTCGCCCACATACCCGTATCCGTCGCACGGTACTCCCGGGACGAGAAGAATAGCCTCGAGTCTCATTCCTCTCTCATTTACTTCATGTTCTCTCCCGTCCGAACAAGGGCTTTGCGCAGACTCGCGATCAAGCGTACTTATCGTCGACCTGTCGTTGGAGTGCCAAGGCCCCTCATTCGAGTTTCCATTCCTTAGGCGCTAGTGGGTGATTCCGAGCTGCGTCAGCCTTATACCACATGGTCCCGATCGTTCAGTCGTGCGTCTCCGCTGTTGTTTTTAGCTCAAGAAGTCTTGATTGTCTCGCAACCGTATCACGCTTATGGCGACAGAGTCACTCCAATGGCTTGTATTAAGGGCAGCTCTTGTGCTGCGCGCTGTGTAAGGCTTCTCCGTTTGGTTCTGGCTAAGTTTTGCCTAGGCGAAAACTTGCTGACATTTCATGTTGGAGCATGACTTGGGTGGGGTATACGGAGACTTTGTGTCTCCGAGAACAAACAGTGGATGGTATTGGTCCCTGGTAACATTAGCACGTCTTCCGTACTTTGTTTATTCTCTCTAGAAGCCACTCGTAGAATGCACCATAAAATTAGACAATTTGTAGTACTAAGGAAGGTCGAGGCACAAAAAGTACTAGCAAGTACTGCTCTTCACTGCAAACCTCGAGATACGGCAAGGCGGCTCGCCTACTTTATTACCCTATTTGGCGCCACGTGTTGTTTAGCCATGTTATAGCCACAAGTGGCGCTCGTGCAAACTTTGGCAGGACCACTTGCTGCTAAGGCGCGAGCTCTGATATGACCGACGTAGAGACAAACCAGCTTCCAGCACCCGAGGGTGCTGACCCAATGCTTGACGATGGAGAAGAAGCTGAGTCTAAAGTGACGAACCCTTACTCATTTATCAGGCGGACTACTTAATGAAACATTCGGGATCGTATTTCACAGGAAATTCAACTCATGAAGCAGCGGGTGGAGGAGATGGAGAGGGAGGCGAAAAAACTACGTGAGCTACAGGCTGCGGCTGAGACTGCAAATGGTGGAACCAGTACAGAAAGCGATTCTGGCGTGCCAATGGAGACGGAGGAGGAAAAAGCTCTGTCAGACAGTCGGAGCGTGTTCGTCGGTAATGTGAATGCTGCCCGCTATCGCGATAGATGACTCTTATCCCTGAACTTTTCTGGAACACAAAATACGCTAGGTGGATTATGGTGCGACACCTGAAGAAATTCAAGCGCATTTCCAAGCCTGTGGAACGATCAACCGAGTTACCATACTATGTGACAAATTTACTGGACACCCCAAAGGGTACGACCATCATACACTCCTATTCGCATTATATTTTGGTCTCCTGACGTCCATTACGATTGATTGTTTCAGATACGCATATGTCGAATTTGCAGAGCCAGATTTCATTGATGCAGCATTAGCCATGGACAATTCCTTATTCCGTGGTCGACTTATTAAGGTGGGAGTCATCTATGCGTGGATCATGCTTGTCACTCACGCCATTCGCTCAGGTAACATCAAAGCGAACTAATATTCCCGGGTTTAATGGCCGTGGCAGGGGTCGGGGTGCTTATAGAGGCGGATACAGAGGAGGATACAGAGGTGGTTGGGCAGGTTACAGCCCCTATCGAGCGCGCGGGAGGTACGTCAGCCTTCTAATTTTCACATATGTTCCTTCACCAAGAGCATTCCAGGGGACGGGGACGTGGATATTAATCATAAAAATGGACTGTGTGGTCAGTTCAACACACGCTCATGTTTGTACGTCAACGACACCTGGCTTATGTACTGTTACGGTGCTTGGGGGTTTGTCCCGACCAAAGGCGGTTCCTCTACGTACATTTCTGGTCTCTTTCTCCCCACTACACCATGTATTGTTCAGAATTCCCGATTTTGAAATTTTACAGCAATTTATAATGCCTTTCTATAAGCCTTACTCGCATAAACGTGCAGATTCAAAAAGTTGATGGAAAGACAAAAGCGTCGTACTCGGCATATGCCGAGTTCTGAATCTGAATCTGAACCTGCAGTTTGTCTCCATGTCTGGCTATTGCTCTCTAAAGACTAGTAGTACGCCGCGCAGGATGTCATTGAGCATGTTCAAAATATGTCGGGCGTTCAGCAGACCAATGTCAACGGCGCCGAGCTCGTATCCATTCTCTAAAGTAGCCATAGTGCCTCCCCCACCTGCCATTCCCAACCAAGAGGCACTTATCAAAGGCAAAGGTCTCATGCCATACTTGCACCAGACTTTACCGCATCCTACGAAACAAAAATGGCTAGCCACGCTTTTTGCACGCAGACACCCAGAGCGCCTTCTTCCCGGGTCAGTGCTCACCGTCACCCTCGAACACGCGCCCACCAGCTTTTCCGGCGTCCTCCTCTCCATGCGCCGCCGCGGCCCAGACACCTCCTTCGTCCTCCGCAACGTCATCCAGCGGACGGGGGTGGAGATGCAGTTCTTCGTCAACTCTCCCCACCTGAAGGATATCAAAATCGTGCAGAGGGCGGGCGGCGGAGGGGGGAAGGAGGGCAGACGGCAGCGAAGAGCGAAATTGTTCTTCTTGCGCGATTCTCCAGAGAAGATGTCGGCGATTTCTGCGGGTGTGAAGGCATAGGTTTTTTTTGCTTTGGGAGGGGGGGTAGGTGCGCTCTTGATTCTCATTAAACATCTCGTTTATTTAATTTCTGTCGGGCTGGCAGATTGAGGAAACCGGTGCTCTTCGAAAGCCGTTGATCTCGTACACCTCTTCGACCTTGCAGCAGCAGCAACAGCAAGCCAAGCGAAACCCACCCCATCGTCCTACTGAGCCCGTTATGGGCCATCATTTCATGCAAGGAAGGTAGTGATACAATTGCAAAAAAAACCTGCACCTGGCTTTCTTTTTACACCACACATATTCAATAATTACTGTAATTTGGTCAACCAAGCAATGCGAGATTGAATTCCTCATAAATTTTCATTGCTCATATATCCTATCTAGCAGTAGCAAGGCTTTGCACGACATGCCTGAGCTTGAGCAAGAAAGAGAGATATATAGAGAAAAACAGGTTCTGATCGGCGGGGTGAGGGTGTGGTCAAATAATGTTTGACCGGCCCAAATAGGGTGGCGAAGGTCGCCGCTGCGGTAACTCCATCAGCGTTGCACGCTTGTGGCACGTTGCCTCTCCAGCCAGGCTACCTGCTCGCATACCCTCACCTCTCGCCATCCCTCTCTCTCCAAAAGAAAAAAAAAAAGTAAACATAGAATAAAGCGGATAAAGAGAGTCATGCACAGAAACTCCCGTTCTCTGCGCGCCCTCGCCATCTCTCCCAAACCCTCGTCCACCCCGGCCTCCCCACCCTCACCGACGTTCTCAGACGCAACCCATGCCTCCGCTATGAACTTTGGTGCCGGTGGTCCAGAGAAAATCATCACTCGGACGAATCTCAAGGCGAGTCTCCAAGCATACGACGAAGTACGTGTTCTCTCGTCTTTCGTTTCACCGAAAGCACTGCAAACCACGATTTATTCATATCGACACCACCTCGCCTTCCACCCACCTCACCTCCACCCATCTCACCGCACCGCACCACCCCACTCGACGCTACATAGCTCATGAACACCAGTGCGAACTACCGTGCAGCACTCATCAACATGGCACAGGTGACGGCTGCGTTTGCGGACGCTATGGATAGGTGTGCGGGGTACGTGCGTTCCCTCGCCGGCTTTCTCGGTCGTCAAACGTGGAGGGGGGAGGCTTTTTCGTGTGGTGCTGACATGGCTTCTCTTTATCTTTTGATAGGATGAAGGGTCCTTCGTATGAAGCTGGGACGAGACTTCAGGCTGCATCCGGCTTGCATCACCTCATAGGAAACCACTGGCACGTTCTCGTGAGTCACCCGCCACCTCACTCACCCACCCACTCTATCAATTATCAACTCTATCAACCACCCAAAAAAAACGCTCATGACTCTATTTCCCCTAATTCGCTTGACTCATCCCTTGTTTGGTTTCACAGTCAGAGACGCTCGATAAGAAGTTCGAGAAACCACTGCGCCAACATCTGGATACGTACAAGACAATAGTGAACGTACGTACTAGCGTCTGCCGTCCAGCGCACGCACGCACTTGTTCTGCTTCTCCCGGGATGTCGCTTACCCGGTTTTTGTTAATCTGTGAAATCAGGAACGATCAGCTTCATACGAGAAGGCGCTCCATGCAAAGAGTCAAATTATCCATGAAACTGAGATGAATAACATGAATAAGAAACAGCGCAGTGCGTCTTTATCGGAACACGATGGACTTCAATTCAATTTCTTATTCTTATTGCCATCTCCCTTATTATTTCATATAATTCATCATCGCCCATCGTCGTCATCATCGAAACGTGCTTCCATCAGACCTTCAAAGCTTTCGAGAAGCCCTGGCCGTCCTGCAGCGGCAAGTAGACGAACTAGATGAATTAAAGGCGCAGCATTATCAAGAAATAATGGAGCACGAAGAAGAAGTCTGGAACGTGGTCCAGGGCAAGGTTCGCACTCTCAGAACTCTTTGAGCTACCCATCGCCGCCCAAAAAACCCCTGCTGAATTGAAAAACGTTATTTACTTTTTGTTTGCTTCTTGGTTGATTGATGGCTCGAACCCACCAATAAAAAAAACCACAGGTCTGCGTCGCGGTTCGCTCCACTATGGACGTCTTTGATAGGTTTACTGCAAAAACGTACGAGTCCCGATTATCATGTGAGACAATCTCGTGCGCGCACACGTACTCATACCTCCTTCCCTAGGTCCGACCCCGTACTAGAGCCCATGCTCCAGTCCGTCCCCGATCCCTTCGACTCCTACGGACCTCCGCAAGCCGAAGACCAGATCTTCACGATATTGCCACCCTTGGCCGTCATCGCCAACGCCCCTTCGCCTTCGCCAAGTCCGATGACGACGACGCCACCCCAGAGCGTCGACATCTCGCCTGCCGTCATGAACCACTCTTGGATGGCTGCCCATACCAACGGAGGCGGAGGCGGAAGCGGGGGAGGAGGGGGGTTCATGGCAGAATCGACGTCGGAGTGGGCAGACGTGCCCTCCCCGTCGTCTACCCCTCCCCGCGCGTCCTCCCCGTCCTCGACCGTCAAACGGAGGCCATCGCATCCGCCCTCAAACTACAGCGCACGAAAAGCAGAGTCCAAGCTGCGCAGCGTCCTCTCCGTCATCGACGAGAGTCTGGCGCGCCAGTCCCCGTCCTCGCCCACGAGCGATCACGCGGAGACGGACAGGCAGGTGCTAGAGCCCCATTCCGAAGTGAACGGAGGCGGTGGGCTGGTGACGAATTGGGGGTCGTTTGGATATGGCGAATCGCCATATGGGGTGGACAGCGGTGAGGTGACACCGCGACATTCGACGCTGTTTGCGTCCTCTGCTTTGGACCCTGATGTAGCTGGGCGTCATAGTCCTCATTCAGACGAGACTGCCTGAGTTGTGTCGTCGAGCGCTTTGTCATATTTTAGTGTCACATCCCGTTTACCAAGCATGGAAATCCCAATGTTATTTGTATATACATGATTATATGGTACCCTTCTTTGAGCACTACCCTGGACAATTTTATCTTGGCTGAATACCATATTGATGCAAGACGTCCTTGTTAATGGCCGCCGGGCTCTTGAAGAGGGGATCGGTTCCCGCGCCCGTTTTAGGAAAGGCAATAACGTCTCGAATGGACGGCGTCTTGCAGAGAATGGACATTAGACGATCAAAACCTAATGGCACCCCAAAGTCAACATGGGTCCTCGTACATGAACCAAAGGAAAAGTACCGAGAGCGATTCCGCCATGAGGAGGGGCGCCACAGCGAAGGGCGTGAAGAAGGTGGTTGAAAGAAGCCTTCTCGGACTGGTCAAGCTGGTGAAAGCATGGATGAGAAGAGATGGATTGATGATATGTATATAATAGGGTACCTGTAGAACCTCGGAAAAGATGTAGTCCTGCATGGCAGCATCGTGCACGCGAACCGAGCCACCACCGATCTCTACGCCATTGAGGACTAGATCATAATGTTGCCCGCGAACCTGAAGAGGGAAACACCCGGGGGGATGAGAAGGAGAGAAATGGAAGATGGAGATGACAGACTTGGTGTATGCGTCCGTCGTACAAGGCTTCGATATCCTGCCACATGGGTGCCGTAAAGGGATGATGGGTGCTACTCCACCTTCCCTTTGCCAAGAATTCTTTTTCGTCGTCTGCGCGGGTAAAGAGGGGGAACTCGGTGACCCAGAGAAAGTGTGGATCTTGAGACGGTGTGCAGTCCCCTGGAGAATGATGAGACGTGGTGATTGCGTAGGGAGAGAAGACGGGTTACCGATAGCTTGGGCAGACTCGAATAAGTGGGTCCTTATTCGTCCCAAGGGAGTGGACCCACCCTGGATGGATTACATGGGGAATATAGGGGGAATGTATTAATAGGACTCACCTCGAGGAATTTGGTTCTGCGGGATAGATAGACGGTATCGCCTACGGAGAGCCTCAAGGCGTCGTTGAGGGACGGTGCTTGGGGGTGAGGGAGGGGCGGAATGAGGCCACGTGGAGAAATAGCGTCGGATAGCCAGGATGGATAGTTGGCGTCGGTGAGTTGGATGCGATCCTGAAGACGATGCAGGGTAGTCGGGAGTGGCAAGGAAGAGGGACTCACGATGTTAGGGTTGTGATTCTGATAGCGATGATTTGCACGGAGGAAGGCGTGGTCGTGGGAAGAACGGACGATGAGGGCGTCCAGAGTATGGTCTCGATTGGCGAGGGGCAGATGGGAAGAGAGGTCGAGTATCTGGACTGAAATGAGAAGAGGAGAAAAGGGGGGTGGAGGGACGTACCTCGAGGCCATAGCGAGTGTCTGGTTTGTCTGAGCCATACTGGAAGGGGATGAGCAAGGGGTAGTAGATGGAGGGAAGGGGGAACGTACACGTGACATGGCTTCGTGATAGGTGATGACAGGGAATGAATGTGGAAGAGGATAGGCCTCGAGGTCGTGCCAGATGGTGTGCAATAGGGACTGGATGACGGTGCGAAGCTGGGTACCGCCGATACGCCATTGGTTTGAGTTTGGGGATGTGGCGGGAGCCGAGTTTCCCCAAGAGACAAAGGCCATCTCTAGGTCGAGCTGAGTGAATTCGGGCTGCCTGTCTTTTCTGCCGTCTTCGTCACGGAAGCATTTGGCGAATTGAAAGTAGCTGTCGACGGCTCCAGAGCAGATGAGGAGCTGCTTTGGCTGCTGCGGGGACTGTGGGAGAGCATAGAAGGAGGGGCCGTTCTGTGTGGCGAGACGGGAGGGGACGAGGAACTCGCGTGCACCCTCTGGGGAAGACTTGAGGAGGAGGGGTGTCTCGACCTCTGTGAAGCCTGGGGAGGGTGAGGAGGGCTGAGGGGGACGGGGAGAGACTGACCTTTGTCGTGGAGGGCGTTGCGTATGAGGAGGGAGACGTGGCTGCGCTTGCGGATGTTGCTGGCGAGGGGAGGGCGGCGGAGATCGAGATGGCGGAAGCGGGCCCTGAGGTCTTCGTTGGGCTGGAGTGCGATCGGATGAGTGAGACGAAGAGCCTAATTGGGAAGACATACGAGGTTGGTGGGGTCGGAGGGGACGAACGGCAGACGGCGATCCGCAGGATTGAGCAGCGTGTATTTATCGACCTCGACCTCGATCTCGCCCCTCGCTTCCTTTAAAGAAGCTGTCAGTGCGCGAGTGCAGAAAGAAGGGGCGACGCACGGCTCGGCGGGACTCGGCGGGGCGCACACACACGCGGCCCTCGATGAGCACCGTCGACTCAACAGGCACCGCGGACAGCCCACACAGCCCGGCCTTCTTCCGCTGCACGACCAGCTGCAGCGAACCAGAGGCGTCTTGGATCGGGAAGAACGACAGCGACTTGGACGCCCTCCTGAATACACCCGTTCAGACACCCTCTCTCACAGACAGACAGCCAATCACCGTTCGGGAAGCAGCCACCCTGCGAGCACAACGCGTGTCCCGTCGTGCGCCGCACTCAGCTCACCGCACACATGCGTCCGTGGCGGGTACGGCGCTGGGCCAGTCAGCGCACACACACACCTGGCAGAGGCCACTCACCACAATGGGCAACACAACGGGCCAGAGATCGCGCACACTCGAGTACGCGTAAAGAGAGCATTCCTGCGTGCACACGAGTTGATGCGAAAGAGAGTGTCTGCCCATTATGTAATCATCCTGCCAACCTGTGCATCCCCACTATAAAACGCTTCTTCCCCTCTCCCCTTCCTCCACACCCAATGTCTCTCCTCGCCCTCCCCGTAGAGCTCCTCGACGACATAGCCCACACCCTCGACAACCCTGCCCTCCTCGCACTCTCCCGCACTCACTCCCTCCTCTCCCCCGTCGCCCTCCGTCTCCTCTACCGCCATCTCTCCCTCTCCGCCTGGTCCCGCAATCTCCCCGTCGTATTCACCCTCGCACGCAAGCACCACATCGCACCCTTCGTCCGTTCCTTCTCCATCGTCATAGACCCTCTCGCCCCTGCCTTTCCCTCCTTTTACCGTCTCCTCGCACTTGCCATACTCAACATGTCCCATCTCACCTCCCTCCGTCTCCTCGTCGATTCGTCCTTCACCTGCGTCCTTCAGCCGGCACTCGCTCGCAATTCCTATCCTCACCTCACCCACTTCACCTCTTCCTTTCCCTTTGACCATCACGTCGCCAGCTTTCTCCAAAAAACACCAGCTCTCCTCGAACTAGAGGTAGACTCCCTTCCCGCCCGCACGGCACCCCTCCCCTCCCTTCCACCCACTTCCATTCCCCTCTTGTCACACTTCATTGGCTCTCCCAGATCCGCTAAATTAATCGTGCCTGGTCGTCCCGTCGCAAGCATACATCTCAACGGCGGCAGTCTCACAGACGATGACGTCCCCTCTCTCGCCAATTCATCCGTGCCCCTCCTCGTCTTGGGAGCAGTCACAACCCTCCCCCCTGTCCCTTTCTTAGAACTCCTCCATACCCATATGCCACGCCTAGCCTACCTCCGCATCATGTCGACTCAAAACTTGTTTAATACCCCCTCTGCCGTACGTTCTCTTTCCCCTTTTTTTCCATTCTTCTCTCACACACGTCATTCACAGGCCTTTTACGAACAGGTTGCCAATGCCCTCGCCGCCTTTTCGGATCTCAATGCCTTTGAACTCTCCGGTATGCACTGGGGTTCTCACCGCAGGATGACGATGGAAAAAAGCGCATCTGGCAATCGGCTCCTTTGGCCATAGACATCAACCGCAACGATGACATTTCTGATCTCTTCTTCGCATACTAGACCTAATCCCTACTCTGACTAATTCACATTCCCTCTCGATATATCTCATTTAGAAACCATTGACACTATATTTTATTACCACCCCTACTTTAATTCTTTTATCGCACGCTTCACAAAGCATGCTGCAGAGTAATGCGATAGACGTTGTTGGCTGATGTTTGATATCTCTGTTCCGTGTCCGCCCACGAGTCTCGCAGCGACGCCTTGGTAGAGCGCTCCGTCGTGGGTGAGTTGGAATTTGACAAACTGCCATCCTTTGGGGATCTGGCCGTCGATGGTCAGGGTGTCCGACACGGCGTCGTACTCGATGCGGCAAAAGTCAAAGCCGAGTCCGAGTCCGAGGGCTTTGGTGTACGCCTCTTTCATAGTCCATATCCAAAAGAACCGCCGGAGCGCTTCGTCCTCGGCCACGTCCACGAGCAACGTATCGTGCTCTCTAGCCGTCAACTGTATCAGTGATGACATCAATCAGTTAATGAGTGGCGGATATGTTTTTTTAAAAAAAATAATGGCGGATGATGCATGATGGATGATGAATGACGCATGTCGAATGAGATGAGATGAGATGAAGGGAAGGAAGCGCACCTGACTGCCGACGCTATCCACGAATGAAAGAAAAGTGGTCCGCGGGGGAATGTGCACCTTCATCACGTCGACGCCGATCGTGTACGCTGGAGGACCGAGGTGGCCGTTCCCAAAGGCCATGGCGACGACGCCCTGGTCGTGCGTGACGTTGTACGCCAGTGGCGGGTCGAGTCCTTTCGTCGTCTGCGCGAGCGATCGCGAGCGATTGGGATGAGATGAGGCGGTTGAGCACGCAGTATCGACCTGGACTCACGATGTAAGGTTTCCCAGCGTCCGTCGCGCCAAACGCCATCGCGTCCCTCTCCACCCCTCGCTCCTTGAGTAATATCCGAGGCATCAGCCGGCCGATCAACGTCCCTTCAAGTGATTCAGAGAGAGATCTGTGTTTCATGATCACGCGACGACGCAAGGGAAGGGGGGGGAGGGTGGCGACGGGATGGTGACGACTCACGACAGGCATCTTCGCGGTGATAGTATCTCTTGATGCGCGCTTGGGCAGAGGGATCGACGAGGAGGAGGGAGGATTGGAAGAGCTGGGAGGGGCGTGGGGGTGATGACGGGTGTGTGAGTGTGTGTAAAGTAATGCAAATGCAAATGCAAATGGCAGATGGCAGATGCAGACGAGATGAAGAAGATGAATGATACGCACTTGTTCAGGAATCTCGGATTGGTCGTAGGTGACGGCCCAAACCTGCATGGTGATTGGCGAGAAAGACAGGTTGGCACTTCGAGGCTCAGGCTCGGATAAACCAGTGCGATAAACCAAAAAAGCGGTGCTATTCCGCTCTTGCCGCGGCATCTCAAAGCCGCCTCCGTCCGTTCCGTGCAATGTCCACCGACTCCGAGGGGTGAATTATCGAGACGGTTTTTGAACACCGTGAGTACTGCACCGATCATCCCGACATACTGCAGTGGAAAGAATGGCGGCGGCGGCTGACACGTATTTCGTCACGCTGGGGATGTTCATCATCGATGAGTTTGCGTTTTGCGATGAGAATGGGGTGGAGACGGGGAAGAGTGTGATGCCGCAGGTGAGTGAGAGTGTTTCTTATCTTCAGACGTTATCTCACTTTCGTTGGCGAGCTTTAGATTGGAGGAGGCGGGACGTATGCTGCCATCGGGGCTCGTATCTGGTCAGACATTTTCTCTATTCCATCATGATCACACCATAACCCTCCCACAGGCTGCCTCCCCACGATCTAGGCATGATCATCGACAGAGGCAACGACTTCCCGCCCTCCATCCAAGCCAAGCTATCCTCCTACAGCTCCGACAACGGCATGTGGCTCTTCCGCGACCACACCGACCGCGGCACCACGCGCGCTCTCAACTCGTACAGAGGTGACCATAGAGGGTTCTTAGCCTTCATTTTACACCGCGCAGTGGATCTATCTGAGCTGTTCTTCCTTTTTTTGTTTGGCATGCGGTGTGTGTGTGATATAGGTTCGAGTATCTGACGCCCCGGATAAGGATCACGCCCCGTGATTTGGAGGGCACGAGGAAGGCAAGGCCGAGGGCGATGCATTTTATTTGTTCGCCCGCGCGGGCGTTGGAGATCATCAAGGAGGTGCGGGAGGTGGATGGGTGGGAGCCTGTGATGATTTTTGAGCCTATACCTGTGAGTCATTCGTCCTCCCCCCCTCGACCGTCTGGGTTGTGTTGGTGAGGCTGGTGCACGTGTGCTGAGTGGCTTCTCATAAGGATAGATGCATACCAGAGGAACTGCCTGCTTTGATCAGGGCATTGCCGTCTATATCGGTGCTCAGGTGCGATTTTCCCCCTTATTCAGGTCTTGTGACAAACGACGATTATTATGACTTTATGAATTTGTATTTTTTTAAAGTCCCAACGCAGAAGAAGCCCTGAGCCTTCTATCGTTGCCGACAGACGCAGTTAACAAAGACGTCGTCGAAGAAGCTGCTAGGCAGTTCTTGGAGTTGGGGGTTGGGGATGGGGGTAGGGGCTGTGTGATTATCAGAGCGGGGCCTCTAGGAGCGTTTGTGACTACGCGAGAGAAAGGGGGTTGGTGGATCGATGCGTTTTGGACTAGCGAGGATGCTAGGAGGATTGTAGACGTAACTGGTATGTGTCACCTGTTCTGCTATTGTGACTGTAAGAGTCTGAAGGGTCGACGATGGTAACTGTGTGTGTGTCTCCACATTAGGTGCCGGTAATAGCTTTCTAGGAGGCCTCGCGGCAGGGTTATTCGAAACTAACGGAGATGTCTATAAAGGTATGTTCATTCACTTGATTTGATGCCCGTCGTGACCGACAAGCTTTGGATTTTACTTCAATTTTTGCCCATCAGCAACCTTTTACGCATCAGTATCGGCATCATTCACAATCGAACAAGAAGGTTTACCCCATCTTTCCAATCGTCCTGGGGGCAATAGCGCGATAGAGATATGGAATGGGGATTCCCCCAGCAGGCGACTTGAAGAGCTACTCAAACGTCATGGAAGCTTTGCTTGAATAGAAGAGAACATTATGTACACCGTGCCGATTGTAGTAAAGACGTTACGATAAGATACAGAGAGGGGGAGGTTTGGTTTTACACGTTGACGTGCCGCGAAACCACGTTCATTGTTGTGCAAACCTTGCTCGACTGGCTGCAAAAAGTTCTTCTTGTTTTGCCAATAGCTCTTCCTCTGTTAAACCTGACTGTTCGAGTTTGGAGACTTTCTTCTCTCGGTCCTGTTGAAATAGGGTTAGAAGACGAGCCAGGTGAGTGTGTGAGTCATTTGCGCGCACCTTTTGCTGTTGTTTGTGGTCTTTCAGTACGTCTTCGACCTCCGTCGTAAATGAATCGAATCCCAGACGCTTAAACGGGGTAAATCAGCGCAGCACTGGTAAGAAAGACAACCAAACGGACCTTCAGTGCACCAATAATATGTTCGGGAGCTATCGTCTTCTTCGACTCTTGCTCGCAAATCTCGTTAGCCTCGGACGATATCAGGTGAATGAACTCTGTGTGACGATTTAAAAGAAGTCAACACTGGCATTGCGACGAGATGATGTGAAACTTTGAGTATGTTCACCTACACAGCATTCTATGATCAGATCGCGCGTTTCTTTAGCACATGTAATATCACTTGGTAGTAGCTCTGAACAAAGATCGTATGCGTGTATCAGCGGCCCATCGTCGTAGGGGTACGGGCATGCGATAATGCTGTAAAAATGGGACATACCGCTTATCATCTTGGCTACAGTCGCCTTTGGCAGAGACAAATCTTCATCTGGCCCACCTGTCCCCCCAGAGTGTCCTTCGCGGTCTGACATGATTTGAGAACGCAAAGCTACGGAGCTGGACGTCGAGTTGCAGAGCTCCTGAGACCCGCGATATTTCCTTTCGAATCCTCTGCCGGGCAATGCAGGCCCTTGCCAAGTTTGGTCACCCTCCTTTTCAAAGTCCGCACTCTCCCCTTCGTACCACCAAGATGTCTACGGTGCGTGCGATCCAAGCGCGTTTCCTCTTGTCATGGATAATCGTACTGATCATTTTATGATAAAATCTAGGTCAATCCTGTAAATCCAAAGCCGTTTATGCAGGAGCTCACAGGGAAGCCCGTGTATGTACGACTAAAATGGGGGCTGGAATACAAGGGTTTCCTCGTTAGCACAGATGGTTACATGAACCTCCAGGTATGCCCACCCTCCATGCTCCACCCAGTGTCCGGATTTTTACACAATGCTTTATCAGCTTGCGAACACGGAGGAGTTCCAGGATGGGAAATCAAACGGGGCTTTGGGAGAAGTTTTCATCCGGTGAGCATTTTATCCCTCCCCTCCCTTTTTCGCTCGATACTATTCGCCGCGTTTCTCACTCCTCACCTCCCCACTCCTTTGGAACAGGTGTAACAATGTGTTGTATATCATAAGTCTATTCTCTTGGCATGCTTTCTCCCGTCGTCTAACCCTTCGGCGTCATTACAGAGAGGCTCCGCCAGAATAATCGACACTGGCACCGTCCTTTATTGTCCTGCTAGGCCCCGAAAATAATGCGACGGCTCTTGTATATGTTGGATCATCATCAGATCCTGTATGCACGCTGACCGTGTACGTTGGTCCCATACTCACGCCATACAGTGTCTCGTATCGATTGACGAAAAATAGTTCCATTTGTATTCATAGTACGTCGAAATGCGTAAAGAAACGACCATTCGTAACATCTGATCTGTGATCAAGAACATCATCCAGAGCATTGACTCAATTCTGCTGGTGTCGCAGTGGCTCATCCCGCTGTTGACATTTGGCTGATTTCTGATCTCGAGTCAATACAGATAATATGTCAGTGAGTAACACCGTGGCATTCCATGAGACCAGTTGCGGTGATTGCAATATGAGATGAGAGATACCGTTCATCTTATTTTGGAGGCAAGTGCACCTCAAGTGACACTCACCAGAGCATCATCACCGTCCTGCTGAGAGGATAACTGATGAAAGTAGACGTTAGCAGCTCCAACTCCGTGGATTATGGCTAGAATGGTTAACGAACATGCTCGGCGGTTTTTCGCTGCGACCCATGTCATGTCAACGGCATTGCACAGGCTGCAACGATGAATTTGACAGATGGGCCATCATGATGAACGGTAAGTTGTCGTTCATGATCATATTGGGTCGCCGCCGCTATCACCCAACCACCATCATTGGTGCATCACCTTTAAGTCATGGTTTCAGATTCAGAATCCCCTTCCTCCCAATTCATGAATATCGTAAGGCACCAGGATTCCATGGAGATGGGCTGAGATTAATGAAAGGCAGATAGCTCGCGGGTATGCTAATCGACCGTGTTGATAGGAGGACGTGAGGATGTCTCCTGGAATACCGCAGTTCATTGTTTGCTTGAATTTCCGAGGTTAACGCTCTTTTACCTTTGGAGCTGATGGCATTGGATTTTTTTGTATCGTATTAACCGAGATTGGGGGGCAGCTATCTTGAACCAGCTGCTTCAAGTGTACGCGCTGCATACTATACATGCATGCTACAGTCTGAGCGGTGGGACTCGCTACAGCAACTTTGTATTCGATCGCTGCCAATTGACAATACACGTGATCTCAATTTGACTTGTCCTTGCGACTGACTGACTGAGTTGTTCCATTCGACTTTTTTCAAGTCACAATCGACGCTAAAAAGCTATACATCTCCGCAGTTAAACAATCCCAACAAAAGCACTCTTTCTACCTCTGCCAACCACCCTTTCTCCACCATGGCAAAATCAATGCGATCCAAAGTCAAGCGCTCGTTCCGCTCGAAAAAACGTGAAGTCGGCATATATGCAGCGACAGAGGCTGCACGACTCAATCGGCTCAATGCCAAACTCGTCGCTCTCAGTACGCAGGATAAGGATGGGGATGTGGCGGTAGGAGATGCCGACGAGGGAGAAAAAGGTTCGTTCTCTTGCCCGTCCTTCTTTGGCTTTCTTGGCTTGTTGGATCCGGGAGAGATCACACCAGCTCGCATGGCAAATATGTGCATGTGGTGTGAGGAGGCTTGATCTCTGGGCTTTGCTTGCAGGGGCCATAGGCCTGAAAGGAGCGATCTTGATTTGGGGGGGGGGGGCAAAGTGGATATGGGAGCACCGAAGTTGACTTGTTTTATGTCCTGGTAACAGATGGCGACAACATCGAAAACACAAACGGAGCAGGTGGGTACTCATGGATCTCGGTATATCTTACATACGTCTCATGTACTTTCCTACCAGATCAAATGGAGCTTGATGGGGGTGCAAAGTCGGGCGCTAAATCTGTCGATGCTCGTATCTCGACTCATGGTCCACGGGGCTCCCGGCGGGAGGAGTGGAGAAAGTCTAAAGGATTGGCACCTCGACCAAAAGCACAGGGGGCAAGCCGACAAGGTGTAGTAGCCGCACGGCGGAAACCAGGTCGTCCTTCTCGCAGACGATGATCATAGTCGTTTGATGGCTTGCATGCTTATCAAGAAGCTTTTCATGCAGTTTCACTTGTCTACCGACGTCCATCCTTCGTGACCTTATGATCGCGTTGCGATATAAAAGTGCTGGGGCAGCAGAGAGTCCATAGCGAAAGCACCAGGCGCAATTATTGTAATTGGGGAGACTACTCCAACTCCGTATTAGCTTTTGCACAATGCATTTGATTACTCTGGATATATAAATTCCCTAAAAGCCTGATACCAGTTGAGGCTATGAACTGCGTTCCTTCCTTTCTTTTTCCATTTCCATTCGTCAGGGCTATTGTTTACAGTCTAGTGGATATATTATCTGCGTTTTAGAATGAATTACGGTTGTAGTCTGTTGGTAGGTCTTGCGAGAGGATCATACAGCGGAAGCAAAGTGAACGGCAGGTGGTGAAGGTATCTCCTCGATGGGTGTCATCTTCTGTACATCCAGCTCTGGATTAGAATCGAAAGATAAGCGGTCACTTGCGTGCCCGTAATACTTATCATAAGGAGAGTATGGTGAGCGCGCTGATGCTGTACTCGGGGTTCTACGTTAAAGGGATCAGAATCCGTGTCAACAGATGGGACATGAAGCCCGAGGGAATCAAGACTCACGTGAGCTCTGCCATAGTGAATGATTCTGTTTTTACATGGACCTCCGGTCTCGAGCTGGTGTGTTTTCGCATGCTGAAGCTTTTCGGAGGCATCGAGAGCCTGGGTGAGCCTACGTTGCCCGAAGGGTCATTGGCTGAGGTGATGATGACACTAGAGGAATGGACATGGATGTGGACTTCATTCGAAAACTCCCCGAGGCGTATCACTGAGCGACAGGCAGCGATTGCTCTACGTGCTGATATTAATAGTGAAGACAGGAAGTAATCGTAGGGACGCACGAAACGGTTGCCGCAGGGACCTATAGGTTTACATGAGCTACACGTCAAGGGGACACATTATTACAACATACCGTAGCAATTCTGTCAGGAGAAGAATAAAACAGATCAGTAAGATAAACCACACGCCATGTTCACCGTTTATAGCTTACATGTTCATTTCCACTAGAAAATTCGGCCACGCATTAGCCACTAAATCCATGCTTTGTAGACATAGATGTCCTACCGTTTAAATTGAGTATATTTAACACCTGGTAAGAGTACGCCTTCAGCTCATGTATTGGCTCGTATTTTGCCAAATTCAACTCACTGCAGGAACTGTGTTGCAACTAAAACTGACTAGGAAATATACCAAACCATCCTGGAACAAGAGTACAGACAGGCCCGAGGCCGATCGCTTGTACTGATTTCCCAGAGCCACTGCTGTGAAGACCAGAATGACAAAATCGAATCCCATAGCTGATTTTCATTATTAGAAAACAATGTCGCGCAGGCAGTTACAGAGACGGAAAATGGCATCCACTTACTATAGAAAAAGTTGATGTTGAGTAGGAGATGGTTTGTAGAGTCCACAATGCAGGCGCCAGCGACGTCACTCCAGACGGCCTTCACGATGAACATGCCACGCCAAAGTAAACCCCAATGGCCGAGACAGAGGGCACCCAGGATAAAAAGTACTGCCGGTTTTGGGCGCCAGAGAGCCATCCTGTATAACAGAAGGTATTTTTGAGAACTGCGTAGTGATAAAAATAGTTGCCACGATCACTTACGTCCTAAGCATAAGTGATGTTGAGGCGCAGAGGATCGTCATGTTTCCTGTCCACTGAAGATAGTAAGGTGTAAGGAGTGATGTCATACCACAGCATATAGCTGGCTTACAGAATTAAATGTATACAAGGCCTAACAATAATATTCAGTTAAGGGAATAGGAGCAATAATTAGATATACGAACACCACAATTGACCTATTCGGAGTAGTCATAGGGTAAGCTTGAACGTTGGCTTATGTAGTGTAGAAGTGAAGTACCTTTGATGTAACAGTTAACGATAAGATCCTGTTTACTCCGTTAGATTGAATGTGTGAAAACAAGGAAAACCACACGAACAATCCAATCAAAGCCCAAACGATGAGGTAGCGACACAGGAAGAAAAAAACTGGAGCATAGATTACTTGAGCGCTTAACAGGTGGAGTATTATAAGGATCGCATACTCTGGATCATGCATCAGGGTGGATCGTCAAGAAAATGGTATAATCTAACGCACCAGTGGCCATTTGAACTTCCGTCGTCTAGTGAGCAACGACCATTCGAATGGACATGTTAGGAATAACTCCCAAACATACAATCCGAACAAAACATATAAAAGCTTCTCGAATGCATCTGTAAGTATACGCGTGGGAGATCAATTCGAATGAACTAGAATATAGCTTGAACTACCCACCAGTTTCCACTATCAGTTGTTGCTGAGTTGACCAATTGACCATATCTTGATTTTTGTGAATGTATGCGCCGATAAGTTACTTGCGGAGGGAAGAATGCGGGAGATAAAAGAAGGGAATCGCAAACTGGGACAGCAAACGGTAAGTTTCCACTCAAGGCAGTTTTGAGGGATGGGTTTTGCAGACGCTGGACAGTAGACTTTATGTAGTCGTCCACCGAGGGGCCGGACCCAAGACTGTTACGTCGAGTACGGCGACTATATGCGATATGCTTCTTCGGATCCATATGGACACACGGCGTTCAGACGATTCAAGCCCATTCAAGCAAGGCGGTAAGACAGGATCTGATTCTGATGGCCCCATACGACTTCTATCAAGACTATAACATGACCATACCAAAAATATCAATGCTATTGCACACGATTGGTAGACTGGCATAAAGAAATAACAGCGTATGCAAAAAAAACCCATTGCGATGATAGCGGGAGTAAATTCTGTGCATATACCATATATAGAAGTGTATGCAATAAACATACAATGGCATCCGTTCCGATTCGTCAAAATAATACGTCCTACGCGCCCACGATACGTCGTCTAAGATTCTTTTTCAGAATGGTTGCTTCAGGTTCGAAGGATAAAAACGTTATATCGGTACGACGGGACCGTGAAGAGGTGCCCTTCAGGGGGTGAAACATAAAATCCAGGAGGTTCAACTTGAGCGTTCGGTTTTGTCTTCCAACTTGAAGGTCTTTGCTTCACATTCGCTGAATTCGTAGACCATACGCACTGCCCCAGCTAGAACCAGAGCAGACGCTCACCTCTTTAAGGATAAATAATTCCTCATCACCGAATCGGGAGTTTTTCTCCACCGACCGAAAATTAAATATGCTCAGCCTCAGCACAGGTGACCCAACTGGCGCTTTTTTGAATGATGTGATCACATCCACAGATGATGCATCATTGGAAAAGCGTCAAGTTATTTGTGACTCACAGCGCCACCTTCTATCAAAACCCCAACGTAGGATATAATATGATCAAATGTACAGTACTAGCCTGCCCCGAAACACGATCAAAGAAACAATTGTCCCTGGCCAGCACATAAAGTGTTGCTATCATAATCGCAATTTTCAGTCTGGCACGCATTTCGAACTTTTTCTACAACGGGATGCAATCCTACACGAGTGGTTATTGTGACAGGAAACGGTGCAACTGGTGGAAACCATATTTACTGATGGACAGTGGCTTCGAGGAAATAGTATGGTTACAAAATCAAGTTACTAAGACGAATATTGTGAGTAGATTGATGAATCGATAACGTTTTGTCAGGTTGACATATAAAGAGCGTTGCTGACAGCTTGCTATACATGTATACTTATTAATATTATAGGCACACCGGTGTAATAGGGGTAGCATTTATATCTTGGCCATGGGGATAGCGGAATGTTTCAGGGTGCCAAAAGTTTAACCATCACAGGAAAGAGCGAGTGGAGTAGGGATCAAGGAATTCCTTCACACGGCACTCCCAACTTTAAAATGCACGGAATGTGGTGAAGGGGGGGGCTTTACGACCAGTGAGTGGATCAATGTCGATGAGGCTCTCCCTCCCAAAGTACTTCTCATGTGGAGAAAGCTCCAATGCAGAAGACGGGCTAAAAATAAAATCGATAAGGATTAGACGTCATATCGATGCGGACAAAAGCACCTGAGATCTGCCAACACAAATGATTCAGTCCTGACATGCACCTCCGGCCTCTTGGAACTCTGTCTATGGAGATTGCAACTTGACGGAAATGCGCTCGGACGGCATGCGGAGCGAACCCTCTTAGCGTACTCGTTGCTACCTGACTCGATACCCACGGCGGACGACGACTGTACATAGACATTTGCGAGGTTGTATTCTTTGAGTCGATCACAGCGCGACAGGCGGCGATGGCGCTATGCATTAAGTATGAACAACGAGGAAAAATCACAAAAAACGAAAGCATACGAGAATGTCGCCGCCGGAATCTGGAGTTTTTTTGATTAGCTGAAATATTGGCTCGCATAAAAAATGCTCACTGTAGCAATTCTGCAGTCGATATAGCGCTGGTCAGCCACTCAAATTAGTATTAATGGATGCTTCCACTCACACATTCATCTCGACTGGAAGTGATAGATTGATCAATTGGGTTCTCTGCAACAAGTAAATCAAATAGACTTACCGCTCAGATCGAGGATATTGAGCACCTGCCAAAACCACAGGTCAGTTTTGCATGAATTAGTTAACAGGATCAAGATTCGTACAGCAGGAATGGTATTAAACGAAAAAGTGACCAAAAAGTACACAAGTCCATCTGTGAAGAGAAGCGTAGAGAGTCCTGATAGTTTGTAGTGACTTCCTAGCGCAATTGCCGTAAATATTAAAATGACGAGATCAAAGCCCATTGCTAGACGAAACGATAGTTCAGTTGATATCACAAGAGAATTTATCGATACATACTATAAAAGAAACTGATGTTAAGTAGGAGGTGGTTCGTGGATACTACAACGCAGGAGCCAGCGTTTTCGTCCCATGCAGCCTTGACGATAAACATATCGCGATAGAGAAGAGCCCAGTGGCCGAGAGAAAGGGCCCCGAGAGGGAGGACCACTGCCACTCGTCGTTCCCACAAGGCAATCCTGCCACGAACATAAAGTCAGTGACGAACGACGAGTGCCCAATATTTGGTGCCCACGTTCTGAGCATGAGAGATGTTGACGCGCAGAGAATTGTCATGTTACCCGCCCACTGTAGATGAACGAAGGTAAGGTAATATAGTAGACTCGTCTGAAACTGACATACGGAATTGAATGTATACAATGCCTATGTATAGCATTAGGCTAGATTCGAAGACAAAGTATAAGCCAGTTAGCGTACCGCACAGTTAATCTGGTTGAGCATTTGAGAACTGAGCACGCTGACAGCTGGTTAATGGATAGGCATCGTTACCTGTTTTTTTACAGATACTGATATAATACTAAACCATGTCAACGTTGAAATTTACATCAGCAAGGAACTCAACTTACAGTCCTACAACAGCAAAAAAGATACAATAGCGACACAAGAAGAAGAAAGCTTGAGAACGAGCCGTGAGTGGATGTCCATCTCAAATTGTCGAGGGATACTTACTCTTGGGGCCCTTCAGTACATATCACCAGTAATGATGAACAAACGTAGCACTCACCAAAGGCCAGGTAAATTTGCGCTTCCTGGTGATCAGGGAAAATTCAAATCCGCAAGTCATGATCAGCTCCCACACATATAAACCGAAAAGAGTAAATAATAGCTTATTGAAAGCTTCTACATGAGACGTCAGCCCGTATCATTCATGTAAGGGAAAAGAAGGTCGACTTACGAGCCTGTTCATTCAGCTCTTGCGGATTCGACCAGGCGACCATACCCGTCAGATAGAAAATAACAACGTCCAACGAGGAGAGATAAAACAAACGGGGGGAAAAAAACGGTGAAGATAGAAGAGTGTCAGAAGAGAGGTCAAGGCGGGGATATGATGACTATGTATACACCCAAGGCAAACTGGGATGGAATTTCGAGGACTATAGAAGACTTAAGTACCATTTTACTGGCAGTCTTGCCAGGACCTCATTCATACAATGAACCGGGGTCTTGCGGCGTTGAACTAGACGGCGAGGTCAGCATAAATTGGTGACACCAGCAGATCTTCCAAGAGCAGTTAAACACAGCGGCAAGCTTTTCCTAAGACAGGTCGAATTCGAACAGGGAGAGCATTAGACCAAACTCTTTTCCTTGTCGAACTTGGTCAAACCGTATTGAGAAGTTTTAAAGAAGACGCCAACAAAGGGCACCCAAATAAGTCAATCACTTGAAGTGGAGATCTCCGCTGAGAGATACTCGGTTCACTACCACTGCAGCCACAGCATCAGTTACTACGTACCGAAAGTTATCCAGTACTTCTGAGCCTTCGATATTATATTTGTCGTAGATCATCTCGCATACGGCGGTGGACACTGACAGGAAGAAATCTACCCGCTCGATAAATGGCTAATGTAAATTTATCGACGCACAGAAGATATTATTTCAGAGCCATCAACTGCACCAAACTATGACGCCCCCATCTGCACCAGCGCTTACTAACCAGGGTTGCCTACTAACCCATTTCACCTGGAGCACCCCTAAGCCATCTGTAATATTGTGACCCCTGAGAATTTTGAGCGGTACTATCAGAGGGTCGGTCATTAGATCGTTGTAGACCCTGGCGTGGAAGATCTGGATAGAACCATCATCTGAAGATGATGCGAATAATGGATACGTAGGGTGGAACTGGAGCGATCGAATCGCCCGAGAATGATAGCTAGGATGGTTTTTCAATGATGTGTTTTTATGTATATATAACGAGACAGAGGTGTACGCACCGAAGTATTTTATAAGGCTTTTCGCTAAGCTCGAGGTCAAACCAACATAACTTGCGGTCGTATCCTCCCACAATAAGATGGTCTCCAGATGAGTGTATATCCATGGACGATATCCATTTGATACCTGGCAACAACGTCTTCAGTAGTTTTTGCTCAGCCAGATCGTACAACCTGACATATCGTTGAGTCTGAATCAGAATCAAGGGGCATCAGCACAAGCCCCAGGGTAGTGTATATTACGTACGGCAACGAAGAACTGTGGCTTGGACGGGTGGAATTGTACCAGCTGGACATCGCCCTTGATTTTAGTGAACGGAGCCTGGGAATGTCTACGCTGGATATGATGGATCCAGACACCACCTTGATTCTCGCTATTCGCTGCAAAAAGGGATAAATGTTATCAAACGAACGATTCTGAGAGAGAAATGATTTTACTCACAGACAGAAGCTAAGTAATCACCCTTCTTATGCCATGTAAGTTGTTTTGGTGCGCCAGATCCAGGTGGCAGAATCATGGTTAAGATAGGTTCATCTTCAGGGGATGAACTCGAAGCTGACATCCATTTGACGGTGGGTTGGGTAGATGGGGGGAGAGTTGCAGGTGCAAGGAGAGATTGGGTCGAAGTAAAGAGGATAGAAGAAAGGTTGGGGGGTATTAGGAAGTGTATCTTGTCCTCACTGTTGACATCAGTTCAGAAGCATGACACAAGAAATCCGAGCATAACACATACATCCCAACAACAAAGAAACTTGCGTCCTGTCGTGGGGACCACTCTATTGCACATATTTTGCTGTCAAATTTCCACCTTTTCACTTCTCGTCCCACATTTACTTCCCAAAGGCTGACTATACCACCTTCATCGCCGCTGGCAACCCATGCACCATCGGGACTTACGCTCAAACACCTTGCACGACCTTTGCCATGTGTGAACTTGAGCGACTTGTAGTTTGGGAAAGGCTTTAGACTACTCGGGCTAGGAAGCTTGGGTAACAAACTATTGGGGTCAATATTCAACTTCTTACGCTGAATACGAGGGGCGAGATAGAGATCCAGCTGTCGATTGAATCTTTCCTGAATGAATCGATCATATGCAGGCACCAGCCGCAGAGCAGAATATTTTTGCGGGAGATAATCACGTTCGCGATCTTCACGTTCAGTGGCTTCCCATTGTTCTCGTTCCTCTTTAGTAGGGATATACTCTTCCGGAGGATTGTACGACTCGGCATTGGTAGGAAGATGGGGTTTGGGTGCGGGCATCGCTGGTGGGTGGGCCGAGGAAGGCTCATTCCATATAGCATAGAAGGCAGGTTTATCGGAAGCAGTTTTTGGTTTTGATGGAAGGATGCGACCTTGGCGAATTGCGCGTACAATTTTCATGATCTGTAGAGTGGTATATGAAATATGTCGCGTCCTGGTACTACAAAACTGGATAGAATCCTACCTTTTGTTTTTCCCATTTACTTGCAATCCATCTACGTTTTGGTTCGGGGGCAGCGGACAGAGGCATAACTTCTTCTTTTCCTTTACCTGTGAACCATTCCACCATAGGCTCATATGGATCATAGCTGCTATCAGGATTCTCGCCAGCTTGTAATCTGCGAATGAGGTCTAACTCTTCTGGAGTCAATGGCTTATCCATTTGAGTATTTTTATCGAACGCCTTCGTCCTATAATGATTTAAGTATCGATTGGAATATATGTAAGAATGTACTTACCACGCTGATGGATCTTCAACGGTCTGAAGGAACTTATCGAGTTCGTCGCCTCGCGCAGGTCGCAGTATGCTCTTCCCATTCATGTCATAGCCTACATGAGGTAGATCATCATACCAGTGCATTGGGACGTTTCCAACACGATTTGGTGCCTAAGGGCACTCGTGAGACGACAAGTACACAGAGAGAAAAGAACGACCACTTACATCTTCTGTAGACGAATCCGAATCGTATTCTGGCTCTATGTCCGGGTATACGCGTTTTAGTTGACCTGTTATGTCAGAGACCATCGTGTTCGCTTTTGGAAATATATCATGATGCGAGTCTGAGCTGGAGGAGGAGTCGGATTCTTCTTCATCTTCCTCTTCTTCTTCCTCTTCTTCCTCATCATTTTCCTCCTCACTTTCATTTCCAGAATCCTCTTCTTCGCTATCGCTTCTCGTATCGATTTCTGGAAACTCGTCTACCTCTCCATCGTCTGATTCGTGCTCGTCTGCGTCCTTCTCCTCGTCGCTCAGCATCTCCAGTCCAACTACACCCGCAAGGATAGTATCTTCCGCAACATCTTCTCGTTCCACCTTTTTGCGCTTCTTGCTCTCTTTTTTCAGTTCCACCGCAGCCATGGCGCTCCCGTAGAGAAAACCGTTGAGCTGAAAAGTAACTTTCGAGCAATCGGTGGCTGAGTTTTCCTTCTCTCATTTTTTCTGGCGTGAGCACGTGGCTTTAGAGGCCAATAGCTTTAGATCTGATCGGGCTCAAACCATCCAGCCACTACACCCTCCAAGCTTCCTGACTTCAAAAATGGTGAATTACGGGGGAGGTACGCATGCTTCATGTATTATATAGCTGTGCCGATAACGATAACCTCTTTACATCAGACGAAGTCTCTGCTCTGGTCGTCGACATAGGATCGTCTTCTATACGTGCAGGGTATGCAGGAGACGACACGCCCAAGGCTATCATATCCACGTCGTACGGTTACAAACAGGCAGCACAGTCCTCAGATGGCGACGTCCAGATGTCAGAAACCACAGCAGACGGCGACGCCCCTACTGAGCCTACGAAGAAGAAAGACACAAAGATGTTCTTGGGCCAGCATGGGCCGTCAATCTGGAGAGAAGGCATGGAAATAGGGAGCCCACTACGTGATGGTCTCAGTACGCATCCAATTTAATATGTCGCGTGAATATGACTACTAAAGTGCTTCAAGTAACCGACTTCAACCCTGTACCGGCGCTCCTATCCCATGCATTGGTAGATGTCATGCGATGCAATCCCTCAGAACATCCCACCCTTGTTACAGAGCCTGCCTGGAATACGCAAGCGAACAGAGAACGAATGGCTGAAATCATGTTTGAAGAATTCCAAGTGCCTGCTTTTTATATCGCGAATACGGGCGTCCTCAACGCGTAAGAGGGTTTCACCCCAACCTCGGCCTTTAACTCTTATTACCATTTATCGTTGATCGCTTGATGTAGATTCGCCGCCGGGAAAGGATCTGCGCTCGTCATTGATGTTGGTCAATCAATGGCAAGTATCACACCCGTCGTGGATGGTTTTGTCCTCCGAAAAGGCACGTCCATGTCTGAAATCTAAGGCAGAGGGATGATACTAAATCCACCTTTTTTTAGGCCTCGTATCTTCTCCTCTCCCAAAACTCGTCCATGCTAACGCAAGGCACATCCTCGCAAACCCTACCGCAACCCGCGCCGGGATTGAGCTGTACCCACACCAGCTGATAGCAAGCAAGACGGTATTGTCTCTCCCTCTTTCATAGATTAGTAGCATAGACTGACTATCGAATAAAAAAACCTACGAAGCCAGTTGAATCATCAGCCCCTCCGCAATACGCTCTTCGTACAGACCGCATGGCTGGAACTACAGAAAGTTGGAGAGTCTGGTACGAGAACAGAGAAGTCGACGAATGGATCCAGAGCGTAGCTGGAGTTCTTGACCAGGGTTGGAACGATCAGTAAGCTACAGAGATACCCCTGTCAGGCTTCGCGCTGACTGCAAGCCCGCAATGACTTAGAGCTGCTACACTTCGCCCACCGCGGCAATATGAATTCCCTACAGGCTACAATGCCTACTTCGGCTCAGAACGGTACCACGTCGGCGAGCAGTTCTTCCATCATTCACAACAATTAGTTGTACGTGATATGGAAGCTTCATAATAGATCTAAGCTCATATTAGGCACGACTTAGGCTTCCAATCCCAACCTCCCAAAAACGATCCCGGCACTCCTCTCGGACTCTCTTCGTGGCTGCGACCAAGATCTTCGCCAAGTCCTCATGGGTAACATTGTCCTCACTGGCGGTGGAAGCTTATTCGCCGGTTTCTCCGACAGACTGGAGAATGAGCTGTCGAGGAACTTTGCACATGTGAGTCACTAGTTCAGTGATTCGATGAGGCCCTCTCAATCACTGTTTTATTTTTCAAAGGTAAAGATACATGCTCCCGGTAACCCAATCGAGCGTCGATACGGAGGATGGCTCGGAGGGAGCATACTAGCTAGCTTGGGTACATTCCACCAACTTTGGATAAGCAAGGAAGAGTGGCAGGTACGCTATCCATTATTTACCCATCTCATCAGTAGTAACGGTTTACTTACCATTTTTCATAGGAACATGGCAAGGCCATCGTCGGCCAAAGGTGTAAATAATTTGTGAAGTAGTGCAGTTGTAAAGTCGGTTTGTAACATCCGTATCCTGTTGTTTCGGGGAAAACCAGAACACCAGCTTTCAGACCAATAGCGATTGAACTAAGAATCGTATACTCGATATTGACATGATTCAAACAGGGTTTAGTTGATTGTTGCAATCAAGAGTCTAATGCACATAGTTGTTTTTTATTTTAGTGTCTTGGGTACATTACAGGAAGCACGGCTTCCGTGCACCAATCCCATCCCATCTCTGGAACTCTTCGTTCACTCTGCCAAGAAGTCGCCGTACCCGCACATACCGCGTGTATGCTCGCGAATCCCAAGATGATGAAATCGAGTGGAGAGGCGTGCGAATGGAAAGGATGGAGGGAGAGACGAAATGAAGGTGTTGTTGAATGTAACGAAAAGTACGTACATAAGAAATACCGGGAGAATCAGGCGACGAGAACTATGCTAGCACCAAGTGTCCGTTCACATACGGCCGAAATCATTGCCCCAAACCGAGATCGCAAAAGGAATGAAGGTATAAGGGAAGAGAGAAGATACGTCATGACTGAAAAGCTGCCAAATCCTAGTCCAGTGACCGAACAGAAAAGGGAGAAACTAGTAAGCCTCAACAGCCTCTCTGCGCTCACGGGCGCCCATGAGTACACCCAATCCACCGATCGCTTTCCTTCGGATTCTAGTCGCAAAATTTTTCGGACCGAGCTCATCGGACCCCGATGGTGGACCACGAGGCTGTCTCATCGGTTGGCTTGCCATCCTGTAGCTTGCCACCGAAGGGTGAACCTGTGGGGCAGCAACAACAGGAACCGGCCTCCCTATACCCAGTCCCTCGTACAATTTCTTTGAAGCCTCTTCGCGCGGCGAAAGTGGTGCATCAATAGAAGACGAGGAGTGGGGCGTTGTGGGATTCGACTGGGAGCTAGCGGATGCAGTAGAATATGCATCCTCAGGCTCGCTACCATCAGCAGATGTATCAACAGCTACGACTGGTAAAGGTCGTGATAAAGTGCCGGCGAAACTAAGAGGGCGAGGTCGAGCTTTGCCAGGATGAAGGGCAGTGGGAGATGGACGGTCACCAGGCGGTGGGGTAACCGTTACACTGGGTGGGGAAACAGATATAGATACAGTACGCTGTCCGTTAAGGACTGAGTTATTATTGCCTCCGCGCCTCCAGGATGTAGCGGAATCCGACTTGGATGGGGGAGTGCCATTGCCGCTAACATTACCGCTATTAACGACACTGTTCGAGGAAAGACTGCCGAGAGATGTTCCACCGCTTATCACTGTAGTCTGGCTAGGTGGGGGAGACGAATTCTTAGGTGTGATTTCATGTATTTCTGCCCTCGGAAATGCGACGTTTGAAGAAGGACGACTACCGAACTTGCCTCCAAGCGCTGCGGTCATAGGAACTTGATCGCCATTGGTAGGAGCAGTACTGATACCAAGTTGGGCCTTCAAAAGCTCTGTCTGATTAGCGCGGCGAGACTGGGCGCTACTTGCAACTGAACGAAGATCAAAAGCGGTGTTAAGCGGACCGGCAGTAGCAGGTGGGTTAAAGTTTGAGCTGTTACGGCGATTTTGATTGATCTGTTGGCGCATAGCCTCTGCGAGAAGGGCAGCTTGTGTCTGTTGCACCTGTACGTTCTAAGATGAACCATCAATCAAAGAAAACTTGTAGTGCCAAAGATGAAACAAGCCAACCTGTAATCGCATAATCTCCAACTGCATCATCTGCATCTGTTGCTGGAGAACTTGAGTCTGAGCGTCTGGGGCAGACGGGGCTTGCACACTCTGAGAGAACGAGGGATTGAACGGAACACTGTTGGGGTTCAAGCCCCTCTGTGCTGAGGAATGTTGCTGTTGGATAAAACGGTTGTTAGGGCCATCGACAGCGGCCGTCAAGGGGTGTTTTCCTGCCGTGTTGTTGGTGTAAAGGTGGTGTGAAAATAGTTCAGCCACCTCGTCGATGTCCTCCTCCTCTGGATAAACAGGGTGCTGAATAGAGTTGGAAGCAAAACGGGGAAGATTGAAGGAGGAGCCTGGAGCAGCAGTGTGGGGCATGTTCATAGAGACAGATCTAACGCCGCCTGTACGAAGGCCATTGAGAAGAGAGGCTCGAGGATTGGGAGGAGGAGCAGTGGCCATAGTGAGATAGAGAACGGTGGAAGGGCAGTCTTGAGGACGTGGGATTTAATTACGGAAGAGAATATTAATGAACAGATAGTAGCTGAAAAAGAGGATACAGCTGGAGGAGGTCAGCCTGGTGGGGAAAGGGGGGAGGAGGAGGAGACAGACTGGGAGGCAATCGCACTTGGTGAGGACTTTCTCTCTCTGAGAGGGACGACTGGGGCAAGAAGGAGAATAAAAAGAGAGAAGAAGTATGTGATTTTTGTGATAAAGAGGAGGAGATATGTTTGCAAAGAGAAGACAAGACAAACGAGAAAAAGGCGCCGTAGCCTGGTCGAGAGAGAGGAAAGAGCCTGAGAGCGAAAGATGGCTGCTGTGGCTGTTTTACGCACAAAGTGAGGACCTCGATCACCACAAAAGGACCAAAACTATATAGATACAGCCTGCTATTTGATAGAGATCATCACCCAAAACAGCCCCGCCACTGCCTCTCTATTGTCTCGGCTCCGTCACAGGTTCTTCTTCGCACTCGCCCGTACACGTGTATCAAACGTCGTGCTGCGTATCCCTGTATGCGCCGTATGAAATGGATTCAACATTGTCTGCAACATCCGTCATATCTCATCCCACATGCCGTACTCGAAGCTCACCTTCACATATAGCTCCCATACATCATGGAAGAATGATCTGATCCCATCGTCGTTCTTTGTTTCGTGAAGTAGAATGAACTTCATGTCTATTGTCCATAAACGGAATAAGTACTCGCAATACCTGTCCCACCCAACCCTTACTTCCTGGAGTTATGAACGCAGATACAAGCCATTCATTGAACTTGTCCACAGATTTAAGATACCTGTTCGCTTCGTCAACACGTGCTCGTCACAATAAAGCGAACAATACCAACATTGCACTCTCTTTCTTCATGACATCCTCGATGACATCCAGGCTTGCATTGGCAATCATCTGTATTACATGTCGATCTTGCCCACCGCCCATCCTCACACCGCCTCCTTGCACATGGTGAGATTGAGTTGCACTCGTGGCACCAGACAATGCAGTCAGCGTCCCAGCAAAGGCAGATGTCGACCACGTTGGCAGATTAGATGAAAGCGGCGAGGGTGTCGTCTGCGCAGGCTTCGTAGAATAATGTGTCAAGCTGTACAATGGCGTGTCCGATGGCGATAACAGAAATAGATGGTGCGACATGGGCGTAGATAGTCAACGTATGTAATGCACGTTCAGATCGCATACAGCCACTGTCGGTAGTGTCCCACAACGTCGGGGACAGCGCCGACGCGTGGTCAATACACATAAACACGAGGTCTTTGCCCATGGCAAGCACACAAAACCTCTTTTGCCGCACTTTTGCTCGCAGCTTAAGCTCATTGCGCTGCAATCCTCGTGCCAATGTCTCCCATATACAGCAGAATCTACATGCAATCCATCTAAATGGCTTAATACAGCAAACAAGGCAGCTATCTGGTCTATCCATCTTTACAAACACGTTCCGCGCCTCGACACCAGCGCCAATCGTTAGCACACCACGCGTAGCCTTGTCCAGCATTCTTCAATTTGCAAGGACGGGTATACGCAATGCAACACACAGGGATTATCATGGATCTGGTTCTTCTTATGGACGCTCACCCAACCGCGGACCCCGTTTTCCCTGGATCGAGTCCATCCCCAACTCTGTCATATTCTATGGCATCATTGGTCTCAATGTCGGCGTGTTTTTGACTTGGCAGGCTGCCACTGCGACTTGGGTACGCCACATATCATCACCATCCAGTCTGACTATGAACTGACCTTCCCCACCATGCATCCCAGCAACAAACGGGAGACACGTCTTTGATTAGGTTTCTGAGGGACAACTTTGTAGTGGAGATGCGTAACATCTCATCAGGCAGGATGTTCGTATCTCCACTTGTTATCTGCAATCTCATATAACTGATTGTATGCGCGCTGTTGCGGTATAGATGGACACTTGTGACCTCTTGCTTTTCCCATCGAGATTTCTCGCATGCATTGTTCAATGGCCTCACCTTCTTTTTCATGGCTCCAGCAGTTATGCAAATGCTAGGTAAAACAAGGTTTTTGGGACTATACTTCATCGGTATGTTTGTTGTGCGCGACTCAGGATGTACCCCATCGTAACCAAATCTGCTTACAGGTGGAATCTTGTCCGGCCTAACGAGTCTCAGCTGGAACGACCTCGTCAAGCATCATCCGATAGCGTCTCATGGGGCTAGTGGTTCGTCTTAGATAACTTCTTTCTGCATGTCAACATTCTCACATTTTGTTACAGGTGCCATATATGCCATAGCAGCTTACTTTGCCTGTGCATTACCACGAGCGACGTTCCTCATCTTCTTTGTGATCCCTTGTCCCGCATGGGTGTTCCTTCCCGGTATCCTGATATACGACGGCTACAGGAGCATCTCCAACAAGGTTAGATCATGTCGCCTTTTTGTAGGGATTTCGGGTAGCATACTGATATATCCGGTTGCGAACTAGAATACTACCACAGATACAGCTGGTCACGTCGGCGGTCTGCTTGCGGGAATAGCATACTTTGCTGCACGACGGTTTGGTATCTTTCTATAACATACCCTAAAGTAGATGTGCGGGTCGGGTCAGTAGCAAGGAATAGACATATTTGTGTAAAATGTCTACAAGTCTACAAACTTTTTTGACGCACTAAGGTCACGATCAATCCAGTGCATAATACTATCGTACTATTATTCGAAAAGCATTTGAATTGTAGAGTAACTAATCGCAGAACTAAAATGAGGTATTCACTTGTGGAAATTAAGGGGTCGAAGTGAATGACGAAGAAAAGAAGTCAACGACCCATTGCAATGGCGCACATGTAAAAGGGGGTCAGCGTGGAACAAAATATCAAACAATCAGGCCATATACAAATACATAACGGTATGCATAACATATTCCATGTGTCTACTGAGTTTTCCTACGGAACGCGTACCTTCTGGGGCGTATTCATGCTGTTATCAAGTCTCCCCATCGTCTTCTCTAGTTTTTCCAAACCTGAAGGCCCAGTTGTAGAATCAGTAGGATCTCTGGCACCGTGTTTGTCGAACAGATAGGTGAGGAGGTTCTTTTTGTCGTCCGGAAGGTTCTCGAGAAGAGTGAAAAGGTGTGTTTCGTCACGAAGAACGAGCTGAGCAGCGATTATAGCGACGGCTGCAGCTTCTCTGATGACAAGCGATGAATAATCGTTCAAAGCCTGTGGACATTTAAAAAAAATCAAAAACATAATTTAGTCATCGACGACGAAGATACGCACGGGTATAAGAGTCGCCCTTAGGCGAGGAAGCTCTTCCTCCAAAATTTCAGCAGGAAGACGTAGGATGAATTTCCCCAAGGCAATGATACCAAAGGCGTATGTGGCGGATTTCGCACTGGAATCTGTCGTCGGCTCGGAATAAAACTCGCGAAGACTGGCATGCATCGTCGTGACACCGTAGACAGGCTCGATCCGGGTTGCCAGAGCGTCCCGAACAGTCTTCGTTGCTTCCAGTACCTAAGTCATCGACATCAGCACATGACCCTATGATTGATGTGAGTGAACTTACATTTAATGAACTGCAGTACCTGACCCTGAGAAGCGTGGAAAAGAGATCAGATTCCCTGCCTTCCAGGAAGGGCGCTTGATGCTCAAGTATTTCCCAGAGCACGATCAGGCCATATTCTAATTCCTCCGTGACCTAGATGGCAGGCTCAGCGTTAATGTACACCGAATAGTACCTGTAAGACATACCCGCGAAGGCTTCAAGTAATCAAATAGAGCATTTAATAGGCGGGAGAAGCTCTTGTCCTTCGTCCATAGATCAGGAATGAATGGCGGTAAAGGTCGGGCCACTGAGATGAATGGTGAAGGGCTCAATGGAAGACCGAGCCCTGGACTCAGAGGGGATGTTGCATCAGACTCGGATGCCGGATTACTCATGCAGAGTTGGGCAAGTTTCTGCAGCACACTAACATCCGCAGTGCCTTCCCCCAAAGCGGTAATGTAACTTTCGAGTTCTTGCACCCGGTCATCAGTTTCCACAGTCTTGAGTACTGTGCCCTGGTCATGTGCTATGCAGGGATGGTAGTTAGCTGACAAGATCTATAAACTGTATTTTTGATATACCTGACAGTCTTTTCAGCCACCAGCCACTCTCACGTTTCTGATTTTGTAACACATCTAACATCGACTCTGTTCGGCCGTTATTAACGGGGCTGTTCTTGAATGCGGCCGCTTTTCGGAATATAGCCATATTCTTGTTGACAGGAGTCACTGGAGGCAGCATGTTAATCCGTATCGTCGAGGCATTAGCAGGCTTGGGCTTTGGCGTTGAGCTGCCATTGCCATTGCCCAGTAATAGGGAGGCTGGGATAGTAGAATGATGGAGATCTTCTGACTCGGGTTCTACGAGCTCTAGTAAACGTTCAGCTGCACTTTCAGCTTGTTCCGCTCGGGCTCGAAGAGCATCTTCAACAATGGGTTCAGATGGCATGCTAGGAGAAGTTGACGAAAGAGCATTGGATGCCGTGGGCCTCGAGCCGTCGGACCGGGGAGAGAATGAGGGTGCCTTCGAGGTAACGCTGGGTACTGGAGGATATACCTTGTAGGGCGTTGAGAATGACATAAGATTTACAGATTCGTCCATGTCAGAGTCACTGTCTTCGGGTATCGGTATGGCAGTCGCGAGAAGTAAAGACTCCTCCTCTACATCAACAGTGGGCATCACTGTGGATTGTCGTACTGGAACGGGAACAGCAGCTGTCCTATTAGCGGTGTGTCGAGATGATGGTGACGTATGGCTAGGAGGGGAAGCCGGAAGAGCTGTTTGCATGGCCTTGCGCAAAACAGAACTGCGATTAGGAGGCGATGGGACAAGAGGCGACGACGTACGGCGACGCATAGCTTCTGGTGCGATGGAAGCCGTCGTTGAATCGGAAGTCGAACGAGCGTGCGAGTTGGGTATCGGACCACTGCTAACTGACCGAGGCATAGTCCCTGATAGTATGCGCGATCTAGGGGAAGTTGGGGGAGATAAAGAAGTGCGAGACGAGAAGGTGGAACGAGCGGTGGGAGAAGGTGAGTTGCGTCCATTTGTAGTTTTGGATACGGTAATGACAGGTGAGGTAGGACTTCTTGCAGTGGGGGAAGCTGCTCTAGAGGCATGGGACGATGCTGTTGCCTGATGTCTCAAGGTTGGAGGCGCGGTGGCGATGGCTTTGGCTTTAGCACGACTGGCAGCAATGGCAGCAGAGACGCTACTCTTCTTTACCTTAGGTGTAGTAGGGGGTAGGACCGCCGCCAAGGCATCTGGATTTGGACATGCCTTCTCTAGCTGCTTACGCGCTATAGAATCCAGAGCATGAAGTATTACAGTTGCCCTGTCATGCCAGATTCCTTCGAACACCCAGAAACAAACGCGCGCACTCTCCCGCACCGCAGGGTTGGGGTCAATAATGGCTTTCTTGATAGACTTCTCAAGTATTTCCACTCCATTAGGAGACTCGATGTGATTTTTGAACCGCGTGCCATGCACCTCAAGGTATTCTTTAATATGGGCAACGACGAACGCTCTCGCTTGTATAGTCTTCTCCTGCAGGGTGGTCCAGAGGAGGGGTAGCAATGTACGTGGCTGTGCCGACGTATGGTTCATAATTGTTGAGACGCATGCTTGTGACTGTTGAGCGATGATCTTCTTGGTGAAGCCAGCCATCCGTAATAAGTGCGAATAGAGCGTCTCACAAAATGGATCAAGAATAGGACCAAGAGCAACTGCTAGTTCAGAGTATAATGAACAGGCATTGGCTGAGACAGTGGTCCGCAGACTGGCCAGCTAATTCGGTGACGTGAGTATGTAACTTTACCTTGACATAGAATCACCTACGGCTTTGAGTGAAGCCTGGATAAAACTATCTTTCAGACAGGCTATGAAGACATCCAAATAACGACTTTGAATGTCACCCTTGAGCATCCCACGAACTCGTTGAACAGCACGATCACGAGCTGCCCAATTATGCTCTGTTTCTTTACCCTGAAAATCCCAACGCAAATGAGCAAAGAGGGAGCAGAGACACATGGAACTAGAGTATCTTACCTCAAATGGCTTGACCATCCCCGCAAACTCATTTTCCATGTCTCTGCTGGATGCGATCTGCGAAAAATGAGACGCATATAGTGATACGCAAAGAAGTACAGACGCACAAAAACTGCCTCAACCACACTTGTCGTGTCATTCGGTAATGGAGGGACTGCACCTAGTGATGGGGACACCATGGCGGAACGACTGGCCGGCCTTGAAATGTCCCTTACGTTCCCATGGCTTACAGCACGCGATACAGTGTTAGGTGGTCCTCCTGACGCTGAACCTACTGTAGGCCGTCTGGTCTGTAACAACACACTCGGGGGAACATATTCCTTCTTGCCACCATCCCCGTTTTCAGACCCTTCGCTATGAGGAGTACTCGTAGCTCCACTTGCTCCAATGAGTTTCGACAGGACGTTGTCCATAATAGTTTTCCGCACGTTTTTCTTCGACATCTCTCTTTTAAGGTCTGCTCGTGCCGCATCTGTGACGCCTGGACCAGTGAAAAGTTCTATGACGGATTGACGAGAGCATTCACGGACATTGCCATCGGGGTCTTCGAGCGCGTCAACTAACAGGGGAAGGTAGGGACGAATAGGGAAGAGATGGTGCGCGCGACGAATTTGTACTAAAGTGAGAATTGCCTAGAAACAAAGAAAGTGAACGCGGAAAGAACTGCGTTTGGTATGACGGCCAGAATGCTGAGTGACAGGAAAACGTACTTGTTCTCGTACTCTCCATATTTTACTGCCCAGGCCACCCTCTCTCAAGAACCGCTCAAATATCATCAGGGGGGTCTCTGGACCCTTGCCATCTTTGATCTTAGACGTGGAAGGCGCGCAACGAAAAGCTAACCCTCCCAACACCGCGAGCGTTTCTCGAGCTTTCTCTCTCGACTTTTCACGGTTATCACCCAAACGTTCCAGAACCCCTCCGGTGGGAAGAAAGGCAACGAGAGCTTGGCGAAGCGTGTAGATGTCGACTGAAGCCGAATGAACTGATGACGATGATGACGCCGAAGAGAGCGGGCGCGTGGCAGTTTGTGTAGGTGCATTAAAACGCGATATTATGAGAGGAAGAAAATGTGGCAGAGCTGAAAGTGTAGCAGTTGTCAAATGTTGGTTTGGAATTCGAAGGCATGCCTTGAGAACGGTGATAAGAGCCTCCGGGTCTGCAATCTATCCAAGAATTAAAGAACACATGTCGACCTTTGCTGGCAAAAGAAAGTAGTGGCAACATTTACCTCTGTGCCAGACTCGAATTCCGCCTGAAGTTTCGTGACAGCGTCAATCTTGAGATCAACGTCTTCAAAAAAAATATGTCAGAACAACAGGGCAGCAGCTGAACTATAGAGAGGACTTGCCATTATTTTTGCACTGGTTTATAAGCTTTTCCAGCTGCTCATTGCTCATGGTGGGACAGGTGATGAGAAAAAAGCAAGATGAATAGCGAATGGCAACTCGGATGCCCAAGCTCAGCTAAGTACTTCGTAATAATCGTCCGATTACCTTTACATGCACAATCAATAATAAGCAAACAACCGGTCATACGCCGGACTTCATTCACAGTCACCGGTTTCAATCAGACCATCATCTAAATACCATGGTTGGCGATAAATTGAGGGTTCTCTTAGTGGTATTGTTTTAAAGCTTTTCTTTATTCTCATTCTCATCACAGTAAGTTAGAACGACGACGGGCCGCCTCGCCCAGAATCCCCTTATATCTTTGGCCTTTACTGTCACCTCACCAGGAATCTGGGTGAGGTCTGCTTTGCGTTTAACAGGGCTGATTGTGACGGGCTCCTGGCTCAGGATGGGACGTGAAAGTGGTTGTGCCAAGTTCTCAAATGTCGTGGATTGGTGTGTAATTCTATTGTCCTCACATAAGCCATTCTCACTCCTTCGCAGGCAAGGCATATCATATAACCGAGATAACAAAGGGGAGATACTACTACCCTCGGGAACCTGGTATGTATTCTGTGTATATTGATGATGAATACTCAAATTCATGCGTCTGGTCAACAGATGGACGCGGAGAAACTTCACCCACTTCCCGCCTCCTTAAGGATGGTGAAGTCGCCGAGTGGATTCTTTTGGATGGTGTATGTCTTTTGACAATGTTACAAAATCCATTCATTTCTCTTATGTACCACAGACGCCTGCAACGTGCGCAAACATCGCTCTACACAATATATACCCCAAACAGATAGACCTTTTGGTAGGGACTGTCGTGCTTCATCGTGAGGTATCTCAATCACACTTCATTTGTCGTTAGATTTCTGGACCGAACCTTGGACGAAACACATCTGGTTAGCCCTGAAATATATTCAAATTTGATAGACCTAAACCTTCTAATGTATAGCGGCATTTTCATTGTCGTCTGGAACGATTGGTGCTGCTTTATCATCCTCGCTGTCTGGGATACGCTCCATAGCTCTATCGTACGGTACCGTTCTTCATCCAACCCCCAAAACTCTGTTCGATCCAGCACACACCTTATCATGTCGTATCATCAAACATCTTTGGAACAACTGGGGAAAAGATTCAGGAGGGCTACGAAATGGCGAAGTTGACCTGTATAGCATCAACGTCCCCATGATTGAGAACCTGCTCAGCGAAGAGGGATTGAGGATCTGTTGGACGCGCATATGGCGTAACTCGTATGGTCGACTATTCAAGGCCGTCGAGGCACGACTAGAGGCGGAACCTCTGACGGGTGATGTTCCATCTGCTGGGCCGGACGCTTTGGACGGGAAGCCACCGGCCATAAAGCCAAGCTCTGATAGCGCATCTGCAAATAACTTAGTGTTCAAGTTTTCTCCTGACATGCAAGGTCTCATTACGCCCTCACTATCGTCTGTACCTGTTGGAACGGATGGGTGGGCTTTGGGGCATGGATGGGTCTGTGTTACACCTTTGAGGGCTAGTTTTGCTGAGGCACCAATCCCAGGAGAGGATGTAGAACTTTCTGGGGATGCAGAAAAGCGATTCAGAGAGATCAAATTGTAAACTGTGGCCTCTGTATATCATCTAACTGCCTAAATATGTAACATATGTAACCGTTCAAATGTCATTCCATTCAGATATAAATGTATCGTAGGGTATCGTGATATCATTAGTCGTATCAGTCGTTGGATAAAATCTACAGGAGAAGATGAATGTTCCGCTTCCAGCATGCGCATCCTTCGGTATAATGTTCATAGTCCAACGTTCAAAACGATACTAAGGAGAATCCAACCAATCAGGGCGGGGCCTAGGACCGCATATTGGGTGGCGTCATTTGAGACCGACACACTTGCTCTTTTGTAGACTTTCAGTGAATTAATGATCCATGAAGCATTCTATAAACGAGTTGATTGAAAACGCAATAGACCGCTAAATTATAAAGTACGCACGACAAAGTTAGCTGGATCCACAAGCCTTTCTTCACATGTTCCAGGGCAGCCTGAAGTGGTATAAGAATTCCCTGCCCAGTCACCTAAAGAGTACTCAGTACAAATTAATTATTTTGGTGACCAGATAACTTACCACAAAAAGTGATGTCTTCAAGGTACTAATGAGCAAAATATTGAAGATAGCGAAAAAAAAAAAAAAAACTCGCCAAAGATGACAGAATGATTCACAAAATATTGGGTTGGATTACACGCTTCGGGAGACAGCGAGGCAACTGGTACTCCCCAGCCAGCCGGGTTGGGATTACCTTGCACGATGTCCGTAGGAATGGCAGCACGGTAGAACGACCCTTCAAGGTACTATGGTTAACTAAATACGCATCCAAATGGGAAGAGACTTCACATACAAACAGAAATACCATCATCGTCCCACTTCATCGCGAACACGCCACCGCCTTGAGAGTCAAAATATGGGCCATAAGAAGCCCTGCTCCATTCTGTGACCGCACAGCCAGAATTGCTGTTTATCAAAGCATTACAGTCAAGATTGTCAGTGCCATTAATTTGCTATATCATGAAAATGGTCAGTACACGATGTGACTACAAGCTTACAACTTACATCAATGGTTCCCGTCATGTTCACGGTAGAGGTCATCATACAGCCTTCATAGAAGTTGTGAACATTCATATCGGATAACATCACTCTACGAACATACCTGGAGCGGTATGCCAAGTAACTTGATTATATTGGTTATCATGGACACCCTCTAAAATATCTATCTCGCCGCTCTTTAAACAGTTGAGAACAAGTACGAAATACAAATTTAACTACTCACATAAGGCCATGTACCACCTCCGAGAGTCCTAGAAGTGGAAACGTTTATTTAAATATAATTGATATTCGTAATACGAGTACACTTGCCAGAAAGCAGGCCAAACAGCTTAATATGGATGTCAAAAACAAAACTGATTCAACGAACACGCAAGACTTACCACAACCCCACGGAGCCATATCTAGGTCGAGGATAAATAGTCCCGTGTTGTATATTGCCTGGCTTGATATACGTACGCTGTGCACAATTAGGATGAGTATGCGCTCATGAAGGCGAGTATTATAAACCAGTACCTGCCCCGATTGGCTCCCATAGCAAGAGTAGTGGTGTTATCACCTTTCATGATAACCTTGTTATTGCTTGTGACGTATGCGAGACCGCTAGAGTATGCCGTTTGTTGGTCTACAAAGCTAAGAATGTGAGGGTTTTAGAGTCAGCGAGTTATAGTCATAGTACGTGGATAATGAGCGGACTCACTCAACCATGCCACTATAAAGAGTCATTCAGTGTCGGGAAGTAAGGAAAGTAATAATAAAAAGGGGGCGTACTGTGTGGGATCGGCTCCTGTGTAGAAGTCGAATCTACTATAGGCAATTATCTATCCTCTGTTTGCTCTAGAATTGTATTGAATGGACATACTCGAAGAATGTCTGACCTTCATAATTATCCTCTATCACCCATAGCACGTCAGACGCATTCGAGGACGTGCTGTTTCCATCGCGTCTGAGCACAGGCCCTGGTGGTTCATGCTCAGGAAGAAATCTTTCGGACGCTAGTTCGGATCGGAAACCAAGGGGGCTGCCCCCGAAGTCGGGCAGGGCTGCCGCACGGCGTCGGAGGGACAGCAGGAAAAATAATGAGCGAAGCAAAACAGTAGCGAATAATTTCATAATAAAAAAAGTGTCAAGAAGTCGTGAAGGTCTAAGGCAAGCTGGATTATGAAGAGGATTTTAAGAACGCGAGGCAAGCACGTTGAACTCGGAGGCAGTCACCGTTTGTCAGAGTGGAGCGCGGTATTCAGGTCGCGTGCGCAGCTCCGCGTTTTATCGTGGGATCTAACCGGTCGCGAACGGATTGAGATATCTATAAGTACAGGATTTCTATTCGTATAGAGTATGTAACAATACAGACAATAAAAAAATACTACAGCTTTAGCTTGGCTGTTTTTTGTCGGAGTGACCCAAATGTTTACCAGGCTGTATATGATCCCGGATACGTTGTTTCTGCATTACAGGATTGCGAGTTGAGTTGATAATCACCATGTGTAGCGTCCGCTACTCACCAGGACCTTCAGCTCAGGAAATCCACCTTCCACCTTGCGATCCCAAACCAAATGTGAATCTCCACTATCGGAAAACAACCAGACACGGAACCGGCCACCTGTTTGATCCGAGTTGAGAGGAACAATTGAAATGCCCTTTATTATCGGTGGAGGGAATGTAAGGAAGAGTTCCGTTGATACCCAAGTTGCTCGATGTAGCCTGAGCAGATGTCTTTATATCAGTGGTACTAGCGATAACCCGGAAAACTAACCAGCGGCACTAGGCAATTGAGTCAATGGAAACTAAATGACGAGGACGCTGAGGCAAGACTCACTCTATCGCAAAATTCGATCGTGACATTGGGTGCTGATAGAGAGCTAGGTGGTACAAATGTCGCTGGATTAAGGGGATCATGGACAGCACTGTCGGTGTCTACGAGAGGACATGCTGCACTTTCCTGAGTTTCCTCGGTCATGGTGGAAGAGAAGGATGATAGGGTTAGGTGTAGAAATGATCAATGGTCAGATGACCTTTGTCGACGCGTTGTTGCACGAGGCGCGCCTTGTCCTACTACCACCATCTCATAGGTGCTACAGATAGGATAAAGACACGTATGAAATCAGAAAACCAAGATAGAGATTCTATAACAAGACGAAGTACAATGATCTGGACCGTTCACGGTATGTCCTCATAGAACGTAAGCACGCAAAATTCATGATCAGTGTATTCTATGGTTTTTGCAGTCGAAGTGCGTCTTTCTACAACTGCTAAACGGCGGGTGGATACTGTCAGAAATGCTGTTCTGGAATATATCTCGTCTTTTGATCACATATCTCTACCCTCGACGATACAAGGCTGGGAACAAGTCCCTACCCTAGCGGGCTGTGTCGAGCGGATCACCGTATCAGAATCATCATGCCCGTTGTCGTCTTTACCCGTAGCAGAGACCTCTCTCCAAATACACACGTACCAGCCTATTGAGTCTGACATCGCCGAGGAGTATTCCAATGGTAGCGATGGGAGAGATGGAAGTGAAGAAGTTCTAGCTGCAAGTGTATGCGAACTCCCAAGTAAACATTGGGATGGTCTCTGGGATAGTTTGATATACGCAGATAATATCAAACTCAAGCTTCTTGACTACATATACGCGACGCTATTGTTGAGCGATGCTGACATTGATTGTGGGTGATCACCGTGGCACTGCTTGGCAGTAATTGACCCCTATATTCCTAGCTAACATGGTCTCTTGGAATCGCGTGGTGTTGTTGCATGGTCCTCCAGGAACCGGTAAAACATCGCTGTGCCGTGCATTAGCTCAGAAGCTTTCGATACGTTTATCCCATCGGTAACTCCGTCAATTTATGGCATATAGTCTGTGTTTTGATTTTTGATTTTGATCTGCTCAGATATTCGCAATCACGTCTGTTGGAAATAAACTCTCATTCACTTTTTTCACGATGGTTTTCTGAGTCTGGGAAACTCGTGCAGCGTCTCTTTAGCAATATAACGGACATGGTTGAAGATGAAGACTGCTTTGTAGTCGTCCTTATTGGTTAGTATTTTCGTGAGTCATTTAGTGCTTATTGTACTCATTCGCATATCCAGACGAGGTAGAATCCCTGACCGCAGCTAGAGCAGGAGCTATGGCGGGTACGGAACCATCTGATGGGTTACGTGTATGTGCAGAACAAATCTCAGTACTGTTAACGAAATTGAAAATATATGTGATCTGTTAGGTTGTGAATGCGCTTCTCACTCAACTTGACAAGCTCAAACACAAGAAGAATGTATTGGTGATGTCAACCAGCAATCTAGTCAAAGCCATTGGTTAGTGAAGTTTCGGTTCGGCATCGGGGTGATAACCAGATTACTGCTATAGACTCTGCATTCGTCGATCGTGCCGATATAATCCAATATGTCGATCTACCCCCTCGAGAAGCGATCTACGAGATTTTACGTGGCTCGCTCTGTGAATTCATGAGCAAAGGACTGGTCCATGCAACTGTAAGCCCTTTACATCCAGTAAAACATATATATTTCTTTATCCTCTATCACATTTCCAGGAAGTCCCACCACTCAGCGAGGCCAAGCATTACGAAGCGAATGACAAGTACGAACGGCTCAGTGCACTCCAAGCTCCAATCGTTGAATACGAGCAGCTACCAGACGCTCATGCAGAAAGGAAGAATGTCGGTCTACAGCTGCTAATGTTAGCTTCCAAATGCAGAGTGAGTCGATTCCTTATGCGAACAACGATTGTTGGACATATAACGTCGTATTTTAGGAACAAGGTTTATCCGGTCGAGCTCTCAGACGTCTTCCTGTCATGGCCCTGGCTCGTTACATTGGCGTCGGTGGTCACCCAAGCCTGACTAAAGGGTTTACTGCTTCGGGAAAGTTGAATAAGCCAAATGGATCGCGTTTACTAGATGGTCCTTCGATGGACATTGGGGCATGGTTAGATTCGATAGAAAGTGTCGTGTCGGATAGGGCGGTACAGTACGAGAAGCTGATTTAACTTTTCCTTCTTTCTAAGCATGCATCGTTGCTACTTGCTGTGTCTTCACTTCTATTCATTCTTGTCACATCGCACTGTTGATCCTGAACAGTTCAAGGTGCCCCACTGCATTGTTGCATTGTACTTACTTCACTGAACATAAAGGTAATGTGTACTGAAATTCAGTATTGACCCCAATCGTTCTGTTTGTAAAAGGGTGGCTATATTGTATTTAGCACTGAAAAATGTGCAAAAATATGCGCAACGAGTTCATTCGACAAGCTTGGTTTAAGATCTGAGATACGATGTATATGCAAAGAATATATACGTGTAAGATAGTATGTTGGCCTAAAGAGCCTTACATGCAAATATGCAGCTAAAGCAGACCAGCCGTCGAAAACCGCTGAATTGCCTTGAACTGTATGTGACTTCTGGTATATGAAGCACCTGAGGAATATTGCGTTGATAAAAATTAAGAAACGACGAGCAAACCATTTGCTCACATGAGCGGCAGAAATAATCCGCTTTCTTACGACTCCAGTCTGTCGGCATACAACGACATCGCCAGGCCTTGCTGACTTGCAAGCCATCCTGGCTTCGAATATCGAGCAATCCTCCTTCCATTTCCCTTCTGTGTATTTCTGCTGCTCATAATTTGAGCGCGTCTCATCCCGGGCGGTGGTCGTTGGAAATTCACGATCTCTGTCCATGTCTTACGCGCAATCGGTGACCGTTCGCCGCTATCGCGAAGATAAACATCCTTCCCAGACCACACGCGCCGTCCAAGCCGCTCTTTTACTCGCTGCGTAGTACGCGACATTATGAGCTCAATATGTTGGTTGAATGCAGTTATCTGTTCAAGGTCCCGTTGGAGAATACTGAGGTGGAGATCAAGGTCAAAGTACTTTATAGGTGCGGGTGAGGGTGTCCATGGAGCATCAATGTCAACCTCTAGAGCTGAGGAGATGGCCTTTTTGGGAACTTGTCGAGGTTCTATTGCAGATGCCAATGGCGATCCAGACGAAACGCTCGATGATGGGGAAAGACTGGATGCAGAATTGGCAGCTTTGCTTGTTGTAGCAATAGGAATCTCTCCGACTGGTTGGGGCACGGAAGATGAGGTTGGCAACTCTGATACTGTGGAGCTCGCCTCTTCTAACGCTCGCTCTTGTACATTTTGTCGTACCTGGGAGTAGAATACAATATCATTCTTCTTCCGCCGAATAGTTTGCCTAGCAACCCAAGCAACCCATCGCATGAGCTGCAAGTTCTTGTCTCGGTTGGCCTCTCCAAACACAGGGAGGATCGTTCCTTTATTGATCGTAAAATGTGGTGCCAAAACCTCGCCAAGAGAGTCTCTCATCTGCGAGCGGAGGTCCCTGTCCGTTTGTCGATCGAGACGCATAGCCTGAAATAGGTAATGACGCGCGAAGGTAGCATGACCTGCCCTGGATATGTGCTTAAGCAAGATATTGTAGGTCGTCGTGTTTGGCGCCGCATGTGGTGCCTGGTACGGTTGCGTCGAGGCTGGGTTAATGACTCCAAAATCGTCCTCCTCGTCAAACGCCATCGAGAAATGCTTATTAGCTTGGGGAGGCAGTGGCTGCGTGAGCACCTCGAACGCCTGTACAAGCTTTGGCACATTCCCAAAACGTCCAAGCATGTCTAGCGTGGTGTTCAGCGCGGCCGTAGAGAATGGAACTCGGTAGTCCAGGCCTTCCACTCCTTCCGCGCTCGTAACGACGTCCAATGGAGGATGATCAGGGTTGTCCAAATCAATCCCATATCCAACTTTCATGAGTCTACTGAAACCTTCTTCGTCTGCAATCTCCTTCAACACGCGTATGGTAAGATCAAGATTTACCGAGGTGAAGGGTAACTTGTAAGTCGCCATGCCCTTCATCAGCTCCTGGGACATCCTTCCCGCTTCCTCCACCAATCGCCCTCGCTCGAATTTATAAATGGGGAGAGAAAGCCGGTGGGCAATGGCTTGCAGACACAGTCCATAGGTTTTTGGTGTCGGGTGCAATCCAAATACGAGTGTCAACTCGTTGTATACCTGAAAAGCACCTTTGTAGTGTCCAACTGAAGCAAACTGCTCCAGAATAAAATGATAGTCTGAGAGGGTTGGCTTGTGGCCTGTTGTACGTATGTTACGCATGACGGACTTCAACCGTGCTTCGTACATGTGAGGAATTCTAGGCGCATTGCCAGCTGCCATACGGCGTGCCATAGCTCCACGTAGAACATTGGTAGAAGGTACGCATTTCCTGAGAACCGCTTGGTGTATCTCCAGAGGTAGATGCTCGAACTCCAGATAGCCCAACAGGTCGGTGTAGTAGCTCCAGACGCGTGAGGGGTTCGGAAAGTCGCGCCCTACACTGTCTTCGAGGTCATGATACTTCTGCTGTCGAAGAAGATCTTGTGCGCTGTTTGAAGAGGTAGCAATACTGGAAAAAGAGAGCGCGTCTGGGACACTCAGTAATGGAAGGGTGATGGCGGAGGAATGGGGTGCAGAGACATGAAAGCGTCTTGGTCGTATTGAAGAATTTGCTATAGTGGGGGTTATCCTGATCTTTGTAAACGTCCTTGACATATTATGGATGTAGAACCAAAGGTTTCTGGCCCTCCTCCCTCTCCAGTCTCCAGGTTGTCTTCCTGCTACGTTTGCGGTTATGCTCGGCCTGCTAAAGTCAAGTGGGGTTTGCTCAAAAAAATTGCACGTGGCCAAAAGTCGCTGAGATTTCCAATTATGGGCATCTACGTTTGCTTGAAACCTCAATTTCTTCAGACGGCGTCGATAGAAGCAAATTTAAAGAAAATAAAAGCTCGAAGAATTACAAAAAATCACAAGAAACTCGATGCTTCGAGTTAAATCGCTGAATTTACCAGAATTTCATTCTTTATTCTTCCCAGTAGCATAGTACATGCAGTACCATATTCAAGGCAGATATGGTATTCATCACAGCAGTCGCCAATGATGGCAGTCTTTATTAGATCCTTCTCCATACCACCATCCTTTCAGTTCCTTCGCGCCCCTCCCTCACGATTCCCGGAATCTTGTCATACACTTTCTCCCATCCTTGGCCCAAGGGCTCAATATAATCCTCAGGCTCGACATGGAACGGTGGGCCATGATAATCTTCTAAAGGAAGCCCAAGTGGGAAAATAAGCGTGATTAGATATCCGCCCGGCTTGATGAGTGCTGAAATCTGACGCCCCCATTCATTTCGACGTTCAGGCGGGAAAGCGACAAAGAACCTGTGAACGACAGTTACATTAACCTGAGAGAAGTATATGGGCAGTAAAATATACAAACGTATAATCGTAGATGACGTCGTAGTTTTGACCGTCTGGCACGCTGTACGTGAAGAAATCAGCTTCATCGAAAGTCACTTTCCCAATTGCAGAGGACAAGTCTTCCGGGATGGATTTTAGCTTGCTATAAACCACCAGCATACCATGTCAGGTGTATTCCATTAAAGAAACGTTTGATTTTTGTACCCACTCTCTGGCATTTTGTAGGCCCACAGGGGATATATCAAGACCCACAGTCTCAAGGCCAAGTTTAGCAGCAATGAGTACTGCATCGTATCCCTGAAAAGAGTGGTAAGGAACACAGTGGAGCACAAAATAGAGCGACTTTCACTCGCCCTTCCACATCCAGGAACAAGAGCGCGACCTGTCCTTGGGAAATCCACGGATCCTGACTGAAGTAGTTCTTGCAAAGCTAGCTGGACATCACCAACGTCCCAAAAGGTCAAACGTTTCTTCCTGATAATGGCATTATTTATTGGCTAGTAGAGGGTCCAACTCTTACACTCACCAAATTTCGTCCCACCCATGCATGGGGTTGTCTTGAAGTAGCTTTCTGGCGACCAACCGGTCGTCATTTCGCATAGTGGGTACATGCTTTGAACTGGCCATTTTGTGAGATCAATTGACAACCATTCTTTCGACATCAGGTTATAAGGGGGACTGCCTCATATTTCAGCCGACCCTCAGGCCTCAGGCTTGACATGCTTGACAGGTGGTACACACGTCACGAGAAAAGGAAAAGGAATCCATATATCAAACTTTCGTTCCAAGTCCGATAGCTTTTCTCTTGCCCTCACCCGTGATGGTCTGCCTTGCGCAATCACATCACATGAATTATTTATGCCATGGCCTTATCCACTACGCCTTGAGAAAACATGCTTACTTGCATTTGAAGCCCGCCATAACCAACAGCCTTATCCCGCCTGATTCCAAAATGACTGGGCTACAGCCCAACTCGTTAGGCAATATTTAAGCAACCGAAGAAAATGCGCAATATGAAAGGTTACGGTGCACCTCTTTCTCGAATGCATGAACGAATATTTCAGTGGGCCCTATAATATGGCCCGCGAAAGGGGGACCGTAAAGATCAAGCCAAATTGGACGATTCTCTGAGATGGTGAGAATTTGGATAACAGAAGAACGTGAGGTCGGGCTGGATAGCACAATATGGGAGGGAATAAGTTATTGGCTCTCCTGGAAAGGGATCGATAGAGAAATGAAGATGGAGATGGAGTAAAATGGCGGCACCGACGAGTCTTCTATTATTCACGGATAAGAATGGGATCCCCAGAGCGAGACTTGATATCACTGAGGGCCGTTGCTCCGTCCAGTCTGTCCTTTCGATACGCGAACATCCAAGCCTTGTGAAAGAGTCGTAGTCATCCTCCCTTTGGTATAAACTATAGCGAAACGTCTCCTCGATGGTTTACCTCATTCTGAGTCTTAAGGGTGTCAATTCGAACGCAGATTGTTGTAGCGCCTCGTCCAGAGGTCCGCCGTGACAGGTTGTAACTTTGAGGATTATTACTGGCCACTATATTGATAGTTTATCGAGGCATAGATATTAATGGTCAAGCGAACAATCACCAAGTATCAACCAAGTATTGGTCAAGGGCACGCTGAGCAAGTTGAACGTTGGAAGTGCAAAAGGAGCTGACAAATCAACTGGCCCGTGCGCGAATTTCTTGGAAGTATATAAGGCTGAGTTAGACATAGTTGAATTCTCATACTTACCTTGATGGCATGAGCTCCTTCATCTACCTGGGTTTGTGGGCCTTTGAGACCTTCCATAGCACGGCGACCTTGTCCTTACAGAGGGTAGCTTTGGTTTGTATGGGCTTCGGCTCATGCACTGTCTCAATATTTTCCTGTCCTACCACGGCCACTCTGGCTGGGTAGGCCTTTTTTTTTCGACCTTTCTTGGTCCTAACCCTAACCTTAGGGGCACTATCTACTCCTGATCCTCTGTAGTGACAATAATAATAAAATACATGAAATATAAGGTTACAAAGTACCGCTGTATACAGAGGGGAGGGATGAGGGTGGGTAACGCGAATAACTTAATAGGACTCGAAAGAGTGAGTAGCCTGAGAGGGTGACCTTGAAGGGGGACGTTCCATCCGGTAAAAGGGACGTGTCGCGAAGAACACACCATCAAAGACTTGGTCTTTCCAGAAAGTGATAGCAAGGGCGAAAGCGAGGCTTGATGAGGCGTAAAGGATGATGGGGAGCCATACCTTGAAGAGATTGGAAATCGGGAGACCAGTGTCGAACATACCGCTGTGACTGTCTGCAAGAGTGAGTGGGAAGTGGGAGGTGCGGTGAGTGTGTGGCGAATTGGGAGGCAGGAAATGGCTTCGTCGTCGTAGGTATAAACTGCCGTGTCGTACATCTTGTTTCTGATGTTGATTTAATGTTGATCTAATGAGAGAATAAGCATGTCACATTACTTTGAAGTAGTGTAGTACATGCACATAATACAGTGCCGCCAAGGCATATATGGCTATTCATCACAGCAGCCGCTAATGATAGCAGCCTTCATCAGATTCTTCTCCATACCACCATCCTTTCGGTTCCTTTGCGCCCCTCCCTCACGATCTCCGGAACCTTGTCATACACTTTCTCCCATCCTTGACCCAAGGGTTCAATATAATCTTCGGGATCAACGTGGAATGGTGGGCCAACGTAGCCTTCTAAAGGAAGTCCGAGCGGGAACACAAGTGTGATAAGATATCCTCCGGGCTTGATGAGCGCACACATCTGGCATCCCCACTCGTTGCGACGTTCGGGAGGAATTGCGACGAAAAACCTACAATTTGCGCGTAGTTCCACATTATTGAGTGCGAATAGAAAATTATACGAGATAGGACACTTACGTGTAGTCATATATGAGCGAGAATTTCTGATCATCTGGCACTTTGAATGTGAAAAAGTCTGTCGCTTCATAGGACACCTTTTCAATACCAGACAACAGACCCTCGGGTGCCGAGTTTAACTGACTACAAGATTCCAGGCCGTCATTAAAATAAGCGGTTGATCGATATGTGATTACATCACTCACTCTCGTGCAGCTTGAACGCCGACAGGGGATATGTCAAGACCGAGAGTGTCAAGGCCAAGTTTAGACGCGATCAGTAAAGCGTCATAGCCCTAAAGGTATAATGATGAATTTCGATAAGTGAAGGCACGATCAATTACTATACCAACCCTTCCACAGCCAGGGACAAGGGCCCGTCCTTCCCTCGGCAGGTCCAGCGACGCAGAAAGAAGCAAGCCTTGCAAGGAAAGCTGTACATCACCACTATCCCAAGGCGTTACACCCTGCTTCCTAGGAAATATTAAGACATTTTCATATCAGGCATAAAACGGAGATAGATCGTTTCGACTGACCATGATTCATTCCAACCACCTGAGGCGTCCTGTGCAATGAGTTTTTTAACATATTCCCTATCGGTGTTGAACTTGTCTCCAAGTAGTGTGAGAGATGATTCAGCCATTATACCAAGTGAAGCGAGGTATTAGGGAGCAACCGTCATCTATTGAAAGCGAGCTTTATAGTCGCTGAGCGTGACCATCATAATGGATTTGCAAGCATGCTCACAAACAGCTTCTAAATATGCTTACTAGGGATTTAATTAATTTAACCCATTAAGAATCGTCCTCAAGATAAACCTCGGGCAAACGGGGATCGCTAAGCTTGACCGGTATGGTCGGTGCACAGGACAATTCTTCGAGTTGCTTTGTGGTAAAACAAAATCTCTACTACGCACAGAGTGGACTTGTATTTAGTAGACTTACAAAGGACCGAATCAGAGCATTCATATGCAATTGCACATTCAACTTGGAGTAACAGGAACACAAAGAAAAAGTCATACAGACAACACTGACATTAGGAAGACGTTGACGGGAACTGGCATTGACAGTGATCACAAACAGCAGAGAAGAACTTGAAGAGGACATCAGGGAGGTAAAGAGCTGACAAATCAACTGGTCCGTGCGCAGAGTCTCAATCGTATATAAGGCTGAGCTGGACATGGTTGTATCTTCATACTTACCTTGATGGCATAAACTCCTTCATCTACCTGGGTTTGTGGGCCCTGGGAACCCTTCATAGCACGGCGACCTTGTCCATACAGAGGGTGCTCTTGGCTTGTATGGGCTTCGGCTCATGCACCGTCTCAATATTTTCCTGTCCTACCACGGCCACTCTGGCTGGGTAGGCCTTTTTTTTCGACCTTTCTCGGTCCTAACCCTAACCCTATGACATCCAATACAAACACATTCGTTGAGATGTAATAATACCAAGTCGGCCATGTTTTGCATAATATGAATTGCTGTATCTTGAACCCGAAGGGCTTCTGAATCTGATAATCTATCCTCATTACTATCTGGTAATGTTGCGAGTGATCCTTTTAAACTTTTGACAAAAAAAACTAGTGCTGTAAAATGTGCAAGACATGTAGTTGTAATGTCATCTATATGCCTCAGATCTACGCAAGGCGACAGTAGTGGGACAGCAAAGGTAAGAACACATCATCTCTACTAAGACTGTGCATGAACGTGGCTGACTGGACTTTGCTGCAGATCGTGATTTTGAAGATAGACTGATTCATAACGATAGCTTTGGAAAATATTGGTGATACTGTAACTCAATCTACAGGGGTAATGCAAAGCCTACCATCTTTTAGCTCCATTCATACAATATCGTTTCTCGATCTAAAAAAGACATCCACCAATATTCGTTCGTCAACTTGAATCCTATCGTACAGCTTCAAGAATCTCCATTGATGTTACACTGTTACCACGAATCACCTGATTACAATACAATCAGGTTAAGATATGAACAGATATGAACAAGCATCATGGCATATCGTACTCACCACAGTTCCAATTGGGTGCTTTTGAGCGGGTGTGGTTTCCTCCAGAGCATCGTCAATGACGAGATTCAAAAAAAGATCATAGCCACGCAGTGTACCGCTAACTCTACGGCCTCCCTGCAGGTGGACGAACAATTTCTTGTCCATAAACTGGTCAAAGGTATTTGATTAGCGCAGATAGTCATGGTGATAATTAAAAAAATACTTTTTTAAGTTCTGGTTGCGAAGCCTTTGACATCTTTGCTATTGTGTTTGCGAGACCGGCGTTGAGAAGAAGGAGAGCAGCGGGCGCGTTGCTTTGATATGTTTGGTTTGCTTTCCAGACTCGGAGTCCAATCCAGAAGGCTTGGAAGGGTTCGTTGCCCTTGCTAGCTCCAACCAGCCTTATACTCTTTACTTCCTCTTTTTCACCTGAACCACATCCTCTAGACGTTATCCATACTCAAAGCATATCCATCTCCCATCTTTATTCCAGGTTTTTTCCCATATCCGTCAGTTCAAATCATAACCCTTGCTTTACTTCCAAATGTGTGGTATTGACCTGCCATTTCAAAACAACAGCTGCTTTCAATACCCAAGCAAAGCTATCCTCGTGCTCTATTTCCCATTTGAAGTGGACTTATGGCTACACCTGCCTCCCGTCCTGGACCAAATGGTAGCAGCACAGCTCCATCAAACCCACCTACTCCACGTGCTAGAGACTGGAGCAGCCTGAGGTCCGCTGAACCAGGCTCAGCCTTTCGGGGATTAAGCAGAGGACGAGGCGGTGCACGCCCATCAGGTCGTGGTGGTCGGGGAGGCGGTCGCTCGGCGAGTGCCCAGAGCAACAGGGGTGCAAAGGCACCTGCCGAATCCTCAGAGAAAACAGAGAAACTCCCACAGAAACCAGATGTAACCCCTCCAAAACCTCAACCTTTGAGTACAGGAAAAGTTACACCACAGTCGACACCAAAGAAGAATACGGCAGATATTCCACCGCCAACTCCTAGTCAAAAAGGCCGCCCTCCTAGACCTAAACCTGCTTCTCGAAGGCCATCTCACACTGTTCCCGCCGTAGTTGTAGCCCCTGCATCTCCTACCACTGCAACTGGTCCTCAATCAGCTACATCCCCGCGTCCAACTAATCGACGCAGACGTTCTAATCGTGACCAACAAGGAAAGGGCCCTTCGAATAATACTGCTAAAGCGACTGTGTCGACTGTGTCTTCGCAGACCAGTCAAGCTTCCTTGCGCCCTCAGAAAGTGCAAACAGGGCCTTCCTCCCCTGTCATACCACTCAAAGATGCACCGCCTCATCTGGTTATTGCACATCAGGGTGAAATGCGTCACGATATAGATGCACTGGTCGAGCGTGTGAGAGCTGTCGCAATGGCAGATCATAGACCTACTACCCCTGGCAGCCATATCGATTGGGCTGGTGATGACGATGACAGCTTACCTGATCTTGACGACTGGGGTGTAACGACGGCTTCAAAAAGCAATGCCGAAAAACACGAAGAAATATCCCCTATCCTTGTGGACACTCTGAAACCCTTGCCAGAACCTCAGCTGATCGAGGAAGCGGTACCAGGCAAAAATACCAATGAGTCGACTTCTCCTGGAAAAACAGATGGACCTTCTCCTCTTCCACCCTCTCCGCCGTCTTCGCTTCCCACGTCCTCGTTCGAGGATGATACTGGTGACATCCTTCCAACACCGAAGAGTAAAATGTCAGCTTCATCGTCTGACAGTGGCGCAGTCAAAGCGCTGTCCGATACAGGGGACGGTGCTACTGCACCCCCTCCAAGGTTGCCCCTTCATCCTTCGCTTCCTCCTAAGCCCGTTGCAGCCGTGGAAACTCTCAAGGCACGGTCGAAACCCCGAGGAAACCACGCACGTCCCAATCTGCCCCAAAAGCCAGCACCTGCAGCTACCACTGTCGCAGAGCCTGTCGCAGAGCCTGTTGCAGCAGAGCCTGTCGTCAACAGTAATGATGGCCTTGCGCAGTCCATACATGCACCTACTGCTGCGGAAGTAGCGCAAAAGGAGCAGCAACGTCTGACAGAAGAGCAGGGACTCGGCGCGTCGATCCACGCTCCAAAGGGTCTTGCTGATCTTAATACTGCGAATCATTCAGCGTTGGGTCCAACACCCTCACGTGTGTTCAACCCTTCTCACAACCGTTCACGTACTGTGGGTCGACCACCGTCTTTCCAGCAACCGTTTACAGCACCAGCTAGCTTGGCTTCAGGGCGCGTGACACGTTCTGGTGCTTCCTCGCCGCTTGGCCCCAATGGCCTTACACATGCGCGTACACATTCTTCGCCACCATCGAGTGGCCCCGCTAGTCGGGCTCGACCAGTAATCACTGGCGATGCTATCTCGAGGCTCGCTCGAACCATTGGCGGAGCTCCTCGTACTGTCGGGGTATCTGCTGGAGCAAAGGAATGAAGTAGCGGGCGATGGATATCTTTTCACATATTTACAGATATAATGTTTTATTTATAGTGCACATCTTTTGGCTTGCTTTATCTGGTTGATCAGTTTGGATAGTGATGACTGTTAGATACCCGTCTTCGCTCTAGTTTCTCCACTCGGTTTTCGTTTTGTACTTGAACTTTCGCGCATTACGCATGTATAATCTAAAGGATGTACTTACTAACTTGGTATCTGATGATACGATGATGCAAATATTCATTCTCTTTTAACTCTCGACTGATGACTTCTGGAAAGCACTTCATTCACGAGGTATGTAGTGTCGGTAGATTTTCGTTGTACATCCGAGTCTCATCTACTCAGAGCTAAAATAAGACAGCTCAAGTCCTATTGCCTTGATAGGTTTGGACCGGCTAGACAAATCGGAGACAACGCCCAAGCTAACAAGCATCTTCTTCAGACGTCCTTCCCACATCAGAGACATATTCTAGATGGTCATTTAGAGTGAAGCAAGTACGAGATTGATGTAAGCGGCACTTACATTGTTCGTAGATATCCGAGCTTTGACTACACCCCGAACCTCACCCGGTACCGATATTTCTGGAGGATCAGATGGAGCTATAGACGGCAGCGACGGATCTATATCCTCTTGCGCAGGACCTTTTAATGGTCTCCGTCGCATCCACCATTCAGCACCCATCGTCCACTCGCTATCATAACTGTAGACATTAAAATCAAAGCGAGAGGACAATGAGAGATCATGAGAGACCCGTGCTGAATATGCAGTCGATATATGGCCCATCATGGGATTGAACAGAGCAGTGATCGTCGTCGGAGGTTGTGAGGGCGGCCCTCGGGGTGAGGTTTGTGACAGCGGAGAAGACGATGAAGGAGGGAGCTGGAATGATGGTGGAGTTGCATCAGGGAGAGTGGTAAATCGTATGCCAGTGGAGACTGCTCAACAGAAATTGAGAGGGTGAGACATGAGATAGAAGGTCATCGACTTACCTCCTGCACTGCGTTCTTTTGCACTGATATAAAACTCAGCACCAGCGGATACACGGCCTTTGAGACCGCCTTCAGTCGCTTCCTCTTCATCGACGCGTCTCTGCCTCGCTCGAGCCCCAGACGAGTTCGATGAATCATCTGTCGAAGACTCTACAGGGTGTCCAAGTCTCCCGAAGTTGTGCAGAACACGCACACCCCACATGCCATCTTCCGCACTCCAAGTATATTCCGTGCACCATTTACCCACATCATGTTGAAGACTGAACATCACATTGCTGACATTATCTCCACGTGAACGTCGGTCAGCCGATAGAGTCGAGCGTGGGTCAGATATGGCTGCCACGAGAGCTTGCGTCGTAGCAGAAAGCCGTGTAGAGTATAGAGCGTCGAGCCTCCCCGTCGGCAGGTACAGTCGGCCATACAAAAGATAGTCTGTATCCTGCTGGTTAATGTTTCAAGACAAGCTTCGACATGACAGCGACTGGGCCGTACCACGCTTATCCACTCTTTCGCCTGCAAGCCATTCTTCCTCTTTCCCTTCAGGTCTTCGCGGTTGGTCATGCACTTTGAACCGCTCAATCATGTCCTTAAAACGCACAGCTCCCGAGCTCTTCACGTCCAGATCACACGAGGTGAAAATGTATCCTACTGAGCCATTCAGTGAGGGCATTGCATTCATGGAATATGATGTATTGAACAGAGGATTGGGTGACTTTGAAATGGACAGGTGCAGTCCCCGTGGAACACTGAAGTCCAGAATGGCTTGAAGTTGCTTCAGTAGGGCGTTACACTGTAGTTTAGAGGTAGAACTCACCATTTGAAGAACGAGTCAGATTTGCGTAAAGGTTGTCTTCATTCCAACCTGTAGCTCTGTAATAGCTGCGGAGGACATAAGAGGCGAAAGGATGCATCCTTTAAGAGGCTCAAATCCGAAGTTTCTCAACCACTAAGTGGCCCAACAGAGCGCAGATGTAGATACCTTTCGTCTCAAGCTCGATGATTTAAAATGATTGAAGTAAACACAGAATGGAGGAGAACAAGCCTTGCCGCCGGGTACAGATACGGCGTAAGCCCCGCGGCCAAGAAGGGTCTGAGAATTGAATAGCATTCGGCTACAATTTGACTGTACTAGTTTTCCTGAGTAACTAATAGTAATACATTGGTTCGAGATTCTAATGAGTCCATATCAATGTAACTCCTGCAAGACTTGTTGTATAGTCGCCCTCTCCTTACTGTCGGTCACCCAGCATTTTTCCAACAGACCCCACACAACACCATCCAGCCCCCTCTCAACCACTACAGCATCGCGTGGACGGGATGGTAATTGTCCTTGAGAAACTTTAATAACGACGGTTGTTGACCGCTTGACATCCTCCCAGGGGTGCTTGTGGGTCAGTAGCTAACATTGATCAGAGACATAGATGATCTAAAATTGATCTCGAGTACAACTTGAAAGAATCATACCTCCAAAACGGTCATGCCAAATGCGTATATATCGCAAGCAGTAGATAGAACGCCTTGATCGATAATTAACTCGGGTGCAAGCCATCTGTAAGAATCAGAGATTCTGCAGGGATGTCAGCTTTGAGGCAATGATAAGATATTTACAGAGACCTACCCTGTTGACATCGTGAAGGGTACACCTGTGATATCCTCTGTGATCTTGATTAATCAATATTGTTAAATGTCAGTCATAGTGAACTTTTTATGAGACTTGAGAAGAATTACCTTGGAAAAACCAAAGTCGGCCAGTAACGGATTGCCTGAACTATCGATTACGATGCTAGACTACAAACAGATAAGCAAGAGAAATCAGACAAAAATTAGAGCGATGCTAGGTTGTCAAATCTGACTCCTTTGAGGTTACCGTGCACCACTGGTGGCTGCATGGTATGCAGAATACGGAGACCTTCTGCTACGCCGCGAATCTGCACTAGTCAATCAATACTCTGGAGAGGAGGGACAGGCTTTACCATTGCCAAGTGATCAGCGTCGGGGTACTTATTGAGGTATTCCGGAGCAGTCCCATTTGGCTGCCAAGGACTAACGACATACCTGGATCAACAGCTCAGTCATTTAACTGTGCTCTCTGTTGTACCACCTACGGATATGGCCCATCGTTCTGACAGAATCCATAAAAAGGCAGAATATGTTTCCCGCGATCCAACTTCCATACATCTTCCCAAATAGCTGCTTCTCTCTTGAAGCGCTAGAGAGAAGATGAGTACACAATAGAAGTAATGGCAAACTCCATAAGCTTACCGACAAGGTCTTTGGCGAACACTGTGCAGCTCGTATAACCTTGATCGCAACCTTCTCCTCATTAAGATAAAATCCCTCCCATATGTCATACATGGAACTGGACCCATCAACAGGCCACAATCCTGAACGACGAACCTCACCACGCTCGAGATGGGAATGTGGAAGGAGGGAACCCGAAGACTTCTGAAGATAGTATAGATTCTTCTCCAAACCACGTTCCTCGCCAACTGCATTCCCTGGGAGAGACTATGATGATGGATATCAGCGGAGAGGAAATCGATTAAGAAAAGAATAAACCTTTTGTAACAAATCCATAAGGCTATGTAAGATATCACCATGCTGTTTTTGTGTTTCGACAACGATTTCTTCGGTGTTCTTGATATCTGATAAGTACTTGATTACCTCCGCACTGTCTGCTGTACGGTTATTTTCAAATTCGGCTTGCCATTTGTGGATCTCCAGATGAGAAGTAAACTACTCGTAAGATCAGTCTTTCAAAACATGCTGTGGCTAAGTAGTCATACTGACCTGAAACTTTTGTAAGCATTTGGTAATGTCTTCGTGACATTCTTGAATGTCTGCTGAGAGCTCGAGTTGCAGAAGAATTAATTCAACTCGATTCTTCGCAGCCCAGACCTGTATGCGCTTATGAATGCAGTCCAAAGTCCTGATAGCACAATAAGTTTGAATGACATGATAATCTTATAATGGTGCAGACTTCTCGACAGAAGTAACCGCTTCCTTCATTCTGTCTGAGCCCATTTCATCCGCATGATTCTGAAGAACGAGGAGTAGATCGTAGCACCGTTCTTGGAGTTGTGCGAATGCGTTTCTACCAATAATGATCTATGGTCAATCGGCTATATAATTATTGAATTTTCGACGAACTTGTTGGAGCTGACTCTGGCACACATATCGATTATGCCACAAAGAAGGCCAACTGCAGGACTCAGCCACGGGACGGGCGCGAAATGGGCTGTTACTTGAGCAGTTGATTTGAACACTGCGGCGGCAGCCATTTCGTACCCCTTCCGAGTCATGTTATTTGATAGGGCGAACCAAAGCTGTTCAGTGAAGTCTGCGAGGTGTAGCCAGATGCAGGGATAACTGTTGAATTTCAAGCTTGAAGTACTTTACAGGATATGGATATCGATGTTTACTGATGCAGTTCGTGATCTTCGAATTGACGCCATTAATATATGCACTAATCTGAGCGCCTAAACGAAGTTGTTCCGGTACTCAGTCTCCAGAAGAACAAACACGGCCATGTGAACAGCTAAGCAGTTACTGGCAAGATTACCCATTAGTACAAGGAACTTGGCAGGACGCCAACCCGAGTCACGTGTGTACCGTGACTTGTTCTCTCCAATGCTAGTAACCATACCACTTCCCTTCAATATAATTTCAATACACAAAGCGCCTCATCGTGATCAGCTGCGCTCTAGCATCAAATCACTTCGAACACCACAGCATCCCTTTTCACTACAGGACCTTACACTGGCAGGACTAGCAATGAAGGCCGTATAAACGCTTTTATTCGATATACCAAATACCATCCAGCAAAGCTGTCGTGCTGTTGGTTTTCTGCCCTTGTCTATATACAAGCTGTCAAAGGCAAGTGACGCCTTTGGTTAATCTGATCCCCTATTCACAATTCGGCGTCATATGGCATCAAGTCACGCAGACAGCTCGTGGGTATACTAGTATCCTGCTCCTTTGGCTTCTGATTCGTGTGCCAAGGACCATGCAGCCTCAAGTAATCAAGGTACGCCCTTATTCTCTTCTAGGAACATCACGCATTGATAGGTGACTCCGCATGTTCGCTGAAGGCTGTGACGTGCGACGAACTTGCTGGAAGGTTCGCCATGTACTGCTTCTGCTTTGGGCACGTCCATGTTTACCTATAGCCGCATCCCTAAATTCCTTTCTTAGGACGTTGCATCCTAAGGATCACAGGGGATGGGTTGCGGGAAGCGACAGTGTGTCGCAAATAATCAGTAAGTACAATTCATTCAATAAGCATGAGCTAAGGGTCCACTGTGATTCTTCAAACAAGTGAGTATGTCACTATCTTACTCAACGACAGTTCGACATTCAACTACATAAAAAGGTACATAAATCTTATGTTGGTCACACACGGGTAGTATATTCTCCTAGTTCAAGTTTTGATTGTAAATCGATCAGGTACCAAAGATGTTCTACAGGATGTGTTTACAGCGGACGTATAGGCATATACTTTCCACAGCTATTGAAACAAAACAAGAAGTTCTTATGCGTCTTGTTGAATCAAAAACAACGCCTTTTCAGACCGGACTCTGATGGAGCACTTGAAAGGCTTGGGATGACTACTCAATCAGGTTAGCGACATGACTACAAAGGTGAAATGATAGGCACCTTATAGTTCCCTCGGTCTGTCCAACTTCCGGCGTAATGGGCACACCATCCTCGACACACTTTGAAATATCAAATACACTCAACACCATAGCACAAGATATGAATAAGGATAACTCTGCTAGAACCATTCCTAAGATAAGAGTCAGTGTTGAAACCCAAGTACCTTTGAAGAGTAGTACCTGGACATATCCTGTGACGCATTATCTTTAGCAGGACTCCACTGGTATTATGACATGGTGCTTACCGTCTACCAAAACCAAAACACACGTTGCGGGGATCAGTTTCTGCCGGTTTATCTTCAGAAGCTATGAATCGTTCTGGATCAAACTCTGCAGGATATCTATAAGTTTTGGGATCATGGAGCATTTTCCTGTAAGTTATGTCAACTCGAGAAAAAACCAAAGTAAACTGTATACCAACCATATGTTTGGGACAATCAAAGAACCCTTTGGTATAAAATAACCATCGTGAACATCGTCCTCCACTGCAACATGAGCACCACCTAATCCATGTAAGCATGTCAAATACTTATCAAGTACATCAACGTACCGAGCGGAGCGAGCGAATGCCACCGCAGTACTTCTGATACCATGGCATTGACATAAGGGAGAGCCTCACGATCATCGGTAGTCGGGAGCCTGTTGTTATCAATCACGCTGTCGATTTCGGCTTGTGCCTTCTTCTGTACTTCAGGGAATAGTGTCATCGCGACAAAGAAAGCGTAGATGGCTGCTACAGTCTAAATGCAATTCAATATGAGGGCAAGTCGCACGGATGTAGGGATCATTTACCGTGTCTGCGCCACCAGAGTATATAGTCTGAGCCGACCACTTTATTATATGTTTTTCCTCTGCCGAGACAGTTCGATCTGCAAGTAGTTCCGAAGTGAAAGAATGCAAGGCCGTGCCCGTTTTCTATACAGAAGGCAAGATTTAATTTTGAGAGAAACTGTCTTGCCTGGGATCTCACACCATTTTCTCCTTGACATCTTCATGAGGTTGATCGGTCATTTCCTTTAAACTCTCATATCCAGCCCTTGCTATTGCCTTGAAGCCCGTCCCTGGAAACCAATTGGGGAGGTAACGTACTAGGTGTTTCATTAGCAAAGAAAGATATATATAATGAAAAGGCGCATGCTCACACAAAGGCACAATATCTACCAAAAATGCACCGGCGGTAGTGGTGATAGAAAAGTAGTGTATTGCTATATCAGCTACTTTGAGGTAGGGGTCGTTGATGTTTTGAGCTTCATATCCATGAGAAATCCGAAGTATGATCGATCCAACAGCCCTGCCAGAACGTCATGACTCAAGTGAACATGTCAAAGAAAAGTCAACACACGTCCGGATGTGAGCAGCTAGATCTGACGGGTCATTCAATACATTTCGTAGGAAATGGTGGAACTTGGTCTCTATGAGAGTTTGATACTTTTCCAAGCTAGCACGACTGCCAATGGTACGGTAGAGGTTCTTGCGATATTCACGGAAGCGGACGCCATATTGCAGAAATGCGGTAGACTGATTCCAACCCACCAGATCGCCGGCCAATGTCAAATGTGGTCGATTAGAGTACAGCAGACTTTTCTTCTCTAACATGCTTAAGGCTACCGATGCAGAGTTGATGACGATCGTTTGTCGTCCAAATTCTTTGATGGAAAATATATCCCCTGAAAGTGTGATTAGATAGCGTACGTGGAGATTTGGAAGACATAAGTACCATATTCCTCACCCCACTTTGCAAAAGTCAACCAAGGCGTTTTCGAAGGAACATCGAGAACATTGCCCACCAGCGGGAGCCCTTTGGGGCCAGGAGGAAGTGGGTGGATGGGCCTTTTCTGAATGAGTTTCTTTACAAAGAACAACGCGAGCACCGCTAGAAATGCATCCAGCCAATTGATTGGGAGGGTCATAATCAAGGGATGGTACGGGGCGACGAGATACGAGAAACACCGCCGACAACCCAGGGGTGTTTTACATTCCACGGGATAGGAAATTCTGAAGCACAGAGCCACTTAGGCGCAAGTACTCTGCGAGCTAGAAGCAGTCTCAAATTGGTTTGTGTAACTCTTATTGAAACGAACTGATGGAGAAGTGTTCTCAAGGCCAAGTTGTATCGCAAATGCGGCACGGCGAATGTCAAGCTAGGCTACTTGCAAGGGATTTTAAGCCACCCCATGTCCAGGATAGTTCACAGCATGACCGAAGGCACAATCTGATGAACTGTGAGAAAAAGAAATACATCCAATGAGCATAGACTTATGCCACGATAGGCAACGTTGAAGGATGCATGACGCACAATCACAATGGATAGTTATTAGTGACTAATCGAGCCGTCAAGGTGGAAACGAGTACACGCGGCGCCCCACTGCAGTCCGAGGAGCGACAGAGGGGTCTGCTGCAGCTTCTACGGCTGCAAATGCCAATAGGGGGCAGATAAGACAGGATTTGGCATTTAAGAGTGCAGTTATGGTTGTAAACGAGCGCAGGGAAGATGTCATTGGTGTTCTGCATAGTGTAGAATTAAGAGCCCTTGTGACTGATCTGAGAGACGCTTCGAATGTCGGTGGAAGTGATGATGACAACATACGCGCAGCATTCTAGGATTTGGAGTGACCTGGGGGGTGTGAACGGGATTTCAGGTTACTTTGAACTCCACAGGGCTTGAATTGGAGTATCTAGATAAAGGACGGAGTATACGGTCATGCATGGGGTTTTCCATGGGCAGCGTCACACTGATAATGAGTCCAGAAGATCTGGATTTGATGCCAGGGTGTCACTCATTGAATCCGTTGTTAGGTCATTGAATCTAATACAAACGTCTTAAGTACATTGTTCACTTGATTCGTCCGTTGAATTGCAAAAAGAATCAGTTGCGTTATCGTTACCTCAACGTCTTGAATAAAAAATACAACAAGAGCCACTCACCTTGAATAAACTGCACGCGTCTTTCTTCCGAGTCCACTGGTATGTCGCGTCTGTTCCCTCCTGCTGGTCCTGTTCTGCCTCCCTTCAGAACGATCCTAATACAAGGACAATATCACGCGTCAGCACCCATTCACCTCTGTCTGTCGACTGTTACCCCAGAAACCAGTGCTATCATCCTGTCACCCTCTCGTGAGGCTCTCGTGCGCAGTCTACAAGGTTACAACGATGAATGGATAAATAATCATTCTGGACACGGAAGTATCTCAAGCATGTCCGCCAATATTAGGATGTTGTAGGTCTCAAGGTCCTCGTGCCTGTCTCCAGTTGTCCAACGAGTTATCCCCTTGTAGCTATCCTCCAACGTCTGCCCATCTCGTAGCATTGCTATCATCTTTTCGAGTTCACGACCTTCATGAGGACGTACCACTTGACTTTCGAGCTACTCTCGATACTACTCCCACTCTTTTAGTCCTCCACGAGCCCTCACTATATTTCTCGACAAGAAACATAGACAGCCCGTGCGTGATTTCTTTCCCATACACCACTTGTTACGCGTACCATGACCCCAGTTACGCAAAAGGCACACAATCTCATCTTACCTCTTGCTGGTCACACACGCTTTGGCAGCATTGAGCTTCCTATCCACGAAACAATCCCGGTATATTTTTCTTTTACTCGTAGCCAGTGCATACCCCCTAGAATTCTCTCGCAGTGCTCATAATGTGTCTTTTGCCCTCTTTGACTCCCGGCTCGATCGACTAAAGCTTCCCATACTTCGACTACCACCTCGATCGTTATTTTCGGACGAAGAAGATACAAGTCAGCCTCCAGAGCCAAAAATGGTAACTTTCTTTGCACAGAAATATTTCGAGTGGGTGGGTACGTTTGAAAAAGGTGCATATATCCCTGTATTAGTATTGCTTCAAACGCTTTTATATTCTGTAGATGCAGTTTTAGTACATACGCCAAGACCCCTAGAAGAATCAGGAGAAACGAGAGAAAACTGCAGACTTCGTTTACACAAGTGCAACAGCGACGACGACAACGACAGTACATGGAAGTGGTCCGAAATTACGCAGCAACCACAAGGTAGCACCAAAAAATTCAAGACATTTGTATGGTAGGAACTCGGGATCGGCGCATTGAAAATGAATCACCGATCCATTCTACCAAAGCAGAGAGGCCTTAGCTGTCGATTATCATTGTCTCTTTTAAGGCACGTATAGTATTACCACTAACTAGATCGTCGAATAAGTTATAATGTATGCTATATTCATGACGCAGGATGAGAAGGCATATCCATCGCAGTCATAACACTAATCACATAGCAGAACCGAGAACTTTCATAGCCAGAGCACGAAGAACCTACGAAGAACCAGAATATATTAGTTATGGACATCGGTGTCGACAACAGGCACTTACATCTGCTTTCTGAGTACCACCGAGCTGGGAGAAGACAGCCGCAACACTCTTTCCTTTAGCATCTCTTACTGCACCAAGGCGATTCCCAGCGTAAGCTCCTACCATAAGTCCAGGAACATTAGCTATAATGAATCCTACCCCTGGAAAATGACAGAAATGAGAACAGGTGTCGATATAAGCGATATGAACCGACCTCCTCCACAAACAGCGCCGAGATATGACCACCAAGGAGCATGTCGCTGGACTTCTGGACGCAGGAGCTAAACGACCAAAACAAGCAAGTTTGATTCCTTGCGTCAGTATTTGTATGGATAATTATATGATAGCGGCACGTACCTCCTCGAAAACGTCCGCGAAAACACCCTCAGCGTCGGCGCCTTGACCCGCAGCGCCTGCATTCGCGCCTCCCCCAAACATGCCGGCGAACTGTGAAAAGAAATTCTGCGAAGCTTTGGGGTCCTCGCTCTTGTTACTATAAGATTTGGATCTGTATAGTGCATCGTACTCCTTCCGTCGTGTAGGATCAGAGAGCACATAGTAGGAATCTGCAACGGCCTGGAGGGTTCCGTGAGCGCCAGAGTGAGATGTGGAGCCACGAGGTGAATGAAGTAAGTACATACTTGGAATTTCTCTGTTGCTACCTTCTTCTCTGCAGGTGTTGCCTTTGATAGTCTGTCAGGGTGAGTTCTATGAAACGGGTGGAGTCAGACCAAAAGTTTCGATGCATTAAACCATTTGAGCTGATATAAATGTGGATGCTGCCGCACCTGAGCGATTCCTTCTTATACGCCTGACGGATTTCGTCGGCAGATGCAGACTGTTGTACACCGAGGAGAGCATAATAATCTGGTAACGCTGCCATGATATGGAACAAGTAAGTGTCGTTGGGGGCTTGGTGCAGCGCTGAACGGGACCAAGTATGTATAGGCCATTTTGGAGTGACGCAGCCAGCCTCCACCAGAACCAAAACCGTGACGATGTCGCGTGGGTGCGTGGGAGTTACTGTTCCTGTAGATGCAGATCGCGTCGGTGGACTTGTTTGTGCTATGTCTGCCACAGCTACAGTCACTGCAGCCAGCCCTGAAAAGATCAAAAGATCATCTAAAATCCTTTTGCGACGTTATATCTATTCGATATCATCTCGTAATATTCATTGTTGGTCCTAATGGAGGACCAGCAACCTAATGAAGTACGTCTGGCTCGGAAGGGTGCCAGCGGTGTGCCCGTTGTCCGTCCCGTGAGAGGTACTCAAATAAGAAGAGGGAGTTACTTGGGGCGTGGTGGGCGAGGCGGTCGTGGCTATCGACCTATGTTGCTCTCAGGAGCACCTCCAATTGCCAAACGACGTCGAGAGGACGATCACCGTGACGCGGTTTTACCACAACATTCACCCTCATCTTCTAAGAAATCAAAAAGTCGACCGCTGCTTGAAGAATTTACCATAGAGATACCCGTAGAATGTCGGAAGGGTGCTCCTGGTAGTTCCTTCAAAAGACGAGATTGGATAACGTACCAGAGGTCTCGTTTTAGCTCTGAGGGTCACAGAATGGCATATTGGCACTTTTCGGGCAACAATGCTACATTTTATGTGGAAAAGGGTGGGGTTCTCCCCTACTATGTTGATTGATGGCTTACATAATGTATTTCTCAGATGCGATACCTAAGGTCCCTTACGAACCCTCTTGGAATACGGCGGTGGTCAAAAAGGAACCTTTGGCTCCTCTACCAAAAGGTGCCAGTTTCTCTCTTCATTTAAAAGGCCCCAATAAGTTATTAAAAGTGATTCAGTGCCCGATAAGCCTGAGGCTCCTATAGAGTCGACAGTGACAGCAACGCAAGTTGAGGGTGACCGGCATCCACCTCTTAACGTGAGTTGGTTTCATTCCGGAACGTTGGAAATATCACCAAGCTCTGGCAATGGGCTGGAAATGGCACCACAAACCCCTGCCCATGATGGCCATGATCCAGAATCAGATTCTGATGAATCTGTGGGCATGTGTTGGGTGTTAGCTGTCGAGAGGGTTAACGCCAGGAGAACCTGAGGTACAGGAGGGAGTTTGACCAAATGACCACATGGTACTAGTAGGAATTCAATTGTATCATAACCTATCCATCCATCCAAGTCAGTGTTTCTCTCGCCATACATTATCATGATATGTATTACTTTATCATATCTCAGACCTACATTACGTTCTTTGCTGGATTCTTGCTTACAGCCACACTCCATACTCTGTAACATTTCCAGATCTTCCTTATATAGATAGACCCATCCTCCGCGTTTGAAAGTTCGCACCAATCTTCGATGTCAGACCGTACTCGTTTACGAAGCGATGTAGACAAAGCCTACGACATACAAGTCAAGGCAGCTACGAAAGTATGTCGTCGTATCCTTTCCAAGCCTCTCCTAGTCACAGAAATAATTATTCGCTCGGGTGCCAGGGCGCTGCACGATCTACAGGTGTCGGTTTGAGTTTGGTCACATTAGCTCACTACACTTGGCCGCTTTTCAGGTGACAGCAGATCTATTTTCTTCGAATATGCTCCCACTGACAGCTGCATTGTAGACGGCAAACCCTTGCGTTTAAAGCATTTCTGGTGTCAGGTTGTGAGTACATCCCCCTATACGGAGAAGATAGTTTAACATATACGTTGCAGTCACCATGTTTGGCCTGGTAATTGGTGCAGATAATGCGCTACTATCACACGAGGCTGAACGACGGCGTTCTGAGAACGCTATCCGTAGAGAAGCCAGGTTAGAGCTAGCTCGCCGTGGGCTCGTAGGGACGGAAACAGAGATAGCAAAGTGGCGGGCCGAGAGGGCTGAATTGGAGAACATTCGAAGGTCATCACCACCGTCTTCCTCGCATGAGTAATACCAGTTCATTGCGGGATAACCAGCCCCCAGTATTAAGCCTAGATGTATGTACTAGGTCATTTGTACAGCATGCTGCATATAGATAGCCCACGATGAGATAGAAGTCAGTGAGTATTAAGCTTGGTCATCGATATTGATGTCGAGATCAATGATTGTAACGAAAGCTGCTGTGATTGCAGCAAGGGCGGGGAGCAGACCGATGTGAATGTGCGGTCATGTATGAGATAGAGAACGTCGTCGTCGTTGGTCGCTGCAGAGGGACTGAAAGTTTGTGGCCGAGTGAAGCGCAGGTGTGTGATGTGGGCTGAGTCAAAGGAGCGATGAGACGGATGTGCTGAGTCAGCGGACACAGGAGAGATTTGAGCCTGCGACGACGAGGAGCTCGTAATAACGAACTACTAACAGACCAAATCTTGAAACAAATGCCTGAATCTCACAGCAGAGCCCGTTCTCTCTCTGGCGATCTCGACGTATGTTTATCTCCATACACATATCCTCTCGCTAACCATCCACAAGGACTCCGACCTCGAGTCGCATGCCGACGACGCCCAAGGTCCCTCCAAGCCAGGCAGAAAAAAAAATCCAAAGTACGTGTGTCGTCGTGCCCACTGGTTTTATTCTCTGACAACACCACAGCTCCCAGGCCGCACGCAGGGACCAGAATCGCATTGCCCAGCGCGAGTTTCGTCTGCGCAAACAGCAGAGAGTCTGTCCTTTCGTTCTTCCTCCGATGCTTCTGCTCACGTCTTCCACAGATCCGTGACCTCGAAGCCCGCGTCGAGCTTCTCTCAGGTTCACAAGATGAAGCCCTCAACGACATGCGTGCAATATGCAAAGGTCTGTCTCCCCCTTCTCCTCTTCCCTCACTCACTCACTTACCCGCTGCCCCAGACCTAATGGCCGAAAACCAGACCCTCCGTAACCTCCTCAAGTCTGTCTCAGGCTTCATCTCAGAAGGCTTTGGTGGCCTTCTTCCCAAACTTGGCTGGGACCTTTCCGAGTTTAACACCTTTCTGAATAAATCAGAAACTGACACCGCATGGGAGAGCTTTCAACGTCGCAAACACTCTCATTCTACCACCCAATCCACGGGTGCCATGTCTACTGTCTTGGGGCCTCCCTCCACAAAGCGTCCAGCCCCCGAGGATGACCACATCACAGGCGGCAAGAAACCCAGACGCATGGGCGGCTCAGAAGATAAAGACGACCCGCACCAGTCCGCCCACGACAAATATTCCCTTCTCGTCCCCCTCAACCCCACGGTTCCCTCCAACAACCTTTACTCCAGCAATGCGCGCTCTCCACACGACTCCTCACTCACTCACTCCTCAAACTCCAACTCGACCTCCACTTCAAACACTATCTTCTCAGATCTCATGCGCAATACCGCAGGCTCTCCCATGTTCATCCAGCCCTCGCCTCCCTCCAGTACACCTTCGCAGTACGGCAACACCTCCTCCGGACCACCTCCCTCTAGTGCTAATGTCAACGGTGCCTATCATCCTCAAGGACCTTACATGCCCCCTCTTAACATGAACCTCGAACAAAGTCTCCCGTCCCTGTCCTTCCCCCAGAGTGGAGGAGCTACAAATGGCGGTAACTCTCAGAGGATGACACCTCAAAACCCACTTTCTAACGACCCCCATGATACCGACGACAGCTCCAACAGGGGTGAAGCACTCAAACTTATCACGTAAGAATATATATATTACTCTCCGTTAACGCTAAATAACGAGGCATGCAGTTATCACCTCGACAACTTCAAACGCAACAGTGCATACTGCCTTCCCTCCTCCCTTCGCCCTACCCTCGTTCAACGGTACGTAGTTCCTCCAGCCTACCTCTTATCACGAAACTTATCTTCATTTTATACGTACAGAACCGTCCCACATGGTCAGTCCCCTTTATGAGCTAATACTATCCCAGCAGCAAGCGACTCACCTCCCTTTTATTTCCTTTCGATAAATTACGTCTTGGATTAATAGAAAGCGTCATCGATCGTATCCTACATCCCGAGCTGCGCGACCGCATGATTTTGTTACGTGGTACGTCACTTTCCCTTTCTTCACCTTCCCTTCCTTTTCTGTTCGTCCTTTTCCTGCTCTACTGTCTCGCTGTATGCGCCTTTATCAACTGGCTCTCACAATCATGCTTGTTCCTTCCTATCATACGCCCTAAACGTTTCGCCACGTCATATCAAATCACTATCAACCTCTTACCTCGCTCCCCACAGGCCAATTTGTGCTCATCGACTGTTTATTCGACTATAAAAGGAATGTGACCATCCACGGAGATGACGTTCTCGCACATAGTAACTGGGAGATTGGAGAATCATGGTTGCGGAAATACGGGTGGGTGTTTCTATGATTTATAGTTTCGTTTGCAGTTTGGAGGATTTTTTTTGGTGTTGGGGTGATGGATATATGGACTAGACTAGTCTTGTTGTTCTTTTTGCAGTTTCTTTTAATTTACTTGGTACCATTGATTTAAATACAACTTCACTTTCGCATTCCTTTCGATTCTAATTTCTACTCACGTAATGGTCTCTCTAACAAACTTCATGCTAACTTGCTCAAAATGACAGATACCTAGTTGACAATGCGACGCTGTCCATATGTAACCGTTGGCGCCGCGAGCGTGGAGAGACGGAGCTACGTCCGGCAGATCTGTCGTCGGATCAACAACCGCATCAGCTGCATTCACATCAGCAGCAGCAGAGTCAGCAGCAGGGGAGGGAAGCGTAGTGAGGGCATCGGATACTATTGATTGTTGGCGTGCGGTGACATCAGATGGCCTCAGACGAGAGGAAAGTTGAGGGATGGGAGACAGGAAACGAGGTGCAGGGGGGATGAGATGAGGATCGACGTGACGCGACACCAGAGAAGATTTAGAGGCAAATTCGAGGAAGGATGGAGGTGGGATGGAAGGCCCCACGAGGAGAGGATAGGGGGGTGTATATAAACGACACAGATGCCAGTGGAGGCTAAGGTCATGGTCGACAACGGAAATGGAAAAGGGCTCATCAACCTTGATCAGACCACAATGGGTGGAAGAATAAATAACATTCTAACTTTTTATGTATACGCTTATACATAGATAGTAGTACGAACCCGAGTCTTAGAAGTGATTTATAACTGGCCGGAGTGTGATCTGTGACACTTACAACTTGTCCCACTACTTAATCACATTAACATTATTTTGACCCCTGACTTCGTTGATAACTTTGCAATTTGCCTGTTGTTGGCTGTAGGTAGATGCTTGACACCAAGACTTAATGTATCCCAGCCATGAGTGTTGTGAGCTCCGTTGAATGTATTGGTCCTTTATTGACCCAACCCTCTTTTTTTCTTCTGAAATGTCTCTTTGCCTAAAAGTAACAATAAATTACTCAACAGATACAAGCAACTCTACAAGTTATGTATTTTCGAAGGAGGCTCGAGAAGTCCAGCGATATTGGGAAGTATAGACGGCTGTCCAAATTTGTATATGCTATAGACATTGCTTAACAAGATAGACGGGTATAAACAGTGATTGGTGTGTGGTGACAAACTGTCTTGGTTTCTTTACACTTTATTTCCACCCACCCTGCATGGCATGGGCGGGCTGCGCATAGCTTCCTTGTGGCTGTGGAGGCCCCCAATGGGGTTGTTCTGTAAGTTGGGCAGGAGGCCTAGGAGGAGGTCCTGGAAAATATTGTTGGTTCGCAGGTTGATTATATGCAGGCTGTTGGTGCGAAGAAGGAGGTAGCAATTGCAGTTGCCCATGATGAGACATGTCGGGCGGAGGTGGGGGAGGAAGAACAGGCTGATACATTGGTTGTGTTGAATGGTAGTTCACATTCATGGGCGGCTGGGGTAAGCTAGGTCTGGATGGTGATGGATTACGACGAGATGATGCAGGAAGAGGTGGAGGAGGAGGGAGACTTGAGTTCCCACCATTGTTTTGAAGTCCAGGATTGGGCGAGTGTTGTCCAGGTGAGTATGACTGAGGTGGTGTACTATACTGTATATGCGATGGGGCTGGCGGAGGAGGTGGAACATGCTGGAATGGCGCACTCTGGTGCACAACGCTACCTGCATAGGGACGAGTTGGGCTGTGTGAATTGAGTTGTTGTGGAAAACTTGATGACGGAGGTAGAGTTAATGACGGCTGTCTGTGATTTGGATACTGTGCATAGTTCTGATGCTGAGGAGGCTGTTGAGGCTGTTGAGGAAGGGGCCTTGACCCTGTCGAGATCGTACTACCAGTCTGCGACGAAGGTAATGGGGGAAAGTAGTCATGCGGCGGTGAAGGTGTCTTCGGCTGATACCCATGGTAAGGTTGAGGGGGAGCAGACTGTGCTATAGGAGGGGCTGCAGGCGGGGGAGGAAGAGCAGCTGTGGGTGGGCGATATTGCTGTGGAGGGGCTGATTGAGAAGGAATCGGGGGATAATGAACCTGAGATACAGGGGCAGGAGGATATTGAGGGTATTGATAAGACTGAGCATCATAGTTCTGATGGAAAGATGCAGAGCTAGGAGGCGGGACAGGCGGAGCAAAGTTGGACTGGGTGGGAGTAGGCGCTGGAGCGGGGGCATATCCAGATTGTCCAAGATGGTGCGGAGGTGGATGATGTGGAGGAGAGTAGCTCAACGGAACTGGTGTATGCCCCTGATGCGGGACAAAGCCGGAAGGCTCTGATGAGTAGGATGGAAGAGGTGCAAAATTAGAGGGAGTAGCTTCGGGGATGGGCATTGGCATGAAACCGGAAGATGAAGCCGGCATGCTATATCTTGGGCCATTATGGCGCGTGGAAGCTTGGTGACTTACAGTGGCATTATTATACTGGGGATGGTAAGGAACAGGTCCAGAATAGGTGTTGCGATGGGGAGAAGGTCCAGTCGGTGTTACAGGACGGTCATAGGAAAATGACGATCCAGTCCCAAGATATCCGTTCTGCTCAAAACCTTGTGATGCATGGGTAGGCAAAGTCGAGAAACCAACAGATGAAGAAGGTCGTAACTGCGCGCCATGGGCAGGCTAAGAGTAATATTAATTATCCATGTACTACCATAGTTTATGGGATACTCACAGGAAAACTTTCCCTGCGCCTATGATCCGGGACATTCAGCTCCCCAAAATCGTTCGCAAGTTGATCAATAGGCGAAGCTCTATTCCTCTGTTCATATGGAGGGGCATAGAGATCAACCTTAGCCATAGAGCTTGACGACCTAAGAGAGGATGGCAGAGAGTCCAAATGACCAATTTCCGATATACTGCCAGATGATGAAGTGATTCGGGATGGTGTGGAATGCGAGCTTATGCTAGTCATCGAGGAATTTTCTCCCGCTGGGATGAAAGAACCTGGACCACCATACTGTCTGTTGATCTGGGTTGGTTTCGGGGTAGTCTTTTTTTCAGGTGGTGGCTCCTATAGATCCAAAAGGATAAATATGTGCTCAGAATGTTGAATAAAAAGGACCTACATTCGACCAAAATGTCAGTTCTAGATAAACTTCTCCGCAATATTTCTCTTTATGCATAAGAGTAAACCACTCTGCGAACTACATCAGACCAACTGGACAAGAATCAGCAACCAGAAGACATTACCGTCTGTCTCTCCCTTAGTTAGAACTTCCGTCAAATCCACCATGGACTCCCCAATCATGTCTGGCTCTCGGGCATCGTCCGCGAAGCATTGCAGTTTCATAGTTTTCCCCCCTTGGATCTTCTTGGGAAACCTTGAATTCTTTGGAGGAAGTGGAGGTGGAGTATCTGATCCTTGGGCAGTTCTAGCTAACATATCCTCTACATCCTCGTATATCGAGAATCTGAACTCCTCATCCCACTCCGGATGCTGGCCACCCCGCTTGATAGCCTTGGTTCGTCTTTTCTCCTCGTGTAGAGTAACAGCGCAATACGGATCTTGCTTTCCTATGTGCCTTTTATTCGGTAAATTTTTCTGCAAGCGTGTTAAGTTAGCGTATAGTTGAGTGGACGGTACGATGGCACTAACTGCTTTCAAGACCACAACGATCAGCGTTCCTATTTCTCGAGGAGATGAAGACATTGATGAAAGGAGTGTTGACGAAGAGAAAGTACGAGATCGCAGCTACGGTGAAACAAATGTACAAACAATTCTTCTCATGCAGGTTTCTGACAGACCGCAGTTGAAACGGAAGTTCAACTCAGTGTAAGCTCTTTTCGGCGGTTGTGGCTCCATTGGCGCATAGACTACGTAACAGCCCTGGTTACAAAGAAAACAAACAATATAGAATCTCCTACTTATCACACACTGTACATCCATTGTGCTACTTTCAAAAGCCAAATATTCTTGTACTCGTCAAAATACATATTTTTTCACAATATTCACACAAAGTCACTGAGATTAGATCTACATATCACCGGCATCGCTTCATTGCCCTGGAGTGTAGCTCGTGCCGTTGGTGAAGATGAGTTCTGGCTTCCGCTGAGCTAAATCAAGAAGCATCTCCGAAAAATAGCTGTTAGCCCATGCAAACCACTGACGGGTGTATTGTGATTCGTCGTAGATGTTCATGGACTCGTGAATCAGACCAAGTCCAGCAGTGTTCTATCACACAAAAGAGACGGTATAACATCAGTACAATTGTTTGCCACGATACGGAAAAAGACGCACGTTCGCAATCAGATATAAAGAATTTACAATTTCATCATCATTGTCAGTTCCGAAAATCGCAGAAATCTGAGACATGGGCCTGTCCATGGTTCAGTATTGAAACTTCGCTCAGTGCTGACGCGGCTCACCATGGATTCCATGCATCAACGTGAGGCCCACTAAGATAACGCGTCAGCAGCTACCATAAATTTCATCGAAAACACTTACCCAACGCCACGGAAGTTCTTTCCTTGGGCATAATAAGGGTTGTTACGGGACAGAATTACCTGTCTTGTGGCAACATATGCAGGGTGGCTTGTATTCAGGAAGCCCAGGTACGGTAACGATAGCAAGGACTAGTGTAACTTTCAGCTTGAGAAGACATTCATGCCTTCATGTAGACTTACAGGAACATTGGCATCATCCATGACATACCGCGATCCGAGACCTAAAGAATCTGTCAGATGTGATTTCTTGCCAAAGTGACTCAAGTTCAGCACACCATTAGTTTCATAAGCAAAGATATTGTCGACAAGCTGACAAGTTAAGGGCATAATGTGAGCATATATGGTGAGAGGTTTGTTCGTAATATGTACCGTGTGGTTCCAAACAGCCGCTTCGATAGTCTGACTGTAATTCTTAGCTGCCTGGCTTATGTTTGGCATCTTACCGGCATCATCGAGAATTTCAGCCAGGTAGTTTAACTCAACGCTCAACATAGCGTTTGCTGGGGTAAGGAAAGCTACAAAGAAGATATTAACAAGTGTTTCAAGTAATGAGGTACATGCTTACTTACCAAATATGCTCAGATCATCCGAAGGCCTGTGATGCGTACCAACCAAACCATTGGAGCCTCTGGGCTCTCCAGCGCCTGCATTGGTTACAGCAGGCGACAGAGCACCAGCATTTCCTGTCCAGTTATAGTAAGAAACCCAATTCCAGTTCTCGTCGAAGGAAGCCTGCGACTGCTCTTCGATAACTGTCAAGATTTGATTGATGGCCGTAAACCCTGGCGTAATGGGTAAGTGCATAAGATACGAAGATAGTTTAAGATATAGTCAAATACATTGATCATTCATAATGGAGCTGTCATTGGTTTCTTGGTAGTAGGACCTGGACAACTTGATGAATGCGCATAACGAATCGAGTTCATACTGGTCGGTGGGGGATTTGATTTATTCAGTGTCAACTTCGGAGACAAACTGAAAACACAATACCTTGCATTCAAAAACTGTCTGGTTGTTGACGGGCCTACAATACGGCGACAAATGAAATTTAGCCATCCTAAATACTGCTCGAGAAAGCAACGCTTACGGTTGCACGGTGACGTCAGTAGCATATGCGTTATATGAAGGAGCCAATCCACTTTCAGGCGGGGGTTGGAATGCTCCGCAGTAAGGATATTCAGACACATAGCGCGCTTCGTTGTTAATAACTGCCTTAACAAGCGTAGCAAGTTCTTTGTCTTTGGACAAAAGGGGGCGGTATTGTGCGAACTAGAACAAACGACCGTTCAGTCTATAACGTCCCACTCGAGAAAAGTTGAGATGTACGCACTTGATTTCCAGTGTCACGAAGCCATTGTGCGCTAAATCATGAAGTTGTGTGAGAGATTGGTTTTACAGCAGCTTAAAGAAGACGAACGTGATGTCCTGATATCAAGTCAGTTGAGGAGATGTTGACTCGAGTCATGAACACTCACTCCAGTGATAATGAAAGCCAGGTTCTCAGTCTAATCGTACTATAAGAAGGAGCCCAATGACGTCGATATAGCAGACATACCGAATTGAAATAGCGAACAGTAGTGTCTGATATGATATGGTGACGTCAATTCGGTGAGAAAGGTGAGATGACGGCCAAACAAACCAAGGGTATTAGGGAAAGTGTTCTCGAAAAGACGAGCGAGATCGGGATCCTTTAGACGCGCCTTCATGTCTGCGATGACTTGCTGAGCGTGTCATAATATATAAGTTTATCGATTCCACGGTTAAGGAACAGAAGCAAGTCCTTACCTCAACAGCAGAGCTGTTGAAAGTGCGGCACGCTGGATCGGGCCTCATGTAAGGCAAGGCTAAAGGGCCTGTGGAGGCATTTCCTTGAGGACTCTTAGAATCCAATACATGTCAAGCGTGATGATTAACTACTAACGATATTGCTGATACTGACCTGAGAGTAAGTCGTGTAGTCAGGGCACTGCGCATGAACGGCGGTGCCCAGGGTAAGAGCAACTGCAAAACCACCAAGCTCTAATTTCATTTTGACAATACGCCAGAGGTTTTCGATACTGAGGACTTGGAAAGGCTGCAGGATTATTGAAAGGGCGGCTTTTATGAAATCATGACTTGATCCCCGCGTGATGTGCTCACGAGCATTCGAAGCATACGCACCCCAGCGCGTGATCATCAACACAGCGTACGGTGTTGACGGCGGAAATGATAAACTTGGCTCAGAAGGGATGAGACATTCCTGACCTGAATAAACATTTGATGTAGTTTTATTATAAAAAAGGTACGTAGGTCATCGGGGTCAAGCATCGTGTGGCAACCGTCTGAATCACTCTGATCACCAGAATAACCGACTCATATGATCCAAGTTTCACTACGTTGCAGTACTACTAGTAAGAACTCCAAAAACTATAAAGATAACTGTGAAAATGAGAACATGGGAACATAGTCCAGAGTAGAAGAAAAAAACATGCTGTCTATGCTGAAAACATAAGGTTATAACTACATAAGAAGACCGTCACCCATATATCTAACCAACAGGAGTAGAGGGCGCTGGTATGGAAAGTGCGCTTTGCCATGTCTCTGTACGATTCGTAGCTGCCAAACTGTGCAGATCCCCATCACTAGCAGTCCTACCAGAATCGTAAGAACTCGATGGCGACCGGTACGACGTCGAGGGATGACTTTCATCATCTGCATCCTGCCTGTCATCCTGCTTGCTTTCTACAGACTGCTGGGACTGCTCTTGCTCAGAAACAGGTGGAACTTTGGTCCCTGTCGTCTCTGTCGACTCTTCGCGTTGCTCTAGTGGAGGTGCTATTGCAACGATTTCAGGGGCACTTGCTTCATCTAGTACCATTTTTTCGACATCGGTTACTTGAGGTTTCGTTGGGGAGACATCACCGCCTGCAAGTCTTGTGTTTGGGGATGGCACCTTGACAGAGTTATTCCTCGAGTTGGAACTTGAGTTGCGATTATCCTCGTCCTTTGATTCCTCAGCAGCTTCCTTCTCCTCGTTTTCCACACTGAGAAGACCGTTAGTCCTCACACTATTGCTAGTCCATAAGCTCTTGCTGCCCATGCTAAGTCCTGCACCAGCTCCCAATATTCTCGCGCTCCAACCACTCGCTTCACTCTCCCAGCTGCCTCTTCGCGAGCTCCTTGGCCTAAGGGCTCGAAGGCTAGCATCCACATCCCTATCGCCGTAAACGTCGAGCCTATCGTCATCTGCTAAAAGGAAATGGCTAGAATTCTCTCCCTCGCCATCTCCAGCCATGCTTCCCCCTAACTGTGAAACTGAATCTCCTACACCCATAGCAAACAGAGCAGCAGATCCAACTGAGCCTAATGTCAAACGCGCGCCAGGAATAGCATAAGCCGATGATGCCAAAGTAAGGACCGACGCGTTATCCATTGGAGGAGACGAAGGACGGGGATTATTCCGGGGATGGTGAGCAGTGTGAAGAGGGGCCTGAACTCCATTCATATTGTTGGAGTTTGATGATGGCCCACCACCACCTGGACTTGAAGAACCAGCATTGGCTTGGTTCATAAATGAGGACGGGCGTGAAGATGACTGTGGAGACGGAGGAAGAGCAGAAAAAGTGATAGATGCACCGCTTCCTACATGCCCCGCTGATATGCCAGTTGAGGACGACCGCACGTGAGGAGGAAAACGAGGTGCTATCTGAGAAACTGGTGTGACTGGGACCTGTGCTATATGTCCGATACCTGCAGGAGCCATGTCGATACTCAGCAACGTCGTTGGTTTTGTACTAGCAGCGATACTCCTGAAGGTCCTAGGGTCAGACATATAGGACGAGGATGAGTGTGAAGGGGATGGAGAAGGTGGCGCGCTGGGAGGGAGGGGTCTGACAGACGCATCTTCATCCGCTTCTAAGGGACTAGTAGGAGACCACATCGAGTCACGCGCGAGTGAAGAATGATGCGTAGATGTTTCAACATCTCTTTCTATTTCCGAATGCTCATCAAAGTCCCCGTCGCCATTTAGAGATATAGTTTTGCGTTGAAGATGAATATCGTCCCGTCTGCTCTGACCCAATGCTCCACCATTGTTACCCACACCATTCCTTTGTGAGGACACCCGAGATGGTTGAGGCCACGGAGAAGAAACTGAGCGAGTCGAACGTGTCTTTACTGGTAAAGCTGTGCCATTGCGACCTTTGCGCCCAGAACCCACCTCTGCAACAGGAGCGAGCACAGGTGAACCATCCGACACCCGCCTTGTCTTTACGGTACCAGCGAGTTTGCGCTGAAACCAGTTGATAATTGGTTTGCTGGATCTACGCGGGACTTTCTTGCTATATGGTAGTTGTGTGGGTTGTTTAGTAGGATGTTGGGTATTGGATACCTGGTCCTTGGGTCCTGGCTTGACTTGGGGTGCTGGTTGCTGGGCTGGCGGAGCAGCCTTGCTGGGCGGCACCTCACGAGACTTGGGCGGAGCCGTTGTAGGAGGCGACATTTATCGCGTAGATGGCGGTTGCAAGTTATTTGAAAGGTTCAAAGTTCCAGTAAAGCAGAACGAGGGTTAACAGAAACAGACATTCAAAAAGGGAGACTAATACAACGAGGATAATGCCGCAGCGCCACTACGCCACATGCTACCGTCACGACGCGCGATCTTAGATCATTCTTACTGAAACGGACATGGGGAAGATCTGGTTAATTCCCTTGGTATTCCTACACGACATAACAAGTACATTGACGGTTCAGATCTGCACATTACATTGACATTTCACCACTCGTTCTTCTTGGTTTGCTTGGGTGGAGCAACAGGGATCTTGCCTCCTTTGTAGCCAAAGCCATCCAACCATGGCCAAACCTCGCTCCTCCGCTGCTCAAATGACTCAATTGAGGTATCCCTTTGGAGAGTCAGTGCAATGTCATCCAGCCCGTTCAAAAGACAGTGCCTTCGGAAGGGATCGGCAGTGAAGGGTATAGCGGGCTTTCCGTTCGATCGTCTGATTTCCTGCTTTTCCAGATCAACCGCTAGTTCCACTCCAGCTTCTGCATCCTCAGCGAGTGCTTTACAGTCAGCTTCGGGGATAGGCACAGGAAGCATTCCATTTTGCATCGAATTGTTGCGGAAGATTTCAGCGAAACTGGGTGCTATCACACACCGGATACCGAAGTCATTTCTGCATTCATAAAAAGTCAGAATCAAAAACAATGCGTAGTGATGTTTTGAATCTTACAAACTCCAGGCAGCATGCTCGCGGGAGCTACCGCATCCAAAGTTCTTGCCCGTACAGACGAGGATTTTTGCTTGGTCGTAAGGAGCGCGATTCAGGATGAAGTCGGTCTTCTCACCAGTCTTTGGATCAAATCGGAGGGCGAAAAACAACGCATTGGCGAGACCAGTCCTCTTGAGAGTTTTCAAAAATTGTTTCGGGATAATTTTATCAGTGTCGACGTTTTCCATGTGTAATGGGGCTGCAACACCCGACACGACAACAAACTTTTCCACTCCAGAAGGGGATGATGCAGGCGGAAGCGCAGACGGTTCTGAGGCATGGGTTGTAGATTCTGGTTTCGGTGATGGCAGTACGGGGTCATTGAGGAATTCATAAACACTCGTCAGTTTCAGTTGCGGTCCGGCAGCGATTTTAGCTTCTGCATCAGCTCCCAGGAATTTACGGACGTCGGTCAATTTGCCTGTCATGGCGGCAGCAGCAGCCATAGCAGGGCTGACAAGGTGGGTGCGCCCTCCGGCACCCTGACGGCCCTCAAAGTTGCGGTTACTAGTGCTTGCGCATCGTTCACCGGGAGCGAGTTGATCAGGATTCATTCCCAGGCACATGGAGCATCCAGCTTCGCGCCAGTCAAATCCGGCACGCTTGAAGACAACATCTAATCCCTCCGCCTCTGCGTGCTGCTTAATTAAGCCAGACCCTGGAACCACCATCGCGTGCACGTTGGATGCAACTTTAGCTTCTGGCCCAGCTGCTAAAACAATCCTCGCTGCGGAGCGAAGGTCTTCGATACGACTATTCGTACAAGAGCCGATGAAGACTTTGTCGATCTTGACCTCTTGCATGGGAACGTTTGGCTCGAGACCCATATATACCAAAGAGCGCTCGGCAGATGCACGCTTCCCAGCATCCGTCATAGTCGTGGGGTCAGGGACAGAGCCAGTGATTGCAACAACATCCTGGGGCGACGTGCCCCAAGTAACCGTCGGGGGGATATCCTCCGCTTTGATCTTGATTTCGATATCGAATTTTGCATTTTCGTCGCTTTGGAGGGTTCGCCAATATTTTTCTGCACGATCCCAAGCATCCCCTTTAGGAGAAAGCGGACGATTGCGCAGGTAAGCGAAGGTGACTTCATCTGGGGCCACCATCCCCGCACGAGCACCGGCTTCAATACTCATGTTGCAAGCACTCATGCGTGCCTCCATACTGAATCCTCGGAATACCGATCCTGCGTATTCGATGACAGAGTCGGTACCACCTGCAGTACCGATAACACCGATAATATGGAGAATCACGTCTTTAGATGTTACGCCTTCCACGAGTTCTCCGTCCACAGTGATTCGCATGTTTTTGCTCTTCTTCTGCAGTAACGTCTGGGTCGCGAGGACATGCTCGACCTCAGAAGTCCCGATACCGAAAGCGAGTGAACCAAAAGCACCATGGGCTATACAATGATTGAAGGTTGAGTGATCCTGCCTTGCCGACAAAGTAGAGTAAAGACGTACTGGAAGTGTGGGAATCACCGCATACACAAGTAATACCTGGAAGCTGGGAAAATCATATGTAAACGCAAGACCTATATAAATATATAAATATAGATATAGATACCGTGAAGCCTTGCTCAGGACCAATGATGTGGACGATTCCTGCAAGAATCATGAGTATTCGAAGGGCAGATAAGTTGCTTTCATTTCAGTACCTTGACGTCGATCAGTCAGCCCGAAATAAGTCAAACCGAATTCTTTCACGTTCTCTTCCATCGCGGCACATTGTGCACGGGAATCGGGCTCAGCAATGAAGGTATCCACCGACTTGAAATTTTTGCGCGATACCGTACTATTTGCATATGAGCACGCAGTTCAGGGGTATGGCGTGATATTACTTACGGAACATTGTGATCTACCGTTGCAAGTGTGCAATCTGGACGGCGGACAGCTCGGCCTGCATTTCTCCTATAGAAGCAGTTAATGCGGCGGCATGTGGGAGATACTTCGAAATCCTTACAGGCCTTCGAAGGCTTGAGGACTCGTAACTTCGTGAACGAGATGGCTAAAGGAAGGATCAGCGAGGGTCCTTGAGGGAGGGCACCAAACATACCGATCGATATAAATCAAAGCCAGGCCATCCTCTTTGATGTCTCTAATAGTAACATGGTCAAACGAGACCTCAACGTTGAGTGATGGGGTGACATACACAACATGGTCGTCCCAAATTTTGTCGTACAGGGTGCGCGGGCCAGATACAGGAGCAGGCATTTTGAAGCTACGAAAATTAGAAAGCTGCGGGCGGGAGATTTAGTAGGGATACCTATAGAGTCTGGCAGCTACTTATACTTCGGACTCGGGGAAATAGTCTGACAAGAATGACATAGTTGTCGGCCGAGCGACATTCGGCCGTTACCCGGAAAAGCTTAAATCCTAACCCTAGTCTAGTTCCATGTTATCTCTATACTTAACCCTGACTCCTCCCAATTTGTGCCATACATATAAGCGTGAAGTTATAAGGCGCTCCGCTCCACTGTCTTTTTCATCAACATCAGAGCAGACCCTGTTTCTGATAATCTTCTTGTACATGACCGCAAGATTTTATTTGAAAGCCTGCATCTTATGTACATAGAAGATAATAATTTGCACATGCTCCTGTACCGTACATTCATAATATTCATCACCTTGTCCATTACCCAGTAGGTCAGCAGACTATGTGTTATCGAGGTAGTTGCGATAACGATAAGCATGTCCTCTAAGCGGAAGCAATCGTCTGTTTCCAAAGCTTTCTGACAGATGGGATCGCAGAACAACGACGTAACTTGATATCAAGGAAGCTGGGGCCTCCTTAGCTGCAAACGATCGTCCTGCTCGCTGTCATGCGTGGCCGAGTAGTAGACATACCAATAAACGAGGCGACGAGAGAGTTATATGTACCACCAGCACAAAAACGGTATGCTGTTGCAAAGACAAATTTATGGACGAAAACGGGAAAGCCTGTGACAGGGGCCCGGCAAGTTGTGCTTACAAAACGGATTAAGGAATGAGTGAGAACCAAAATGGCTACCATGAAACAAGGGATATGATTGCCAGTTTCAAGTAGTCCAGCAGAAAGAGTCTCATCAGTACTGTATTAGGACAGCACATCCGTGAGAACTAATGGCGGTAAAAGCCGACTCTGACCGCATCAACTACACAGTTTCTCAGCCACCGCACTCTGTATTATCCAAGACTATCGCAAACGTCGCCGAAACAGCAAGCAAGTTCAAGCACCCAGTCGAAGCCATGGCCAAATCCAAGAAGTATGAACACATACTATTCCTGTCAGACTGATGTATTGACTGTGTTCTCAGCCATACCAACCACAACCAGAACAAGAAGGCGCACCGAAATGGTATTAAGAAGCCCAAGAGCTACCGCACTCGCTCAATGAAAGGTGTATGTACTCTATCCTTGCGATTATGTCTAATATGACCTTAAATCATATCATTTAATAGGTCGATGCTAAGGTCAGACATCAAAGTGCTTGAAAGCGCCAGATTAGCTGATTTTTTTTCATCCATACAGTACCGCAAAAACTCCCTGTTTGCTCTGGTCGGATCGGTATGTTATACTTTTTTGGTTTGCAAGATCGTTGTGTCTCAACAAACATAAACTTACAGCGGAAGGCTCGTGCTGAGCAAAATGCATCAACAACATCGTGAGCTTACGAGTATCTACTGAGGCTGGGAATAGGGGGATTCACAGGCCAGACGTTGGGCTAGACGTGTGCGCTTGGCACTTTATGTATCATCTACTATGATTATGCACTATGACTTAGGGTCATACGCAGCAGCAATTCACACAAAACATCCAATCATGGATTTCATTGCCGACTATCTGATGTATGCATATTACTCCCCGATATTTCACCACGACGAGTTGCCTGCAAGTTTTTGGCGTTTCGCTCCAGTGTAGCCCGTAATCGAGCAGCCTATCCAAGAAAATAAGTTAATGAAATACTGGTGATCACCACTATACGTACTGCTGCGTCTTCAGGCCGCAGAGCCCCTTTGGCCATGTTGTGCTTTCCAGCTCTGAGTTTCTTTGCGTGTATACTGGTCGGTTTACTTGCCCCTGGTTCTTGTCCGAGCAACGCAATACATTCTTCGTCAGTTACGACGTAGCCTTCTAGCAACGAAAAGAACTTGTGTCGCAACACCATCTTTATCCTCTCGAATGCATGGGCACTATACCATCCATCACGTTCCTGGTATGATCGTAGAAGTGAGGTAAACGAAAAGACAAGCGAAAAAACGTACATCGCAAACTTCACGGAGATCGTCGTCATCTTCGATCATCCCTTTGAGCATGGGATCATGTATATCGCATAGCTGAAAGGCAGCAGTCTCCTTGGTGAGTGTGACTCCATCAAAGATATGGGATTTTCTGTTGACCGCATTTAGCTGCGAAAGCAGATAAAAGTGGCTGGGTGCTTACCGTCTCTCTGCCTCTAGTGCTTCCACTTGTTCAACTGAGTAAGATTGGAACCCAGGATTAGATCGAGTTTCCTGCCGACGGGATACCACGGAAGGACGCGCAATAGGGTGGTTTGCATTTCTGAAGTACAAGCGTTGATAGCTGTAATTTGAAGTCAGTAATACTAAAAGCTGAGTCGACCTTTGACCAACTCACAAGCGAGCATCCACAGTTTTCCGTGGGTCATAGTTGAAGCGAACGAGCGTGTCTCTCCAAGGCCCATCTTGAAACACATAGCATACTAGTGGTAATAATGCCTTCGAGCTGCGCTGATTAATCAGTTTGCGTGAGCACTGTAAGTGATGGCCCTACTTGTGTATCTCTCGTGCCTCCTGAGGCGTAAAATGGTTGAAAAGAGACATCCGAGTCCAGATAGGCCGTTCGGCAAAAAGCTAATGAAGGAGTTAGATAACCAACATCGGTATGAATGGGTCAAAACGCATTCCTCTTGCAAGCTTTTCAGAATACTCTGATCCATTTGATCACGGGCGGCTAAGACGCTGGATGGAGGACCATCCGGTATCTGGGGACGTTATTTAATTCTGTGAGTATGGAAGGGTCGAACTACGCACCGCTTGATCTACGAACATGATGGTGGCGGGCCCGTAACCTCTCCATCTCGATTTATTGATTAGCCTCTTTTTCTCTTCGCCAGTTTCATCGTCTACGACAGTAGTGACCATAGAGGCTGGGTTCGCCTTGAAGCTGACAACTAGATAAGGCTAATATTCTGTCACCCCTTTTGAAGCAAGAACCTTACTTGTAGTTTTGCGGTATACCTTGCCTGCTAAATACTGGAGGAGGGAAAAGGCGTAGGTTACTTTGACTGGGAGCTTGTTGCCTACTTTGTTCGGCGAGCGCGGGGTCAAGGTTTGGAGATACGTCGTGTTGATGTATAATATAGTCTTCTTTTTCGTCCGGTATCCTGTAGTTTCGGATAGCATCGACTTAAGTGGTATCGCCTCATAAAATACCCGAACATACGACAAAAATTGATGAAACATACCGTCCATGCGATCCATAGCAAGACGCAATTGAGATAAAGGATCATTCATGTCAGGTTGATACTGGTAGTCCGCCATGCCTTTTATGACCACTACATGAGCACCCTTGATTGATAACAATGGAATAACATACTGCGAAATCTGGCCGTCTTTGGAATGACCCCTATGGCCTCCGCAGTGTACTCCCCGATAGGTTGATCTCCATCATTAAGCCTCCGACGTTTCCTTTTGATAATCTTTAGCACAATGTTATTCGTGCCCACTACATCGCCAGGAATGGGATGCGCGAAAGGGTTCCCGGGCCTTAGGTTGAGTTCTAGTAAGGCGTCATGTTTAGATGCGGTACGCTTGAATGCGCTGTCCAGATTAATCTGGCCACCCAAGCTACGAATTGCGAGCGGAACAGATGAGGACTGAACATAACCCGGGTATTCGACAGAGTAGAATGGCGTTGATGGAAGGGGACGTTCCGGCGCTTCTGAGGAAGATGTCGAAGCATTTGACGATGATTCCATGCAATCGAAAAGGCCTTAACTGAAGAAATACTGTGATTTTGGCTCCGTGATGTTGGCGTTCCTCGACAATTCACGTTCACTTACAGTTGATTAATCCGAAGATATCACGTGATTGATTTCTGACTAAAGAATTACAGGCTTTACAGCAACAGTACTCTATGAAGACAGTATGAGAATATGAGAACATGAACAACGAGAATTGTTTATCAGTTTCCTCCAGGCTTTGATCCTTTATAAGCTCCCATAAGCTCCTGCATGGCATCCTGGTAGTTGTCAGTGATGTGGGCCATCACCAGTAGACAAAATCGGTCTCACCTGAGATGTCAAGTCTACTCCAGCATTTTTCAGTTCTGTTACCACTCTTTGTGCTGCTTCTCTAAACTCTGAGTTGGCTGCCAGTCGTAACATTTGAGTTGTTGACGGTGGACCGGATGATGGATCAATACCTACAGTGAGACCAGGGAATTGGTAAGCAGTTCGTACAAATAGCTTTCGGTGACATACCGCGCTCTTTCAGTATAGCAGCAAAGTCCCGCAGCGCAATGAGTGCCTCAGGTTTGTCAGCTAGCTTTCGGAATATTGGTGTATTTTTGAAGTTGGAGAGAAAAGTGTCATCTTGAGGCTCTGCTGCTTGTAACCGAGAGGTACATGAGAAACTACGTTGCGTATGATGATATTGTAGATTGGGACGGAAATGGCGCCTCACTGCAAGTGATATTTGCCGTGCAGAGAACATGCTTCACTTTAAAGCTCAAAGAAAGCCAGTAAATTGTTTCTAATGCACACGGAAGGAAGGAGAAGCGTGGGAAAGCATAGGGAGGCAGTCGCGTTTATGACCGTGACCACGACTGGAATGTCTTTAACGCGTACCGTGACAAACAATTGGACAAAATCGCGGTAATGGACAATGATTACTTCTCTATAGACGCCATTCTAGCTGAGAATCAGGTGCGCACGCGTTCAGGTTATCCTAATGATGTCATCTAGAACTAAACTAATCTCAAGAAAATACAATGCACGTTCAAGGTGGACATTCCTGACATGGGCCATCTTGGAGGAGGATCTGAACGCGATGTACGTGTTAACATTCAACCTTACTTCCCATATTGTGAATTCGCGTCCGTATTGTAGATCAAAAGTCTTGCTAAAGTTCCAATACCAATTTGGTTGGCCTACATTGTTCTGTATTCGTGAGGCGGACGGATTTGATGACAAGCAGCGCGAGCTGACCAGGATGTATACCAGAGACTGGGCAGACTTTAGCATCCCTACGCCATTTGGTGCCAGAGTTAGGAATGCACTTAAAGCTGAATCACGTAGCGTCAAGCTTTCGGGACTCGTGGGTGCAGGCGGACTATGGTATGGGTTCGGAAAGATGATCATGGACATGTGAGTAGCACTCGTAAATTTATCAGTTGTTAAATTATGAAAAAGCATAGATTAAGCGATGAACAAGCTAATGAGATATCAGAAGTCTTGACAAAGGTAATGCATACCTATATGGACGTTCTGGGAAATTTCTGAGTTTCTATAGACGTTCCGAGGTCGACTAACTGAGGTCGTTGATCAAGCACAACATTTTGCTGCCTTAGGTCCTTCTGGGGGAGGTTCTTCGGGTGATACGTCTCTTTCCTTCAGGGAGGGTCTTGATAGCACCGAGAGGGAATGTGAGTAGATTCACACATTTATAGCATTCAGACTATAACCATATTCCGTGCAGTATTTGCATTAGCCCAAGCAAGCACAAAGAGGACAAAACGGTGGTACGAGGGAAATAATAGGACACGTCGTTAGAAAAGGAGTCGAAAACAAAATAAGATGACGGATATAACTACAAATTGTAGATCTTACCTGTAATAATTGGCCACCACTGCTCCCACTATTGCTCTTTCTCCTTCTTAGCTGTACTGTTCGTGTCCACGGATTGCGTTGCGGGCGGAACTTTTTTGAGTTCATACACAAACCTGCTGTGCATTAATAAATTTCAAGTGGATCGGAAGCATATTTATCACACCATTTTACGCTTGCCCATAGCGCAAGTTCAATCCCGGTCAATACAAAGAAATGGAAATTGCCTTTCGTCAAGTATATCAACCAAAGAAATACCCCCAGCAGGATAGTGAATGCGCCGTCAACAAGAAGGAGGAAGGTTGGGTGAAGGGAAGAACCAGGCTTTAGTATATCAGAGATAACGGACAGAGGAGCTGCATCCGAGGACATGGCGGGCAGGCTTCAGGAGAAGTTGTTGGACGCCAGTGACTGAGTGAGTCTCGACGCGTGTTGCTGTATTGAGAAAAAAATAAACAGGGGCAAATACAAATATTCTAACGGAGTAAGCCGGCTGTCACATTGTGACGGGCAACCCTGATTTTCTTTAGGTCTCCTCTTCTTCATCCGGGATGAACCAGCAGGGCCCCAACAGCAATCTGGGAGGAGGGGGAGGAAGCTATATTCCTCCTCCACGACAGGACATGGAATACATTTGTGCAGGTAAGCAGCGGCATAAACACGAACCTTGGCGGCAAATACTGAAGTGAAAAAGATTGCGGTGCCAAAAATGAGATCAAGTCGAGGGAGCCCATACGGTGTCGAGAGTGCGGTCACCGTATCATGTATAAAAAGAGGACTAAGCGCAGTATGTGGCACGACCATGTCATATTCCTTATCATGTCTCATCGTTGTGCTTGACAGTGGTCCAATTCGAAGCGCGTTGACACAGACCATCAGGACTTTTGTTAGCCGAGCTGTAGTGTTTTGCCCAAATCTTTGCCAACATATCTTGTCGTAGCTTCCATAGCTGTGTAAGCATACTCGCACATAGCACTTGTAAAGGTGCAGGCTGTAATAAAATGGCATGGCTTGGATGAAATGCCGAACGGCGAGAGTATGAGATTTCAAAGTCAGTCCGAAGGGCAAATACACCTATACACGACTGAGGCTTTTTCCTGACACCACATGGACGGTCCACAAGTCAATAAACGTCTGTCTTCCGATATATTCAACAGCAGCAGTATCACTGTAAAAAGGTCCAAACTGGACGATGGCCTCCATGATGACTTGAAAAATACAGCGAAAAGCGTCAGTCTCAGTCACGGTGAGCATGACCCGCAAGCGAATCATGGCGTAGAACGTATAGCCTTTCCCGGGCCTTTGCAGAGGGGCACGAAAACATCGCCTTTACCCCAGTCTCGTCACCAACTCACTTCCCTCGTCCATGATCGCAAGGAGATGCTAGCTCGCTCTGGAAAACGAGTGATCGGAGATCCTGTCTATTTGTGAGTCACCGCCCCACCAGCACACTGATTACCTGACTGGTATTTAGTGATGATGGAATTATTTTACACTGGTATACACATTATTTCTAGTTTCTTTTGCTCAAGACACTGAGATCATGTAGGATATTGGATCGAACGTCACGCCATGGTGATGCCCAAACAGATATTCCTCGTACATCCACGTCAAAGAATGAGTGTTCTACTACCAAGACCGATGTCTGTGTGTATGAGCTAACGGGAAAAGGTGAGGCGAAAGCATCTCACCAAAGCACGGTCGCACGATCTGATCAGGTCATCTTTGCTCATACACTTCGTCGGCATCACGGGCCCTAGCCTTAGGAATGAAGTCCACTGAAAGACGCGTTAGTATCGTGAAAACCGGTAAACCTGAATCTCGAGTAGGATTGTATCCCTCTCAGAATGGCCATGGTATTGAAAGCGCGATTATGGTTAGTGACTCGGAAGAAGAAACTGACGTTCCCAGTCCCGGCTTAGGGAAAAAGCCTGCATCTGTTTCTGTTCCTCACGATCCTCGCACACAATTAAACCCGTCTAACTGCTCCATCATTGCTCCATTTTCGCACCAACTGGTTCCTGACGGCGTACCAGCTCCAATTTCTCCCATACGAGCATCGGTAGCCGCCTGTGTCGATAATCAGAATTCCACGTCATTCGCAGAGGGCATTGCAGCTTTCCAAAAGCTTCTTACTACAGCCCTTAATGGTAACTCATCTTCAGCAACAACATCCATGTCAGCCGAAAGCAATTCATCGTATCAAACGTTGCATGAGCGGACGATTAATAATCACATTTCTTATGATCCTCATCCGCAACCGAAGTTTTCCTCTGCAGATGATTCTGACAACGATATTCAGTTCATTTCGTGGCGTCCTGGTCGTGGTTCACCTTCTCCATGTCCTTCTATTATCGAAGAAGAAAGTGCATCAGGGGCCTACCACTCTGCGGGCGCTTTGTCGTCTCCACCGAAAGGTGATATTGGTGCCTTGCCCGATGCAACGTCACACTCCACAGTCATACAGCAGCGTAGTCCCTCTTCCTCATTCTGCGGTACTTCCCAGTCTTCTACCGCCAGGACACCTCACGATGCCGAGCCAAGAAAGGAAAAAGTAATAGACTCATTGCATGGGAACAAACCGAGCTATTGGTCCGGCGAAGATTCAGACACTGATACAACTTTCAGCTCAAGTGATGACGCTGATGCGGTAGTTCATCACCGTTCATCAGAGAAGGGTAAAGCAAAAGCTTCGAATGCGGATCTTTCACATTTCACGCCATCACCCGATGTGTTTTCCCCTGAAGCCCAGTCAGCCGACATCGGATCCCCAGACGACAGTCCATTTATGGATGACAGGGCCAATCCTTCGGAAAGATCTCGAAACTTATCACCACCCGCAGTACGCCCTGGGTGTATAGTCGGGCACAGCGGTTCTCCTGCACCATCGCAAACTGTAGATCGTTTAGAGAAGCAAGCTGTTTTGGACCCGCATAGTGCTGATCAGCTCAGTAATCCCCGTCATCGTAGGAGCCAGGTTTCGCGTGATCACTCATGTGGACAGCAGCATCCCGACAACAGACGCTCTTCTCGTCGATTCGCGGTTACGAATAATTTCACCAAAATCTCGTTGCCGAAGCAGCCGTACGGACGTGCAAGAAGAATTCTGGTGCCTGCGTCTGACTCTCTTCCGCTCGCCACTGTCACAATGAGGGCAGATATTCAATTTCTACATCGTACGGAGCAGTGAGTCTAACCTTGTCCCATTTTGTTCAAACCCAATCCATGTTTCGCAAGTTACCGAATATCACTAGATTCTTTACCTAATTCCGGTATTTATCGTCACGTGGAAGATGCATGCATTGTAGGCGATATTATCGTCCTGGCTCACGATGGCGGGCCTTGTCAAATATCTCTCATACCCGTGAAAGTACGTCGTGGTTGACTTCAAGTAAATAAACCTTGTTCATTCCGTCAACAACAGCAAAAGATTCGTCGTTTGGTTGATCTTCCACATAAACCTCATATTGTTCAAAGCCGTCGCCCTGAAGTGGGCAAAGGGGGAATTAGTTCTCTCACTCATGGATATGAGAAATCTGACTGCCTGAACTTTTTCACCGGTGGTCATGATGGGTTTGTTTATTTGTGGACCATCAAAGATGGCCACTTAAATGATACTACCTCGAAAAAACTGAAGGTGTTCCATGATTCGAGCGTCACTGCACTGTCTTATCGCCATCATGATAAAGCCCTCGTGTCATGCGCAGGCAGAAAGCTCTGGAATACGGATCTTCGACGGTCATGGTCATCGGAACCGGTCCGACTCTCCAATGAGGTCAACCAACTCCACGTACATCCTCAGGAACCAAATCTTACAGTTATGGAAGTGAGTTTAGTAGACGATTACTCTCGTTTCTCGTAAAACTGCTAATCAGCGGGCTCCGTAGATAAAACACCTGGACTCTCAGATCCAAATATTCGATCGTAGAAAGGGCGGTTATGATAGAACTCCATGCTTGGCGTTCGGATACCGCTCATCGAGTACGAAATTCGAGACCAGCTATTCAAAAGGCTGCACTCGGTATAACTTCTTCCTGAGAGGGTTTCGAGATGGATCGGTCATTTTATGGGATTATCGGAAGGCAAAGGTGCGGACTCATTGTTGTATCACGCTGGAAACATACAGAGAGCTTGCTTCAAGGACGTGGTCATTAAACAGCAGTATCAACAAGCCGAACCTGTGGTGCACACAGCTTTCTCGAACTCGGATCTGGTAGCCTTTGGTGATGGATTCGTTACGTTCAGCCAACTGGATTCATCTTGATGACATGCTACGGCGAGGTACTGGCACGATGCTCACTATTAGCTATTTTACGGATCATGTTATGCACAGTGGAAATGTTGTCTTTGCTTATTAGATCATTTTGTTTTGTTGGATATACTAGGTTAATTTCCATCAGTAGATCCACATGTTGTCCACCGAGCGTTTGTCAGGATGGTGTATGGACGATTTGCGCAGAAAGCGGATCAGATCGAGTACCCAAACTATTTCCAGGTGCTTCTAACATCCAGGTGGCTTCGTAGAACCGAGCGTGACATCTCTTGGTTATCTGCCCATATGCACGAGGCCCATCAAAGGGAAAACTTATAACGTGAACATGTGCTTGGCCCATGCAGAGATGGTCTCATCCTATCACGATAACTAACCACATTTAGCTTGGGCGTCGAGGGATGGCGCGAAGCAAGGGGTAAGCAAAGACTTTGAGCGAGGAAACGGCATGTCGTTTGGGCTGAATTCATTTGCGAAGTTCATTGTATTCATAAAGCCGCGAAATTCCAAAAGACTTGAACACATCCTGATGAGAACTAGCATTACTTCAACACCATGCATTGAACTTGTGACTCGGACCTGGATCATATCCAGCCCTATCGCCGGATTAGGCGAACATTAATCCGATAATGCATATCGTCAGGATAACGGTTGGTGCAGGGCAGTCGATAGAACAGCGCGTAAGTAACCGCCAGAATACTGTCACGGGGCGTTGATATTGCGCTATCGACCTTTCAAACGGCATGATACATCCCAAATCCAGGTGATAGTGGGCCTACGACAGTTCCGTACGTTGACTGTGCGGCAGATGGCATCACATTGAAAGAGATGTCATCAGAAGAGTACTTAAACATGAGGTAAGCCGGGGATATTATTGGGAGGAAGCTAGTGTTTTCCCCGAGTAGAAGCCAGAGAGGTTCGGACACGGGATGGGACGACTCATGGGATCACATTGGTTGCGTGCAGGGAAAAGAGTGGAGTGGCTATACCCAGTGACCGTAGTCAGTTGTAGCCGGGTGGTTGCAAGCCGCCACCTGTGATCGGAGAAGGATGAAAAAGACTAGGATGGTTATAGGGGCTATCAACGGGTAAACAAGGACTTACGAGACCGCGCTGATTCCTTCGGAGGAATGTGTCTGCGATGGGCACAGGGTAGGCAGTCAGATGCACTACACATGATCGTCGTGACGTACTAAAACAGATGGCGCCTGCTTCCAGGGTTTCCAGATACCAAAGAGCAAACTGATTTCCAAGAGATCAGAAGTGGAGAGGGAGGATCGATTCAGATACTGGAAACACTTATGCGATAGCGGCATGGCTATTTGAAGAACTAGCAGGTCAGAAGACAAGCACTTTGGACCATTCGGAATTAGCGGAAAGCAGGCTTCCTGTTGGAGAATAATGCGTAAGAGGTTTCATAAGGTGGCATGGCTTCATCCTAACATCGAGCATCACGGGGGATATTGAGGGATACGCCGAAGAAAAATACAAACCATTGTTCGCTGCATCTGATACTGCGCCCACATTCGATAGTGTGAACAAAAAAACCAGGTATAAGAGCTATACCATCCGCATCCATGATTTTGTTACGGTTTTGGGATGAGTGCACGCCACCAGCAATACCGACATGGTCAAGGCTGAGGCAGCCACGGCTAATTCCGGCCAGCTCCGGCAAATTCGTAGTCACCGGCCGGGAACATGATCCTGAGCACAGCCTCCGTTTCTTTGCTTCCGACCACTTGCGCAAAAAGTTTGGGACTTGTTACACGAAAGGGTTAGTCCAACTTCGCCATGTCCAAGGCTCTCAAGACCAAAGCGCAGCTAGTGGTGCGTATCTAATCACCCCTATTTCATGGATGTCGTCTGACTATATCCTAGCGATTGCTGATACCAGCAGGAAAGGCTGCTCCTACCCCACCGGTGGGTCCAGCTCTCGGTGCTCGCGGTGTAAAGTCGATGGACTTCTGCAAAGAGTTTAACGCAAAAACCGCTCACATAGAACCTGGCATCCCTACTCCGACTCTAATTACTGTTGAGCCTGACCGCACATTTTCGTTCATGTTCAAGACACCACCCACGACGTACCTGCTAAAAAAAGCGGCAGGCATCGAGAAAGGGACCGGTCGCCCCGGACACGAGTTTGCGGGAACTGTCAGCTTAAAACACGTGTATGAGATCGCGAAAATTAAAGCGAGGGACGAGCATCTCAAGCATCTCAAGCTCGAATCTATCGCTAGTACCGTCATCGGCACGGCTAGAACTTTGGGGGTGCAGGTGGTACCTTGACCCGGGCCGTTCTTCATCAGCTTCGAGAAACTGGGCAGGCGTGTTGTAAGTCTTCATCTACTTTTAAATGCAAACACGAATATTTTTTAATCAGAAAGGTCTTATCAGGTCACGGGCGCGAAAGCGCATCCGAGTCGAGCAAAGGGACGATGGTTGTGCCTAGCGCTATATCGTCTGGATGTAGATAGCCTGTGCTGCCAGATGTGACTAGGGCAGACCGGGGTGGGTATTGCATGATAGTCTATACCATGTAGAGCGCAAGTGGTATTCTTGGACAAACATCTATAGTGTTATGTGGGCGCCAAGATCTGCCCAAAGGGGTGGAAACACGGGCAAGGTTGAGTTCATTCGCAGGAAATTAAACTTCGGTGTCAAGGGAAAGTATGAACAAGAGTGTATGATCGCGAGTCTCCGCACTTTGTGTGCAGCGGTTACCATCTTGTGCTAAGCGCTTCATAAGATGCAACTGGTCTTGCCATATCGACAGAGGTATCTATGATGTATTGGTTATATCTGAGCCTTGTCTTTCCTTGTCTGACACACGAGACGCCCGAGTGTGGCCAGTAAGTCGTGGAAGAGAACATATAGTGTAATTCTCGCATGAATCTACCTTATCTCCAGGTCCCTTGTGCTACATATGGCACCTCCTCGACACGCTGCAGACACGCCCTGTCCACTTTTACCGCTTCTCTTCCGCATCCCTGGGACACGTTCTTGCTCTTTTCTGGCCTCGCCAATGTACTGCTTCCAACCTGCCATATCAAGTGGCTTCCTCGCCGCATGCACGTATGTGGAGGAACACCCATCAGCATCTCGAAAGAACACTCTTGTTTCTTCAATCGATTTGTACGTCTTTCGTGTCTTCTCGCCCTCCCTTTCTCATGATAGGTCCTTTCTTATTTTCCCGTTATTCATAGGCTATCAATGGTTCTTTGACTCTTGTGAGAAGGTCTCGTGGCTTGCCTTCTGCATGCCAATCCACACGACGCAAGGAAAAACCATCGGCGCTTATGACTTAACTCGTGTTTGTTCCTCGATCATGTCGGCCTCGACCTGGATTGTTTCATCGGAGCTTTGCTCCACTGAACACCTCAAGACGACATAATGAAGCCTGGCTTCTCGTGCCGACACGTTTGCGGCCTTGTATTCATCTTTATCTGTCACCATGTCCACGTTCCATTCGACAAATCTACATCATTCAGACAAGAACAGTTTACCTATGTTATCAAAATCCGGGACTATAAAAGAACCCCACTCTCCCTTGACTTATCATCCGGACTCTGGCTAAAATCAACGCCTCTCTCAAAAAATTATCTTGCCAAGACACCTCTATCTTCACTCGCGTACAATGGCCTCCGCTTCCTCTAATGATGTTCTCTCTTGGACAAACCAAGACCCTCGCGAAAGCCAACTCTTTAATTCATGGGGTGTACTATATCGTTTTCAAGTTCGTGTCCCTCATCGCCGTTCGTCCTACCGGAGACACTGACGTGACTCCTCATAGACTGTGGTCAGTCCTAATGGTCAAAGTACAACAACCCTTTGGAGGGCCGTTCGCACCAACAAGGAGGATCGCGTAGCCAAGCTTGAGTGGGCACCAAACGGTGGTCTCGGTCGTGCAGTCATTGGCAAGGTTAGTGCTCGCTAAGAAACCCTGCCGTGATTTAAAGTATGATCACTGATGCTGATTCTGTCTTCTAGAACACGGTACCGATGGCTGATCTAGTTCGAGCTGATCCTCGGCACCAGGTCAGTTGTGTGCGGTCAAAATTCTAGTTTACACGCTCATACAATTTTTAGGGTGCTCGCGTTTTTAACGGCCCCGATGGTCTGCCATATCGCTGGCGACCAAGCGGCAGTAGTGCTGATATTGTGGTACGTTAAGTATTCCCTCATTGCTGATCAAAGTGGCCTGATCTTGTGCCCCTGTAGCTGCAAGATCCTACGGGGAATGTCGTGGCATTCTTCCGCCCCACGCGACCAACGAGATATCAGATTGGGGATGTGTATGGCGAGCTTCATTTTGTACGGAGTGCTGGAGCGGGTACCATTGTGCGTCTCATTGAGCAAGCTTTGGTAAGCTTGATTGCGTAGACTGACAAACTTCTCTTTTAGATGCATCCCCCCATTATGGACACTGTGACTGTAACAGCGATGCTTTACCGCTTCTGCATGGCTTTCGGTCTTTGATTACTATCTCTCTTTCTCTCTCTCTTTTTTTTTTTTTATCGCACTTGTATATGATCCTTTACAGTAAAGTAAACGTGCATTTTCTTCGTATATTGCATCAGCCATCATACCCTTGCGCCTACCATCAGACACAATCTGTACATATGTAATGTAGCTGCCTGTATAAATTTTTTCTCCGGTTCACTCGGTCCTACTCAAGAAACGCCTGGTGTACCGCTCATCGATAAAGTGCTTGAACACGAGTTTTCCTACTCACGTGCAGGTGGGCACGACGCACGAAAGCCTCGTTGAGTTGGCAAGACAAATAGCACGACACACATCAATCTCGCGTGATATCTCGAAAGCAAATCTGATCACCAGACTTGAATTTACAAATCTACAATTTCACCTGGGGCCCTTCTTCCGATGTGATAGCATCCATAATCTCATCTACGGTACGTACAACCCATTCCGTTCCTTCGTCGCTTGAAAGGTACTTGTCCTCCTCGTTCTGATTCTCCACATAGCGCGCTTTGAGGAGCCCGAATACGTGGCTCGTCAACTGGGGGCCGACCCTTCCTTCGGCACGGAGAGTAGCAATGCCTACTATAGAGCCCATAGCTCGGGTCAAGTTCCCCTGTTCAGCATCTCCCCCAGGCATGGGTGACAGTACAGAGCCATAACTTTGAATTATAAACGCTATTTCCAAAGAAAAATTCAATCAATGCATTCATAAATCAGACACCAAGATCACACCGGAAGGAACATAACGGATTGGAGCAGCGAGGGCAAAAAAAAACGTGCAAAAGGGACAGAACGAAGGAAACGCGAAAAGACGTACATATGAAGTCAGGATGAAGCGCCCCCAATTTGTTGTACAACTTGACAGCATGCGGTTCATAAATCGAGTTCCATAACGCCATCCCTCTTCCGATAGTAGCCTCGATATTCTGCGGAGTGCCCACCCTGTAGATTGACCCCGTCATCACTTGGTCAGCTTTTTTGTTCGGGAGGCCCCTCAGGCTGCGAATCACTCCATAATTGCAGCGGGAGCCCCTTACCTCCGAGAGTCCTTGCGTAAAGCCGCGTAGACATCGTCTTCAAGGGCTTCTTTCAGTCCAGTAAGAGATAGAATTGTCTAGGGTTGTCAAGGGAAGTTAATGTCGTGGACTTTGTTCGACTTTGATTGATAAAAAAAACAACTGATTCGCTCAACTCGAGGTACGCCAATGAATATGACACTCTTCAACGCGGACTCCCGCATAAGGGCAGCCTTGTTCAAAGCTTCCGTAAAATCTCTTCGAGATTCAGCCTTGGTCGGATCAGACCTGGTCACAAAACGATACAGGTGCCCAACAGAAGAGGGACGGTTCGCCGTGAGGAGGGTGCATGTCTGTCATTTCCGCTTTGAATAGATGAGAAGAAGGGAAGACCAGGGTTATGCACTTACTGTAAGGACGAGCCATCCGGTCTCTGCATTCCTTCGCTTTGCCTCGTTTTGAGTGCTTGCGAAGACGCGATGCAACCTTCCTAACGGCGGACTTGACCATGCATCAGGGTTGCGCAGAGTCAGAAGCTGCTTGATTGCTGGCGGTAGATGTTTAACCATGTCTTCACTGTGGGGATTGCTGGACGTTCCCGCACTCTTATCCCTCAATGTCATCCGCATGTATTTATATGCTTAACGTCGTGGTGGTGGGAACATGACTTCAATAACGTCCTCTCCCGCAGACCTGCTGACCAGAAAATATACTAGACGGCATTCCGCCAAGCCATATGCAGATTTTTCGTATTCTAGACATCAGACGCAGAAAAGTGACCTTGTTCAACAAGACGACTAGGATGCGCCGGGACATTACATCCAAGCATGGTACGAATATAAAAGTTTAAGACGCCAAGAACATTCTTCCAAACGGCACCAACTGAGAGCGATGCAAATGAATGGGTATCTAGTGAAGAAATAAAGACCAAAAAATATGAAATAATGCAAAAGATCCAAGAACGTTTAAGCGCCGAAGTAGAAGCTGGCGAGAGAAGTGGGCTCGTTGCTGCCAGAAAGCAGCTGGTTGAGAGTGTTGACACCTTGCATGTCTCCCATGACACCTGATGGCGAAAGTTAGAGAGAGAAAATCACTATTGTATGAGTAGAGTACTCACCGAAGGGGAATGCAGCTTCCATCCAGTCAGTCTCGTCAACAAATTGCTTGATGGTTCCTGCGAAGTTCCAAACGGCACTCTGGTCTGCCTGCGCACCTCCACTGAAGTCCTAATAAAAGATAGTCAGAACAGACATCGTCAAACACGTAACTGGATCGTACCTGGTCAGCGAATTCAGTGACCCAGATGGGCAGATTGAATTGATTGTGGAGTTGAGTGGCGTAGGTAGCAAAATCACTTTCGCTGGTAGAGTAGTAGTGGAATGCAACCGCGTCAACCTGGATGAGACAGTTGAGGACTGGACCAAGAGAGAAAATGCTCATAACTCACGTGGCAACCAGTGCAGGCAGCAAAGAAATCCGTCATCCACTGCATACCAGCCTGGTCGTTGGTGCAAGCGGGCGAGACCAAGTAGTAGCCCTGGTCCTTAAGAGGGTTGATGTACTGCTGCCAGAGGCTGGCACCATCCTGAGCACTCATGTTGGACTGGCTAGGCTCGTTAGGCCTTGAAGAAAGTGGAATCAGTGGAAAATATGGTAAAGAAAAATGACTTTTAACGCACTCATTCATACCAAGAACGTAGTTGGCATAACCTGCAACGACGGTCTGCTGGAACTGAGTGATTTGATCGTAACCCCAGAGCATAGCAACACCAGTGATACCGAGCTGGTTAAGACCTGTAGGCAACTGAGGACCCCAAGTGTAGAGGCTGAGAAAAAATCTTAATACTAATAACAACAGTGCAAACGGGAATAAAGACTGACTACTTGACGTCGGGAAGCAAGAAGTTGGACAAGTAGGTAGAGTCGCCGTTGGGCCAGCCAAGACCCCATTTACCACTGCCACTACCAGAAGTGGGAGCGGGAGCAGCAGAGCTAGAGCTGCTGCTGGGAGCAGGGGTCCATGTGTTGACGGACGAAGTGGAGGAGGGAGCAGGGGGAGGAGGAGGAGGAGTGGAAGAGGGGGAAGGGGAAGGGGTCCAGGAGGGAGCCGCCGAGGAGGAGGAAGAGGAAGGCCTTGGTTTGCAGCGCTGGGTGGAAGTGCTGCGTTTCCTCTTTGCGATGGCATCGTGACCGTGCGAGGCACGACGAACCATGTGACTGTTGTCAGTAGCTAAGGCATTAACGGGAGTCGCGCCAAAAGAAAGAGTGAGGACGGCGACAGAGGCCAGGGCAAGGAGGTTGAGCAATTTGAGTGCGGCCATTGGGAAGCGAATTCTCTCCAGGGAATGTCTGTGGGTTTATATGAGAGAGAGTGGTGATTAAAAGAGTGACTGAACCGTCGTCGTATAGGGAGACGAAAAGAAAGTTGAGAATTTCTTACGGCTTCTCATCATTTTATGAGATTAAACACACACTTATGTAAGCAGGCCATGCGCACGGGCCTACGACATTGTCCTCACCCGAGTATATTCTTTGTCCCACCATCAGCCACTCGCTAGCATGTAGTACCTGAGAGACAGCACGTTTGCAAGACAGCAACAGCTTTCTTTGGACCACCTCTTATCTGAGAGTCTATATGACATGTAAACATTACAGCAGATTCAGACCTAACATCATGTACCAGGACTGACCCTGCAAATATCCGCACTCGTGGCGACGGTGATGAACGCTGATGAACTGCCTGGCTTTCTGCAAACTGCGGTCCAGTCTCATTCATTTTTGGACTTGTTCCAGGGAAGCTTGTCATGTGTTGTCGCTTTGGTGGTGCCATGGTAACGATGCGTGGGCCGGCTGAGACGGTTTCTTTGAGTCAAAAGAACGCAAGGCAAATATTTGGCAGTGTTCTGATCCTGTGGCTGCCATATCACAAAAAGGGATCCCAGCCACTTTCTTTCTTTTTCTTTAACCTTCAAGTTTGACACGAAGAAACCGGTTCAACAAGTTCATTTCAGCGTTCATCCAACACCAAATCCCCAGTTCTACCGCTCATAATGTCTGACGCCCCAGCCGCCCCAGTCACTGAAAACGGCGTGCCTCCGGCTACCCAAGACAATGTCATCGAAGAAGCTCCTGGTTTCAAGGTGGGCCACCTCCCTTTTTCATTTCCTCTTTCAATCGCCTCGTCTCATTCATTTCCTTCTCTTTCAGGTCTTCGCTGGCAATCTTGCGTACTCCACCACGGATGAAGGGCTGAAGGCTTTCTTTGCGCCTGTTCAAGACGACATGTACGTGTCACCGTTCATTATTTTTGGATACACAGCCTTTTCCTCTCGTTTCTCCCACATAAACATGTATCTTACCCATCCTCTTCTAGCATCTCCGCTCAGGTCATCCTGCGAGGTACCAGATCAGCAGGTTATGGTTTTGTCGCCTTGAACAGCGCCGAGGCCGCGCAGACGGCCGTCGACCAACTCAACGCCCAAGAGCTCGACGGTCGTAAGGTAATCATAGAGATTGCCAAGCCGGCTGACCAGAAAGACAAAGAAAAGAAGGAGAGGAAGGCCAAAAGGAGACCAGGCAGACGTGGCAGCAAGGCCGTCCCTGGTGAAGTCTCCGAGGCTGAGGCAAATGGCGACGTCAAAGCGGAAGACACCCCTGCCCCAGGTGCCGACGAAGCAGCCAAGCCCAAGAAAAAGAAAAAGAAGACAAACGTATGTAAACTCACCTGCTGGTTCGGCTATTTTACACGCGATTAACGCGCTTTATTTTTTATTTCGCTTGCAGCGCAAGTCCAAGCGTAAGACTCTTCCTGGTGCAGAGGAGGAGGCTCAACAAGAAGAGGCTGCGGCTGATTGGACCGCAGATAGTGCTCCTGCCGAGGGTGCATTTGCCGCTCCCAGGAAGCCTCGCGTCAAGAAACCGAGAGCTCCTCGTCCCCCTCGCCCTGCTGGTGAAGACCCTGTAGGCGAGCCCTCGAAAACTATGCTCTTCGTCGCCAATCTCGGATTCAATGTCGACGATGCTGGGCTGGCTTCCCTTTTCACTGAAGCTGGCATCAATGTTGTCTCCGCCCGCATTGTCCGTAGGCGGTGGGGACAGCCCAGGAGGAGCAAGGGCTATGGCTTCGTCGACGTTGGTGGCGAAGAAGAACAGCAGAAGGCCATCGAGGCTCTCCAAGGCAAAGAAGTCGGTGGCAGGAACATCGCTGTCAAAGTTGCTGTCAACACCACCCGCGATGACGATGCTGAGGGCGCTGCACCCGGCGGTCTGACCGAGATCACTGAAGTGACTGTTCCACGCCACCGAGTCCTAAACGAAATGTACACC